GGGGAAAACTTGAAGAAAGCAGCAGCAGCAGCAGCGAGCAAGTACCACGGTGAGATGGCCCGCGCAAGGTATGTAGGTCGTTCGGTCGGTGAGAAAGAGGCAGAAGAAAGAGAGAGAGGGGGTGGTGTAGGCTGGTGCGTAGGTGAGCCTAGACGGGGACGGGACTGGAACGAGCAATAAACCACACGAGGCAGCCCGTCTCATCGATAATATCAAGAGAACGAGAACAGATACCTAGGTACGTACTTACTCACGCGTTGAGATGTCCGAATGAATGGATGAATGACCGTCCATAGTATGGTGGTGGGTGCCCTTCGACGCCTGGATCTATAGTAGGATGTGGCGGGTGGAAAGCCCGACGAGACTGCAAGGCATACGTGGCAGGCACACGGGACGGAGGGAGGGTCCTGTAGTCGCGCGAATAACGACGGACGACGCACCATTCACGTAGTTGCTGTGTTGACATGATTGCACGTAGGATATAGATAGAGAGAGACTGCACGGGTAGAGAACGGTTACTTGCGCGTAGAGAACGGTTAGTTGCGCGTGAAAGCCGATAGAGAGCAATTTCGTTTCTAGGATGAGCTACAGTGTCGAATGAATCGAAAAGAGAAGAGAGAGAGAATCATCGAAAGGGGAGAATGTACAGAAGAGCCTCCACAAACCCCCATGCAAACAAAGCCCCTCTGCGCAGTCTGGCTGCCTCATTCCCCTGAGAAAAAAAAGAGAAGAAGAAGAGAAAGAAGAAAAAAAAAAACCCATCACTCATCGCATGCATCGTCGTCACCACCGAGCACATCTCAGACCCGCTCGTCGTCTAGCACGCATCGATCCAAGCATCCAGGTTCTCCTTCTTCAGTACGGTGGAGAAGCCGCTGCTGTTTGCAGCAACGCACCGCTGCGACTTGACCTCGGCGTCGACGGCGGGGGCACTCGCAACGACCTCGGGGTACTCGATGTGGAAAACCGGCTTGCCAGCATTGATGAACGGTGTGAAGAGGCCACACTCGTCGTACTCGATGCACTGCTCGTTCACGTGGAACTGCATCTTGTCGAGGACGGAGTCGACGAGGGCGGCCGCGTTCTTGAGACCGATGGACAGGCCCTGCGCGTGAGCGGTATCCGCAAGGTAGTTGAGGAAGTCGACGCCGTCGGCCTCGGTGAGGCCGACCCCGTTGGCGTTTCCGAAGCCGTCCACGTTATCGGGATCAACGGCGTCGCAGTTCTTGGACTTGGCGAGCGCGATCCGGGATGCCATGATGGACCGCACGTTGGCGGTACGGGTGTCGAGCCACCACTCCCCCGCCCAGCCCTCCATGGCCAATCCCTTGTCGGTCTCTTGGAAGTCGGCGGCATCCGAGCGCCAGTCTTCGAAGCTCCCCGCGGAAAAGTAGCAGATGACCTTCTTGCCAGCGGCGTGAAGAGCGTCGATGGTCGTCTGGGGGACATCGAAGAGATCGAGATCCCACACGTCCGCCACATATGTGGTGTCGGTCACGATGCCGCTCAGTTCGATTTGCCAGGTAGATCCGGCGGCTGGTTGCCAGGGGGCCCCCTCGGACCGGGGGCTTGCGGCTTGGGCAGTGCTGGAGGTGGTGATGGCAGATCTCTGCGTGGCTGGGGAGTTGGTTTTCGGTTCGGGAATGGCGACTTTGGTAGTGCTCGTGGTGGCTGTTGCTGCCTCGTCATCCCAGACCGGATGAAGCACGTGGGGTCGATAATGGTAGCCATCTCGTCGCTGGATCACAGCCGCTGAAGAGAGTTGGGCCAGGAAGACACCCACGATCAAGGCGGTCTTGGGGATGGAAATCATCATGAAGCTGGAAAGCAGGTGTTGAATGGTCGGAGTGTTGGAGTTTTGAGGTGTTGAAGCGGCAGTGTTCAGGTCTGGTATGGAAGAAGGGAACAAGTGAACAGGTGAACAAGCGAAGAAGTGACGAAGTAATCGAAGGAATGTATGAATGTATTGGTGGAGAGAAGTCGACTGTTTCTTTGACACTGTTGTGCAATGGATGGAACGCGGAAAAAGGACGAGAACAAAGCTCGATCGTGTGTGAAGGGAATGAATATGCTAAGGTTGCGAAGGAATGTGAGGGAGACCGAGCTCGAGAGTTACTGCGATGAGCGGAAGTGAAGAAGATGATGGTGAAAAGCAAATTCTCGAGGGGATCGTCTTTCTTATATGTCCGAATGGGGATTTGAAATTCATCTTGTTTTGTTTTGCCAGCCACCCCGCCAGCTGGGTAAAATTTTCTTTCCGGATGCAGGGGCGGACGGGATGGAGATCACAGTCCGTACCGTACCGTACCGTACCGCACCGTACCGTACCGTACCGCACCGCACCGCACCGCACCACACCGTACCTTACTGTCGCCGGCTTGCCAAGAAGTTTCAAGAGGAAGGCAGGGAGCGGCAGCAGAGTCTACGACCCGACGGGAGATTAAAATTGCGGGAGATTGCTCTTGTCCAGATCCAATTGCAAATCATCAAAACCTGCAGCGCGAGATCTCGACGTTGCCTTATCGTAGACTTTATATCGCCAAGCCGGCCCTAGCACTTGCAATTTTCTTCCCATCTCCAGGACAGTGGATCGTGACCACGATGAGAGATCCTCCGAGAGAAGGATGGCGCATGGTTACGAAGCCGTCGCGCCTCGACGAGTGTACTTTGTTTGTATATGGGTGCTGCTGAACATGCGCTGCATCGCTGCGCTGCACTGCGGCACTGCTGCAATGTGGCGACCTGAGTCTGGATCGAAGGAGTCTGTCGAGTCTAGACCTCGAGTCTGCGTCTGGATCTGGGTCTGGATCTGGGTCTGCGTCGGCGTCTGCGTCTGCGTCTGCGTCTGAGCAGTCAGTCTGCAATTGAGCGTCCGGGTTTGTTTGGCCAGGGCGTCGGCGGGTACAGACGTGCACTGCGTTTGCGTGAAGTTTCACCCAGATTGCAGAGGGTAAGCTTAATTACGCGAGAGACGGGGGGAAGTCAACAACACATCGACGGGTCGGCGCTTGACATCGATTGCTTGATCAAATCACGACCGGTCACTTCCCGCCGACCATCCCATCAAGCAGGAGGCATGGCCACCAATGGCACCTTCGGTGGCTCGTGGGAATCGGGCAGATGTCTGTCCAGCTGCATGAGGTGTCGAGCAGAGAATGCCACTCTTACTTGAGAATTGGAAAGAAGTTGGAAGCGGGAAGGTGTCGGAACGCCACGCTGCAGTCAGTCCCTTGCTTGCCCCCATGTTTTATTCCACCCGCCCGATCGATCCGCATTGTGCTTCGTTGATGGTCGCTGGATGATCTTGAGCGCTGGGTTAAGTTGATGGGATAGGAAGTTTCCTTCATTTGGGGCTCGTTCCTCCTGTTTGTTGTCGTGCAATCTCCGTCACGTTTCACCACCTACTCATTGAAACTTCCCGCTTCCTTCTATCGCAACACAGTTATCTGAATCGTGGAGTGACCAGAAGCACAGGAGTGAGTGCAGTCGTCGGTAATATTTTGTTGCGCTGTGATTGCTTTACTGGATCTAAGCAAAGATACTGGATTCTCTCTTGCGGCTCTTGTGCATGCCTATGTCCGAAACATTATCGACACTTTCTTTTTATATAGATCTAGCTTACTACAGTAAAGACATCGCTCTGCGATACACTCCTGACTATACGACATTTCCAATTCAGAGCTGCACTGATCCTCGGTCCTCGTCTCCCGGCGTGGCTCTGGAAAGATGTCTTGCCAGCCAATCCTGCCCCAAGATAAACAAATAACGGACGATGAGCACCAAACATGGCGCCTTCTCACCCACGATCAAGCGCGAAGATATGACCCACTCCTTAAGAAATACCATTCACTGCCTCAACGCATCCCCCATCGGAACAGAGAAGTGAATCTTTCTTTTGGACAGCGACCCGCTCTACTCTACTCTACCATCCTCCCAAACCCAGCACCTCCCACATCCCTCTCCCAGCGGCCGTCCCTCTTTCCCCTGCAGCCAGAACTGCAAACCGGCTCTGCGGCTCGCCTTCGCCGTGTCCAAGCCCGTGTCCGCTCCGCTGAGACGACACGTCTGGAGGAAAGGCCCGTATACCGGTACCGGTAGATGTCTTCATCCTCACCACGGCGACTCCCACAGAAGCCGATCTAGAGCCGAGGCCAGCCTGTCAACAAATACCTACTGCCATCCCTTCCCTTCCCTTGCCTCACCTCACCTCTGACTTCAGCCGCAAGGACTAGGGAGCTACCTAGTGCTAAGTCTCAGGCCACCGACCGCTGACAAGTTCCATCTCTCTCTTCAGGCCGAGCGAGTCTTTGACACTACCTACCTACTGTCAACTTCATCTCCGGCGCGAGAGCCAGACCGGCTTGTCCAAGGCTGGACCTGGATCTGGATCTGGATTGACCCTGCTACAGTACCTACACATACCGGTAGCTTGGAGACAGCCCCACACGAGACGCCCCGCAAGTGCCTACGGAGTAAGGGCCGGGTCTTGCCTTGCCTTGTCTTGTCTTGCACCGGTATACCGGTACACGGTACCATACCCACTAACACTCACCCACCCATCTGCCTCGGCTACTGTACCTCCTGCAACGCAAGCCACACCAGCCCACCAGCCACACCAGCCCACCAGCCACACCAGCCCACCAGCCATCAGTCATCAATCATCAATCAGCCTGACGACCTACCGGTACCGTACGTACAACAAACAGACAGACAGCCTTTCATCCATCGCTTTCGTAGCCGCAGAGGAATAGATAGATAGATAGATTGATTGATAGATTGATAGATACACACAGATACAGATACACATACAGACACACATACATTCACACACACATTTTCACACATTCACACACAGTAAGTGATTATCCTTCCCATCCTTCCCATCCAATCCAATCCACCACACCACACCAAAAAAAAAAAAAAAACAAAAAAACCAAACCCACCATCAAACCTCCCACACAAACACAAACACAAACCTCATCAATCACCATCAATCACCCCTCGTACTACCTACCGGTACAGTATCAATCAATCTATGCATGCTATGCATGCTATGCTATGCTATGCAATGCATGCATGCATGCAACGCATGTAATCCAGCCTTCGACCTTTGTCCTTCGACCTTTGTCCTTCGACCTTCGACCCGCTGAGAGACAGGCAGATAGAGAGACAGGCAGACAGAGAGACAGAGAGACAGACAGAGAGACAGACAGAGAGACAGACAGAGAGAGAGACAGAGAGACAGGTATGGCAAGGTATGGCAAGGAAGGTAAAGTAAGGTATGGCAAGGTAAGGTAAAGTAAGGTAAAGTAAGGTAAAGTAAAGTAAAGTAAAGTAAGGCAAGGTAAGGCAAGGGACTGTACTTAGACGGATGACTCCGTACCTACCTATGTAGAAGACCTATAGGATGAGTAGGTAGTTGGGGAAGGAAGGAGGGGGGCGGGATAGGGAAAAAGGGGGGATAGGGAGGATAGGGAGGATAGGGAAAGAAGGGAAAGAAGGGGAAGAAGGGAAAGAAGGGAAAGAAGGGAAAGAAGGGAAAGAAGGAATAGAGAAACAGGCGAGACATCCTACCAATTCCGTTCCAGGATGGAATCCTCACCAGGCCTTTCCCAAAGGAGATGAGATGTCGAGGGGATCGATTTCCGCCATATCAAAACACGCTACGCTACGATACAAGCCTCGACCTCGTGCATCGCGCCAGACCCGCACGCCCTCCTCACCTCTCACCTCTCACCTCTCACCTCCTCACGTCCAGTCCGCAGCAGGCTCCGCCTCCAATCCCAGTAGTTCTTGCGGATCCTGTCGTACTTGTCCCCCAGCAACACCAGCACCCGGTCCGCCTTCGCCACCTCCCCCATCTCCCCCCACACGTCCGCCAAGAGGTCCAGCGCGTGACTGCTCCGCACGTATTCTTCTTCCGCTTCCGCCTCGTCCCCCTCCCCGCCGGCGGCAGGGAGCCGCACAAACGTCTCGGCGAAGCGCTCCTGGCTCGCCAGCGACCTCCCGCCCTTCCGCAGCACGCCGCGCAGGTAGTTCCACGGGCTCTGGTTCTGCGGCGTGTCGTACGTGGCGGCTTTGGCCACCTCCAACTCGCGCTCGATGATCTCGTCCGGGATCCGGGGGTCGGGCTGCGTGGCCGGGCAGCCCGGCGTGCAGATTTTCGGGTCCGAGAAGACGACGAAGAAGCGGTGCGACCAGGCGCTGTTGTTGCGCACATCCGTGCGGAGCAGGTCGTGGGTAGACTCCAGCTCCTTCTCGTTGAACAGGTCCAGCTTCCGGACCAGGTACTGGCGGTAGCTCCAGACGTGGTAGTTCTTGGCATCCTCGTGGAACATCTGGCTCATGAATGATACTTCCGAGTCGGCGAGTCTCGCGATGGCGGCTGCGTCGGATGCGATTCGGGTGTAGAGGTGGTCGATGAGGAGTTGACGGTGGTGCCAGATCTGGTAATTCTTTTGGTTGTCGAGGGCGACCTGGTTCAACCAGTCGAGCTCCTCCTCGAGAGGAGAGGCGAGGGCGAAGAGAGTAGAGGCTCGGTAGAGCCAGACGGTGTAGTGGGCTGCGTTGAGAGAGATGATATGTTGTGTAAGCTCCAGCACCCGAGGGGAGTATTCTCGGGCCGCCATGACGGCGCGGAGGTAGCCCATTGCTAGAAGGCACGTCAGCCGCATCCATCAGGACAGAGTCACGAAGAGAGAAAAAGATCACTTGCCCTCGGCGTACTCGTCCGTATAGGCAATAGCAGCCAAAGCCCCCTCTCCATCATCCTGGGCCAACGGCACCACATCATCCCACTTCGGATCGCTCTCGTAGACGCCCATCTTCCTCCCTTGCAAGTGCCCGAGCAGCTTCCTCCGGTTCCTCTCCTCTTCCACCGCTTCCTCCGACGCTCCCTGCTCAGAGGCCCGCGTCCTCCTAAAGCTCTCGCTCTTCGCCCGCAAACCCCTCAATTCCCTCTCCCTCCGCGCGTAGAGCCCGTATTCCGAGGGCGTGTACTCCCCCAGGGCAACACCCCTCGGGTCCTTCCCCAACCCCCGCGGTCTCGGCACCGGGATGGGAATCTGCAGCCGCTCCACCGTCTGCCAGAACTCCTTCTGCTGCGGCGCGGCCCACGCGTGCCAGGTGCCGGTCTCCAGCAGCACGGCGGTCGCGTACGCCGACCTCTCGCGCGGCGACAGGCTCGCGAAGCCGTTCTCGTCGCGCAGGACCTGGAAGGGCCGGGAGGCAAGGTACTCGGCGTCGAGCTGTGCCGCGATGGTGGGGTCTGGGCGAGGCAGGTCAGCGGCCGGAATTCGCGAGGAGAGAAGGGGCGCGAGAGGGTGGGCTCTGGGTGAGGGAAGATTTCTGAGAGGGGCGCGACCGACAGTCTCGGGGGGGCTCTGGGGCCTTTTCTAGCTGCTCAGATGCCTTTGGGTTTTTGGGTGCCATTGTTAGGTCGGTGGCGGGGCTGGGGAGAATGCAGCAGCCCTGAAGTTGGGGAATGCAAATCAACTTGCTCCACAAGAACAATAGCAACAGACCACAGCAAGGGATTCCTGGGTCAACAAGAAAAAAAACCAAAAAAAACCAAAAAAAAACCAAAAGAAAAACCAAAAAAAAAAAAAATTAACACAAGACATGGTAATCATCATGTCAAGTGCACGGGGCTGAACCGTTCATGGCCGTGCTCTTCCATACTTCCAGTGGGCATTAAATTGTTTATTTCGCTCTGTTTCGATCTATTGCTGTACACGGATAGAATGAACATTTAGATCACCCCCTTGGAGCGGCAAAGCCTGCCCGGGCACTGCGGTTGCCCGCTGAAGAACACCTTCTGCTAGTCCTCTACTCTCCAGAACTTCCAGGCTTCTCTATCTTCTCCCAACTCCCCATGCACCCCAACAAGCGCCTCGACACCTTCGATGCCATCTGCATTCAAGAATTTGTCCTGATCGATCTCCTCCCCGCCCAAATCATCCTCGCTTCCGTTCTTCAGTACCGCCGGCCATAGGACGCCGACTCCATCACAGCCCAGGGTAGTCACGAATTGGTTGTAGCCCTCCTCCTCGAGCGTATCCTCCAGTTGCCTCATCCTCTCCCGAGGGATCTCCGGTTTGAGTAGAGCAATTGCGCATCCTCCTCCTCCGGCACCAGTGAGTTTCGTCCAGCCGATGCCTTCGTGGTCGACCAGCTCTCGTATGCGCTCTAGTCGCGGATGCGACACCCCCAACGCAACCAAGAGTCCGTGGTTAATCGTCATCAATTTGCCCAGCTGTTCCAAGCTCGAGAGTTCCTGGCTGTCGAAATTCTCGTGTGAAATCAGCTCCCTCGCGCCCTCGGAGACCATATCTATCGAGTGGATGACGGATTCTGTAATGTGCGGGTGTGTTCTCTTCAGCGTCGCAACCTTGGCCACCTCGAAAGCCGTAGATTTGGGTTGCTTCGTGTCCACCACCAGGAGCGGTAGCTCGGGGAAGTTCCAGAGAGGTTGCACATCCGGTGGTTTCGCGTAGTCGGACCTCCGGTACACCACGGCCTTTCCTTGCGACGCGACGGTGTTATCAACGCCCGAGGGGTTCCCATGGATACACATCTCCCCCACGAAAGCCCACCGGTTGATGCGCTCCACCTGGAGTCGTGCTTCCTCAAATGGTTGGTCGGGATGCGGTCCGGACAGCGTGCGAAGTTGTAAGAGGAGGGACGCAGCAAGGCAGACACAGATCGATGCACTGCTCCCGAGTCCGCCACCAATCGGAATGGTCGAGCGGAGGGTGTAGATGGATCCGGGGAAAGACGGGGAGCCGAGCGAGAGGAAGAGGTAGAGGAAGGCTGAAGCGGAGTTTTGATGGACCTTGCGCACCTCATCAGGCGCATCGAAGGAGACGCCCGCCAGGTGTGGTTTCATCGCCGCCACCAGCTCGGGGTCGAGCTCGGTGACCAGGTCGTAGTAGTACTTCTTCTTGCCCGGTTGCGAGAAGGTGTCCCAGGGGAGATCATCGATATTCCAGGTGTGCGACAGCGCAATGTCAGGAAAGCGGAGGGTAATCGATCGGTTGGATTTCGAGAGCGCTGTGACGAGGAGGTAGGATCGCAGGGAGATGGAGGCCGCAATCGCAGACTACGGCAGCATTAGCATTACCCCGAGCCGTCCCGCAGGACACGCGGGTCTCGATGCCCACCTTTCCGTAGACGACTGCATGCTCTCCAAACACAATGACCTTGCCTGGCGCAGAGACCATGAATGCAGGCATCATCGGGGAGGACTGCTTCCTCTTGTTGTTGTTGTTATTGTTGTTGTTGTTGCGCGGCGTGTGAGGATTGGTTGAGGCACTGATGTCGGTCGATGCCAGCTCGTCGGCCAGCTCGGAAGGATCCTGCCCACGCCGCGACATCCTGGACGCAGAGGAAGGCGACGGACTCGAGCCTGGAGGTGTTGGCCGGAAGGACGTCTCGGAGCTCGATGATTGCGGTCTTGGATTGAGGGGTGGTCCTGCGAAAGTTCGGCTCGCGGTACTGGTCATTGCACGGTGGATGTCCCGGTAGGTGGATATCGAGTCGAGGAGGTCGCGGAGATCGGTTACCAAGAAAGGGCTGTAGAGAGTCGAACCTGGGAGAACGGCGGGTACTTGGAGTCCCTATCGCACCGTGGCTGCGCCGTGGCTGCGTCCCGGAGAGCGGCAGAGAGGACAGATTTTGGGTACCTCTAACCCTAACCCCAACCCTAAGCTGGTCCCTGCGTCGTGGTCGTGGTCGTGGTCGTGGTCGTGGTCGTCGTCGCGTCGTCGTCGTCAATGTCCGTCGATGTCGGTCGATGGCCGTCGTCGTTCCCGGCCGCGTCGTCGTCTCCCGAGTCGGGCCCAACGGACCATCTGAGCGGATGCGGGTGTGGTGAAGCAATGCAACGCATGCACGGCACGGGAATGCCGAGCGGGGATGGATCCGTAGTAAAGTATCGATGTGTCAATACGGAAGAAATGGAAAAGTAAAAAGGCGTCCAGCATCGGTCGATTTCCTTTTCTCGTTTGATACAGTAGTGTATATTTCTTGATCAAGCTTAAGTTCAAGCTTTTGGGGGCTGTCAGGGGGGGGGGGCCACGCTGAACCTTGCACCGCCCGGGCTGAGCGGGCTGAGCGGGCTGAGCGGGCTGAGCGGGCTGAGCGGGCTGAGCGGGCTGAGAGGGCTGCGAGACGATGGGGAGCTCCACCGCCGGCCCGGTATTACGAGGTGGGTAAGTTCAGACGACTCGCTTTCCTGGCTTCATGCCGGGGCCAGACGTCTGAATGGTGGAATGCAAGACGGAATCATCGATCCAGCAGCGCCGATTCGCGCATCTTTGGCTTCTGTACAGTACAGTAGGTAGGTATCTACGTAGCCAAGCCACGGCCAGGCCCGCTCGGGTCGGAAAAGCCAGCACAATACTATATACTACCGGTAGCAGAAGGACGTACAGGATGTGCCTGTTTTTCCAGGCCATAAGATCATCCACGTAGTATCTGCCAAGGCGAACCCACCTACCGTAGACGACTCTTCGTTTGGCTTTGCTTTGCTTAGCGGAAGCCAATTTGGACTGGCTAACTCGGCCGAATCCAAGCTCAAGCTCAAGCTCAACGTCCTTCCGGACAGACAGACAGACAGACAGTCAGTCAGTCCCTACCTGGGAACTCGAAAGCAGACCAGACTCGGCGTGCCACGAGCTGCTCCAGTTCGGGCCTCCTTCCATCGGCAACACCACCATCTTCCGCCGAGAGCGCAGATGCCCAGAGGCCCACCTGCCCACCTGCCCACCTGCCCTACCCTCAATGAGCTCGCCCGCCCCGGATATCGATGGTGCTGTTCTGGCAAGCACGAGATGGCAGGCACGATGGACGGACGGATCGGCGCGGCCAAGTGAAGTCCCATCAGTCCTCGCGGTGGACTTCCAGTCGCGGAAATCGATCTGCCTGGTCTACGGCCAAGCCGATCTCGACTATGGACTTGATCGAAGACTGTACTGTACTGTACTGTACTGTACTATACTGTACTGCACTGCACTGCTCCTTCTTTCGTTCGGCCGACACAAAGGGTCCAGAAACAGGGTCTTGGCCGTGCGTACCGGTAGATCCATCCGAATCCGGGGCTCTGCAGTGCAGTGCAGTGCAGACCACCGTTCGTGACTTCCTGACTGCCTGACTGACGACGGACTGAGTCCACCATCCATCCCATCGGGACGAGTCGTCACGTCACGTCGTGTCAGTGGCCAGTAGCCAGTAGCCACCAGCCAGTAGCCAGCGGCCAGTGGCCACGCTACTGCAGGAGATGGAAGATGGCATCCGACCCGACCTCTGGGACGTCTTTTCGCCATGTCCATAGGTAGGGCATTTGCCCAGGTCCATGCGCATTCTCTCTTTTCCCATCTACATGCCCGACTCTCTCCTCCTCTTCTTCCTCCTCCTCCTCCTCCTCCTCCTCCTCTCTTCCTCCTCTTCCTCCTCCTCTCCCTCCCCATCTCCCTCCATCACCTTTGTCTCGACTCCTAATCCGAATTGCACTCCCACTCCCACTCCCACGCTCACCTCGTTCACCCCGCCGCAAGCACCATCATGACAAAACCCGCGGCGGATCATGAGATCCATACCGAGGTGAAGGCAGCCGAGCCCTATCTCCACGACCCAGTCGCGGCAGCGCAGGACCCCAGCCACGCAGAGCCGCGGGACGTTGAAGGTGCCGAGAAGGAATATCTCGAGATCGCCACCCATGGAAGAACCGTGAGCCGCCGTGGATCGGGCGACGGACGCAACCAGGGACACGATGAGAAGAGGCTGGCAGTTGACCGAACAAAAAGCCATGCTACGGATGCCAGTGCCTTCTCGAGGACAGACTCCCATGTCGACGCGCCGCCGCAGAAGAAGGAAGAGCCATGGCACAAGAGACTAAATCCCCTGAAATGGGGAAAGGTGCCACCGATTCCAGAAAAGCGCGAGGTGTCGAGGGAATACAGTGCGTCGTTCCTCAGTCTCGTATATTTTCAATGGGTGGCACCCATCATGTCTGTAAGTACACACACCACGTGCCGCGAACATCACATTCTCATGCCCGACAGACCGGATACAAGAGACCGTTGGAGCACAACGATATCTGGACGGTCAACCCGAATCGATCGGCAGAAGCCATGACCGTGAAGCTGCAGGCCTCTTTCCGGATGAGGGTGGCGAGGGGCGACAAACACCCTCTGCTATGGGCCCTGTACGAGACTTTCCAAGTCGAGTTTTGCTTCGGAGGCATGTGTCAGTTCATATCGAACATCCTCCAAGTCGTATCCCCATTTACACTGCGCTATCTCATCCAATTTGCCACCGACGCATATGCTGCGCAGCAAAGGGACGAGCCTGCGCCACACATTGGGAAAGGTCTGGGCTTGGTCTTTGGAATCACGGCCATGCAGATGATCCAGAGCTTGGGCACGAATCATTTCATCTACAGGGGTATGATGGTTGGTGGCCAGGCGAGAGGGGTGCTCATCTCGGTGATTTTCGAAAAGGCCATGAGTATATCCGGACGAGCAAAAGCTGGAGGCCAAGAAGCGAAGCCCGGCCCAGAAGTCGGCAGGGAGCAAACTGACCCGACCCAGGAGACCGTGGCACCGAAGGCCAGCGACCACGTGCAGAAGACAGGACCGCAAACCGCGGCCGAGATGGCTCCAGGAGTTGCCGGTGACGGGACGGGGTGGGCCAACGGGCGAGTTGTAAATCTGATGTCTGTCGATACATATCGTATTGACCAAGCATCAGGCCTGTTCCATATGATCTGGACGGCCCCCATTGCATGTATCATCACCTTAGTGCTGCTCATCGTCAACTTGACTTACAGTGCTCTGGCCGGATTCTCGTTACTAGTCATTGGCATGCCACTTTTGACAAGAGCTGTCCAAAGTCTGTTCGCCCGACGAAAGCTTATCAACAAGGTTACGGATCAGAGAGTGAGTCTCACTCAAGAAATCCTACAATCCGTTCGATTCGTGAAGTTCTTCGGCTGGGAAAGTGCCTTTTTAGGACGACTCCAGGACATCCGAAACCGAGAGGTGCGCATGATCCAGGCGCTGCTTGCCGTCAGGAACGCCCTCAATGCGGTGTCCATGTCACTACCCGTCTTTGCATCGATGCTCGCATTCATCACTTACTCTCTCACGAACCACGGTCTGGCACCGGCCTACATCTTCTCATCTCTCGCTCTGTTCAACTCACTTCGCATGCCCTTGAACATCTTACCACTCGTGATTGGGCAGGTCACCGATGCTTGGTCTTCCATCATCCGTATTCAAGAGTATCTTCTCAGTGAAGACCAGGATGACGAGGCAGGATTCGACTTGGGATCCGCCAATGCGGTCGAGATGAGGGCCGCTGACTTTACATGGGAGCGCACGGCAACACAAGATCCGGACCATGCAGTCCCGGCGGGCAAGAGCAGAGCGGCCATGAAAGAGGAAAAGAGGGCGCAGAAGGCGGCAGACAAGGCCGAGAAAGTAGCCGCCAAGCTCGCCGCATCGAGTCTTGACGAGATGCCCGGCGTGACAATGCCTGACGATACGAGTACGCTTATCGAAGATCGCGAGCCATTCAAGCTGCATAACATGAACTTCACCATTGGCCGTAACGAATTGGTTGCCGTCATTGGCGGCGTGGGCAGTGGAAAGAGTTCGCTGCTGGCTGCTCTGGCAGGTGACATGAGGCAGAGCAACCGGGGCAAAGGCGAAATGGTCATTGGTGCTAGCCGAGCATTCTGCCCTCAGTACGCATGGATCCAGAATGCGACTGTCCGAGAGAACATACTGTTTGGCAAAGAGATGGATAGGGATTGGTCGGTTCTGCCTTCATCTCGCGCAACCTTCTCGCGTGATTGCTGACACAGTCTACAGGTATGGAAGGGTCATTGAAGCTTGCGCGTTGGAGCCGGATCTGGACATGCTTCCTCAAGGTGACCGAACGGAGATCGGCGAGCGGGGTATTACCGTCTCTGGGGGGCAGAAACAGCGCCTGAATATCGCGCGAGCGATCTACTTCGATGCCGACTTGATCCTCATGGACGATCCGCTATCAGCCGTCGATGCCCACGTCGGTCGTCACATCTTTGACCATGCGATCATGGGGCTTTTGAAAGACAAGGCGAGAATTCTGGCAACGCATCAGCTCTGGGTTCTCAACCGTTGCGACAGGATTATCTGGATGGAAGACGGCACGATACAGGCTGTCGATACTTTCAGCAACCTCATGAGAGACCATGCTGGGTTCCGAACTCTGATGGAAACCACGGCGGTTGAAGCAGAGCCGGAAATGGAGGATAATGTTAACGAAGACGAGATTGAGGGCGAGAAGAAGACGCAGAAAAAGAAGCGGAAGGGCGCCACTCTGATGCAAGCTGAGGAGAGAGCTGTCGAGAGTGTTCCGTGGTCCGTTTACATCGATTACATTCGTGCTGGTAACTGGATATATGCCCCTTTGGTATTCATCTTTTTACTGGCTTCGCAAGGAGCGAATATTGCCACCAGTCTCTGGCTTTCCTGGTGGACGAGTGACAGTAAGTGTTTGATAACTCCTGTGACTTGCCGGAACAGTACTAAACAAAGCACTGCAGAATTCGGCTACTCGAAAGGAGTCTACATTGGGGCTTACGCTGCGCTTGGTTTCTCACAAGCCCTGATGATGTTTTTGTTCTCCATCTTCCTCACATTCCTGAGCACCAACGCCAGTAAGACGATGCTGAACAGAGCCATCACTCGCGCACTCCGAGCACCAATGTCATTCTTCGACACAACGCCGCTTGGACGGATCACGAATCGTTTCTCTCGAGATGTCGATGTCATGGATAACAACTTGTCTGACGCTATGAGAATGTATCTCCTGACCATGGCGATGATTCTGTCCGTGTTCGGACTAATCATTGCCTACTTCCACCACTTCGCTATCGCTCTTGGACCACTATTTATCCTGTTCATCTTCTCCGCTGGCTACTATCGATCATCGGCTCGGGAGATGAAACGATTCGAGTCGGTATTCAGGTCCAACGTCTTCGCCAAATTTAGCGAAGGTCTCTCTGGTACCGCTTGCATCCGGGCATACGGGCTGAAAGACCGGTTCATCGTCGATCTCCGAAAGGCTATCGACGAGATGAATAGTGCCTACTACCTCACCTTCGCGAACCAGCGCTGGCTCTCTACGAGATTGGATGTCATTGGCAACTTGCTGGTCTTTGTCACCGGGCTCTTGGTGGTCACATCCCGCTTCAACGTCTCGCCGTCCATCGCTGGTCTGGTTCTCAGTTACATCTTGTCGATTGTGCAGATGATTCAGTTTACGGTCAGGCAGTTGGCAGAGGTGGAGAACGGCATGAATGCAACAGAGCGGCTCCATTACTACGGCACCCGGCTTGAAGAAGAAGCTCCCCCACACACAGTTGAGGTGCGAAAGTCCTGGCCCGAAGCAGGCGAGATCATATTCAGCAACGTGCAAATGCGCTACCGTGAGAACCTGCCTCTCGTGCTCCGAGGCCTCACCATGCACGTCCGAGGCGGCGAGAGAATCGGAGTCGTCGGCCGCACCGGCGCAGGTAAATCCAGCATCATGTCTACCCTCTTCCGTCTCGTCGAACTGTCCGGGGGCTCCATCACCATCGATGGCTTGGACATTGGCACGATCGGTCTGCAGGACCTGCGATCTCGACTGGCTATCATCCCGCAAGACCCGACGCTCTTCAAAGGCACGATCCGAAGCAATCTCGACCCGTTTAACGAGCACACCGACCTCGAACTGTGGTCTGCACTGCGCCAATCGGATCTCATCTCCGAGCAAGCCAGTTTGGACGATAGATCGCCCGGCCGCATCCACCTCGACGGTATCGTCGAAGACGAGGGTCTCAACTTCTCGCTGGGCCAGCGCCAGCTCATGGCTCTTGCCCGCGCCCTCGTCCGCGGCTCCCAGATCATTGTTTGCGATGAAGCCACTAGTAGCGTCGATCAAGAAACAGACGAGAAGATCCAGCGAACCATCGCTACGGGATTCCGAGGCAAGACGCTGCTGTGCATCGCGCACCGACTGAAGACGATCATCAACTATGACCGCATCTGCGTGATGGATCAGGGGAGGATCGCGGAGCTGGATAGTCCATATGCATTATATGCGCAAGGGGGCATCTTCAGGGGCATGTGTGACAGGAGTGGGATCCGCAAGGAGGATTTCACAGGCTGGAAGCCGGAATGATGGGATCCTTCTGCGAGGCGTTTAGGAGTGGAAATGGCATGGACATGTAGAGTTTTTATCGTCTGAATGGAGATACATACCTTAAAGGCAGGTATAGGGTTATTTAAACCGTCAGCTGACAATCCGATGACGGTCTTTTTAAAAGACGATTCTAAGAGGTTAGCATAGCTAGTGGATCACCTTAAGCCGATACTTAAAGTTGAATAGAATCTGAAAACAAACGATTTAAATTATTTAAATCGTAGCTAAAATCAAACTATTTCAATCGATTGAACCGTTTTTTACAAGAGCTCGTCTTTTCGTTTAAAGATTATTACTAAAATAAAACCGTTTTGATCGATTAAATCGTCGTTTATAAAAGTCGGTCTTTTTACGAAAAGATCGTTTTTAAGACCGTCCTATGGCCGTTTTGTAGCCGTCCTAAGGCCTCTCTAACTTGAAACCGTCCCCGAAAACGTAGATGAGTAAGCAAATAATCTTTATTTTCTTTTCAATGTCTTGCTAGTCTACCTACCCTCCACTACCTGCACCACCTCCTTACTGTAATAAGTACCTTTACCCGAAAGCGAAAGTAGCGCACTGTGTACGCGGGCAAACTTTTATTAAATCGATCGATTCCGATTATAAAAAAAAAAATGAAAGCATTAATATACAAGCCGTACGTAGCAGCGATACCGAGAAATATCTTGGCATCGAACTTATTAAATAATTATTATAACGATTCCATTTCAGAAATTATGTTTATCTATAACCATATCTTCTTCAAAACAACTATCGAATTATTTCAATGTTTTTTAAAACGAGCTTATCTATCAACAAGCCTGTTTTTCAAAAATTCTAACCGGGGACGGCTATAGGACGGCCACCTACAAACAAAACGGTCTCTTTCAATGAATGGGACGGACGGTCCTCTCGGTAAAACTACTATTCGTGAAAAGAGAGCTTCGTAGGTAGGTACTGAATCTAAGCGGTCTCGTGGCCGTCTCTGATATAAAAGAGGAGGATCAGAGGACCGTCTGAATGACCTTTTACTACCTTGTAAAAAGGTAGTTGATTGATTTTCTATTCATTGAAAAAAAGAGAGCAGATTTTACGGTCCCGCCTTGGTTGGTGGTGCCGATTTGCTACAGCAGGTCGGTCAATCCTTTCGAATTGAAATTTAAGGCAGCCGACGATTGCGGTCGACGGCGATTGAAAAGCGCGGGAAAAAAAATAAATTATTTGGTTTTTTTTTTTTTTTTTTTCCGCTTGTTCGTGGTGGCTTTGGACGCGGGATATGGACGGATGGATGGTTTCGCCTACCGGTACTTTAAGGAAAGGGCCCGTACTGTTGCGATGGCAAGGCGTAGTATTAATCCTCGCCCGGGGCGCGAGGCCCATCCCACAAGTCAGAAGCGTCTGTGGTTTAGTGGTAAAATCCATCGTTGCCAATCTCGTCTCTGGGCGTTCAGGGAGGAAAGCTGCCTCGATGGGCCCCGGGTTCGATTCCCGGCGGACGCAAGTTGAGAGATGTATGTGGTGAGGTTGGTATTTGTGGTTAAAGGATATGCGTGGGGTGGACATGTGTTTCTTTGGAGGGGCGCTGTTTTGAGAAGAAGGGAGGGAGGATGTTGAGTGAGAAGGGGGGTGGGCTTTCTTTTCATTCTTTCTGGGGTTTTTTTTTTTTTTTTTTTTTTTTTTTTTTTGTGAATATACATATATAAAAAAATAAAAATAAAGATGTATATCTATGTATAGATATATATGTATATATCTATGTATACATATATGTATATATATATAAATATATAAATATATAAATATATTAAAGGGCGGCCGGAAGGCACCTAGTCGATATGCATAATCGTTGGTTGGTTACTTCAAGTACCTACCTTACCTACCTACTTACCTAGCTTACTTGACGGCTGTGATCCCTCTGGGCCAAACCAAACCAAGCTCCGTAAGTACTTAAGGTAGATGGGCGAATGTAAGAGTAGAAAGAAGATGATAAACATACATACATACATACATACAAGCCGAGGAGAAGGCAAAATTTCCTACTGTCTGTCTGTCTGTCTGTCTGTCTGTCCATCTATCATTCATTCACGCATGCCTCGCACGCAAGAAGAAAGGCGGGGCGGGTGTTTCTTTGCTTGATTTCTGTATTTCTACTTCTGATTCTATATCTACTTCTATATCTGATTCTACATCTGATTAGACGAGATGAGACGAGACGAACACGAACACGATCACGAACACGATCACGATTGCAAATCTATATATAGCAGATGTTTACTCTGTTATAATATGGGGGGGCGATACGATATTATACAATACTATACTATTCTATACTATACGATACTATACTATACTATACGATACTATACGATACTATACAGTACTACACATCCATCCACGCCATCATCCACGCCATCATCCCCGCGCACCTGGACTTTGATTTTATTTGATTCGAGAGAGAAAAATACAGATAGACAGACAGATAGACAGACACCCAGACAGATACGCTACCTATTCCAAGCCAGGAGCAGGAGCAGGAGCAGGAGCAGGAGCGGGAAGTTCAACTCCATTCAACCCCATTCATTCCCATTCCATCGCAGATGGCGAAACAGCAGATCGCATCTCCTCTCTCTCTCTCTCTCGGTGGTTCAGTTGAGTTGGTATTCAGAGGCAAAGTCAAGAAGTTCAAAAATTTCAAGAGAAAGGGAAGAGGGAAGAGATCCAAGTAAGTGTGCATTAACTAGTAGGTGACGTGGGTTGATTATCTACGGCCGGGCGATGGACGGGTTTACTTTAGCCGGAGAGTATAAGTTGGGTGAGACATCATTATACACGAAGTAGATATTTTCATTAATTGAACAAGGCTAAGCTTTTTTGCTTTCAGTATACGTGATGCAAACGTATCATATTTCATTGCACTGCACCCACTGCACAACACATTCCCAAACCAGAAACACGCATAGAGCGAACAGAGGTAGGGATTGCAGTTGCTTGCTATAAATGGTCTATCAGGTATAGTAATTTTCAATGTGTATCAGCCAATCCCGCTCCCCTCACACCAATGTAAACAAGAACAATTCTTTCTCCTTCTCGCGCCAAGTCTCCAATGCGGCCCCCTTCTTCTCAATCCCCAATCATCATCTCTCAACTTCAACCTGCCCATAAATTCAACGTATAATCCAAACAAATCGACCCCATTACCGTCTCGCCTTCCACGAGCAAAGAGATAGGTATCAAGAAAGCAACGCACGCTAAACAACCCCCGAGATCCAACGCTAAATCCAAAAATCACAGAGCAGCGAAGATCAGAAAAACAGCCATGCACATCCCCTAGCGAGACAGCCAAAACCCAATCTTGCGGACTGGGAAAAAGACAATGCCTCCCTGAACCTGTGTCCGCCATTCCGTATCCCTGCCTTCTCCACACCCAACACAACACCAGCCTTAACCCACACGAAAAATAAGAAAGAGGAATGACATCTGAAAGAGACAGCAAGCAAGATATCGAGATTGAAAAGGAGACGACAGAAAAATATCCTTCCATAATTTGACACACCCTAAAAAGGGACGGAGGTGAATCAAGCGTATCGGAGATCCAAGTTTTGGCGAACTACATTCGTTCGTTTCCGTTTTCGTTTTTCGCCTTCTCTGCATGCTGCACCGATTCTCGAGCATCACATCCCTCGTGAGTCGTGTAGGTGGTCAACCAGTACCGAGGTAAGCAAGCAAGAAGCTCAGGGCCACAGAAAAGCATCTACATCACGACACAAGGGTCGGGTTCAGCTTTTTTTGGACCTAGCGTGAGGATTAGCAAGCGTTTTAAAGGGATACAGGCTCAGTGTGGGAGTGAGTCCGTACCGACCTTTTCCCGACGACTTGGCGGGCATGCCGGCCATCCAACTTAGCATCCCTTTTGGCTCTGGCTTCTTTTTTCGTGGAGGCGGGGAGCCGGGTTTGGAGACCAGGACGGGGGCGCCACCTGGGCGGTTGTCTCGAGAAGGAGAGCCCATCCGAGGACGTACATGGGGAGGAGGTGGTGGGGGAACTTGATGCGCACTGCCGCCTCCACGCTGTGCGGAGGATGAGGGCACGTTTGGCGGGCCACGACCTCCCACGCCGTGAGCATGGCCGTGACTGCTTCGTGGCCTCTCCCCCCCACGCTGACTGAAGTGGTGGCCCGGTGGTGGACCGGCATTTTGGCCTGGGGGAGGGCCAGCCTGCTTCTCGGGCATGGGCCACATGTGCATCGTGATGGCCCAGTCTGGTTCGATCATGGTCTCCCAAACTTGTGGGAGGATGATCTCTCCATTGGGACCGATCAAGTCGTAGTGGCCATGTTGGACATGTGGACCAATAATCTCCACGTGCAGGAATGCCTGCTTTATCAGTTCCTCCATACCCTGACGAGCGTTAGTATACAGCCGATGAGGAAAATAGATACAGGAGGTTACTTACTTGCCATGTCGCACATAAGTGGAATGGGAAGCTGAACTTCCGTCCCACCGCATCCTTGAACCGAATAGGCTTCTTCTTGTCATCAGGCGGGGGTGGGGCCAAGGCCTTGGCTAGAGCTTCCGCAGCTTCTTTCTTGAGCTTTGCCTCATTCTCCTCGGCCTCCTTCTTCAATTTGGCTGCCTCCTCTTTCGCTCTCGCAGCTTCGTCGGCCAGTTCCTTCTTGATCTTGGCGAGCTCGGCAGCAGCATCAGCTTTGGCCTGTTCCTCAGCAGCCTTCTCTTCTGCCTTCTTCCTCTCGGCCTCGGCGGCCTTCTTTGCGTTCTCCACTCCTTTGGCCATTGCGGCCTCTCTCTCCTCTTTCAACTTCTTCTCCCACGCAGCTTTTTCGTCTGCAGCTTTCTGGGCGGCTTCGGCGGCCGCCTCCGTTGCTGCTTTCTGAGCAGCCTCGTATTGCATGATTGAGATTTTCTTCTCCTCTTCGAGTTTTCGTTCCCACAACGCCTTCTCCTCTGCTGCTTTCCTGGCTGCCTCTGCCCGATCTTCTTCAGCCTTTTTCTGAGCCGCTTCATAGTTCAACAAGGTTTGCCGTTTCTCTTCGATGAGCTTGCGTTCCCATGCCGCTTTCTCCTCGGCAGCTTTCTTCTCGGCTGCCGCTGTCGCTTCGGCCGCGGCCTTTTGGGCTGCCTCGTAGTTGAGCAAGGTTTGTCGCTTTTCGTCCTCAAGTTTCTTCTCCCAAGCCGCTTTCTCTTCCGCTGCTTTCTTTTCAGCTGCAGCTCTAGCTGCGGCGGCAGCTTTTTGAGATTCCTCGTAAGCGGCCAGAGCGGCTTTTTTCTCCTCCTCCATCTTCTTCTGCCAAGCTGCCTTTTCCTCTTCAGCTTTCTTTGCAGCGGCCTCCTCCTGACGAGCTCGCTCTTCTCTTGCCCGCTTCTCGGCCTCCTCCCAAGCTGCCCTTTCTTCTGCAGCTTTCTTTGCAGCTGCCTCCTCCTGACGAGCTCGCTCTTCTCTTGCCCGCTTCTCGGCCTCCTCCTTTTCCGCCTTCTCCCTGTCGAGTTGTTGCTGCTTCATCATTACGTCGAGGACTGCAAGCTTCTTCTCGGTCTCAGGATCCAGCTGTGGCGCTCCCACCGCTGAACCGTGGTCGCTTGCTGGCCAGTGGGGGTGTTGTGGCACGTATTGTTGCAGATGCTGCTGATGTTGAGGGGGCGGCATTTGTTGATACGGACTCGGATATCCACCACCAAAGTTGTTAAATTGTGGGTGCGGTATCATGTCATGACCGTTGTAGCCAACGGGGCCTGGGCTGCTGTGGCTAGACATTGGATGGTGGTTCCCATTGAAGTATCCAGCGCCACCTGGTGTTGGAGCCGTTGGTGGCGAGAGAGGCGAAAACGGGTTCTGAGGAGGGTATTGATATCCACCGGGGGCCCCATACTGTGTTAAAGCACCTTGGAGAGGACCTCCAAATGGAGGCGCAAATCCTCCTCCTCCGGCAGGCACGGAGTAGGAGCTTGGGGCATAGCCTGGCTGAGGCCCCCTTGCACCAAAAGGCCCAGGTTGGGGTGCAGGGTAGCCTCGGCCATAGCCCGGGTAGTCTTCTGGATCCACGCTTGATGGTGGTGCCGGCACTGGGTGCCGGTGCACGCGCGCGACAGGTGGACGTCGAGGTTGTCGTTCACTGGTTGTATGTCTGCGGTTCGGGGCTCGCGAAGTGGCAGGTGGTCGACTCTCGCTCGTCCTGTATCTAGCACCTGTCCGGGGGCGTGAGGTGGGTCGAGAGGCAGACTCAGAAGGCTCGATCTCGTCGGAGTATACTGGGTCCCAAGACTCGTCTAAAGAGTCAGAAAAATCGTTGCTACTGACGTTTGAGGGGACATGGACGCCAGTACCTGATGAATAGTCTTCGTCGGTGAAAGAATTCGAATGAGAGTCCGACCGTGAGCTGGTGGTAGGAGAGGGTTGAGAGTCGATTGTGATCGTCGTCGTGGGGGCTGCATCAGATTGTTGTTAGCAGGGACTCGAGGCGATAATATGACACCATGAGGGAAGCAACACTTACGCATTGGAAGCCTGTTAAGATACTATCTCTCGCTCGCGACTTTCTACCAGAGAGAGCCGGAGTGGAGATATTGCTGACGGGATTGGGGCGAGGGATACGCCCTAGCTACAATCGCAGGACAAAGTCTGTCACCTCTGCCGTGGATCCTGCAAATGTGCGTCGAACGGTGTAGGGATGTGTGTGTGTAGTAGGGATGGGTGTTGTCAGAGGAATACCGCAGAGGCCAGGTCGGGATGAGGGATTCTTGTGTTTGTTGATTTTGGGATGGGGTTTATTTGGAATGAGGAATGGATGGTTGATGCGGCCCGTCGCGAGGACTAAATAAGTCGGGCAGGATGTGTGTGGGTGATGAGTGAGTGGGTACACTATGTGCGACTGACAAGCAACAGCCTAACACCTGAAATAGGTCACACTGAGCGTCGGCGGCGACGATGTGGTGTAGTATGGTATGGTATGGTATGGTGTTGATGTTCGGATATGGTGAAGGATAGAGGAGGGTTGTGTGTGGGTGACGAGCGGTAAGAGGGAGAGGAGCGGGAGGAGAGAGAAGTGGTAGGTAGAATAATTCCTAGTTCCAAGTTCTGAAGCGGGAGGGGGTTAGCGTAGGTACATTGCAGAAAGTGGACCCCTTGGGCAGACAGGCAGGGCATGCAGGCATGGCATGGGCGTGGCATTTGGGGAAGGGTGGGGATGGTGGGGAAGATTATGGCCCAAAGTGACCCGCTTTCTCACCCACCCGGCCAGGCTTCCTGGTCGATCAAACACATCAAACACGAACCACCACTCCAGCCTTTTCCGCCGTCGATCAAACAGGAGGAGAAGGAGGAGGGAGGATTCAGGAGAGGGCAGAAGAGAGAAGAAATTGCTATTTTAAACGTACCTGAGCCGGACACCGTCAGAGCGTTCGACAAACTGCTTGATCCTTTGGCTCGGTGTATTCCGAAAGGTCCTGGGTTGCCGGCCTTCTGCGACAAGCAAGCGATCCCAGCGTCCTGGGCGAGATGGACGAGATGGACGAACAACGGTGATGCTGTCACGGGATAAGATAAGATGAGATCAGATCAGATCAGATCAGATCAGATCAGATCAGATCAGATGGGATGCGGTGCGGTGCGGTGCGGTCCGGTACGGTACGGAAGGGGGATCGTAGCGGGATCGATGCTTGTTTTGTAAGTGTAGTTAGCGGATGTTGTCGAGCGAAATTCTGCGAGGAAGAGCGACTTTGTTTGTAGATGGATGTTGATAAATGTTGATGTGTTGATGTGGTGATGTGCTGCTTTGCTACCACTCGGTTGCTGGGGGCGACCTGTTTGTCGGTCTGTTGATTCCCGTCGTTGTCACGGTTTCTGCTTGACACAGCAACAACACAACACACCCTAGTGATGCCGTGCGGGCAGGCTGATTGATGCACGGCCTCTCTCTTGATCGCCCGCAATGCGAGCAACTGGATCGGACGATGGTAATGGCAATGGCTGGTTGAGTCAGTCACGTGGAGTACAGAACAATCCCCTCATCGGTTGAGTAGCTTTCTCCTAGAGACCATGTGATGATATGCTCGGTAGTGGCGATGCTTCATTATGCGATGATCCCGGGACTGCAAGAGAGGATTTGCTGGCTGCACAGGCACTCGATCAATCGTAGTTGTGGCCGCTTGAGGTGTGGGGTAGGGTGGAGTGGAGTGGAGTAGATTGGATTGGAGTGGATGGAGATATAGATAATAATAAGGTATGTGTGGTATGTACCTATGTGTATGTGTACATTTGGTATTTTAGCATGCAACTGGAATCATGTGGTGAGCCGGTCGGTTCAAGGCTGCTGTGATTTATAGGTACTCAATTGCAAGGTTTTCGGCAACGGGAACGCCTGTGTTGTCACGAAGAGTCATCTTCTGAGATTGCCCGCTTTTCGGCGGCAAACAACAAGAAATCAGAGCCTCTCGAGCTGTCGAGAGAAAATCCCGCCAACCAGTTTCTGTCACCGCTCCTCGTGGCTAGTTGGGCACCGAATCATTCACACGAATGCGCCCAACTACGACGCCATCCCGATAATTCGCTAGCCCAACTTTCCAGAACCGCTCTAAGCGGTGCCACGTCTACGGATGGACCCGCCCGGAGGCTGATGCAAAAATATGATGCAGAAATACGAAATTGGGTGTCGCTGATCAGCATTCTGGCGGTTCAGATCCGCCATGCCCTAGATCCGGCCACGATAACTCAGAAAGCGGGATAGAAACGAGTGTTCCTTGCATCTCAACCGGATCTTGGACAGACAGTCCCTAATAGCATCGGCACATTAATGCCGGTGCACCACCGTGGAGACCACGTAGAAAGCCCCCAGGGCAATGACTGATTGTGACTGTCGGCCCTGAATCTTCGTGGGCAATTCAGCGAGTAATTTTGGTCGTTTCCGAGTCCAGTAATGCTTTGGCGGCGATCAATTCAGCCTCGTCAAAGCCACCCCACCCTGCTTCGCCTGCCACGCTCCTGCGAACAATCTCTGAAAGTTTGGCCGTGGCGATCTCACTCAAGCGCTCAACCGTCTTGAGGTCTGGTGGTGGAAGTCCAGAATCTGCTTTGGCTTGCCGTGATAGTTGGGATTGGTTGGCCAGAAGTCGAGTGGTCGTCTATGAGTTGTCAAAAGGTACTCGGCCTCGATTTTTCAGAACACACTTACCAATTTCAGCCCATAATACCCCCGAAGATAATCATCGCACAGCTCAATGCTCCTGCAGAATCGTCGGAAAGCCTCGGCAAGGTATTTGTCTGATCCGGTCTCCCCAGCTACAGCCGCCATGTATTGGATCTCGCCAAGTCGTGCGTGGATCTAGATTGTGGGTTAGGCTGTGTCCGATGATGTGAGTTATGGGACGGTACTGACGTTCCATGCGTATGGGGTGACCAACAGGACCTCCTCCAATGCAAATATAGCTTGTTGATACAGCCCCTGCGCTACATATAGATCCGCTAGCTCAGCCCAGGCTTCCGCATCTGTAGGAGACGAATCCAAAAATTGATTCAAGGCGGTAATCGCCTCGGGAATTTTCTCAAGGGACTTCAGGAGCGCGATTCTGCGTTTGGAGATAGGCTGGAAGTATCATTAGCATAGTAAGATGGAAAGAGAATGCGCTGGCGTACCATGTTTTCGGGATTTTGGGCCAGGATGTTATCGTACTCCTTCAAGACTTTCCGGAGTTCAACGTCATCGGTTGCTCGAGCTTCCTGAAATATGCCTCTCAAGGCCATCAATCTCTCATTGTCCGCCCCGAATCGCTGGGTCAGTCTCTGGAGGCACAGATGCGCACTCTCCTCGTCTCCAGTGCGCAGGCAGGACAGCATGAGGTTCTCATAGGTTGTCCATAGCTCAGGAGTCTCGGCGGCGGACCATAGAGAGCTGATTGAGTAGGACGAGATTGATGACGGAGTGCTTCTTAGCAAGGTCGGGGCTTGCTGTGACAGCTGAAGGGCGACCGACGGCGGCAGATGCGCAGGAGGGTGTAGCAGAGAGGAAGACATGGTGCAATTATGGATGTACCGATTTTCCGGGTCGATGGAAGTTGTTGCAATTTCTAGATGTGGCAGACTGATGGCCATGGACTGCTTCTCTATTCTACTTCGAAGCTCACCCGTCGGAGCCGCTTTAAGCAAATATCTCGCCGCTTTAATTTAGAAGTGCTGCCATTTTGGTGGGGGGGCTAACTTCCACGACAGCTCATGAGCACCACTACGCTGTTTCTAATCGCCCATGACATCTTATCTGCGCCTAGAAATGCTTCGGAAGGTTCCTGGATTGTGTATCGTGCCATGAGCGCATTGAGAGAAACACCGCGCCGGTCCTTCCACCATTAGAAATCCGGTATCGAAACGAAAGTCTCAAGATGTACGCACGACTCAACCCAGGACCAGATCATGCCCAAGTCTTTCGTCACTAATGCATTGGCAGGTTCGAAAAATCTCTCTACGACCTCATACGAGGCCTGCGGAATCACAAAGGGAACGAAAAGGAATACATCCAGAACAGTCTCAAAGAATGTCGCGCCGAAATTCGAGGGCAGGATATGGGTCCGTAATTGTCACTACCTGGAGGTCTCGATATTGATGGGAATCATACAGACTTGAAGGCAACGGCTCTCCTAAAGCTGGTTTACCTGGAAATGTTCGGCCACGATATGTCCTGGGCCTCCTTTCACGTCCTAGAAGTTATGTCTTCCGCCAAATACCTCCAGAAACGGGTTGGATACCTCGGTGCGGTCCAGAGCTTTCGACCAGATACGGAGGTCTTGATGCTTGCCACAAATTTGTTGAAGAAGGTGGGATTTAGCAGATCACGACTATGTAGAGGAGCTCTAAATTTGTCTAGGATTTGACGTCTACGGCCGTTGTGACAATGTCTCTCCCAATCATTACGCTACCTCACATAATCACTCCTTCTCTGGCTCTGTCGGTCCTCTCGGATCTGCTACCACGCCTTACACATTCTCACCCTACGGTTCGGAAGAAGACTATTGTGACATTGTACAGACTGGCCCTTGTCTATCCCGAAACTCTGAGGCCGGCCTGGCCAAAGATCAAGGAGCGATTGATGGATGAAGGCGAAGACCCTAGTGTCACAGCTGCCATCGTCAATGTAGTGTGTGAGCTGGGCTGGCGGAGGCCCCAAGATTTTCTACCACTTGCCCCTAGGCTATTCGAGCTCCTGGTCGACAGTGGTAACAACTGGATGGCCATCAAGTTAATTAAACTCGTAAGTAATGGTAGAATTAATGTTACATAGAAAGACCTAACTCGGGTAGTTTGCGATCCTGACTCCTCTGGAACCCAGACTGGTCAAGAAGTTACTACCTCCCCTTACCACCCTAATTCGCACCACCCCTGCCATGTCTCTGCTTTACGAGTGCATCAATGGCATAATTCAAGGTGGCATATTAGAGAGCAGCGACGATTCTGCTGGCGGCGATGAAATCGCCACTCTCTGCGTAAGCAAACTGCGAGGAATGATCCAGATCGAAGATGACGCAAACCGTAAGTGGATTTCATGGCCTGGTTTAACCGATGTTGACAAGCTTCAGTGAAATACGTTGCGCTGCTGGCATTCAATAGAATCGTCATTACTCACCCATTCTTGGTTGCCCAACAAGAAGATGTTATCATGGAATGCATTGATAGTGCCGACATTTCGATTCGATTGAGAGCTTTGGACTTGGTGGTTGGCATGGTCAACAGTGACAACTTGATGTCCATTGTTGGTCGCCTTATGAGACAATTAAAGAATTCTCGCTCGCCAACAGCCGACGAACTACATCCTCGTGCTGTCCCAATAGAGCCCGCGGCAGACTCTGACGACGAGTCGCCAGAAGCTGCCGCCGAGAACAAGAACGGAGTTCCAGATGCGCCTCTTCTCCCCGATGATTATAAGATCGATGTCATCACGAGGATACTGGAAATGTGCTCGAGCAAAAACTATGGAAATCTTGTGGATTTCGACTGGTATATTGACATCTTGATCCAATTAGTCCGGAGTGCGCCAGTTCCTAGTTCGAACTTGTCCGATGACGATATTGATTTCGGGGGAAAGTTCACCGCCGATGTTTCAGAGCGAATCGGCGATGAGCTGCGAACAGTTGCAGTGAAAGTGAAGGCTATCCGAATGCAAGCCACAAGAGCAGCAGAGTCCATTATAATCTCAACCTTCAACGACCCCTCGTCCTCCCTGAGTTCAGGAAGCGGTGTTCTCAGGCCTATAACATGGGTCTGTGGAGAATATGCATCATTATTGGCATCTCCCGACGATACTTTAACAGCACTCTTGCAACTAACCAAAGGATCCACAGCAGCTGAAGGTCTTGTCATTTACCTGCAAGCCTTGCCAAAGATATTTTCGTTGATCTCGGGAGACGATCAGACACCTTGGACGCCGGAACGGAAGACGATGGTTTCCCTATTGATGGCGCGCATAATTCATGCCCTGGAACCTCTCGCCATGCATCCCGATCTGGAGGTGCAAGAAAGAGCTGTGGAGTTCTCAGAGCTCCTCAAACTGGCGGCTGAGGCATCCTCTGGGCAGGTAGCCTCTTCAGAATACGAGCCACAAGATGCGCCACTCCTCCTTACGCAGGCGATCCCCTCTTTGTTTACAGGAGTCGAATTGAATTCGGTGGCTGTTGGAGCGCAAAAGAATGTTCCGATACCATCCGCGTTAGATTTGGATCAACCGATCAATCCAAATCTTAGCAATTTGTTAAGAGCCGTAGAGTCAGCAGTATTCGATGAATCAAGCAGCGACGAATTCGAAGTGTACTATCATCAGGCACCGCCACAAACGCAGGCATCGAAGCAAGAAAACGAGCCTGCAATTTCTCGACTTACTGGAATCGACGAGCCCGTGCACTCATATCAACAAGGCGGCGAAGAAAGCTACCTCGATCCCGATATCGTCGCACGTCGGCGAGCAGAGCGACTGGAGAGGAACAAGGATGATCCATTCTACATCCCTCCGAGTGATGACAAGTCCGGAAGATCTACTCCCCTCCATAACATTCTCCGAGGCCACAGTGGCCCTGATCTAGACATAGACGCTATACCCATCATGCAGCTGGATCTTGGGAAACCTAATATCGGTTCGGGACAACGATCGCCAGTGAAATCAGTGGCACCTAAGCCTCGTCAGCGAATACAAGTTGCAGCCGACGAGACACTGACTACAAGCGGTACCTCACCCCCTCGGAACGACGAATCGGAGAACAGTCTGGAGGGCCCTCAGAGGCCGAAAGCTAAAGGGAAACAATCACTCCTTCAAGTCGACTCTAGCCACATCGGCTCCTTTTCTCTAGAAGGCGATGACTCCGGCCCAGTAGATTACGAGCGCCAACAGAAAGAAGAGGCCGAGATGTTAAAAGCCATGCAAGAAGTTGAGAAGCTGCGGTTGGAGATGCAGAGAGCCAATGAACGGATCCAGGCAGCGTCAGGCGTAGAAGGCACGGTGGTCAAGAAGAAGAAGAAGAAGAAGGTGAAGGCTCCTGAAGCGGCCTTGGAGGGAGAAGCCTCTATTACTGTGGTAAAAAAGAAGAACAAGGTCAAGAAGGCTGAACCTGATGATGACGGCAATGGAGGAGGGGCTGCGACCACCGATGTCGCCAAGCCCAAGAAGAAAAAGAAGAAGGCGAAAATCGAAGATGACCTTAGTGGGCAGAACGATACGGGGGAACTGCTAGCATAGCGATTCGGCATAGTTGGCGCAAGGAGCATGCTTCATTTCCACGGTAGTCTCCATTTTGGAATGGAGACATTGAGTTAGGAAGTAGACATAAACCGTAGATAGCGGCAATGACAAGTCTTGAGATACCCAGCACCCTCATCTCCATACCACCACAATGCCCCTTTCTTGATTCAAAGGGAGGGCAGCAGACTTCACACATCGGCTAGGCTCTATATCTGTTTGAGTTGCAATAAAGAAACCCAAGAGCCCTGCGCCGAGCGAGCGGAGGTGTATTCCTTTATGTCTTACTTTTCTCACTTCTCTCGCCATCCCTTCCCATATCTTAGACCCTTTTATATTCTCAAAGCCATATCAACAGTCTGAAAATCACCCGATCCGCGAAACCTCGTCCGGTCTGTAATTTTGCAAGATTATATTTCCCGCAACGACAACAATAACCCGAGTACAGCGATGCCCACCCATTATTTCACACCCACGATCAGCATTCATCGCTTAATCCGAAGTATCGTCACTATTACTCTCCTCCGAGCTCTTCTGGATCGCAACATGTTTCTTCACCGCCTCTGTAGTAGTAGCCTCCATGTGTCTCTTCTTCCTAACCCTCTGCTCTTTCCTTTCCCTCTTCTCCTTCTCCTCCTCATTTCTCGTTTGTCGCCTTCGCCTTCCTCTCGTTAGAGTCCTCATAGGTATCCTCAGCAATCTCACTACTTTCATCAGAGTACACAAGCTCGTCCGCCTGCTCCTCCTCACCCCGAAGTTCTCCACCCTCCTTTCGATTCTCGTGTTCCGGGCTGGGTGCTTGTTTAGCGATTTTGCTGGTGGCATTGATCTTGATACTGAGCCCAGTGTGCCTTCCACCGCGAGGAGTAAATTTCGCTTATTTGGCGATTTCCATCTTCTGCTTTTGCATCAAATCGCACAATACTCCTTCGCGTATCATCGACATAGGAGCTACTCTCAAAATAGTAGATCTCTACTTTCTTTATCCAAAAATTGAAGATGGCTATTGACGTTTTATTTCTTTAGCGCGCTGGTCGGCTTTAAGCGAACCGCCACCAAAGTTCAAGCCCAGCTGGAGCCCATAAGCTGATTACACCACTATATATTATCGTTGTGCAGAAATACACAAATATTTCTTAAGTGGAGGGAGGTAACGGAACTGTTCATGCGTGTTATTGGGTGTTTGGCCACATCAGGCCACAGAATTGTAACGTTACAAATGGATGCTACCATGAATATGAACCACGCTTCACTATGGAATCTGGATGCTGCAGATGTCAGCAATCTCATGTGAGATGTCTTATATAAGTATCACCCGACCTCCTACTTCTTGATCGCACATTTCTTTTTCATTCGAGTTCCGAGTTGAAGTCAGATTAAATTGCGAATTCAACTGATCGTTTCTTGACTGTTCCTCGTATCACTCGCTTATCGCTATTTCATCCTACTCGCTTAAGTTCTAACCTCTTTCTATCTTCTCTCTCACTCTACATATATATACTATACCCCCCTTTTCATCCGTCCAGATTGCCGATCCCGGCAGCGATGTCCTCATCCTCCCGCTTGGACTATAAGACAATGGACTCCCGTACTAGCGAAGAAAACGGTAGCGGCCCGCCAGCCCCCTCTATAAGAAATTCCTCCCCACCGCAACCGGAAACGCAACCGTCGTCCATCATCCCGCCCGTCACGGTGCTCTCCCCAGAAGCTCTCGCCCAAGTTCGCCACGCAATTGGCGCTCCGCCCTACCGCTTCGAGCAACCGTCCACCAACTCCCGCACCAGAATCCACAAGCGGGTGCCCAATGGTCTATATAAAACCGTACTCCAGAAGCGTCGCCAAGCGGAACTCTCTTACTATTTCACTTCGGCATTTTGTAAGTCATCTCTATCCCAAGCACCTATCTCCCCGTCTCTCTTCCGAGAAATACAGATTGGCATTCACCCAAGCATTACGTCTGTAACTCAAGTTTCAATTCGACTAACATCGCCCCCCAGACAACACCTGCCTAGTCCTTCAAATCCTCCTCGGCGCATTGCTCACGGCTCTCGGCTCCTCGTCCAACCTAAATGGTACAGCCATCACTGTGAGACAGAAATTAATCTTCATCTTCCCCTTCCATCCTCTCTAAACCGAAGACTAAAATGATTTCCTAAGAAACGGAAGGAAAAAACCCCTCACTCCAAAACACTGACTTCGTCCTCCAGATCCTCGCCGCCGCCAACACGGTGAACGCCGGCCTCCTCGCTCTCCTACACAACTCCGGTATCCCAGGCCGCACCCGCAACGATTGGAACGAGTACGACAAAGTCGAGTAAGGAAAATCCCGCGAGCAGCCAGCCACCTCTCCCTCTCCCTCCTCTCTCTCATCTCTCCCTCCAGCATTCATTCATTCTTCTCCCGAAGCACCCCCCCCCCCCCCCTTTTTTCCTAAAACGAGAAGGAAACCTCTCAAAAAGACCTCACCAGAGACCCAAAACAAAAAAGAACGTCTGCTAAGATCCCGACCGTCGTCCAGGATGTTCCTCCTCGGGCTCATGGACTCGGGCATCGTGCAGCAGGGCATGACCACCGCGGACGTGATCCAGACCTGCTTCAACAAGTACTCCAACGCCCGGGCCACGGTCGAGAGGAACCAGCCGAGCTACTACGCCAGCACGTCGAGCCCGAGCGCGACCGGTCCTGGGGCGGCGAGTACGGGTGCGGGTGCGGGGGAATCGGCAGCACTGCTCCCAGCGCAGCTGCAGCGTTGAAAGCTTGAGGGATGTGCTGGTGCTTATGCTTGTGCTGGCAAGGTTAAAACAAGCAAGCAAGTAAGCAAGCGGCCTAAAGCATATCATCGAACATTAATTTCTTGTACTTCGTATCATAGGTAAATAATGTACAATTCTAGTTTATGCATACTAGATACTTGGCAATGCTGCTTTTATTACTTTCCTTAATATTTTGCATAGCCTCCTCTTGCTGTAATTACTGCTTGATATCTCTTTGGCATTTCCCGCATTCGTTTCTCTCATCTTTTTAATACTTATCGATTCTTACGCTTCAATTATAGCTTTACGTGGTCTCCTATATAAAGAATGAACTTCTAAGTATTTGCTTTCGATATAATCTTTCATTTTATCTTAAATAGTCTTGATTCAGTTTAGATCAAAGGAATTCGCAAGCTAAAAGATCGGTTCAATTTTAACTGCTTTAAATATTAATTGTATGTATTTAAAAGCGTATCCTTTCGCATTATCTTATCGAAATTGAAGCTCGAGATATTGCAATGAGATAATGATTCTAGAATACGATCCTTTATTGATCGTCTCTTGATCCTTTTCTTAAGCTAATCTTTTATGCCGGCAGCCGGCCGTATTGACTTGATATCGTACTTTAAGATATCCACTCGGTGTTCTTTTAATATCGATCTTCAATATAATCAAGATGATACTCTTCTTAATGCTTAATCTTTCGCATAACCTATTCCTGTATATATCTCTTTAATTTAACTAATGTTTCGTTACTTTGTAAGGCTACTTTGTAAGATCGAAAACCATTGCTCTTCAATCTAATCTTCGTGCTCGATAGCTTCTTGAAGTCGAGAGATCTATTTTGCGTATGTAAAAACTGGTTCTCGACGTGCAATTCGTCGAGGAAAGCTTTCCTTCTTAAATGCCGTGCGAATTGCGTAGAGACCGACGTCTGATTAGAAAATCGAAAGAATCTTAGCCTAATCATCGGCTCGCTTAGGTGGGCCTCCTTATATCCTTTCAGTCTTAGTCGGCGTAAGCGATTGCGGATTGGAAGCGAATGCGGATTTTTTATTTTACTGCTAGTTCTTGTATACAAAACACAACTTACAATATTACCTTTTAATCTACAATCGCATAACTCAATTGTATTATCGAAAGCCTGTTCATATACCGATGGTTTGATATTTTAAATCGATGAAAAGCTTGCTGCTGAGCAGCAAGCTAAAAAAAATATCTTAAATCTGCTGCAAAATAATAACGAATCGTCGACAAGATTTAAAGAAAGGAAAGCGATGCTAAATATCGTAAAGGAGTCGATTTACGCAAAGCTAAGCGCGAGCGTAAAAAGATTATACGAAACGCTGCAAGCTTAATTATTAAAGACGACGATATAATACTCATTCTAATTCTCGATTCGGAAGAGATTTGGTAATTGCAATAACCTTTTGAGCGTCAAATTTTGCGGCCTCGTAAAAAAGGTATTCCTCGACCACCACTTTCTTAACCTAAACCTTTTTTCGATAACGATCATTCAATAATTCTAATCGATATTATCAAAGACGCTATATTTTTCCTTTTCTTAATATTAATATCGATAGCGATAGCTTCAACTCTAATAATGATAGAGATTTAAACGATTCGTTGCGTAAGGTAAAAGACGAGTCCGATTCTGATAAAAATAGTAATTGATGGTCAGATGTTTTCATCGGATAATACGATTTTAGATGTTTCGAAAGAAAGTACACTTATAAAATTTAATTATTCATGTAAATATTTCTCGGTTGTAATAGTAATTGCTATAGTATAAAAGAATTTCCAATATACTCGAAAAATCCGCATTCGCTTCCGATCCGCAATCGCTTACGCCGACTAAGACTGAAAGGATGTACCTAGTAGTACTCCGTACTATAGGTAGGTAGTCAATAATGTACAATTCTAATCTGTGCACACTAGATAGTAGTACTTGGCAATGCTGCTTGGATTGTTATCGTCATATCATTGGTAGCACCCCCTGCACAAGAGCCCTGTCAACGGAAACCTCTACTGTACGTAGAACTGCGCTCAGACAGCGAGCGTCTGTACATTATTTCAGGCATGTACCAAGTAAGGAGGCCCACTTACGCGAGCCGACGATGAAAAAGTACGACGATGACTTCTCGACGCTCTTACCGGTACTACTTATCAAACAAGGCGTTTTCGTCAAAGGGTATTCAAGTAAGCTTTACAGCCTCGAAAGCAGTATTCCAAAGTCAATCGAATCTACTAGTATAAAGCGTATTACTACGTAATTATACGTGACGTCGAATAAGGTTCAATTCGAAAGGCAAATCTCGTTTTAAGCTTAGCCGGCCTCGAAACACAAAGTCTGATATCGTAATCGCTTATCTCGAGAAGTCTGTTTTATTAGGCTTTTAAGCGTAATTACACCACCGAAGGAAAGCTTTATGATAAAAGTGCTGATTTTCAATACAGAAAGCGGCGGATTACTGTCGTTATATCATTAGTGGTACCCCTTGCACTAAAGCCCTGTCCACGGAAACCTTTAGAACTGCGCTCAGATAGCGTTTATAGATTATTTCGGGCTTATACCAAGTATTATTCTTATCGTGGTTGCGACGCATCGCCTCTCTTTCTTTCAAGTACATATATATATATATATTCGCATAGCCTAAGGAAAAGAAAGAAACAAGAAGAAAGGAAAAGGGAGAGAGAGAAGTCTTGTAGAAACAGAAGCAGACGGATCGGTCAATGTGTTTGTCATATCGTGTCACGGCTTATTAGAGTTTCCCCTGGTTGCTCACTCCCCTGCTCTCGCTTTCGTTACCATTTTTGTTTTGTTTACCTCACTTCGTTTCCCTTCCTTCCCTTTTCAGAAAAGATATTTTGTTTATGTTCTATTTTTTATTGCAGATTGTAGGTTGCATATTACAGATATTGCGGATATTGGGAGAAGAAAAAGAGGTCTAGGAAAAAAAACCAAAAAAAAAAAAAAAACCATAATTATACAGTCTTTAACTTTTAAGCTGCAAGGATTGGGAATTGAAGCGAACGTGCCCTCCTGGCGCTGAAAGAAAGACAAGATAAAGCCTGACCTACCTACCTATCCATCTCTATATCCATCTCTCCATCTATACATATATATATATGTAAATCCACCTACAGCCTCGTCCTCTCGCGTTCCCACTACGCAACACGTCCCTTCACCTGCCTCAGCTCGTGGACTCTGAAATCCTTCCACACCGCAATAAACACAAAACACGGCACCAGCATCGCCGTCGCCGCGATGGTCTGGTACCACATACTCTCGCCATAGGCGTAGATGACGGCCTCACGCTCGGGACTGCCCATCGGGTAGCTCAGCTGCACAACCAGGCTGCCATACAGCTCTGCATTCAAGGTTGCGTTGCCCGGCAGCGCGCGGTCGAGCGCGGCCGGAAACTTGTTCGTGTAGATGGACGTGGCAATCGCGGAGCCGATGCCCCCACCGACGGAGTAGAAGAGGGCGATGAGCGCGAGCACCGAGGCGACGCCCTCGTGAGGCGAAGCGGCCATGACGGCCATATCTTCGCATATGACGAGACCCCCGCCACCAAAGGCGATGAAGATCTGCGTCATGACCACGAAGCCGATGTTGTACCGGGGTCGGCGGAGCAGGATCATGAGACCGACGCCGAGGATTTCCAGGCAGAGGTGGGCTATGGCGAGCCATTTGAAGCGCCCGAAGTAGCGGATCATGCCTGCGAGAACGATGCCCCAGAAGCAGGAGCCGATGCTGTAGATGTTGGTGACGTAGCCGGTGTTGGTGACCGAGAGCCCGTGGACCACCTGCAGGTAGTTGTAGAAGGCGTTGTCCCAGAGGTAGAAGGAGATGAAGAGAAAGGCGGCGAGCAGACAGGCGCCGAGTACGGAGCGGTCGACGAGCAGGTGAAAGGGGATGAAGGGTTTGGGGCAGAGGACTTTTTCATACACGGCGAAAGCGACGAGGGACACGCCGCCGACGACGAGCATGGCGATGATCATGCCGTCTTGGTAGCCTTTGGCTTGGTATTTGGATATGGAGATTGGGAGGAGGATTAGAACGAAGCCAGCGATGATCAGGAGGAGCCCGATGACATCGAACTCCCAGAAGTAGTAAGGAACGGCTTGGGCCAAGCTCCTTCCACTGCGCTCCTTCTTGTAGAGGCCCAGTCTGGCAGCCTTGCGCTGGTTCTTCCACAGAAGGGATAGGATGGGAATCGTGATGACCGGGGTGATGATCGTGTAAACGCCATAGCCCCATCGCCAACCGCTGGTCTCCAAGAATGACTGCGCAGCTCTTGGTCCGATGAAGGTGGTGACGATGTACGGCGATGTGGAGAATGCAAAGACCAGGGCTCGATTCTTCAAACTCGAGGTGTCGGCCAAGAACACATCGAGGACAAATGCCATGCCGTTGAAGCCGACCCAGTAGAAGACCTGGGCTGCGGCGTATGTCTCCACGTTCGTGCACGCTGCCATCATTATGAGACCTGTGCCTGTCAGCTTCTCTCCTCACGAAGGGGCGTGGAGTCTGAGTCTAAGTCGGAGTCGAAGTCGGAGCCCTACCAATAGTCGTAATGGCCGTCATGAGCAAGAACCCCTCGGCGCGGCCAACGATGTTGATGAACTTTGCCGTGGGCAGTCTGAGAACACCACCGACAATGCTGGAGACGATCCCGGTAGTTGCAGTCAGGGGGAGGGCGGCAAAGGATGAGGTAACATAGTAACTCAAGTTGAATTGCGTCTGTTGCTGCATGGAGACAACAAAGAAGACCAAGAAGACGCTGGATCGATGGATCCATAGATATTATATCAGCCAAAGTCGCGTAACCCCAATGGATTGAGGACGATCAGGTATAGAGATACAGACAGTACTTACCAGGCGTAGGCGGCGATGAGCTCTTTCTTGGTCCATGTGAGGGTCACTGCCTCGATCTTCTTCACACCGGCTTCCACCTCTGGACTCGGTACCCTCGACAGGTTGTTGCTCTCATCGTCGCTCTGAACAAGGCCTTTCTCTCCGCCGCCTACCTCGGTCCCCGGAAGCTGCTTCTCGCCCGCAAGCTCTATACCCGTCGGAGGTTGCCGTGAATGGGCAGTCCCAGTCCCAACGGCAATCTCTTCCGCAAGCTGCTCGTTACGTTTTCCGAAGTCGAAGAGCCTCATCGTGGCGGTTGGGCGGTGATCGGTGATGGTCTCAGCTGTGAAGTGGGGAAGAGAAGGGAAGGGGAGGGGAGGGATGAAAAGGGAAGAAAGGGGAAGGAAAGGCCTCTGCTTTTGTAGTTGGATACATTAGTAGAAAAATATCGTTAGTGAGATTAGTCACCTGAGTAATATTAGTAACATGACCGAATCTTGATCAGCGTTGGGAGGGGAGGGGAGGTGGTGGATGTGGTGGAGGTGGTGGATGTAATGGATACTTGCTACTCTGGAATTACCTTCAGGCATGTAGCTAGCTGCATAGGGAGGTAAGGTAGGTAGGTATATTACGTCGCCGGCCTGTATGAACGGGCTGTAGGCGGGCTTTAGCATCTCGACACGGACGAGAACAAAGGGACTTGATATGACTGGATGAACACGACGGGACGGGGGGGAGTGCGGGTAGCATCTGATAAGAGTGGGCATCTGATAAGATGTTGGATCTAGTCCCAGCGGATCAGATTAGATTTATAATAGACGGGTTGAATACGCAAGTTCGTTGAGCGTTCAACTGGTTTGGCCCCTCTGGCTTCAAGACTAGACTCGTGCATGACTCGTATGCACGGGAAGATAAGCAATGATGTGCGAGCCTCAAGCAAAACCTAAAGACCTTGGCGCGGCTTGGGGAAAACTCAACTCATGAGTGGACCTGACCAGGGCAGACGTAGCGGTTGCCGCGGAGTTCTCGGATCAGATAACAGGTTTCTGAATCGGACCAAAGCCCAGTTGAAGCCAGTCAAACGCCAGACTCCACTTTACTGGTAGCGTGCATTCCGTAGAAGAAGAAGAAGAAGAAGAAGAAGTAGAAGAAGAAGAAGAAGAAGAGGAGGAAGAAGGAAAAAGAAAGGAAGACAAAAAGAAAGAAGGAAAAAAAAAAAAAAAAAAAAAAAAAAACCTAGTCCATAGTGCAAACCCCATCTTCGACCCTGTAAGATAGGGTAGATAAACAAACAGAATGGACCTGGACCTCGGTACTTAGCCTTGGGTACTACAAGCAAGTCATCGGGACCTCGGCTTCTGCTGCCGCAACCTCGAATGTTCAAGTTCGTAAGCCCTGACGAGCTTTACTGCCCCGGCGTCAGATACCACGCTCCATTCCGACTTCCCTTCTTCTAACAGTCCATCCATCTCCCCTCGGATAGAAACCCACCGTGAAACATCCTCTCCGATCCACGGGAACCGCAGCAATGGCAGCCCCCTCTGGCCCCATCATCACTCCCCTCACCACCCTCCTCAACATCAGACACCCCATCCTCCTCGCCGGCATGGCACGTACCTCCGGCGGGCCCCTCGCAGCAGCCGTCTCCAACGCCGGAGGGCTAGGCTGCATCGGCGGCCTCGGCTACACGCCGCAACAGCTCCGCGAGATCATCCACGACCTCAAGTCTAACCTCTCGTCGCCCTCCCTCTCCTTCGGCGTCGACCTGGCCCTCCCCAAGGTGGGCGAGGGCGCGAGGAAGACGAATCACGATTACACCAAAGGCCAGCTCGATGAGCTGATCACGGTGACGATCGAGGAGGGCGCGAAGCTGTTCATATCAGCCGTGGGTGTCCCGCCGCCGCATGTGGTGAAGCGGCTACACGAGGCCGGAATCCTCATCATGAACATGGTGGGTGCGCCAAAGCACGCGACGAAGGCGCTGGATGCCGGTGTGGATATCGTGTGTGCGCAGGGTGGCGAGGGAGGGGGCCACACGGGAGACATCCCGACCTCTGTTCTGATCCCGGCGGTGGTGGATGTTGCGCGGAAGTACAGGCCAGAGCTGCTAGGAGGGCAGTCGGCCATCGTTGTCGCTGCGGGGGGGATTTACAATGGGAGGAGCCTGGCGGCGAGTTTGATGCAGGGCGCGGCGGGCGTCTGGGTGGGAACTCGATTTGTGGCGAGCACGGAGGCCGGCTGCAGCCAGGCGCATAAGAATGAGGTCGTGAGTGCGCGCTTCGAGGATACCATTCGCACCCTGGTGGTCAGTGGGCGGCCGTTGCGGGCGAAGAGGAATGAATGGACCGATAAGTGGGAGAAGGATCCAGCGAGGATCAAGGAGCTGACGGAGAGTGGAGTGGTGCCCCTGGAGTATGACATGGAGAATGACATTGACGTTGATATTCCGCATTTGATGGGCGTGGTCGCCGGTGTGATTACAAGTATTCAGCCTGCCGGCCAGATTGTGGATGAGATGGTATCCGAGGCGGTGGATATGCTGAAAAAAGGACAGACGTTCTTGGGCGGGCAGAGTAAGCTGTAGATGGTAGCCTTTGTAACTCGAACAATAGTACAATTGCATAGTCTTTGGAACTTCTTGTCATACGATTTCATTATGATTATGCCCAAACGCCCTCTTCACAGCAGCGAGCGCTTCGCATGCATGCGTGTACAACGCCAATCATCTGACGTCCCTAGTAGCCAAGTGCTCTTCAAATATACATAAACCCGCCACGGATCTAGCTGAAATGTGGTAGTCTCGCAGGCACGAAGTCTTCGCTAGCTCGGGTGGTGGAAGCTGTTTCGGACACACTTGTCTGGGCCACGCCATCCGAGCTCGGATAAGATGTCTCGACGAAATCCAGCGTAGAGATGTTTTCGACCTGGGTAGGCTCTACCTTTGCCTCTGATATCGATTCCGTTCGCTCTTCAGAATGATGAAGTCCACGCTCAACAGCCAGCCTCACAGCAGCTTGTCGTTTCATTTCTACTTCCATCTCCTCTTCGTGCCGTACCCTTTCCTCTTCCCTTTGCAAAGCTGATAGCGACGGCGTCTGAACCATCCCTGGGCTTTGTAGATCCGGAGTCTCGGGCAGAGAATTCGAGCTAGCCCGAAGTGTAGACGGCCTCGATTGTGACGACTGGGTAGTTCTGGACATCGTCCTGGATATAGTCCTCGAGCCGGCAGGTCTCTTGTCTCTACTGGCTTTGGTCTTCCCACTGCTCCTGTCATCCGTAATCGTCATCCGTCTCTCTAAAACCATAGCAAATTCATCGCTCAGCGGCACTGCATCGTCTTCTCCGTCACTAGGATAGAGATCACCTCGCGATCGCATAGAATTCGTCGTCTCGCCTGAGCTCGCGGTACCGCTACGACTTCTAGTATGGCCCTTCCGCCGCATTCTTTCATCATCACTATTATCCTCCGAGATAAGCGGCTCTCCTTCCTCATCCCTAAATCCAAACCGTGGCGCCCCTGGATGATCCTGGAGATCTGCTGCACTGGGCTTATATCTCAGTGTTCCCCCGAGCCTGAAAGGTAAACGTCCCAAGAAGCCCAGAGCACTCGTACTCGGTATGACAGTCGGGTCGGGCTCGAGACTCTTCCGTCTGCCTCCTCTAGTACCATAACTCATCCCTCGTTTTCTCCGCGGCGCTTGGTCGGCTCCACCACTTGGCCCGCTATGCGATCCGCTGCCAGCCAGCAACCTACCCAGTTCATCGTTCCCCCACCCTCCTAGTAACCCTCCACTTAAACCGTCATCATCCTGATCCCAATCATCGTAAAAGTCGAAGCTCAACTCCGCCCTACCCCGCGAGCGCCCTCTCTCTCGAATGCGCCGCGCGCGTTCCTCCCGGTCGGGTAGACAGTAACTCGTGCACAGCTCAATGCTATTCGCGATAGATGAGAAGCACGGGTTCAGGTAATTGTGCTGGAAGGTCCAGATTCCCGCGGCGGCCGTCTCGGTAGCCGATTCAGCGTTCTGGGACAATTGGTTCCAGGTCTGTCGGTATCGGGGGTCTTGGAGAGGAGCCATTGCGAATCGAACAATAGTCGCAATAGAACTTCATACACAATAGGAAGATCAAGGATTCCACGGAAGCATGCGATTTTCACCCAGGAGTCGGATATTGGAGATTGGGAATTTCAAGGCTTTGAATCAGTACGTTATATGGGCAGCCACGACATTCTGTGATGGAAAGAATGAGAAGTTGACTGATGATGGTAGATAACTTTGCGATCTGGGAATGGGTTGGGGTTGGACCCGTTCGTGCTAGTGCTTGATGGAGGACCGAGCTTTGTCGCAGAGCCAATCGGCCCATCTTCGGCCTAGCCTCGACTTGAAGCTAGGCCGAGGCTGTTGAAGCTAGGACGAGGCTGTCTGTTTACAGAATACTTTTTTCCCTCCTCCCGATCTTGTCTCTCCTGCAAGCTCAGAAAAATCCATCGGCGCCCTGCAACCATGAACAAACGCGGTCGACTCTTGCGCAAGCAAGAGGAGATACAGGTATCGACGGAGGAGATGACTACCGCCGAGTCAGCAAAAGAGACCAAGAACGGAAATAAGATGATGTGAGTTTCGATCCGTCCTGAGTAGTTCCCTCCGAATGATAGATATTCTAATACGCGCATAGGTCTTTGATTAGGTTGGCCATCCGGGGCTCAAAGAAAGAAGCAGATAATATTGATGTGTAAGTTTGCGCTTTGAGAAGCTGTTTGGATCTAGGACAAGTTGCTGACCTCTCTCGAGTGGACCTATCCTCGAGTCAGGATCTATCCTCGAGTCAGGATCTATCCTTGAGTCGGGATCTATCATTCAGTCGGGGTCTATCCTCGAGTCAGGACCTAAAGAAAGCAAGAGACATATTCCTCAAGAGGTCCGTCTTATGATCTGGGAACATGTCTGCGCCGTCGATCGCCAAACTATCCGAATTGGATTCAGAAGACGCATACACATGACCCCCCCCGCGGCACCACGCATGCGTACTTGTGTCAGTATCTCCCACTTAACTGCACAACCTCTTCTGTTCCAGACTGGGGTAGTAACGAAAGTACAAAGCTGATCCTCCTTTCCGAAAATAGCCTATGCTAAGCGTCAATCGAGAAACAAGAGAAGTCGCATTGAAGTACTACATGTTGGTCAAGAACTACGATCTCCTCCCAATACGCATCAATCTCGACAGAGATACGATATTCATTGAGCACTATCTCTACAAGATGTGTTACGACCTCGGAAAGATCTTCAAAGCGTCCAGTGCTCTATGCAACATCAGGAACTTCGCGTTGGAGTTCACTTACAAGGAGTCTAGAGATCACTGGCAAGCTGCAATAGTTGCTCTTCAATTCGATCCCAATATTCGGCATGTCGTTACAACGCTCTCTCCGGCTCATGAGTATGTGGACCAGGTCAGTGATGACCGGCTGTTCGATAGGTACATTCACCTGATTCAACGCCCTCTCGGCACGGATCGCATCCAAGGCCCTCGGTTTCTCTATTGGGAGACCTGCAGTGTTTGGAAGTTGTGGCTTTATGCCAAGATCCATCCGTCCTGGAGGTTCGAAGCAAAGAAGTTGATGAAGTATATGTTCGACATGAAAAAACAGGGCAAGCTTGACGAGGTCCCGAACTTTGCAACTTTTAGGAATGGAAGACGTGGTTGATGAAGGGTGGCTGGATAGCAGGCGCCTACATGGCAGGCGGCGGGCAGGTGGTATGTTGCCGAAGGGCGTCTTTTCGCAAATGTTCCATGATGGATACGACTTTGTATACTGTAGATACCCCAGGATCAACTGAACGAACGAACGAATAATAATAATAATAATGTACAATATCAACAACGCAAGAGCAAAGATAGCTCGCAGATACCCAGCATTAAAGCATTTCATGGCAAAACGTGTTGCAAAAACCAGGCAATATCGAAGAGCAACGGACCTAGGCACCACCAGCTCAAGCAGAAACCAGCATGTTACACACGTAGGTCGCCAAAACAACCAAAAGTAACCGAGAATCAAGACATCAATAAATCATCAGTACAAATTCAACACAAATTCCTATGCGCCGCGAAGCACAAGCACCGCATGCAGAAACAATATTCAGGCTGGCTGGCATATAGCGGCCCATCCCACCGCGAGAGAGGAATATGCTAGCTTCAATGCACCTGTGTATCGTCTCACCTCTTCAGCATACCTAACCTAGCATGTGAAATTGGAAAAGAGAATGACGGCGGTATGCCCTTCCTCCCTCTCAAGAGAGAGAGAGAGAGAGAGAGAGAGAGAGAGAGATAAAGCAAGGAATGAATAAGGACATTGAAAGCAGTAGATGGAATTAAGAAGGATAGGGTAGGGACCTGAATTTACATAGGAGAGGACCTTGGAGAATGAAAGTGGTGGTCGGACATCGTAGGATAATAGCGAGAGCGCGCAGGTCCACAGAAAGCGCACTGACTATTAGTTGCTAGGATGGTGTTAGTCATGGAGTTGCAGTGCTGCCATATGCTCTCTCTCATTCAAGGATTTGTGCTATGTCATATATACCTCAAGCAATTACCTGACAACCTTCACCATTATTAACATTCAGCGCTCCGCGCAGAAGCTGAAGACCATAAAGAAAGCTGTGCCGAGCACATCGAGTGACGCGATCCATTTGGTAGCGCTATTGATCGATCCAATTACATGCAGGAGCAAACACTTATGTCACAGGCAGGCACGTGGGCCACAACTCTCTGCACCACACAGCTATGTAATACAAGCCCGAGCCCAACCCCGAGACTCCCCAAAGTCCAAAATCGAGCCATCAGTGCTTGATGCCATTGTGGGTAGGTGTGGCGACACCATTGGTAGCAGCAGCAGTGAGGCTTGGCGGGGGAAGCGGCCCGAAAGTCTTTGGTGCGACAAGATGAACAATCTCCTCCTCGGTGTCTTCGTTGTACTCCCCCTCACTCCCCTCGTCACCCTCATCCTCTTCGCCGTCTTCTCCATCCTCACCGTCCTCGTCGTCGTAGTCGTACTCGCTCTCCGTATTCTCCAGATCGCCTTCCGCGTACTCGCCCTCCATGTTGCTTTCTGTCATGGCCGCCATACCGCCTGCCATACCGCGTCCTTGCTTCTGCATCTGGTTGATGATACTGGTCAGCTTGTCGTTCTTCTTGCGTAGCGAGTCCATTTCTAGGTTCGTCTTGGTACGCTCTTCCGCCATCTTGAGGATGTTCTGGTTCGTAAGATCATGCTTCCGCGTCAGGGTCATATTATCTTTTTCAAGACGCTTCGTCTTTTTGGACATCTCCTCCATTTCTTTGCGGAATGTCAGGAATAAATCATTGCTGTTATTGAGCGTGTCCTCCACCTGAGTGAGCGGCATTAGCTCCATACCTCTACACGAGACTGTGACAGATTGCCTGACATGTTGGAAGCGAAAGGGTTGGAAATTTTCACAACGTACTTGCTTGAACTTCTCAACGTAGATGTTGAGTTGATTGCGCAGCTCAGTCTCCGTCTTTGAAAACGTCAGAACTTGTGAGTTGAGGGTGCGTGATCTGGAGACTTCGGCTTCGGCTAGCTTTCTCTCGCGGTCAAATCTTGCCATGTTATACTGAACCTCTAGTTCTTTTGATCGCAAGAGGGAGTGAAAGTGCAGTTCGCGGAGCTCGTATTGGTCAATCAAGGACTTGAACCGTTGCTTGAATCTACACCACATATTAGAATAGTATGCGATCTGTTGGCAGGGCAACTAACAAATCTTCGACTTCGATATTGACAACTTGGGCTTGCGGATAATCCTTTGCTTCCTGGTATTCTGAAAGTTGCCATAGAACCTGCTTAAACTTGTCGTCCCAAGCCGCATGATTATCCTTTTCTGCATCTTGCATAGTCTTGTTCTCGGCCTGTTTCAAGTCAGTATTTCCAAGCGAACCAGGCTCTTCGCAGGATAAGGACAGACCTTAAGGCGATTATTTTCCCGTTGAAGTTCCCGACATAATTTCTCTAATTTCTCCTTCAAGGTAGTAGTTTTGCTCAAGTCCGCCCGCGCATGATCCCTTTCTTTCTGCAATTGATCGCCCCGCTTCTTGTTCTTCTGGTTGTCTCGGTCCAGTCGCTTCATAGACGTGAAAAGCTCGCTGACCCGTCGATGAAGCACATCAATCTTTGCCAAATCATCAGTCTTCGAAGTTAAGTTGTTGAGTTCTCGATTGTATTTTTTTAATTCGCGCTCTGTATCAATGCATTAGCACCGATCTTCAATCGTTGAAAAAATCGCCGGCATAGAGGCTTGAAGTCATCGCTCCGGGAAGATGGACATGATGCCAGCCAGAGCAACAGGGTACTCCAGATTGCGATCGAGAATAGCGCTTAGTGTGGCAAATGTACGATAGGGGAATATGATGCACGCCCCCAGGTATTCAGCATGCGAAAACACTGCTGCGATAGCAAGCTTCCATCCCATCGCATCCAACTGAACAACAGACGCCTTAACGGGAGAGACCAACCGATTTCTGCCTCCTGCTCTTTGTCTCCTGCCGCGTCCGACTCTAGTTGCGAAATCTTCGCGGCGATCAAATTCGAGGCCTCGTTGGGATCCGGCTTCTTCTTCCCAGGCACCTTCTTCCCCGCACTCGACATCGCACTCGTGTCGTGGTGATGATGATGGTGTCCATTCGTGTAGGCTGACTCGGGGTGGGTATGGTTCGCGGTGCTCGACATGCTTCACTCTGTTGTGATTGAGGCGTAAGGAAAGAGAAGGTAAGCAAGGTTACGACGTTCTTGTTCGGCTCAGAGCTGCTGTTTCCTCAGCGCCTTGAGGATTACGGAACGGGAAAGAGATATGTCGCTGGCTTGGCGCAAGGATAGGTCGAATTCTGGTGGTTGTTTGGGCTCATCAAATGGTAGAGGTACTGGTATCGATACTCTGGGCTATAGTTAGACGGGCATTGTGCATTTGGAGGTGAAGCAAAATCGTAGTCCAATCAGGCTAGTGTATTTACTTAGGTACTTAGTGGGGCGGGGACGGGCCGGGATGGTCCGATGCCATGCGACCAAGTCAATGAATGTCCGTAACGTCACAATATATTAATCGCCTTCGACCTACAGTCTCCCTCCTCTTCTCTATCCCACCTCCCCCTTCCCCCCTCTCTGCTTCTCTCCGTGCCAGTCGCCCAGGATGTCGAAGAGCGCATCCACGGCAGCTGCTCGCAGCGTTACGGAGCTTGCCCAGTATCTTCAAGCCGGGCAGAAGCTCCATGGATTCACTCTCATCCGATCCAAACATGTCCCCGAGCTCGAGTTGACGGCCCTCCATCTGCGACACGACAGAACTGACGCAGACTATCTTCATGTTGCCCGGGAGGATAAGAACAATGTATTCTCGATTGGATTCAAGACGAACCCTCCGGACGATACGGGAGTACCGCATATCTTAGAGCATACGACATTATGTGGTAGTCAAAAGTAGACAGCAACCCTTCGCTATCACTGGGCTGTACTAAATCCTCGCAGATATCCTATACGAGACCCTTTTTTCAAGATGCTTCCTAGGACGCTATCAAATTTCATGAACGCTTTCACTGCTTCAGATCACACGTTCTACCCTTTCTCGACGACGAATCAGCAAGACTTCAAGAACCTGATGTCCGTGTACCTCGATGCGACGCTGCATCCTTTGCTAAAAAAGAGCGACTTCATCCAAGAAGGATGGAGGATAGGTCCCGAGAACCCGAAGGCAGCCGAAGCTGGGGATGCTGCTAAACCGGAAAATAGCAAACTAGTCTTCAAGGGCGTCGTCTATAATGAGATGAAGGGTCAAATGTCAGATGCTGGCTACCTATTCTACATCAGATTCCAGGACCACATATTTCCGGCCATCAACAACTCAGGGGGTGATCCACAGAAGATTACTGACTTGACCTACGAACAGCTGAAGACATTCCACGCTGAACACTACCATCCCAGCAACTGCAAGGTTTTTACCTACGGGGATATGCCTCTGGGAGAGCATTTGAAGAGTGTCGATGCCCAACTAAGTGCCTTTAGAAAGATTGAAGGAGATTTTGAGATCCGGAGGCCGATAGACCTGAGCGGTGGACCCCGAGAGGTTACTGTTGCTGGACCTATTGACCCCTTAGTAGACAAGGATATGCAGTACAAAACTTCTACCTCCTGGCTTATGGGGGATGCAATCAACATTGTGGAGACCTTTTCTCTGGGCATCGTGTCTGCTCTCCTGATGGACGGTTACGGTTCGCCGTTGTACCGCAACCTGATCGAGGCTGGTCTTGGCACGGATTGGAGTCCCAACAGTGGTTTCGATACCTCTGGACGGATCGGTATCTTCTCGATTGGTCTCACGGGTGTCAAAGAAGCAGATGTTCCCAAAGTCAAGGAGGCCATTCACAAAACCTTCGAAGAGGCCCACAGGACAGGCTTCGAGCAATCTAAAGTCGAAGGATATCTCCATCAATTGGAAATCAGCCTGAAGCACAAGACTGCAAAGTTCGGTATGGCACTGATGCAGAGGATCAAGCCTCAATGGTTCGAGGGAGTTGACCCGTTCGCGTCTCTGGCTTGGAATGACACGCTTTCAGCATTTAAGGCCGAGCTCGCAAAGGGCGGCTATCTGGAAGGTCTTGTGGAGAAATATCTTCTTAATGACAATACTTTGACATTCACTATGATACCGTCAGCGAATTATGGCGAGGAATTGGCTCAAGAAGAAGCTGCACGTCTCGCAAGCAAGATTGCCGAAGTCGCCGAGAGGGCTGGAGGTGAGGCAGAAGCTCGTGCGCAGTTGGAGAAGCAAGAGCTGGAACTGCTCGTTGAGCAAGGCAAATCGAACACCGAGGATTTGAGCTGTCTCCCGACTGTATATGTCAGGGACATCCCGCGCCAAAAGGAGAAGGTAGAAGTTAAGGAGTCCAGCATCTGCGGCAATGTCAATCACCAACTTCGAGTGGCACCCACAAACGGCCTCACTTATTTCCGGGCTGTCAATAATTTTGAGAATTTACCAGAAGAGCTCAGGGCTTTGATTCCCCTGTTCACCGATGCAATCATGAGGCTGGGTACAAAAGACATGTCAATGGAGCAATTAGAGGACTTAATGAAGTTGAAGACGGGAGGTGTTTCTGCCGCCTACACCTCTTCCTCGTCGCCTCTCGACTTCAGGTCTTCGACTGAGGGTATGGTCTTTGCCGGAACTGTACTGGATCGGAATGTGTCCGATATGTTTGATATACTCCGAAAACTCGTGCTCGATACAGACTTCGACGGTGCTGAAGCCCAGAGTCGAATTCGACAGCTTTTGCAAGGTTCGGCGGACGGCGCAGTGAACAACATCGCATCGTCAGGGCACGTTTATGCCAGAGGCTATGCGGAGGCCGGACTCACGAACTACTTCCGTACGAGGGAGCAAGTGAGTGGATTGTCGCAAGTTAAACTTGTCACTTCTTTGGCGTCCAGATCCGAGTCTGAAGGCCTGGCTGATGTTATCGAGAAGCTGAAGATTATTCAGAAATTGTCATTGAAAAGATCGGGCAATCTCCGCACCGCACTGACATGTGGTTCAGAGAGTGTCTTGTCGAATCAGAAGGCGCTAAATAGATTCTTGACCTCACTGCCAGGAGGCGGGAAAAAGAAAGCGATGGATCCTTCTCCTCCAATTTTCTCCAGAAACACCAAGACATTCTTTCCCCTACCTTACCAGGTGTACTACGGTGCGCTTGCGCTCCCGACGGTATCTTACGTGGATGCAGCCGGTGCGCCTCTCCAAATCCTGTCCCAGCTGCTGACTCACAAGCACCTGCATCACGAAATTCGCGAGAAGGGCGGAGCTTACGGCGGAGGCGCCTATTCTCGTGGACTGGATGGCGTCTTCGGTTTTTACTCATACCGAGACCCGAATCCACTGAACACCATTTCCATTATGCGCAATGCTGGACAGTGGGCTGTGGAGAAGAAATGGACGAAGCGCGACCTCGAGGAGGCCAAACTGTCTGTCTTCCAAACTGTCGATGCGCCTGAATCTGTCAACGCTGAAGGTATGACCCGCTTCATGTCTGGAGTGTCAGACGAGATGTTACAAGAGCGACGAGAGAGACTCCTAGATGTCACGAGAGATCAAGTGCGAGAAGTCGCACAGAAATACATCGTCGATGCCCTTGATAATGATCAAGGCCGCATAGTCTTCCTGGGTGAGAAGCAAACCTGGGTTGATGGCACCTGGGAGACTCGAGACATGAATGTGGCCGCTGCGCCACATGTACCAGAAGTCCTTGACGAGGAGGACGTCAAAGATGCTGCTATGGGCTCGTGAGCATCTCCCGTTGGGCATGTAAATATAATTGTATGATATTGTATTCCACTCACCCCCGGTTGGGCACACAGGGAGGCAGATCGGCTCAAGCGAGCCAATTTCTGACCAAGGCGTTGTCTCGGTTCCACAGGATTACTATGGTGACAAAGGACGTATTCATCGTCGTCCAGTTCGGCGGTCATCTCAGTCCACCTCGGATTTTGTACCTAGCGCTGTAGCGCCGTTTTGCGTCAACGGTCCTGAAGCTGTCACGAAGATTACCTTGTACTAAACTCTGAACGTCAGTCGTGCTATGAGCGCGAGGTTAGTGTCCGAGGTCAAGATGTTCAGATGTCTCTCTGCTTATCAACAGCCGTCTATTTGGAAGATCACACAGAGGCAAGCCAAGTTCGAGCGTACCTTTAACAAGGAGCGGGCTGTCGGTGCCTATATTTACGGTTGGGATCAAAAGTTCGGAGCTTATCGCGAATTGTTTTGCTCTTTGTTGCCTTCTGCACGCCCTAGAGAAATTGCTCTCACAGAAGTGCATTCAATCCTCTCGGCTCACCTTACCCATCTCCTAAAATCCCTTTCCCCCATCCCATTCACCATCGCATTAAAAGGAAAGGAAGAGAAACACGCGCTACGAACAGATATCAACGTCTCCAGCCCTTAATCTCAGTAGCTGGCAGATCACAAGTCATGCCCCCTCGGGGGCTAGCGCAAGAGCAAAAGCCGCAGGTGTACGTGTGTGTGTCCAGTAACCAGGCCTCTTCATCGGGGTTTTGTGTTTCTGGGGCCTCTACGCACCTTGGCTAATTTTCCGTCTTAATTTCAGAGCTGTTGTCCTGAAGGTCTTGGGATGGCGGACTAAAGATGTGAGGACATTGGGGTGGAGAGCTGATTGATTACCCAAGCGCAACAGGATGTATTCCGTACAGAGGTGATATCGCTTGCTCGGTATGTTCTCATTGTGAGTGTGAGAGAGTAGGCACGTATGCAATGCGCTGGATAGGGACGGAATGGGAACGTATGGGAATATACTCCGTCCGGGATATGATCCTATATATGCCGGGGGACCACAATTCTTTACCTGTACGGGGTGCCTCCCATGAGCCTCCAGCCCTCTTTCTCGCGGCAGAGAGAGTCTGGAGAGCCGAAATTGAATCAAGGTGGCCTTTTCAAGAGATTTTCCTTTACCGGCGATTCTGAACGAGCCTCCTCTTATTTCGACCACCACGCCGACTACTATTTATACCTAACGGGCATCCGATTGAAAGACTAGGAGGATTTGCGATAAAAGGGGAACGGGTGTGAGAGATGGGAAGGGGTTTAGGAAGATCGACGATATTGCGCTTTCGAAAAGGCCACCTGGCTGACTCCGGCTCAGCCTCGAATTGCTTGCTATAACTTGCTATACGAGTTCTTCCTTCGATATAAGTTCTTCCTTCGATATACTTCTCTTACTGCGATCCATCCTATCCGCAAAGGAAGGGCTTATACCAGAGTAGCTGCGCTGCACCAATTTGAAAATGCTTCCAAGGGCTGTATAAGGATTGCGATACCGCGGCGTCAGAAACCCGGATCATCTAAATAAGAGCTCTTCCCCCTTCGAAGTTTGTACTTTCTATGAGGTAGTACTTTGTATGTAAGACTTTCGCTTAGCACATCACCGTACCTCATAAGAGGTCTCAAGGCGGCAAGCAAAGCCAGCTAATCGCCACGACGTTACTCGGTTTTTCCAGCAGTCTGAGCCACGGAAAAAGAGGGTGAGTGAGTGTGCCAGGAGAAAGCAACCAACGGGAGAGCTGAGATCTTGCAATAAATGGAGAAATTACCGCCAAAATGGCTTCACTTCTCTTCCCGTGGCTCAGACTTCTGGGAAAAGCGAGTAATAAATGCTGCTGCTGCTGCTGCTACTACTACTACTACCCTACATATACCTCGGTATATCTCTAGGTATGGATACGATGGCCTGTTCTGCCAAGGGACCTAGGTATCAATCTGATGGAATGTATTTATATATATATGTTTCTTTCTTTATTTATTTATGTAGTTATACATTTATACATCTATAAATTTATACATCTATACATTTATACATCTATACATCTATACATCTATACATCTATACATCTATACATCTATACATCTATACATCTATACATCTATACATCTATACATCTATACATTTATATTGTCCTATATTGGGAGAGCTTCTGCAGGTCTCGCTTGCTGAAGATGCTTTTACGGAGTACTACCGGTATTACTACCTAGAAACGGGGCCCTTCTACTCCGCAGAAACCCTAAAGTATTGCATTGGGCATTGTTACCTCTAAGCGAGAGGTTACTCCGTACCGGTACGTCATGTCATATCTTGTTACATACCGAGTTTAGAAATTCAGGTACCTGAGAAACAACGGCGTGAATATTGGTTGATGGATTTCCACTATTTTAAAAAAAAAACCCCCCTTGGTTTCTTGTTCATTATAAAGTAACACCGCATCGCATTCGCATCCAGACTCGCATACGTTGCAGTTAAATCTATTATTAAGGATTATTTAATAAATTCAGGCCTTATGGAGTACACTGCGTTATTTTCTATCAACAACTTAAACAGTTACAAGGGTGTTCATGGTTTCGGCTAAACCCTAAATCAGCTCCCGGTAGCGTCCGTACACCACTTTAAAAATTTCAACGCCGCCGCCTTCTTGATCATCCTTAATTGCAACTCCGTCGTCGATTTACAACCGCAGTTTCCAAACTCTTCAAGACTTCAACTCTTCCACTTCAACCTCAAGATTTATTTTGGTCTCACACTACTCGACCAAAATATAGCTCCTCACAAATCAATCCTCGGATCTGGTATGTGCCGCGCTCCTCCCGCCTCCTCTTTTCACACAATGCGGGCAGCTTTTGAGCCATTTCATAGAGGCGGAGAAATAGATACCTAGCTAATACTCCTAAACCTCAGACACGTCGATCCCACAAATCAACTCCCTCCCCTGACTGCCTTTGGTCAACTCAAAGGCGTCCCTCTACACCACGGCTCCCGCAGCCGCAACTCTGGTTTCTGATCAAGATTACTCGCTACGAGCCAACCGCCACATCATCAACACCCTCCCTCCTCCTTCTGCTGCAGGCCACCGCTAAGCAGCTTGAGCGCATTTTGTTCGATTCGTCGTACACCCCCGTTCCGTTCCCAAATTCTCAGCTGCCGCATAGGACGGGTTTAGAGGTTCTTCCTCTCGTCGAGGAAGAGTCAAGCCGAGCTCGTCAGATCAGTGCTGGATCTGATCGATACAGACCTCCCTAAAACCTCTCAACCATCATAGTTAGTTGCCACCGTTGCACGGCACAACCAAAGAATAGCTGGCTGACTGCACATGATGACAGCCGAATTCAAATACACAACCCTCGACTCTTTTACGAGGATATGTCCCCTTCCGCCATCGAAAACTTTGAAACCAAAACAAATCTCACGAATAACCACTCGTATTACGAGAACATCAAGAGCGTCTTCGCTGAGCAGAACAATCATGGCGTGAACAATCCCAAGAAACTTATCGGCGATTCTCTGAAGGAGCGGCTCGAGAATGTTGATCACAATGCCTGCGACCCTGGCGATGAAGACGCCTTCTTCATAGCCGATCTCGGCGAAGTTTACAGACAGCACATGCGCTGGAAGTTGAATCTGCCAAGAGTTAAGCCGTTCTATGGTTAGCATCACGCTCCAATCTCACTTATACCGCATACGCTAACAACCATCAGCGGTCAAATGTAACCCCGACCCTCGTGTCATTGAGCTCTTAGCCGCCCTCGGCACGGGCTTTGATTGCGCTTCCAAGGCAGAGATTGAGCAAGTCATTAAGGCGGACGTTGATCCAAGCCGTATCATATATGCCCAGCCATGCAAGACCAACTCCTATGTTCGCTACGCAGCCAGCCACAACGTCAAGAAGATGACTTTTGACAATGCCGATGAGCTTTACAAAATCAAGAAGCTCTATCCCGGAGCCGAGCTCTTTCTCCGCATCTCTACCGACGATTCCTCTAGCTTATGCCGCTTGAGTCTCAAGTTTGGAGCCGCCATGGACACCACGGACGGTCTCCTTGCACTCGCAAAGGAACTTCACCTCAACGTGGTAGGAGTCAGCTTCCACGTTGGCTCTGGCGCCTCCGACCCTATCGCCTACTTGAAAGCCGTCCAAGATGCCCGCCTGGTCTTTGACCAAGCCTCCGTGCACGGATTTTCCCTTCACACCCTCGACATAGGCGGTGGTTTCGTCAGCGAGACCTTTGAAGCTATGGCTAGCGTCCTCCGCTCCGCCTTGGATGAGTACATGCCCAGTCACATCTCCATCATCGGCGAGCCAGGCCGCTACTACGTCTCGTCCGCATTTACGCTCGCCTGCCACATCATTGCCCGCCGCACCATCGAGATGCCGACCGGCGAGAAGAGCTACATGATCTACCTCAATGATGGCCTATACGGTAACTTCTCCTCCATCATGTTCGACCATCAGAAGCCTCAGGCACAAGTCCTCCGTACCGGCAACCAGACCCTCTTCAACAATGTCGCTGCGCAGGAATCCGTCAACGGAACTGAGTACTCGATCTGGGGACCAACTTGTGACGGCATTGATCGTATCTCTGAGAGCATCCGCTTTGATCACACGCTGGATGTTGGTGACTGGCTTTACTTTGAGGAGATGGGCGCGTATACCAAGTGCTCTGCTACACGCTTCAACGGCTTCAGCGACGCGCATGAGGTTGTTTATGTGGCTAGCGAGCCGGGCGCGAGAGCGTTGCTGGGCATGAACTGATTCGTTGGAGGATTGTGTCTTTTTTGCTTAGTGTCTGTGTTTCTCGAATAGAAATAGTTTTTACGCGTTGCTTTTGATCGAAGAAAAAATCTCATTCTGGAGGTTGCGCTTGGCGAGATAGGCTTGGAAGGTAATCGATGGATTTGCTAATTAGTTGTTCTGGGCCTGGGCATACTTTGGACGGTCGCCGAGACAAGGTATCTTTTAGATTTCTTTCATCAATGAAATATCCTCGTCTGACCTAAATTATATCCCCGATCGAACATGGTACACTGACCACATTGTTCCGAGCGTGACATTCCCCGTCAAATTTAGTAATTGGGTTCAATATTCGAATTGGAAAAAAAAAAAAAACAGTGGACTAGGTAAGCGTTACCTGGAGCACTATCGATATGTTTGTTTGTTTGTTGGCCTGTTTGTTATGTTATTGAGGTGAGGTCTACCTAGACGACTCGGTACCTGAGGAGGGAGGAAGAAGGCTGTGCTTGCTTGCCTGGTTGATATGTATGTATGTATGTATGTATGTATGTATCTACGTATCTACGTAAGCAGCCCATCTAATCCAATCTAGGACTCGGGTCGTGTTTCGAAGATCGAAGTTCGAAGAAAGAGAGAACGAGCATAGCGAAAGACTTCTTCTGCATTGTCTGTCTGTCTGTCTGCTTGCCTGTCTGTCTCTCTGTCGGTGTCTCTTTATCAAGGATCAGTCGCGCGGAGAGATGAGATTTCTCCGTGTTCTGGAAAAGCAGATGTTGCTGTGCGGTGCGAAATTGGATTGCATGCAAGCAAGTAAGCAGGATTTGCTGTCTGCTATATGTATATATATATATATATGTGTGTGTGTGTGTGTGTGTGTGTGTGTGTGTGTGTGACTTGTCCACTGGTTGGTCCCTGGGGGAGATATATTGTGTAGTATATATAGTATGGGCTTGGTAATTATTTGTAGTCTGTCCGGAGAGAGAGAGAGAGAGAGAGGCTTTGTGGTTTTAGGAGCGAGTTGAATGAGATGAGACATGCGTGATGTGAATAGTGAGGGCAAGATGTGCTGCCTCGAGCTCCCGCTTGGGCTGGAGAGGGAGTTGTAAGAGGAGAGATACACGCATGGAAGGAAGCAAGAACAGAAGCGAAACAATATGTAGGTAGGAGAAAGCAGGGCACCAGCAAGCATGCGGACTGGGGATGGATGATTTGTATTTTATCTCTATTCGGTGCTCCTTCGGAGTCACCCCGAATTCATCAGTCGGTCTTCAACAGCACGTACATTCGCCTCTGCTCTTCTTACTTCACGGAACTGACCCAGTCATGCCTCCCTCCCCTCAACCTGTCGCCGTGGGCCCTTCCCCACCAGGTATCAACTGTTGTATTGTATGTTAGCACATCATCTCTCAAACGGTCTGGTGAGAAGACGTGCCATGCAGATGTTATTCCCATTCAACAGGATCTTGGAGAGCTTGGTGTGGTTGCCAGAGTAGTCGCTGTGCCTCTCGAATTAGCCCATGTCTCGCAGCATACATCTCTCACCCCCTCTTGGGGTGACGGGGGGACTTACAATTCAGTCACATCCTCGAGAACCATATCTGAATGTATCGTTAGTAAAAAGCTGCCGTATTGAAAAGGAGGAATTTCGATAGACATACTGACGTAATCATCGAAACCGAGAAGAGTGCCGCTGAATTCTGGTCATGGAGTCAGCTGATTTCCGAGGAAGTTCAGAAGTAGATCAACATAGGCCTAGCGTACCCTTGTCGCCTTTCATGACAACCCAGATCTTGGATCCGACGCATTTATCTATTAACTCTATCGAGGGATCTCATCTCAGTATGTGATCTGATTTGATTTGCGAGATATAGAGCACCTGGGCGGGGACAAACCGAGGGGCAGTAATTGCGATGCCATATTGGACTGTGTGAAGAGGCTTGAACTCTGTAAGTGTGCTGAAGGATGTGGTGCACGCTTTCGTAGCTAGGAAGACTGAAAAGATCAATCAGAGCACGTGATAGGATATCTGAGACGCAACTTCAAAGAGACACTCGTCAAGACTCGGCGGCAATATTTTAAGAATATTATGTTTAACTCTGTCCCATCAGCTCGCTGGGTTTGTTTGTGATTGTTGGTATATAGACATCGCTAATACCTTTGTCGAAGCTCTCATGATTCAAGATTTCTCGGTGGCGGCACGGACTCTTGCCGCTCAACGCGTTCGATTGGCCTTGCACGTCGCGTCGGCCTGTCCCTCGACACAGACTCGCAGCGGACTCGCAAGACCCGCGGTATGCTCCTTGAGAATCATGGGGCACTCTCGTTGGGAAAGACCCTTCGACGACCGATCATGACTACTGTGAGGGACTTGGAGCACCAGGGACCTTCTGCGACTTTAACGCGTCTTGTTACGCATACGATGAGAGCGATGGGCTCGAAGATGCAGGGAAGAAGGGTGCTGTAAGTTCTCCCGAGATTTCCGCAAAGTATATTTTTACCAATGTCTATACTGGAGCTTGTAGGCTTACGATATTGTTGGACAGGTCGAATGCAGCTCGTTCGAACACCACTCCCTCGACCCCTTCACCGCAACCACAGGCTCGGACCTGGGACCCGAATAATGCCATTGTGTTCAGCGGAAGATGGACCCCAAAGGATGGCATCGTATTTAGATCAGCGGCTGGGCCATCAAGGTCCTTGAGTACATCTGCCATGGAGAAGATCGAGCAGGACCATCTCCTACATTCGCACGCCGAGGATAATTATGTAATGGCACCTGCCAGCACTTCTTTACTGGATGACTGTCAGTCGTGCACTAAACCCAAAGCTTTGGCGACAGTCTCGTCAACAGTACATGTCGCGAAAGCAAAGAGCAAAGCCGTGGGGGTCGCAGAGGCGATGTCTACAAATAAGTCTACAAGGTCGGGAGATGCCTTCAAGAAATTGAAAGCTGGGACTGCGGTAGAGTTGAGTGAGACCGCTGAATTGCAGAGAAGTAATGTCTGCGAAAGCCCGGAGTACCCCAACGATCTCGACGAGGCCAGCGCGAAGGACTTAAGCGTTCTGATAGATTTCAAGGAGCCAAAAGATTACGAGCCAGAACCAGAGGATCCCAAGTACAACGAGCCTCACGAAACTACTACCGCTTACAAAATGGACCCTGAGCTCTTTCGCCAAGCCAAAGATGCCAAACCCTCTTCGAAGGAATCGTACTGGTCATACGCTCTCTACCGTGGCCCAGAAATGGTCAACGGAAGATATGACAGCCCCAGAGTTCATTACTGCAAAAGCCTCCAAACCTCGGAAAAGGCCCTGAAGGAACATTTCACAGACGCAAAAGTCATCGGTTTCGACATCGAGTGGAAGGAGAAAGGATTGAGAACTGCTAGAGATCAGGTTTCACTAGTACAGATAGCGAGCGAGTCGCGAATTGCGCTGATGCACGTGGCGGCATTTCCGGTCAAGGACGGAGTGAGGAAGGATCTTGTCCCTCCTACGCTAAAGAAAATCATGGAGGATCCCTCGATTATCAAAGTTGGAGTTGCGATCAAAGGCGACTGCACACGCGTAAAGAGATGGCTAGGCATTGACTCACGGAGTCTTATCGAGCTCAGTCATCTCTACAAACTAGTGAAGTTCTCCCGGAGCAAGGAATTCGCATCTATCAACCGCACTCTGGTATCGCTTGCTACGCAGACGAAAGAGCACTTGCATCTTCCAATGTTCAAAGGAGAGGTGAGAATCAGCGATTGGCGTCAACCTCTGACGATGGAACAAGTTCAGTATGCGGCCAGCGATTCTTACGCAGGGCTTCAGCTATATCACACCTTGGAGATGAAAAGGGAAATGCTAAGCCCCACGCCCCCGAGGCCGCATTTTGCGGAATTGGGGTTGGCCATTCGCTTTAATGATGGCTTGGAAATCCCGAGCGGGGACGATGCAGAGGATGTCGTTGTTGACGTAGACGCGAAGAAGGAAAAGGTGAAGAGGAAATATACCAGTAAGGCGGCTGCAAAAGATTTTGGCAGTTTTGAGGCAAAGGAAAGTGATAAGATGAGCGAGGCCACGCTCGCTACTGGGGATCATGGCAAGTAGGATGGTGGTGGTGTCGATGTCTTGTACCCGGTCTTGAAGAATGACTAGAAGAGGGTCGGTCGCCACGGGCAGCTTGATGGCAGATGGGAGAGCCGTCGCCTGAAAACGGCTCCGGAGTACTTCTCGGTACTTCTTAATAGCTGCTCTCAGAGGATTATGAAGGCTTTGCATAAGCCGGGGGTACTCGCCATGATAGCCTACCCCACCAGCAAAGTAGTAGCCCGGCACTGCAGTCGAAGAAACACGAGAGTATTGGGAGGATTGGAGTGGACATGATGAGGATTGGGTTTGATGAGGATTGGAAGTTGTCTAGGAGGATACCGTTAGACTTGGGCTGTTCATAGTGATGGCGTTTCGGTTAGAATGGATGATGACTGACGACATACATTGCATTGGATCATTCGAACGTCTCTAACTTTGATGTTGTTTTGTTCCCTCTCCGACTCGCTAACCACGCACTAACTACATGCCTTACATCCCTGTCGCAGATCCGCGCTAGTGGATAAGCCTATCTCGGTGTAAAATAAAAATTCTTGAAGCTGTACCGAATTGCGCAACGACAACTTCAAGCTTATCGCAACCATGGACAATGCCAACTTCATTCCGATCGGCGAGGGCAGGACTGCTGAAAATTCCGGCCCTATTCATGAAGAGCCGAAGGAAAAGGAAACCGAATGGGGGCCGGAAATCATTGGAAAGACGCCAGGTAATATGGCCGACATGACCTTTGCAGCACGGTTCTTCTCTTTTCTGAAATTGACCCATTCGAATAGCGGAGAGGAAAGCAATTGCCCGCGATATCCGATTGAAGCTCCGCAAGGAGAGGAAACAGGCCAAGTCTGCGGCTAAGGCCGCGAGGAAGGTCAATGGACTCCTTCACAGAGAATTGGTGAGCGGCTTTTCTGCTTCATCCACAAGAGCGCAATTGACAGTCATCATAGAGCAAGAATACGGAGAAGTACAACAAGAATAAAGATCTCAATAAGCAGCGAGCTATAGATGTCGAGCGCCTGAAGATCCGTGACGCAGCTGTCCGACAAGTTGAGCGTCTAGCAGCCATCCACGACCCGAGCGGCAAGACGTTCAATGTTGGTGAGATCATAACATTACCAGGCGGGATCATCAAGACAAAGGAGGCACTTCGAAAAGCCGCTGAGGCAGCCGAGCAGAAGGAGAGAGAGGAAGCAGGGAGGAAAGCAGCCGAACTGCGGTACAAGAATGCCGAATTAGCTGTCAAGTTGGAGGCCGAAGAAGCCCAAAAGGCCGCTGAAGAAGGACGACCCGTACCGACCAGATTCCCGGCTAAGGAAGCCCTGAAGGAAATGAAGCGGCCGAAACGGATTAGCAAAAAAAAGCTCCAGAGACAGGAGATGCTGAAGAGGCTCCAGGAAACCCCGCCGAAACCAATCATTCCTGCGGGAATCAGCTTACCCGAGGGAGAGGAAAACATGCTCGCGCTGTGGGATATTCCGGACACGGACATCATGAAGCGCCTGCGTGAGCAGAAGAAGCAGAAGATCTTGGCCCGGAAGGATCTTAAGAAAATTAAGAAGGAGGCTAAGAAGCTGAAGAAGGAGCTCAAAATCAGGAAGAGGCAAGCCGAAAAAGAAGGAATCGTGTTTGATAAGGCGAAGGCGAGGAAGGAGATTCTGGCTGAGCAGGCTGCTCTTCAAGCGCAGATGGCTGACGCCAGAGCCTCGCGTGCTGGAACCAAGTCGGATGATGATGCTAAGATTGAGCAGGGTGAAGAGGACAAAGTAGTGGTCCCAGAGAAGCCTCCAGCGAACTTGCAGAAACTTGACCCTGGACTGGTTGAGAAAGCTGCCGAGATCGAGAGAGCACACGAGGCGAAGAAGCTTGCTGAGAGGGCGAAGAGGAGACAAGAGCGCAGAGAGAAGCAAACTGAAGTAGAGGGGAAGGCAGAGGCTGATGCTAAGAATGCCAAGAAGGCAAGGAAGGCTGCCAGAAAGGCGGCTAGGCTAGAAACTGCTGAGAGTAGCGGAGGCGACTCATCTTCGAAGAAGCGTAAGCGAGACGAGGCTGAAGATGATGGGGGGATGGAAGCTGCGCAGGAGGTCAAGGGGGATAAGTCACATAAGAAGAAAAAGTCCAAGTCTGAGAGGGCAGTCCAGGAACCTGAGGTCGACAAAGTAGAGATTGAGACTGAGACTGATAGCAAGAAGCGGGAGAAGAAGGCGAAGCGTGAAGCAAAGGCACTCCAGGCAGCAGAGGAGGAGGCATCTCGAGAAATGACCGAGGCAAATCCACCAAAAAAGGACAAGAAGTCCAAGAAGGGGAGCGGCGACGGAGATAAGCCAAGTCACGGCGCAGAGCAATGGCATCCGGAAGCTTTGAGTGGTGATGCAGCGCGGAAAGACAAGTTCCTTCGCCTCTTGGGTGCTGGCAAGGAGGCGAGCAAGGCGACGGAGAAAGAGGGCAAGAAGAGCACGAAGCGTCCCGAAGTCGACATTGATAAGATAGCCGCGGACCTGGAGCGTCAATTCGAGGCAGGGACTAAGATGAAGCACGATGGTGGTGGAAAGAGACGTGGATTGGGCTCGTAGAGTGAGTAGTAGTCGGAGTTAAAAATCACATTGCTTGTTGTCGCCTTTTGAGTGCTATGCTTCCTCCTCAATGCTCGAGTTCTGATGTTGGACATACCATCTTCTGAGTTGCTTTTTATGGATTTCACTGTTGTGTAGGTAGTTTCCAGAATCCCATAATCTCTAGAAACAAAATCAAAATTCCAGAAACCAAGCAAGAACACCATTTTTTCTCCTCATGTCTGCTAAAGTGAGAAGGTGACTTTTGTACTATACACTATACACTCATATCCGTAGACATGATGTGCCGCCCGCCCAGCCCGTCAACCAATATATGCCCTATCTTATGTCCGCTCATCTCGCCGACTCCTGCCATCACAATCATACATGCCTCCCCTCCCCCCGTCTCCCTTCATAATCCAACATAACCTCTAACCAATCATCCGACTAATCAGTTCAAACACCAACCCCCCAAAGATGACAAACGCAAGTAAACCTACGAGCATCAATCAGCATGCATCCACCTCATCCTCTGTCCTTGCCGCTGGCACCATCCCATCCTTTCATTCGAGGGGAAAGGAGAATTGGGTTATAGAGAGAGAAAGAAGAGGGAGAAGCGACGTACCGAGCACGACGGGGCTCACGGGGCTCTTGAACGACTGCTTCTTGATGATCTCCTGCGTAGGCTTGCCGCGCTTGGCGTCCTGCTGCTTGTTGAACTTCTCGTTGCGCTTGCGCTGCTCGGGGGTTTGCGCCTGTGTACACACGGAAGGTGTCCCTTTGTCAGCCTTGTTGATTTCCTTCTTGTTCTGCTTGCTTGGTCTTGTGGCCTTTGCTTTTCCCTTTCTTTCATTCTTTCTTTCTCTCTCTCCCTGATATTCCTTGTTTGTGTAGGATCGTATCGTGTTGTATTTTACGTACCATTGTGGATGTAGGTTGAGCGGTTGGGCGGTTGGGTGTTGGTTTGTGGTGTTCGTGTCGTCTCGTATTGATGTCGATGTCGGTGTTGTGAGAGAGAAGTGGTGTTAGTGTATAGATTCTGGTCTTTGTTTATTGTGTGTGCAAAGACAATTATTAGAAGTTGAAGAGCAGGGAATGGAAAGGCAAGGAGTGTGGATGTGAATGTGAGTGGACGTGTGTCTATCTACGAAATCGCAACGATCTGTCCGCAAGCCATCCAGGTTATCGGTAAGGGAGGAGTGTGGGGCCCGCCCGGGCTGGGGTCAGCCGCTAGTTAGCCTCGGAGTTAGCCTCGGAGTTAGCCAGGAGCGTGGCGAAGGAACGCTTAGTGCTTGACTGAACTTCAGCTAATCAGAGCTGGAGTTGACAATTTTTCTCCATACTGTACGCAGACAACAACTCACAGGAACAATGAACCCTGCAACGAAGCTATGGAGGGGTGCGGCGACAGTGAAGACGGTGAGCCAGATGAGGTTCAACTCGACGGAGGCCGGCCAGAAGGTGGTTTCTCCTCACGTAAGAAGCTCTTTTAATTTTGTTTTATTTTGTGTCGAAAGCTGACTGATGGATGTACCAGATTGGCTTTTACAAGACGTTCGGGAGACCGATCGCGAAAGTCCTGCTTATGGCGACTTTTACATACCAGCTGGCGTATTGGGGATGGGTGTACTTGGAAAAGGATGAGATCAAGAAGGAGAAGACTGGTGGGTGAAGGACTCTGGATCTCTTGCATCGATCGCAAGATGGTGCGTATGGATTCGGCTGATGTGGTGATTATAGCAGAGGTCCAGCAGTTGGAGAAGCAATTGGGAGAGTTGACGAAGAAGGAGATCAAGATCAAGAAGCCTTGATATTTCCGGATCCAGGATCGAATGATGGCCGAGCCGAGAGAAACTAAGGATCTCAAAAATACTGGCTCAGCATGGCTTAAGCGTAAGCTACATACAGTAAAGCAGCCTCTATGTCTTATCCTCAGGGTCACATCAGCAACACGAAGTCTGTCAAGTACAGCTGTGAGGGTCGGATCCAGGGCAAGCATAAGAGACGAGACCTTGGAAAAATCGGCATGGTCGCTATCCATTACTGGGCTCCCGGCTCCCTTGACTGTAGTTTCTTAGAGAGTAAGTCAATTGTATCTGGGAAGCAGCTCGGCGGCAATAGATGACTCTTGTCAAGGAATTGAAACCATTGGACAAAACCCATGCGAACTATCGGTAATATTTCGGAGACGATGAGAGTCGAGGAGGTTTTTTGCCTGTCGTCATCTTTTGATTCTGACTGTTTTGACATCCTATCTCTTCTGTTCTCACTCTTCCATCGGACAAGATCCTGTTATGTTTACGATAGACATGTCATCTGTTTTAAGAGTGTTCAGCCGCCAGCTATATCTGCCATGATGACTGCCACCTTTCATCATTCTTCTAAGGAACTTTCCTCTTTTTTTTTTTCTCAATTTGCTTTTTGCGCAGTCAATGCATTGATCATTTAAGAAATAAATATTATACCTTATTAGCAGCTTCGCGTGCTACTTTAAATAGTTGAAGTACGCTAGCATACTATGCGAGCCAAACAATTGAAAATTCGGCGGTGAATTCGCTCAAAGCCAAATATGCACCCGTGCTCCTATTACAACGTTAGAATGCAATAAAATGAGCGTGCGAGCCAAATACGATCTTAGACAGTCCTTCCCGAAGGCAGTGTCTTAGATAGTAATAAGAGGACTGGATCCTAGCAAATTGAAGGGGCTGACCCGGCGATTCCGTCGGTGAAACAGTCGAGAAACCAAGGCGCTCACATCAACCTTTAAAAACTTCCCGCCTTTTTTTTCTTCGCGACTTTCTCCTTTCGCAATTAACGCACTGATTAGTTGAGAAACAAAGATGATACTTTGAAAGGAAGAGCTCCAGCATATACTTGACTGCGAATCAAGAGATATATAGAAATTTAATCATAATGAAGTCGTAAGTGAAAAGGGAGGGAAAAGAGAGGCTTCGTATGATACTTGAATGTATGCTGTATATATATTATAAATGATCGATGCTGATTCAGGAAGGAACTAGCTACTCGTCTATCTAAGCGTGCCCACGTGACCTAGCTACGTGCCTAGTGGAGCAGAGGCACGTGATCTTGGGGCCTGATATAAGGTCTGAAAATAGATCAGGGACGCGATCTCCATCATAATACGTTAATAGCAACCTCTCTCGCTTATCTAAAAGGTTTTTGCAAGAATGGCTTGGGCCGCCTTTGCTTTCTTCCCCCTCTTATACAAGCGATTGGCCGTTTTCCTTTCCCACGTCAATGTCTTATACAGTAATACGAGGCTTAATTCTGGCAAATGTAAAAAGATTGACCCGGTGATTTGGTCGGCGGAAGAATCGGGAAACAAAGGCGAGCGCATAGACCTTTAAAAATTTCCGCCTTTTCTTTCTTTGCGATTTTCTCATTGCGCAATTGACGCACTAATCAATTAAGAGACAAAAGATAATACGTTGACAGCAACCTCGCCCGCTTTTTTAATAGGCTTGCGAAAAAATCGCTTGGGCCGCCCTCATCTTCTTCCCTTCCTCATGCAAGCGATTGGCCGTTTTCCTTTGCGAAGGCAATATCTTGGATTGTAATACGAAGACTGAATCTTAGCAAATGTGAAAGGACTGTCTCGGCCATTTGGTCGATTGAAACAGTCGAGGAACAAGAGAGCGCGCGAGAGTCCAACGGTGAAATACAAAAGGGTTTAGTAGATAGGTATAAGAAGGGCCAGTCGCCCACGCTTCAAAGTTCATTCCACATCGAACATCCAAACATCTCCCTCCTCCTCAGTCGCTTCTCAAAATACGAGCATCTCTCCTTTCAAGTCAAAGATCACTTCAAAGCTATCCAAAGCCATCCAAAGCCATCCAAAGCCATCCAAAGCCATCATGAAGACCTGGGTCGTTCTAGCCTTCTTGTTGGCATCAACATCGACCGCATCAATCATGAGCGCTAACGAGAACGGGATTCTCGTCACCCGCCAAGCGTGCGGCAAAACCCCTGCTGGATGCGATTGCAGTAGGCCTGCTGGATGCCCAAAGTGTGATTGCACTTGTGATGATTGCGTAAGTTCAATTAAAGCGATGGATAACATGACTTTTACTAACTTTGCAACAATAGGCTGGTGGCAACGGCCCTCCGAAACTGTTATAGTTTGCATATCAGAAGACACCGGCTCTGGAAGGAGGTGCTTACAGATATCTGGTTCCTTGGTTCTCTTGCCCTTGCTCGAGTTTGATTTTTTTGGAGGCACTTTCACACAGTTGCGTGTCCTTGTCTTCATCCTGTCTCAGGTGTGGAAGAACAGTTGTATTTTGCATTTGCGGCACACTTAGAAAAATGTTACACTTTCAGGCGTATAAATGCTCCAATCTCGTGAAAGCAGAAGTTGCAAACGGCATTGGACATCAAGCGAATGTGAAGCAGTCAAAAACTTCAAGTTGAATATGAAACAAAGGTAAAAGGAGATACGATACATGCTACTCGGGAGGATTCCTGGCTAATTGTTGATTGAGCAGCGAGAGCGAGTGTGTACATCCTGAAGTAGCCACTTGGCTATTTGATCTTGGCGAAATCAAGCCACCAGGCCCAGAAGGTTTTGACAAAGAACAAATTCAGAAAACTTGCATATCAGTATGATCCTCCTGGATCTCTCCGTAGTCATCAAACATCTATCATTCGGCCGGTTCTGCCGAGTTTTATTGTCGCTGTCCGGGCCTGGCGACCCCACCACCACTTCCAGCGTGTGTCATTGGCCTTAAAAAAACTAATCCACTCGATAGCTGTTGTCCGGTCTTTCGCGGACCTCGATAGTTTTCCCAATATTCTATGAGCTGGCTATCCTTGCTCATCCTTGGATGATTGTGATCTGTTGATGCCGCGTGACAACGGAAATCACTTTCATCGTCAGCCTCTAATCTTTGCCCTGAGGCTGTCCGCGGCGGAGGGTTGATGAGGGATTTTCAAATAATAAGTGATGGGTAATCATAAATTCTGTAAAAAGTAGGGGGTACTTGCAAATGAGGATGTCAATAGCAGATCAGTCACCATTGAGACGAGTACAGGAGGAGATGAAGCAGGAAGAAGCTCACCACCAACGAATATTGGCGCTTACCCAAGTCACTAAAAGCTTACAAGCCCACGAAGAGCAATCAATGAGCTCAATTGGAAAGCAACTCTTTGACCCGTAGCCGGCTATCAAATTGATGTTAAGATTGGGCACTTTGGTGACGTCGTCAAAAAAAATGGGGCTTGCTCAGGTTCGCTAAGCCTTTTCTGGACAAGCGCCCTCCTCTCTCCCTCCTCTCTCCCTCCTCCTCTGGATGTTTCAAACATGTCCAATATCTCTTCGTAGTCAATTGATTTTTCTTCTTCGTGTGTCTTGAAGAGGAGATGATAGCAGAGCCAAGCGGGACGAATAGAAGCCATTTGCTTTTTTTTAGCTCCAGCTCCAGCTCCAGCTCCCGCGAGCTAGCAGTCTTGTCTCAACCTTCAGCTGCCTCCATACCTGTCAACATGGAGTTTCGCTGCCAATTCAAGCAAGGGATATTCACACATGGCTGACACGGGAAAGCTAGTCAAGCCACTGGAGCGAGCCGCACTACATATGTAGGCCGAAACGTGTATAGTGTTTTAAACCATGTTTATGATATAAAACATTTTGGGATTTTATGTTAAAAAAGAAAAAAACTAGGTCGATCAAATCGACTCCACCCGTGAGACTTACATTCCAGCTTGCTGGTCTCGATAGTCTTCCTCCCCCAAAAAAATGTATATAAGGATTTCTATGAGAATTCACAACAACTCCGAGTCCGCACGGAACAAGTCATGGCTCCAACATATGACAAGACTTTCGTCTCGCCCGAGGTCGATGCCCAGCCCAAGAGAATTGTAATCTGCTGTGATGGAACCTGGCAGTCAGCAACATCCTTGGATCCAACAAAGGGGTGCTCTTCCAATGTCGCCCGGTTATCTAGAGTACTTGCCAATGCTGGGAAGGACAAGAACGGCAAAGAATGGCAGCAACTCGTCTATTATGATGCCGGGATTGGGACGGGTGATATCACCGACGTTGAGAAGAAGAGACAAGGTAAGTACCAGAGTTCATTTTCACTTCACCCTGTTTGAAAGGTAGTAAGACTGACTGACTGACATCAATCAGGTGGTCTGGGGTCTGGGCTCATCGAGAAAATCCTCGAAGCCTACAACTTTCTTGCAAACAACTTTTGCGCGGGCGATCAGCTTTTCTTCTTCGGGTTCTCTCGGGGTGCTTACACGGTTCGAGCGACTGCCGGGCTTGTGTGTCAGCTCGGAGTCTTGAAGCCAGCTTCCATGTCAACCTTCATCTCTTTGTATAACGAGTATGTCCACGGGAAGGATGGGGCTGGAAAGTCGTTCGATCGGTATCCGGCCTGGACAGAATTCACAGAGGCTAGCAAGGCAACTGGGGGCCATGCTATTTCCCTTCCAGCCGAGATCAAGATCCAGGTCATCGGTGTATGGGATACTGTTGGTGCTCTTGGTATTCCAAATCTGGGACACTTCTCGCATTTTAAGCTGCACAGGGCACACCAAAAGGCCTACCAGTTCTACGACACTACCCTCAACGATAGTGAGTACAGCCTTCCTAGTCCGCTGCCTTCCTATAGTTAAGGTAAAAAAAAAAACAAAAAGAAATCGAGGATTTTCTTCGCACGCCGCCATCTGCAAATCGTGATTTGTGTTTGACGAGAATCCAGGAATTCTTCATGCATATCAAGCACTCGCCCTCGACGAGCGCCGCGAATCCTTTGCCCCAGCCATGTGGAAACTCAAACCAACACCCCTCATAGACCCCAAAGGCGATCCCAACGGACCACGCGAGAAGCCCAAGACCGCCCTCTGCCAGTGCTGGTTCCCCGGCGCCCACATCAACGTTGGCGGGGGCAGCTCTGCCAACGCAGGCAAGAGCCCCAAGGGCGACAGGGAGCAGCTAGCTTCCGTCAGCTACGGCTGGATGCTGGACCGGATCCGACCTCACCTCGCACTCTCCGAGGCGGCCCTCGCCGGCCAGATCGCCGAGTTCAAGCGGATGGCGGAGATGGAGCCCGAACCCGAGACGGGCTGGTCCATCTGGAACGCGCCCCGGTTCGTCAAGAACCTCATCTCGGACACGACGAACAAGGCGCTGCCGGCGGGCTACGGCATTGGCGAGATCGACGACAGTCACACGCCCATGTACTGGCTGATGGCTTTCCCCAAGGAGCGAGAGCCGAATTTCTACGACTCCGTCGCCCCCAGCAAGAAGGTTCCCGTGGAGGAGCAGTGGTACACGGTGGAGCGCATCCATCCGAGTGTGCATTACAGGCAGCAGGCTCAGCTGGACCACGGCATGCAGCCATATGTTCCGGCTGCCTTGCAGGGGTGGGAGAGGATCGAGGAATCGCATGGAATGGGGAGAGACGGTGCGAGGAAAGGATGGAAATGGGTCAAGTTTAACAAGAAGAGGGAGAGGCTTGATGAGATGTGGGAGTTTGAGATTGGGGGCTTTCCTGAGGGGATGAGTGTGGAGAAGAGGCTCATCGATGCGAGTCTCGTGAAGGACATCCACGAGAAGGCTAGTGCCGCGTGGAAGAAGTGACGACGGATGTAGTTGGGGTCTGCTCTGATCGATTGGAACGGTGATGTAGATATCGACATGTTGGTAAATTTCAAAGGTCCACTGTGACTAGTTCATACACAGAAGATTCATGTTCTCGAGCTCGCTTGTGCTCGAATCTCCGCTTTGCGGTGTAACCTGTAAGCTTCCAGCCGTTCATGGTATTATTGTCTACGTTCTCCGAAGGCATGGTCAAATATCTGCGTAGAGTCGGAGTCGTTTCTTATAACGTGTGGTAGGTAGCGTTGGATATATACACCGTGGAGTACGGGTATCTGAGATTTCTCACCTTGGTAGCAGTTCTCCGTATTGGGGGCAACGCAAAGATGCACGATCCTTGGCGTGAAGGACTCGGCTCTGCGGAGTTGTCGCTTAACTTAAGCGAGGGCATTTTCGAAAGCAGTCTTTCTAGAAGACTCAGCAAACAAGAATCAAGAAGGCGGGTAGACAAGATGGCCATCCAAACACTACAGAGAATCGCCAGACTAGGAGAATATCTATCAGCATACACAATCATACACCCTCATCTTACGTCAAGAGCCTTCCGCGTAACTCTCCATCGCTGTCATGTTCTGTCTTCGGCGGCACAAGGTCGACCTGGCCCTCGGCGTAGCAGTGGGCATGTTCGCTGCCATGTTCCTCGTTGGGTCCAAGCCAGAATCGCCCGAGAGTATCCTGCGCTCCTTAAACAATCCCCAAGTCCCACTTAAAAAGTTTTGTACTGCGCATGTCTCTGTGTTTTACGATCCCAGAGAAGTCTGCTGGTGACAGGCCCTTCATCTTAGCCTCCAGCTTCCTGCCGAAATGCTCAAAGTCCACTCTAGCTCTCTCTTCCTCCTCTAAAATTGACCGGATCAGCCGCCGTTCAAGTGGCCGCATCTGATAGGCGTGGGGGAGGAGATATGCGACTATTGGCGCATATCGGTGTGAGCCGAGAGTGTCGAGCGCAACGCGCTCCCCGATATCCTGCAACCTCTTCTCCTCGTCCTGGTCAATGTCCATCTTAGGTAAGACTATCCGACCCGTCTCGATCAGTGCCTTGGCAAGGGCATTCTGCAGTATTATCCTGGTAGTTTCTATAAAGCCAAGTCTCTCGGTCGCGCGGGTCTCTGGCCTCTTCGCATGCCTGGCAATTCTACCAGTTTTCGGTGCCACAAAACCACGTCTAGAAATGACAACCGCCATTTGCCCACCCAGGAAAATTTCTGACGCCTTATTCATCCATCTTTGATCCTCCTCGAGACCTAGAAGCTCTCCCTTCAACTCCTCCGCCTCTCGGTACCGATCACATATTGAGCTCTCTCCTCCTCCAGATCATCTTCCTTGGGCCACTGCTCTGGCTCTTCAACTATATTGCGTTGCAGGAACTTTGACTCATCATCGCCTCCTGTGATATTCTATATGCGCTTTCGAGCAATGCGCGAGCCAGAAACATGACGCCTGTTCTCGCCGCGACAGACACCCCGTATGCGTAACTCAAACTTGACCCCAGCGCCAATGCTCAAAGCCATCTTCATCGCTGTAAGAATTGCTGGCAGATTTTGGTACAATAGAGCAGGCACTTGATACAGCACCATTCCCCGATGTCCAGCTCTCGAAATAGCATAGCGCCGGAGGCGTACGGATCGCGCTCCTCGTTGACGATAACGAGGTACTCCAACGAACTGAAATTTGCAAGTAGTGTTCGAAAGACCGTCGCGGAATCCTTCTCCCGGTACTTGGAGAGGAAGATGGCCGGAATTGCAATCTTGCGGATGCTGGCTAGCTCGAACTGACCCAAGGGGCCGATCACGCGGTTCATCCCGCGCTCACCGAAGACGTCATCGGTACTTCCAGCTGAGTGTGGTGTGAAGAAAGAGAAAGCGGGATAATCACCGAACAAAAGACAGTCGCGCTGGTAGTCGAAGGGGGTGCAAGCTGGGCGTGAAGAGCTGCCAAACCAGATGCCGTAGACGCCGAGCCCGATTACGCGAGACTCCTTGCAGACGTGCAGAAGAACTGGGATCTCGGCGTGAAAGGAGAAGTAGCCGGCTTGTGCCTCACCATAGACGACGTCGACGACCCGAGGGCCGGGGATCGCGTGTCTCCATATGCGGTGGCGGAGCTTGGGCTCGATCGAGCTTTGGGAAGAGGGTGAACTTCTGCTTCGGCGGCTTGTTTTTTTTTAGAGGGGTCTGTATAGCGGTGGACGCTTCTTGCGCGACAAAGATTAACATTATGAAATTATCTGTATGAGCAGAGGTGTCTTCATATGGATCTATGTGGATGTTGTTTGATGGAGCAGGAGTTGGCGAAGGTTGGATGCAAGTCAACAAAGTCTCTTCTCGCGAAATGAATAAGAATGCGTAACGGATGTAGTCGCGGTGTTCCCAAAAGCAAGCCAAGCGAGCCTGAGATTACATGAGCTGATGAAAAAATTAGTCGGGCGTCCTTCGGCGTAGTCAAAGGAAAAGGTGCAATCGCTGTTTTTGTTTGATAGAGCGGCAGCTCTGAGGATAGTAGATTATCAAAAACCAACTCATGAGAAACAAGTACAAGACTGATATGGATAATTGCCGTGTCGCTTTCAGGATGACAAACAGAAAAATATAGCAGAGGAAAGAGCTGCCCGGGCCCGGTACTCATCCTCTCCGACAGTTTCACCTCTGAATTTTCCTACCTACTTCATCTACCCCCAAACCAGAATGGGTTTCCATCCAGTGGCGGGATGGCTTGGTTGGCAGGTCATCTTTAGATCAATCTGGACGGGAACGATTGGGCCCCCGGGATCCGGGAACGAAAAAAGAACCTATTCAGCTAGGTTTGATATCTAGGACCTCGTATCGGTATACGGGTTTCTAGAGAAGTTTTTGCCGTTCTGACCCAATCCTTTACCTATTTATTTCTGGTTGTTGGAGGTTGCTCGCTTATTTTGTGGATACGTTGACATCGATTACCTACCCATCCACATACCGGTAGCGGCTCCGAACGCAAGAAGGAAGGCCTTGGAGGGTTGCAGAATCTTATCTGATAATTTCTACCTCGTTCACGCCGACCCCTGAAGTCGCCGCCGATGTCCCCGAGGCAGCATCATCGCAGAAATCAAGTCAACTCCTGAGAACCGGGGCATTCTCGGCACTTGGGATTGATTGTCCTGCGAATCTCTACGTGCTCAGGCTTGCTTACACCTTGCAAGAGCCAGGGCAGCCTTATGGCAGAAATTCACGCTTCGGATCCATTCCTAGATGAGGTGTGCGCCCTCGTCTGGTACATTACCATCTAGGGGAGACTCCACCTCGAGCCTTGACGGACGGATGCTGGTGAAGCAGTTGGGGGCCATCGCTGCTTCGAATTAGAAGATTCCGAGGGTTGAGTGCTGGTGTGATAGAGATGGAGGACAAGGATCGAAGTGGCTGGAGGATGGCCGAAGGAGGGCCCGGAAAGAGGGGAGTGTTGGACTCGTTCTGATTGTAGAAATCCTGGGGATTCGTGTACAGATGTTGTAGGTTCGAGCAGATATATAGGTACTAGGCCGTGGAAAAACTTAAGCGAAGAGAAGGCCTTGTGAAGTTGAATCACCCAAGGTAGGGCCGGATTTGGCTCTCTGTTGTTAGGGGAATGGCTGAGGGATGGCAATGTGGTGATCTGGACTGGTGCATTCCAAGGGCGTGCGTGGTCTTGCGTGGAGGGAATCAGTAAATGGTTCTTAAACAGGCAGCAGCTTGCTAACGAGAGTAAGCCAAGCAAGCCAGTGAGTGCACTCCGTAAACCTCCTCCGCCGTCCTTTCTGGTACCACTAATTAACCCACTTCGAAATTTGATCTTGATCAGGTCATACCTCCCTTCCGCCTCAAAAAAACAGTTAGAAACCTCTAAATGCACCCGATTCTTCTTGTCTTGTTATCGCATTTTCTGAATGTAAACACCACACTCGGCTGACATCGGGTCGCGCCAGCTCCTGCCTCGATGGAACGCCAACGTCCTCCAAGAATCCCGCAGGATCACGTGACGCATGCACCTATTCTCCTCTTGACCCCCACTACTTGACGCCCTTCCCCCCACAGGTCCAGCCTCACGGGCGAACATCTCACCGAGCAAATACAAAATCAGTTTTTGGATGATTCCTTTTCAAATAAAAAAGAATGCCACACTTCCACCCCTAGTTGAATACCGAGGACAGATCCTCCCTTTTCATCATGACTCGCTACCCAGAATCAGCTCCTCAACCATGGCTCAAGACTCCATGCGTCAAGTCTGTATCTCTGTCCCGCGCAGCAGGCTGGTACGGTCCCCCTCTCCCTCTCCCGAGGAAACGCAACTAATTCCTCCCAGCAACGTCTACCTCAAGCTCGAGACTCTCCAGCCGTCCGGTTCCTTCAAATCACGCGGCATTGGGAACCTCCTCCGCAATGCAATCGCCACCCATGGCCCTTCAAAGCCCATCCACTTCTACTGCTCCTCCGGCGGCAATGCGGGCCTCGCCTGCGTCGTCGCCGCCACCACGCTTAAGCGGCCAGCAACAATCGTGGTGCCGCTCAGCACCACACCGCTCATGATCGAGAAGCTTCGCGCGCTAGGCGCTGACGTGGTGCAGACGGGCGAGCACTGGAGCGAAGCCGATGCCTATCTCAGAGAGGTACTTTTGGACAAGGATGAGCATGGGGTCTATGTGCCGCCGTTCGATCACGAGGATATTTGGGCGGGGGCAGCTACTATCATCGACGAGCTCGAGGAAGACGATCAGATGGGGAAGCTCGGGTACGATGCCGTGGTATGCAGCGTCGGCGGAGGCGGCTTATTCTGCGGGATCATGCACGGGCTCGAGCACCATCAGCGTCTCGCCGCAGGGGTGCGAGTCCTAGCCGTCGAGACGAAAGGCGCGGATTCCCTGAACCTCAGCGTACAGAGCAGGAAGCTCACGCGCCTGCCGGGCATCACCAGCATCGCCTCCAGTCTCGGCGCGACACAGGTAGCAAGCCAAGCCTTCACGTGGGCCATGCGCGGGGAGGAGGAGGAGGCGGAGGAGGGAGTCACCAGCCACGTGCTGAGCGACGCCGAAGCCGCCATGGCGTGCGTCAACTTCGCAGACGACGAGCGGATCCTCGTGGAACCGGCTTGCGGCGCCAGTATCGCGCCCGCGTACAGCGATACCCTCCACGCGCTCCTCTTCCCCTCCCTCTCCCCGGAGGAATTCTCCCAGAAGAACATCGTCATCGTCGTCTGCGGCGGCTCGAACGTCACGCTGCAGATCCTGCAGGCTTACCAGGAGAGATACGGGCAGGATCATGCCGTGCTGGAGAAGTTCCATTCCAGGAGCAGGGCGAGAGGGCAAGGGGCCGCCGAGGAGGCGCTTCCGACGACCGCAACAGCGACCGCGCGGAGGGACTTGGAGGGCACGCCGGTCCTGTCGAGACCGGCTACGGGGACGATGGATCCGGCGGAGGTGCAGAGGCAGGTTCAGAAGTTTGGGAAGGTATTGTTGGCGGCGGCGAAGGACGCGTAGGGAATCTTTGGCTTTCGAACTCTCGGGCACAGAGAAAGCGATGATGATGATGATGATGATGATGCTGATGATGACACGTTGAGATGGGATATGCTCGCTTGGTTTAGTTAGTAGTCTATAGGTAGATAGATATAGCTTGCTATGTCAAGCGATAGATAGATAGAGCGATAGAGCGATAGATAGGTAGATAGTTAGACAGATAGACAGACCTATCGATCAACTAGCAGAAGAGTTGGCCACGGGCCTTCCTTACCTTACTTACATACTGCAGGTGCTTCACCTGTCTATCCTATCCTGCCCTATCCTAACCTATCCTACCCTATCCTACCCTACCCTATCTATCCTTAAAGAGGGATCGAAAGCGCGACTCGGTAAATCCTGTGCTCGCTCGCTCGCCACCTCTCGAGATTACATTACATTACGTTACATTCCTGTCTTCAGTCTTGTCTCATTCATGACCTTCTCGAAAAGTCACACGCACTTCCCTATTCAAACTCTGTTTTGGATTCGCGACGTATGTACGTACGTACGTACGTACGTACGGATATACGGGTATCTATCTATCTGCCAATCTATCTATCTATCTATTCTTTATTAGCCCCCCAGAGCCTCCAGTCTCTCTTCCGATCTCTCTTCCAAACCACAAAAGCACAAAAGCACCAGCCCACCCCAAAGTTCTCGCGACAGGCCGACCTCTCTGCGTGAAAGAGTCGTTCTCCCTCTCTCCCTCTTTGTCTTTCTTTCCCTTTTTCCCTCTTTCTTCCAGTCAGTCAGTCAGTTAGTCAGTCAGTCAGCTGCAGGACGAGCACCTCAGTTAGCGCCGTTTTTGCACCTTTGGTTCTTTTGAGATGGGATGAGTTGGGATGGGGAGAGATGAGATGGGGAGAGATAAGATGGGGAGAGATGGGGAGAGGAGAGATGAGACGAGGAAAGATGTATGTGAGTGTATGTGTGTGTGTGTGTGTGTGTATAGCTGGGCTGAGATGGGATGTTGAGATATACTTTGAGAGCTTGGATTTTGGGTTTTGAGTTGGGATGAGGGGGAGGAGGAGGAGGATGGATGGATGAATGAGAGGGATGGATGGATGACAAGGAAGGAAGGAAGGAAATGAGGATTGCAGGTAGCTAGGTAGGTAGTGGCTTGAGTACGGTACGGTATGGTACGGTACAGTAGGGAGCAGGGCATGGTTTGGTTTGGTTGTAGATAGGGAGTAAGGTTGGAGAGGGAAAGAAGGGGGAGAGGGAGAGGGAGAGGGAGAGGGCTGGAGATGAGATGAGATGAGATGAGATGAGATGAGATGAGATGAGATGAGATGAGATGATCTTTGGTGGAGGCGGAGTACCTAGAGTGGGAGAGTTGATATGCGTCGACATCCATCGATTATCTTTTGCTTGTATGTACGACGTGACCAGTCGACGACGACGGACAATTTTTTACGTGTTTAGTGCATTTCATGTTCTGTCCTATCCAGTTTCTGTTTTGTTTTGTTTGTATGTGCATATGCGAGAGTCCTTGCCACGTTCCAAACCGAGGCGGTTCATGGAGGGATGGATGGATGGGTGGATGGACGGGTCGAGACCTTCCCTCTTCTCTGATCTGATCATATGTGGGTGACACGGGGGGTTTAGAACAGCGAGCTGGATTTGTAATTGGGGACGGCTCGGAGGAGTACGGAACAGACACAGGCACACAATGGGCGGACCTCGACCCGGGTCCTGGGTCTGAAATCTGAATCTGCTTCGTACGGCAGATCTTGGCTTTTTCGTGATTGGAGATGATACGATTGATGGGAATCGGAGAGAGGTGGATTCGTGGGATGAGTGAGAGAGGTGGTGGGTAGGACTGGACTGGACTGGACTGGACTTGACTGGACTGGAAATCTGGTTGCAGAGAGTGACTGCTCAGGTTTGTCCCCCCAGCTCCTGTTGTGAGATTCTCCACGGGAGTTACGCTAGTTGCATAGGAAAGAAGGAGAGGGCCAGGCTATAGAGAGGGAAGAAAGATGTCCTGTACCCAGCTTGATGCTGGTCTCCTTTGGCCGCAAACACTGTTTCGTGATCAAGAGATATGTTAAACGTGAAACCCGGTTCCCGGATCTGTAGCTTACACCGCAGGCAGATTGTGGCTTTCGTGATATGTGACAGGTAGGATCGGAAGGAACGCGAAATTTACGAAACAGTTGAGGAGGCTTGGGAAGGACAGAAGAAAGGCATGCGAAAAGAAGAAAAAAGAGTCAGTTGTGGAATCGGGGTCCGGGACGGAGCAAGATGTCCGCACTGTTTCTCTTGACTCAAGAAAACATGGTGGACTGTGACTCTCGAGGACCTGGCCATGATGAGGATCATCCCCGAAAAAGAAGGGAGAAGAAAAGAAGAAGAAGACAAGGACGAACAGCAGTACCGAAGATTGTAAATGGCAAAAGCGAGACGCTGAGAATAGATATGAAGAAGAAGAAGAAACAGACATGAAAACCAGAGATGGAATTGATCACATGATACGTACATTTCTCCCCTTGCCTGTTGATGCGGCGGAAGGGAAAAAGCGGCGGCATCCAATCGACGGCCCTTCTTTCCCCCGGGCACCACAGCCACAGCCACACCCACAGCCACACCCACACCCGCGTGTCGCTGCTCCGCCTGATCCAGGATCGTTGGCTGCCCACTGCCCACTGGCCACCAGCGGTCCTCATCTGTCAGACAGGCCAGCAGGTCACCAAAGTAGGCGTCCGACCTCATTTCAAGTTTCGAGTTTCAGTCGGCCCAACGGCAGACGGGCGGTGCGGGATGGGATGGGATGGGATGGGATGGGATGGGAGGTCGGTGGTTCTGTTCAGACGGGCTGGCTGGCAGAGTCCGTGTTCTCCGCGATGACTTGTCGCTTGGACGGTCATGTGGTCTGCATGTGTGGGTCCCGCCGGTCCCGGTCCCTCCAGGCGGTCGCACCGGCGAGATGCCACCGCCATTTGCCATTTGCCATCTGCCATTCGCCATTCGCATTTCGGACTTCCGCACCAATCGATCGATCCACTGGGCGCACGCAGGTACGGTACGGTACGGTACGGTACCCCCAACACCCACCACCCAACCGCATCGATGGGTTTTTTCTAGTCTGCGTCGTCCGCGCGGTCGGGACGGAGGGGAGCGGTTGATCGCGGGATCCGTGTGACCTGCAGGAACGAGAGGAGGGTACCTGACAGGAGGAGGAACGCGAGAGTTGCCCGTTGGTACACCAATCATCATTCGGGAGGAGAGGAAGGGAAGAATGATCGTGGAATGATACGATCCATGTATTCACTCCCTCCCAAAGAAAAGAAAGAAAAAAGAAAAAGGAATTCCGGACGAGAGACGGCAACGGGGAATGCTCTGCTCTGCTCGGCGGCTGCACGACGCTCATCTCAGGCTCTGCTTGCTACCGGATCTCGTTCTTGAGCTGCTCGGAAGACTTTGCCCTCTCTTCTGCCTCCAAATTGGTTGTTGATGCAGCAGCGCGAGCGTCCATGCATCGGTTACAGGCCGTGTTGTGTACCCTACACCCGCGATAGGTAACCGGTTCTCGTAGATATTGTATGCATTGCTGCGCCTGCTTTCCGCCTGTGTATTATGTTCGATGCGATGGATATCTGCTTTGGAGGCTACCTCTTGCAGCATGATCTAGTGGTTTGTTCTGCTCTCGCTCTCTCGCTACGATACTTCCGGACTCTTGAACGTATCACCACTAACGTATAAATTTAGAAACGCGTGATTACCTATTTGGAACTCTGGGCCGCCTCGTGAAGGAAATGTCCACTGCATCTTTCGAAACGCTTCCCTTCAGGTGTGCATGCAGCCTCCCCCTTGGCCTTCCCTTCCCCCCCCCCACCTGAATGGCTCGCTTGGCCCCCCGGGAAACACGGACTGGCCCGCTGGACGACCAACATCGACAAGAGCCCAGCGTGGCTTCCTGTGTGGCTTCCTGTGTGGCTACACGTGTGGCTTGCAGTATATCCAGTTACACAGATTTGTTGTCCATGCTGCATAGATGTCCCGCGGTAGGGCCCCCTTGTATGGGTGTGATCGGAACCCTGGTATGGCCGATTCGAAAAGGTAGGTCACTTTCGAGCGAGACGCCATGCTATCGACCTACGTCTGTCCGGACTACGCTATTCCACAGGATATCGAGCCAAGGTCAGGTGGGTTGCATGATGCGGGTTACGGGATGTCATGAGGGTGGAGGGGAATGTGGCAGATCGAAGGTTAGAATGGAAATGGAAATGGAAATGGAAATGGAATTGGAATTGGAAGTGGAATGGAAGTGGAAGTGGAAGTGGAAGTAATAGTGGAAGTCAAGAAAAGAAAAGGTATATAAAGGTGAAGTCTGTTCGTCCGGAGCTGGTTTCTGGACGTGAACGGCCTTTGCGCGTGCACTAGTGTAGTTCCATCTGCCTCTCTTCACCTCGACCACTTCGACCACTTCGACCACCTCAACCTCGTGAACTTCTATAAATCTCCTCCCCTTCCCACTTCCCGCCCGACAAGTCGCCTTTCTTACCCTTTCACCGCACTTGACGTGTCCGATCTCTGCAACTCACACTCCTTCACTTCCTTCGGCCATTCATTCATTCCTTCTTGGTTGGTCGTGGCTCGATTCAAACGAGAATTCCGTTCCTTCAGCTCAACGTGAGCAACGGGTACCCCCTTTTCGAGTCCTCAACTTCTTCAACACCAACCATTCTTCGTGAATCAGCTTCGACAGCAATTCAGTCATTTCAGAGCACCAGCGGCGACTACTCAGTACTCCCGGCGGTACTCAGTACTCCCGGCGATATTTAAAAACCTCGACTGCGCTCCTCACGCACATACATATCATACCCACCAAACTCCTCACCCCGAAGAACTTGAAGGTCGAAAACATGTACTTCTCAAAGGCAAAGATCTTGGCCGCCTTGGCCGCCGCCGCTACCGCATCCACCGCCAATGCTCGTACGTTCGCCGTCAACCATTTCTATGGCGATGGCGCTCTCATGGAGGGCCGTGTTGATCCCATCGTCAACCCCGGGGTCGCATCAACCCATGTTCACACAATCCAAGGGGGAAATGCCTTCAACATGACCATGACCGATGACCAAGCTCTCAAGTCAACCTGCACCTCCTCCCGCGTGAAGAATGATAAGAGCAACTACTGGACCCCGAAGCTGTACTTCCAGGACCCCACGACCAAGATGCTCGAGCCAGTCAAGATGTTCTACATGAACGTCTACTACTTGTAAGGGAGCCTCACGTGCCGCGGAGATCTTGGCTAACATCTGCACAGCTTCGATGCGACTACCACCGATGAGATCAAGGCCTTCCCCGAGGGACTGCGCATCTTCACGGGGAACTCAGCTCTCCGCACCCCCCCGGCAACGGGTGGCAAACAAATCATCGACCACTCCGGCGGTGCCATCCAACCAGTTCAATGGACTTGTCCTCGCTCGAATAAGGATGGTCCTTTGTACCCAACCGACTCGGACGGTCTGCACGGCGTCGGTATCCAGGACCCAAACAATGAAGGATCCGGTGTTGGTTTCCCCGACAAGAACTGTGACGGCTACGCTTCTCCTCTCCGCGCTGATATCCACCTTCCTGCATGCTACAACCCCGCCAAGGGAGTCGCCAATTACAAGGAGAACATGGACTACCCCACGCATGGTAACTGCCCAGCCGGCTGGATCCACGTCCCTCACATGTTCTACGAGGTCTACTGGAACACTCCCGAGTTCCAAGATCGCTGGACTCCGGGCAAGGGAAGTCAGCCATTCGTTCTTGCCAATGGTGACCCCACTGGCTACAGTCTCCACGCTGATTTCCTCAACGGATGGGACACGGCGACCCTGCAACAGATCATTGACAACTGTGATGCGGGCCATGCGGGGATGGACAAGTGCCCTGGTCTGATGGGTGGTGTGAACGACCCGTCTGGATCTTGCAACATTGACAGCCCGATTCCGGAGTCTATCACTGGTATCATGGACAAGCTTCCCGGCGGCATCTCCGTCGGCGCATGGGGTGAAAATGTCGCTGCTGCTGTGGCACCCGCTCCAGCAGGTACGCCAGCTGTTTCTACCGCTCCAGAGTCCACTGCCGAGCCAGCTGTTTCGCTCCCACCGACCGCGGAGCCAGTGTCTGCCCCGAAGCCCACCACCAAGCCGGCTGCGACTCCTGTACCCGCTTCATCAACGGTGGAGCAGCCTGCACCTAGCCAGGTCCCTGTCTCCACCCTTCCTGCCTCTTCCGCTAGTGAGCCCGCTACTATGGTCACTTCATACGTTACATCCTCCCGAGTCCTCTGGACTACGGTCACGACCGAGGTCACGGCCAAGGGCCCTGCACCAACCTCTGCTTCCCCTGTCGCTCCAGGTTGGTCGTACGTTGGCTGCTACGCGGATACCGAGGATCGCGTTCTCACCGGCATCGAATTCGCCAACATCGGCCAACATGCTGTCTCCAACACCAAGTGTGCTGCCTACTGCGAGTCCAAGGGCTTCACCGTTGCCGGCACCGAGTGGGGCGGCCAATGCTTCTGTTCGAATTCCCTCAATGGCGCCACCAAGGTTGACGAGAGCAACTGCAGCAAGGCCTGCGAAGGCGATAGCAAGCAGATCTGTGGAGGCAGCATGACCCTCAGCATCTACTCCAAGGGTGCCGTCAACAAGGCTCGCAATGCCAGACACATGCACCGCCATGTCCACCCCATCCACTCCTAGACGTCTCGCAATCTTGCTCATGTTTGCCTCGGTATGTACCAACAGGTCACTGGTCTGAGCAAGCATACTCCAAGCTGCACCTCGTCACGCTACAAGCTCATTTTCACTTCTTACAGCTACGCTGTCCTCTTACAAGTGCCATTTTTCACACAAGATCGGAATGATTTTCATTTCAGCTGGGGACTTTTGAAGGATTGCAGAACACATCTTCTTTCTCCCCTCTCGGGCTGGCCTTTTGCATTCGATTTTGCTTTATTTTCTGTACAACGGCGTCGGCGGAACCTTTCTTTGTAAGTACCACCTCGCGAGACCGATGGATGGAATCGGGTGGGATGGATGGATAGATAGCAGGGTTCGGCACGTACAAATGGGTCGAAGAGGCGCGTTCGAAAGGGATACCTGGACACACCTCTGGAGCTTGGTTGGCAAGATCTTGCAGTTGCCGTTAGGATCGGCTACGAATTCATGACCCCTTTGCAATTACATATTCCGTATGATGTATGATGTTGTAGTAGTACCGTACGACTTGTGACCTGTAAACTGTGATATGGTGCATCTATACACGCACTTGAGTGAGATACTAGGCTAATGAGCTTATCGTAGCGGTAAGAAAAATCCCCCACTCTCGGCATTCTAGGCTTTTATGTACCTATACGAAGAGTAGTGTTGTGCCGGTATTGTATGTAATGTAATGTATACTTTGGTCGGGTTTGTTTACTTTTTTTTTTTTTTCGGAGGTTTGCGCGTTCGTTAGAAGCGGCAGGGGGGTGGGGTGCTTGGGTAAGGTAGGTAGTAGGGAGGGAAGGTAAGGAAGTTAGGTAAGGTGAAGTGAAGTGAAGTGAAGTGAAGTGAAGTAAGCGATGAGAAGAAACGGCACTTGTTCGTGCGGCGGGGGCCTGGAGCACGTGAGGAGGGGGGGGGAGTTAGAGCACAGACCTACCTATGTACGGTACCTAGGTACCTACCTACCTAGTTGAGGAAGCACCACCACCACCACCACCACCTCCTTCCCCAACTTTTCCCTTCTAGCGAACACAGCGCGACCTTCTCACCTTTACGACCAATCGTCCAGCTAGTGGGTGACCTACGCAAAGAGCGATGCCTGCTCTCTCCTTGATCCGCAGCCAAGTTGCCAATCGACAGACACCCTCTTCTATAAATACAACACTCCTGAACCGATTACACGGAATCCATCTTGTGAAATCAAGCTGCTGCTGCGGTAGAAGAGAAGAGAAGAGAAGAGAAGACGACACTGGAGACCTAAGAATCAACTCTTGGAATACTACGTAAGATAGGAAATTAGCTTCAGAAGAAGAGATGGACGTATATCGCTGTTGAACCTTGGCGGAAGAAATAATGAGATTATACTACGTAGCTTTGGCTAGTTAGAATAGATTAAGGACTTACTTTGTTGGCTCAGTTATTGAAGATCTGCTATAGGACTATCCGCAGATTAATTTCTTAAGACCTACCCACGATACGGGGCGAGAACTACCGGTAGTATGAAGGGGATATGTCGTAGGGCTTAGGTCACGTGGTGACCTAGAGCACAGACCATATAATTGAGGGGTCACCTTTATCTTCTATAGCTTCTTCTATCTTCTAGCTAAGACGTCGACCTTCTGACCTTTGAGACCAATCGTTCAGCTGCACCCCTCATTAACATTAACGACTGCTTCATCCTGCTATGGCTTGACACCGCAGTATTTACCCCCGCCAGCTCCCAGTCCTCTCCCACCATGTCGTCGCCCATCCCCATCACAATCTTCACCGGCTTCCTGGGCTCAGGCAAGACCACGCTCCTGCTGAACCTCCTCCCGCAACTGCGGGCCCAGAATCCCAGCTACAAGCTCGCGCTCCTCAAGAACGAGTTCGGCGACCTGGCCATCGACTCGCAGCTGGCGTCCGCGTCGGCGATCACGGGCGTGCGTGAGCTGCTCAACGGCTGTATCTGCTGCAACCTGGTCGGGCAGCTGGACTCCGCCCTGCGGGAGCTGGCGGCGCAGGAGCAGCCGGACCGGATCGTCGTCGAGACGTCGGGATCGGCGTTCCCGGCCACGCTGGCCATGGAGGTCAACCGGCTGGCGCGGGAGACGCGGGGCGCGTACGTGCTCGACGGCGTGGTGGCCGTCATCGACGTGGAGAACTGGGCGGGCTACACGGATACGAGCTACACGGCGCGCATCCAGGCGCGGTATACGGACCTGGTGGTGTTTAACAAGTGGGAGGGGGTGGCTGCGGGGAGGATGGATGAGTGTCTGGATCGGCTGGGGGATCTGGAGGTCCAGGTTGCGTGGGTGAAGAGTGATCGGGGGAGGGTGCCGGTGGATGTTGTGTTTGGGATTGATGGAGGGCTGGCGAGGACGTTGGGGCAGGGGGGAGCGGAGGAGAAGGAGGGGCATGCGCACAAGCATGAGCACGGGAAGGGAGGCGAGAAGGGACATCAGAGCGAGGTCGAGGTGCTGTCTGTTACGCTTGAGGCGGAGGCTGGGGCCGTCGTGGATTCGGGGAAGCTGGAGAAGCTGCTGAAGACTGCGCCGAAGGACGAGGTCTATCGGATCAAAGCCGTGCTGACGGCCTCTTCCCGCATTGCGTCTACGGACGACAACTCGGAGCCTGCAGCTGCGGGAGCGGGAAGGTATATCCTCAATTGGGCCTTTGGGCGCTGGACGTGTACGCCGATGCAGAGCGAGGAGCACGAGTCGAGTAACGGAGTTGTGTTGCGACTGACCATGATACTGGCGCGCTTCGAAAGCACGAAGTGGAAGAAGAGGATAGAGACTGGCGGCTTCGTCGAATTATATGGCGACCAGAAGGGCTCAGTGAAAGTCGAAAAGATCGCATGATGTACGATGATACTGGCGCGCTTCGCGAGCAAAAAGTAGAAGAAGAGGATAGAGACCGGCGGCTACATCGAATTATATGGCGGCCAGCAGAAGGGTTCCTTGAAAGTCGAAAATATCGCATCATGTATGATGGTATGATTTACGAACGATGATAGAAGAGATCGACACCGATTCGCATCGCTGGTGAGTCTCGCCAAGACGGCATTCTGGGGGAACACAATCAGCATTGTAGAAGACACATAGAAGTCTGCAAACATCTACCGCGTCTTGGTCTCTCGAATTTCCTTCTGGTGGCATCTGACTCATGATTCATCTCTGCTCTTGCATTCCATACGCCTGTCAAAACGTTTCTTGTTTATTTCCTCTCACACGCGAAGAATGCACACCTTAAGCGAGGCTGCTCTCCTATTCCGCGCCAACATTCCACACCCACACCTCCAAACAGTATATAAAGTGGCCATCTCCAGGCAGTCAGTAGCTTTCTCTTCCTCGTCCGTCTCTTTCGTCCCAACCACACTCTTTTAAAGTGCGCCAAAAAAAAGGGAACAAGCCAGTCACTCTTTCAGTAATCTTCCGCTGTTCGGCTTCCTCTCGCAACGTTCACGCTTCACGCTCCTTCTATTCTAAGCAACAGCTCGTTCAAAATGGTACACGCATCGTAAGCCCGCGTCGAGAAGCGCTTGAACGCGTCGTCCCATCCGCTTCCCCCCCCCGGCTGATCAAGTCTCTTAGGTCCGCAGCCAGATGGGTGGCCATCGTGGCCTTCACCCCCCTCGTCTTGGGCCAGACTTACATCCTTGACCCAATCACCACGGCAATTTGCGACCCTGCTCTGGGCTACTGCCCGACTGAGCCGACAGCTACTCCTTCGGCTACTCCTTCGGCACCTCTGACTCTGCCATGTAACCCAGAACTCGGGTATTGCCCGGGCTTGTCGTCGTCGACTCTACCTCTACCTCTGGCTCCATCTCCATCTTGCAACCCGGAACTCGGGTATTGCCCAGGCTTGCCTTCGTCGGTTCCGGCTGTCCCTCTACCTTGTGACCCAGAGCTAGGGTACTGCCCTCTTCCACCCGGAGCAGTAAGTAGCCTCCTTGTACATGCGCCAGATCTCCAAGCTGACGCATCCCCACTAGACATCGACCATCGGGATACCGGGCATCGAGACACCGGGCATCGAGACATCCGCCATTAGCGCCGGGACCACCAGCGCGCTTAGCAGCAGCGAAGCCCCCGTGCCCACCGCCGTGCCCACCATGTCAGAGGCACCCTGCATCTGTCTCGTCTACCCATGCGAATGTGACGCCGCGGCCTCCACCATGTACACCACCGTGGTCCACACCATCACCTCCTGCCCGGCATCCGTCACTGACTGCCCCTACGGCTCAACGACCCAATCCGTCGTCCCTCTGCCTACCTTCACCCCCTGCGCCAGCGCCGAAGAGTGCCAGGCACAAGATGACGCCTGCCGCACCGCGCCCAACGCCAACCAATCCTACTGCGCGGCCCAGCTCGCCGAGTGCCTCAGCCAGCACCCGGAGGCCCCGACGACCGAGGCCCTGCACACGACCATCTACACGACCCAGTACGTCGACGTCTGCCCCACGGGCCTCACGACCAAGACGTACACCCTCACCAACACCTGCACCAGGACCGAGTGCCAGCAGCCGACCACCCACCCCGCCAACTTCGCCGAGACGACCAAGGTGTGCACCGCCTGCCCGGGCCAGCCCACCCTGACCGTCACCTGCCCCATCACCAGCACCGCCCTCTACACCAACGGGACGTCCCCCCCGGGCACGCCCGTCCCGGCCCCGGCCCCGGCCGCCACCCCCTGCAACGGCGCCAACTGCCCTCCTGCCGGCTCTGCCCCGGCTTGCAACGGCGCCAACTGCCCCCCTGCCGGCTCTGCTCCGGCTTGCAACGGCGCCAACTGCCCCCCTGCCGGCTCTGCTACGACCACCGGCACCGGGCCGTACATGACCGCTGGCGCAGCGAAGGGCTTCGCCGCCGAGAAGGCGAGCGTGCTGGCCGTCATGGGCGGAGTGATTGGTGTCTTCGCGTGGGGTCTGTAGGGCAATCGACCGGATAGTCGAATAGGGTATTATTCATTCCCTCTGATCGATCGATCCATTGGTTGGTTGGTTGGTTGGTTAGTTAACTGGTGGGGGTTTTTTTTCTCTTCTTCTTTTTTTACTCTCTTTCTAAATTGAATCAAGAGTCAAGTCAGTCAGTCAGTCTGTTTGCAGTAGTTGATTGCATTTGGAGGTCTTGTTTCCCCTTTTCCCTTTTTTCCCCCCCCTTTTTTCTTCTTCCCTTTTTTCTTCTCTCGTCGGGTCCTGGTGTATGCTGTATTCGTTATGGGGCGCGCCGTTGTGCTCGTGCTCGTGGTCGTGGTCGTGCATTCTGGGGTCAGGTCCAGGAGGGGTGTTACGTTCGTTTTGGGCGGGTCGGAGGTCAAAGTGGCGGCGGGGGCGGTGCCTTTGCTCTGCCCATCTTCGGGCCTAGGGTGTTTTTTTTTTATATATAAGAGGGTGATATGAATTGAGATGTGTGTTTTTTTTTAAGAAAAAATTCCTCTTTTTTACAGGTGAGAAGTCAAATGAATGAAGCATCTTTTTTCTTTTCTTTTTTTTCTCTTTTTTTTTTGACCTACAGTTTTTAAACCGGGAGCGTTTGAGAGCTGCGTGCGTGTGAACTCCGAATGTCATGAAGGACATTTGTCGGCCGAGAAAGGCTGCCCAGGCGTGGTGGTCCTGCGGTGGCAATCTAGCTCATGCATGCAGACCTTCGAAGAGTGGAGGGAGACATCACATCTTATCGGATCCCAGTCCCGGCATCGGTCTGCTCAGTGGCTTGGCTGCTGCCATACGCGACCTCCTCGTAGCCGTCGACGCCAAACTTCTCCCTCAAGGCCTTGATGCTGCCCTCCTCCAGGGAGCCCCCGAACACGAGCTCCAGCTCCCCAAAGTAGTTCGGCCCTTCCCCCACCTTCACGAAGCCGATGCTCTCGAATAGTGCGATGCTCTTCTCATTCTTGCTCCCAATCTTGACTTTCAGCTGCGATAGCTTCGTCGTCGGCTTCCTCTCGATGCTCCTCCTCGTCGTCCTCCTCGGCGTCGTCGTCTGTCCGTCCTCGTCCTCGTCCCCGTCCCCGCCCCCGAACTCGGCGAGGATGGACGAGAGGTGCGTCGTGATGTACTGCATGAATGCGAGTATGGCGGCGCGGCCGTAGCCTTGTCGGCGACGGGAGGTCGGGGCGATCATCAGCTCCAGCTCGCCGATGACCCCTTCGTCGTCGTCGTTGTCGTCGTCCTCGTCAGCCGGACTCAGGAAGAGGTTGACGTCGCCGATCATCTGGGCGGGGCCGTCGAAGGTGCCGGGTTGGATGGGGCTGAGGCTAGTGATGGTGGTAATGGTGGTGGCGGCGCTTGGTGGTGGTGATGGGAGAGGGAGACAGGCGATGAAGGTCAGCTTGTCGCCGTCACTGCGCCAGCTTTTTTGCATGGCGTATTCTTCCATGAGGGAGAGGGGCTCGGAGGCCGTCTCGGCTTGGATTTTCTGGTGTCGTTCGTTAGTGGTGGACTTTTCGTCGGGCTGGCTGCTGGTGAGGGGAGTGAACGGGGACTGGAAAGGGGGGGAGGAGGAGGAGGAGGAGGAGGAAGGAGGCTTGCTTCATCTTTCATCCACTCGTGGTATGTCGGTACATGTGAAGCTTCGTAGGGGACTAGAAGGACGGAAGAGGTTGATATGGCTAGATGCAAAACGTGACGAGTTAGAGCGATGAGGACGAACGATGAAAGAAAGGCCTTGAAGCAGAAGCTCTAGAAATTCAAACCAACATTCATGAAACGAAGCAAGCAGAGACTTGGGATAACAAGACACGTCGAAGAGAGCAGATGATATTCCTCGGCCAATTCAGCCTCCGTACCAGCTTGGATAGAAGAGGAATCTTTCTTTCTTGGCTGCCTCCCGAAGTCATGTTATGTCATTTTTGCGCACTTGGAAGCCGTCAAGCGCTATAATTTTTATATATATCGATATCAGACTGAATTGAGAGAGATGAAGCCTACCTGTGTTTTTATTGATCAACATCTTGTGGTGTAGGAGAAGTTGCTTGTTTGTGTGTATGTATGAGCATCTGTCTGCAGGAGGGGGATGAATTTCGTCGAAGTGGGCCTCACTTCACGACCCCCCACGTGATTGTATCTCGTTTAAAACCCCAACGACAAGACAACACTCCAGTCTCCCTCCTTACTCTTCTGCACCTCGCCTAGAGTCTGCCGATATCCGTTGGCAGCGCTTCTATATAACTCCGGTACTATTATATCTATTGTCTTGTGGATAAATCTGAGATTCATGGTGTTGTAAAAAGAGCTACCTACCGGCGTACGCTGCAGACGTTCTCGCACTCACCGAGTTGATATAATGGAGTGCATCAAGAACGGCTGATATTAACTAATGGGAAAGAAAAAAATCTTGCTTCTTCGTACTGAACTGATTCCAGGCGGCCGATTTACTCTGTAAGTGAGTCCCCCAGGTGGAAGCAATGCGGCTGGATCTGATCAAGGCATCAATGAAGAAGACCCTCGGATTTGTTAATAATGAGACTGGAGCTGGAGCTGCGTAGTATCTACCCGCGTAAATCTCTGGTTGTTGTTTTTCATTCGTTCTAAAATATGCTGTAGTAGTTTTAAAGTCGCTCATATTTTGCCTTTTAGGCACGCTAGCTTGCTTACTCCGCTTCGCTGTCGAGAATGTCCTCTAGTCTATCTATACCTATGCATGATTTTCGTTCGCTTTGCTTCGTCGCGAAGCGGCGCCGGCAGATAAACAAGTAAACAAAGACAATATAGATACGACCATGATTGAAATTGCATAGATCCCGCTTCGGATATAGTCGGCCTAGACTCGGATCAATAACAGGAGGCTTGCTCACCTTTGAACTTGTACCCTAGGTATTCTCAACTACGTACATGCCCAACCTGGAACCCGCGAGCATTTTCCAGGCTCATTTCTGCTTCCACGATTCATATTTTGCATACTTGCAACTATTAATCACACCGATTCGAAGAGATCGTACATCTAGTATGAATTTACATCTCAATGTGAAAGGTTCAAGGGCCATCTCTATCCACTCATTCCACGACCATCATACCCACTCATTCCAACTCTTTACTTTTGACAACACTCTCACCCCGCTGCAATCCATTTAAATATCTCCGGTACATCTTGCTTCACCTTAGCTCGAGCAGAGATCTCATAGGCGCTTAAAGACATTCTACATCACATCTTCAATTTCGAGCACCTAGGTTTCGACTGTACTATTCGACACACAGAACATCCTCAACTTCGACACTTTTCGAGTCTATGTAAGCACTCTTTAACATTACTTCATTCCTCTTACGCCCGCTCACTAACGAAACTTAGCAAGACCACACATCTGACCAAAACATAACCTTCCCAACCCAGCCGCCCAGCATGGCAACCAAGAAGGCTCAGAAGGCCCTACCAGCAAAGCCAACGAAAGGCAAAGCACCCATCAAGAAGAGCCCTCCACAAACAACGGCCCACAAAGCCCCGAAGAGACGGCGAGCTGCCTCACCCAAACCCAAAGAGCCAATTCCGATATGGGACGTGGGTCTCAGTTCCCAAGCTGCCCGCGAGCGAAAGCGATTCAGGCTCTCCCGTACATCCCTTCACGACGACCTCGATGAGGATCACATCGCCCAGCAAGCCAGCCTACTAATGGGCGAGAGCAAAAACAGTTGGGGTGTGCCAGAGCGGAGCCCAATCGAGGCTTCGAGACGTCCACGGCAGAAGGGCCGAAGCATCAGGAGATTGCGAGGCGGCGGGGTGGCAGATGCCGAGACGGCGTACCTGGCCATGTTTGAGGACATGCAAGCCGAGCGAGCTCCCCCCCGCCGACCGAACTGCCCGTCGCGCTCTCCGATACTCCGAATCCCACTCGAGGTTCGGGAGGAGATCTACGCATACCTGCTCATCTATCCCTCGCCCATCCAGGTGATGGCTGACTGGACGACGTTGGAGCGCAACCCCTCCGCCTCCGCCGTCGACCACTCCCTGCTGTTGGTATCCAGGCAGTTCGGGGCCGAAGCCACCAGCTTCATCTACCGCAATAACACCTTCCAATCACTCATCCGCAAGCCCGCGACTGCCGTCCTCCCTCGCTTCGGCACGCCCATGACACTTCCCACCAGCTTCCACTCTCTCCTCCGGAAGATCGAGATCGATTGTACAAAGGCCTGCTGGGACATGGCGTGGCACGAGAGAGCAGCGAAGGGACTGGATCGTCTCGTCACGGCAGGGGCGGTGATCAACACCATGACTGTGATGCTCGTTCCCCAACGCGTCGGCATGTCGAGCACCGCGCTCGAAGACGAAGCCAGCCCCGTGACGTTCGCGGACTTCTTGTGGTACCCTGGCCCCTTCATGAGAGCAGTCTGCAGACTGGCGCCCAAGAAGTTGGTCGTCGTGGTCAAGAAGACTAGCAAGAAGAGATTGGGAATGGAGCTCGATCTGACCTATCTTCGCGTCGGCACCGTGGAGGATAATCTCATGGCCAATGAGGAAACGCTCAAAATCAGGAAGGCTAGGTCAGGTACCTTGAAGAAGGAGTTGGTGGGATTCAAGGATCGCTTCGAGGAGATATTTGAGGATGATGAGTGCGCCGTTCGCGAAGGGAAGTGCTGGTTGATATCTACTGGCAACGGGGGAATAATGGGTGGCGGTACTCTGTAGCATGGCTCAGTTTTCACTTTTCGAAAAAGAATGTTAGTTTTTTTTTTTTTTTTTTTTCCTACGATTGCCGTTTAACAAGAATACCCAAAGGAAGGGAGCGAGCGGCCTGAGCCCGGCCCACTTCTTGTTCGTTCCGAATCAACTGTCTACAATTTGGACACTTGATATCCCGTTGTCTTACGCGCCGATAGCGAGCCTTGGCCTGGACATGATTACAGAGATACTCATTGTTTTCACAATGACCGCAGCAAAGTTCAAAAGCCGGCAGGTCACCTTGTCCAAATCAAGGACATTGCACAGACTTGATCGAGCTGAGAGCAGGCTCTCTCCAAATCTATCAATTCCGTAGCTCCAAGCGGGCTGCGCACCGCATACCGCTGCAACTAGGCTTGATCAAGCCGACAAAAACAAAAATGAACTCAATAGCTGAATAGCAACTTTAACACGGAATCGAAGAAAGATCAAGAATATCGACCTTCTCAGGAAAAGTACAATCATCAGAAATGTAAAGAGTGAGGAAGGTGTTATTTGGAGGGAAAGGGGTAAAACCCAGCTAGATATACGTGTGCTAGTTTATACTTATCGTGCCTTTTAATAGGCAACCAACTAACTGTCTATAGAGAGCAGCTTCTTAATACCTAAAAGACCCGAAAAACAGAAAAGCTGAAAAAGCGCAAAAGTTCTTGCGATTCAGGCTATCATTTACTGGATGTTTGAGATCTTATTCATCCATGAATTATGTACGGGGAACCTGCGAATTGATTGTGACTAACGCAACTGTAGTAAGCAATTGCTTGCTTTGACTCTCGTTTCTTCGAACAAACGCTATTTAACGCAGACCAAAAGTAACGCCTTGAAATGACGATCGAAGCGGTGACGAGGTTGAATTGTCGAATATTTTTTAAAAAATACAGTTTATACGTACGAAACGACAGACTTTGACGTGGGAGGAAATGAAGATTTACGACGGCTGGCGAGCCGATATGGGAATGGGTAGGGACTCGAATGCGTTGCTCACGCTCCGACCCCGAGTCCCCTCCCTTCGTGGAGAGACCTCGTCTCTTCCATCCCTATGTCTCTCCAATTTCCCAGTAGTGAGTGTATTTACTTAATATGGAGGTTATGCCAGCAGTTTTTCTGCATGTAGGGGAGTGCTTCAACCAAATGACATAAAACCTGTACGATACTTTGTATAACAGAGAGAAGCGGGATGACAACAAGAATATCAAATTAAACAAATTTTCGCTTCAAGAGATAAATGAGCAAAGAATGCACGTGTAAACTGACCTTGGACACCCCGATTGTATGGCTATGTGCTACCCATTACCTGGACGAGGTTTTCAGCAAGGGCATCACCCAGCTGTATTTCCCCGGTCATGTACTTTTACAGAGGATTTCATACGCTCGTCGAATTCCTTCTTTCCAAACAATTCGTCATCTTCGATTGCCAGAAGTCTTTTCATATCAATGGTTTGCGCTTCGAATAATCCAAAAATGTATTTTCTGCGACCAGAGACTGTGTTATAGACTTGGGATGTATTTTTACAGTCTCTCTCTTTCTCTCTGAGCATTCTCAAGGCACGCATAGAGCCACTGTGGCAAGCTTTCATTCTTGTGTTTTTTCGCTATGCAGAATAATGAGAAGCACCATCTCTCGCGCAAGACATTTCTGAATCCGGGGTCTTTGCGAAACTGGGAAAATTAGTATGATGAATGGATGTGAGCCTAATCTATTGATTTATGCAAGATTGTATTTGGGGAAATGATTAGCAGATGCTGGCGAGTGACAAGAACCAGAGCAGCAATCCCAAGCGTATCATCTGGTGTGAGATATAACCAAGGGTTGCCCAACAATTTAATATGCTCTAACCTTTATTGGAGAGCACGAAACCACCATGGCAGGATTTTCTTAACCTGTTTCATTCAATCACCAGTACCATAGCGGAATTTTCGTGGACGCCCTAACGCCCCTGAAATGCTTATCCGCCCCTGACCCAGAACTCCGTCCTTATACTGCAGGTACCGATAAATCCTCGTGCCACCCTTGAGCCCTTCTGCTTCAGTTATCGCCAGCGTCCCCACTGACCATCTTTCGCAGCTCGTACTCCTTCGTGAACTCTCGACTCAGAGTCTCCATTTCAGCGACCAACTCCTTGCAGCATTTCACCAGTGCCTCTTTTGGCGAAACTGTGCCATCGGTTTGTACGCGGAGCTCGAACTTGGCGAAGAGAGGGTGTGGGATTTTGTAGCCGGCGAACAAGACATGGGGGTCTTTGACGAGATGCGCGCGGAGGATGTTGGCAAGTGTGTGGTCTTCCTTGTTGAATGTGAACACCGAGCTATCGGAGGTACCTGTGGTAGTCAGTTATTGCACTTTGAGGTCTGTAGGATGCTAGAAGGGAGGCTGCCTAGTACGTACGGGTATCTGCTGCCTCGGAGACCTTCTTCTCGCCTTCTCCGAGAATGAACAACTCGAATCTGTTAGGCGCTTTAGCTTGGTCTTTAGCTTGGTCTTCTGAAAAATCGAGCGCGGTCTTAAAGACTCCGTTCCATCAAAGACCTTTTTGCATAGCCAGCTAAAGTAATAAGGCGACAAACCTGTCTGGGGCGTTCATCTTTGCGACTTCAGATGCGTAATTCTCTGCGAGAAACTTGGCAAACTTCTCCCGTGATGTCGAGGGAAACTTTCAGGTTACAATTTCAGTGGGGAAATGATTGACGGTCCCTTTGTTGACGTCGAACGCTGGCCCTGAAAATATATTCTTGACGCCAGCCTGAGCTCGGGGCGATCAATTGAGGCTCTACGGGTAGGCTAGTCTAGTCGGAGCTAAGCCCCGGCCCGACCTTATTCCGCATGGCGGGGTATCTACCTCTAAATTCAATTGCCGAGGAAAGATCTCGAGTGTTACTGAGTCTGGAATGCGATGGCATGCCTTTGGATACGGCTGGTAATATTTTGGGGAATCCAATCTGACTATTCTATCTGACCTCTTCAAAATGGCGACTAATCACTACGAAGATCTCAGATCGCAATATCAATGGACTCACAAACCTCTCATCGCGTCCGCTCCCATGCGGATGATAGCGACCTGTCCTCTCGCCCTTGCCGTATCCCGAGCAGGAGGTCTGGGATTTCTCGGTGCAGGCACCGATGTATCTACTCTACCAAACCTACTATCCGAAGCCAAAACTGCCCTTGAAGCCTCTCCGGTACCAAAGAGCTCCGAAGATATTCTGCCTATTGGCGTTGGCTTCATATGTTGGGGAGCCGACCTTCCATTAGCTCTTTCGGCGATCGAAAGTGCTCCTCTAAAACCGGCAGCAGCATGGCTTTTTGCACCAAGAGATAACGAGGAGCTTGTCAGGTGGACAGAGGGTATTCGCAAGGCTAGCAACGAAAAGACCAAGATCTGGATCCAGGTCGGTACCGTAGCGGCCGCACTTGAAGCTGCCAGGACATGCAATCCAGATGTCTTGGTTATCCAAGGTGCTGATGCAGGTGGCCATGGACTTGTCCAGTCCAGTTCCCTCATTGCTCTGTTTCCAGAATGCCAAGATGCGTTGGTCGGCGCAGGATTCAAAAGTATACCGCTCATTGCCACAGGAGGTATCATGGACGGGAGAGGAGTGGCTGCTGCGTTGACCCTGGGAGCAAGTGGTGTGTGTATGGGAACTCGATTCCTGGCTAGTCCTGAAGCTGTAATTAGCGAAGGATACAGAAAAGCTGTGGTTGAAGCTTCCGATGGAGGAGTGACGACTGCGAGAACAACCGTATACGACAAAGCGAGAGGGACACACGGCTGGCCTGATACTTACAATGCGAGGGGGGTACTGAATCAGAGTTTTTGGGATAGTCAAAGGGGAATGAGCGAGGAGGAGAACAGGAAGCTGTACGAGGAAGCTGTGCAGATGGGCGATGAGGGCTGGGGCGAGAAGGGAAGGATGACAACGTATGCAGGGGCAGGTGTGGGACTGGCCACGAAGGTTATGCCAGCTGGTGAAATAGTCCAAGAAGTCTTGAGAGACTATATAGAGCGCCTTGGAGAGATAAGTAGCCAATTTTTGAGTGTGCAGTAATACAGGCTTCGGTTTCGCGATATAGCATACGCCGTCAATCTATCTTCATGCAAGCAGGAACATGTCCATAAAAATCGAGGCTCATAGGGAGAAAAGTAACTGGAAGCTGCCACGCCTCATTTAAATCGGCCTCCAGCTCTTCTAGATGATGCTGTACTGTTGCCTATTGTCAGAATCCAGATTCTCCCTGACCATAAATTAAAGTAAACAAGTCCCGTCTTGGCGCCTGCCAATCTCGTGCCAACAACTCCTCTTCCGGGGCCCATGATAGGCTTTAGCTATAAACCTGGCGATAGCACCAGAGGAAGGCGATAATTTTCCAAGTCAAAATGTTCCGCATCGCGCAACGAATACTTGCCCATCTTAACGAGCGACGCCGGCTCCATTCTGAGAAAGTCGCTCCATCTCGCTTAAACAAGCAACCCGTGCCACCCCGGCTGCGTACTTTACGGCAACGCAAAGGCAGCAGTGCGGCACCAGGGAATTTGTAAGATGTTCCTAGGGAGAGAGAAAGGAACTGTAATCTGTTTTGATGCTCTCCATTCTCAAATCCATGCTTTAGAAAACTGCTCATGCTATCAAGACAGTCGAGCTATGTCCACGCCCGCTCGCTCTTCTCTGCCATCTACCAACGAAACCCTCGTCTCGTTGTCAATGATGACGTGAGTCAGCTGTTTTTTGAAATCGAATCCAATTTGGTTCAAATATCCAAGGTAGATGGTATTGGCTCCAGGATTTCAATTGGCCTTGAAGGCCATGTCTTCGGCTCTGTTGTATTGCTCGTCTGCGCTGCTGGCATCTTGCCAATCAACCTTCGCCGATCGAGACTATCCAGCGACTCTTGAACTGGTTGATGAACCCGTCATGGACAACAACGAGTCGGCCAAGGAATAGCGTAGTCTTCGAATTGCAATAGCCGCCAATCGTGTAAGAGAACACTTCAAAGAGCTGTTGAGATGGATCTCTCTCGCGCTGAGTCTCCTCCCCAGGATTGAGAGACTATGTTAGGAAATGCTTCACGCTGATCAAGTACTGTGATCTGTTGTATGTTCCAAGCGGAATATACACAGACTCTCCAGGTCCGGGTTTCGAAACAATTCTGGTCCATTCACTCTAAGCGCCTTAACTGATATTATCGAAATCAATAGCCTTCAGGGCTGGAACCATGCTAAGGCCCGTACGACGTTGAGTTGGCGCCATCTTGGTTTTCTCCCCAGAGAAGAACTTGGGGTAAAAAGGCAGTGAGAGTGGAAGTTGTATGTTGAAGGAGACTTCGAGGTGAGCTCAGGGCCGGCAGAGAGAGTGCAGGTTATGTGTTGTAAAGAAGAATCCGGTTAGAGGACGCAGTAAGAGTGGAACTTGTGTGTTGCAAAAGAAGCCGGTTGGAGGAGGCAGTAAGAGCGGATGTTATTTGTTGTAGAAGAAGAAAGGGGAAGGGAAACGCTGCCTATGTATGCAAAATCTCAGTGGTCTCACTGCGCTCAATTCACCTAGATGCCACCGACAAGAACTCGTGCAACGAACTCTTTTCAAAAAATCCTGATCTGAAACCCGGCACTCATCCAGCTCACTCAGCTCTGCTCAAACATGAAAAAACATCTTATCCCAAGCTCTACACTCACCTATAACTTCAATAATAATTGCAAAGAGTAGTATGAATTATTACTTCTAAGGTTGTAACGTGGCAAATTAGCTTTCTCGCACCAGTAGAGCTCTTTTGAAAAACTTAGCTTTGGCTTTGGCTTCAGCTTTTCTCTCTCCCATTCATCGAAGGTGCTTTCCTTCTCTGATCATCTTTATATCTTTAGAATATTATTAAACGATCCATGTAAATACTTTTGATTTTTGACTACTAGCTTTGAATGAAGTAAGATAGAACAAGCTTAATGAGACGTAAATGAGACTTCTCGCTAGCCTCAAAGTAGTACATATACAAACGAAAGACATATTTCCCCTTAAGTAAGTGTAAGACATTTACGCCTTTTCTTAATTTCAATAAATATGCAGAAAAAATATTACAGAGCGAGTACTTCAGAAAAGCATCAAGATTATCAAATTCAAATTATATATTTATTCGTTAACGAAAAACTTTGGCTTCTAACATGTCATGAAAATAACTTGAGCTGAAATACATTTTGTACTTGTAATAGACGGTGTGTATATTTAGAACTTTCAAGTTGCTGAACCCGTGCTATGTAAGCTTGATACAACGTACGTACATCTTAGGTCAGGGTATATCCTTTAATCTCTTTTCCTTTTCCCTTTCACTCAAAACCAGTTATCAATCCAAGACTAAATCGCCATATTTCCCCCACCACTGCTCCTCTTCTAACGTACCTATCACTTTTGTTCTTCCTCCAAAACCTGCTCGAGCCCAAAATTATAAACTCATTGTCACAGTCATGCTATTACTATGCACCATCAGTACCGGCGGGCAGCCCCTACATAACACCTCCAAATCTCCCAGGTAAGTCGCACTCGCCTCCTCGCTCGCGCTAGTCCCCTCCACCGGAGACGGCAGTGTCGTGAACATAACTGCCGTGTGCTTACTCTTACTGCGCATTAATTCATTCAGGATCAGATGTTGAGCTCGACATGGCAGGTCGTTAAAGCTGAGGGGGACGCCCTGCGTCGAGTAGGTTGAGCCGCGGCGGGAACGAGTTTTATTGTCTGAGGGTTGGGGAGGAGGAGGCTCGGGGTCTTCGATGTGGGAGGGGAGCGCAGAAGAGGAGGTCGGGTTGTAAGCAGATGGAAGGCGGGTGTTCCGGCGAGGAGGTGGAGACGGCGTGTATGTGAACATTATTGAGGGACCGGGACCATCCTCAGTTGCGACCCGAGTCATAGGGACGGGCTTTGACGAGAATTTTGGCTGGGAAGCATGGCGAGAGAGAGGCGGACGTTCAGATTGGGCGGACAAAGGGCGAATGATCTTTGATGCGTCAGATTTTGGGGATTTCTGCTCCTTGAGCGAACCCGGTTTGCTACCCGTTTCCGAAGATGCTTTAAGGTTGGTCGTGAGGCCGGAGTTGGAGTTGGATTTCTTGTGTACAGCGTCGGAGTCTGTGCTCTTAATGTGAGGTACTGATGTGATCCCGTTGTTGCTCATAGGCAGAATCGATTTTCTTGGAACCCGGTCCGGGACTTTGACTTCTCGCTCTCCGGTCGATTTTTTGGAAGGTGGAGGACCTCTCATTGTGTCTCCATGACTTCTTCTCCTCTTTAATCTTGACCGCTCCGGAGACGGAGAATGGTGATCGGACTCGTAGTCATCCATATCTGCTTCCGACGCCGCTTCTGACGCCACTGCTTCGGAGTCACTGTCTTCGAGACCGCTGTCTGAGTCTTCACTGGCACTCATGTTGCCAGCCTTGAGAAGGCTGTCGGACAGTCGATGTGTCCTCATACCTAAGCTTACGCCTAGCTTTGTTAACCCACTCATTGTGTGCTTCCTTTTCGACTTCTTCAACAGTCTCCGAAGACCTAGGAATCGTTCAACTCTCTCCCCTCTGGGGCCTTGTTGAAAAGAAGCTTCAGGCCAGTTCGAACCAACAGTATAGATGCTAGCAATCTCTGACAGATCATCTGTCCCGGACGTCGGTCCTCGCTTGCCTCGAATTTTCTGCAGCTCGTCCCACCACTCCTGACCATTCAGGCATTCTTCGACCTCTTCTTCTGCTTCTTGACCGAGGCTCGACCCATTGACGATGATCTCGTAAGTTTTCAATTCACCAGAGGCTAGCCAGAAGACCAATACTTCTGCTTCTATTCTCAAATTCTCGAGCAACAACTGAACTCGACCTCGTTCTTCATCGACGTCGCTTTCGTACTCGACAAATACCGCAACTCGAAGTTTGTAGGCTTTCTTCCAGGCGGGGACTGTATTCAGGATAACACCGAGTTGCAGGATTAAAGTGTCTAAAATCCAGTTAGCCCAAAGCGCTGTCAGGAATGGGGAACTTACAAGTATCAAAGTTTGTTGTCAAAACATTCTGCTTATTTTCGTCTCCATCCCCGGCGATCTCTGCCGACATTTGAATCGGCCACAGGTCGATGTATTTTTTGGATCCTCCCTCAGCATGCGGAAATTCCAGTGAAGAGAAGCCCTTTGCAACGGCAACGTTAATCTGAAGTCTTAAGAGCAGATCCTCGAGAATCGTCACATAGCTCGTTACGGACATCATCGCTTCCGTTTTGCAGGTATCGGTCGGCAAAGTACCAGTCATCTTGGTCTCTTTGCTATCTTGTCGTGTAATGGCCCTCCGCTCGCCGTCAGAGGTGCTGGGCTCTGATGATTGAGGAGAGTCGATGTCAATCAGTGGCCTGTTTCTTCTCAAATCATCAAGATTGTAGAATCCGAGAACAGCGATGTTAGGTCTCATGCCACCGAGTCCTGAGTTTAGCACGATATTTCTAGCACCCCATTCAACTCCGGGGGAGACGGCAATGTTAACAAAAGCCTTGATCTTCGAGAAGTCAATGTATTTTGTCCACGCTGCTTGTTGTCTACGAGCTTCCGGGACAGAGCCGCCAAAGTTGTCGGTAACGATAACATGGCCGAGAATATATAACGAGCCTTTCTTCATTGAGTTGCAGAACTGGATCAGCTTATATTGTCGGCGAGGATCATTGACGAACAAGAGAATTTGAGGGCGCCAGAACTTCACATGCTCTTGTCTTAAGCGAAGAAGATACTTTCGGACTTGGTGGTAGATGAGATTCTGGGACACGTCTCCCCAGCTCTTTGGCGGACTTGTGTAGTGAATGATGAGAAATAAAATGACCAGGATACCGACGCAGGAAGCTGCGTAGAGGCCATCAACGAAGAACATGGCCACTGCTGAGACGATCGTCCCGATAAATGCGGTCTGCCAATTGAAGAAATGGAAGGATGGTCGGAAGTTTGGCGCTGAGCCGATCTTTAGAAGAAAGCAGGCCAAGTTCATCACCAAGAATGTCATCTATGTACGTTCGGTTAGTGTATGTGAAAAGAAATTTGCCAAGAACTTCGGAACAGTGAATGCATGCTTACAAGATAAGTCATTGTAACGAAAGATGCGATCTGATTCAGATCGCAGAGCATGGTGACCTGAGCCACAATGTATGTTGCAATGATTGCATACGTTGGCTCGTCGCCATTCTCCGTTCCCTGTCCAAAGATGGAGAACCCAGGGAGCAAGTTATCTCGCGCCAGTGCCTGCAGCAGCTTTGCTGACCCAATCACACCCATCAGCGTCGAGAAGAAAGCGCTTGCAAATTCGCCAGCCAGAATAACAAGACCAGAAACATTGGTATCTTGGATGACATTGGCGTTTCGGACGAATGACGAACGAGTGATGGTTGCAGCCATCGCCAATATTACAAGCGTGTACAGAACGAAAGTGGTACCGAGACCATAGAGCGTCCCTTTCGGGATCGACTTGCTGGGATTTTTGAGATCTCCAGACATACTGGCGCCTGCGAATATACCTCCAGTTGCGGGAAACAGAATGCCGAACAGATCTTGAAAGGTCTCCTTGCCACGAAGTTCTACGTCACAGGGCATCAGCCATGGTGATGATAAGGAGTTTCGGGGGACCATGGCCTGTGCCCAGGAGATCTTGAGAATTCCCAAGAAGGGAGAACGGGATTATATTATACTTACGACTTCCTGCAGCACCTTTCGTGAGCTGGGGCATCATGTTCCCCTTGAACGTGCGCCAGCTGAGACCAGTATAGTCGATACCCAGCTTCCTGCTTTCGAATGGCGAGACAACCAATGCAGAGAATGGAATGCTCAGCGTTGCAACTATGAGGATGACCAAAAGCCCGTTGGAAGCACGAGCGAAGATACTTGAGCCAGCAAGGCATATGGCTGTACAGAGTACCAAGACGACGGTTGACCAAAGATAAAGATACCACTGACTTTCGGGCATTATATTTGCCCAGTTGCCAGTGTTCGTTCCAAAGTTCAGTTTGAAGCAGTCAACAAGACCCACGGCATTCAAGCCGGTGTTGAAGACGAAACCCATGTAAAATACAACTCCTATTGATCCGCCGAACTCGGGTCCAAGAGACCTGGATATGAGGTAGTATGCTCCACCCTGGAAGATCAGGAAGTCAGTGAATTTTCGGAACTGGTGTCTCGGGAGTAGTCTCAGTCTCAGGAACAGACTGCCCATCGACACGTAAAAAGCTGCCTGGTCAACTTACTCCACGGACAGTTCCATTCGAAGCAATTGCGGAAAGGGAAAATGTGGTGATCAAGTTGATCGCATATGCCGAGATTAGCATTCCAAGAATACCCAGAACTCCACTTTGGCCTGTTGATTTGTTAATAGAATGGTAGAGCGCAAATGTATAGCAATCATGGATATGGTTGGTATTGGCCAAAGAAAGTCTTCGGACTGACCAAGGATAAAACCGAATCTCAAGAACATGAGAATACTGAGGACATTTAAACATGTCGGCACATAGACGCCAGAGAACATTCCCAGCTTTTCGTTGCCCCCAATGGGTCTTGGTCCCAGGCCGGCTTTGGGTGTTGATGTTTCCCCATTTGCCTTCTTGATTTCAACGGCATTGTTCATCTGGATTGTAGCCATCTCGTCTTCGTCTGCAGCGTTGGCTGCTGGGGACTTGGACCTCCTTCGCACCTCGGAGGAGCTCTCCCCTCCACAAAAGGTTGTAAGGTGCAGCAGCCGTTTCGTCAATGAATATTCGTGGGGGGGTGGGATCGAATTGTTCGTTGCTGGCTCGTAGGGGTTTTCTCCCCCCGGCGGTGCTCCATCATCGTTTGCCCCGTCCAGCAAGCCTGGGTGCTCTGGTTGCCCTGGTTCCACGGCCATGGATGATCGCCGGTGAAGCTCTCCGGTCGCATCGTGGGCGGTTCCGGAGTGGAAGTGTGAATGTTGATGCGACAGGGCCTTCCGGGCAGGACGCAAGGTGCCCGACATTGCTGCTTGCTGCTGGGATATCTCGCAATGCAAACGGCGTGAACTTCATAGGAAGCGTATGCGCTCCATGGTCATCTGAAGAGAAATGTATGATGTTGGCGGCGTATCCGCTGTGAGGTCCCTGGGCAGAACAAACTATTGTCAGTACCTACCCAGGTACCGGTATTGTCAGGCTTGTACCAGACGTCACTCGGCAAATTAGTCTGAAGACCCGTCGAGATCGACAACGCATCAGAGGAGAAGAGAAAACATATATAGGTACCATCTATCTCTATGTGTGTCTGTGTGTCTGGTCTGCGTACCGGTATATATATGAGCCATACAGATGGCAACCAAATGAGATACATCTACGAAGAAATCCAGACATAGATCATTCCGACAACCTCGCTCTATACCCAAGATAAGTAAGCGGACCCCTCCGCACGATGAGCTTGGCGGCAGGTGGCAGGACATGGACATGCCATGCGAATCAGCTCGACTCGTGCGAAGACAAAATAACCGCGCCAGACGACACGACATCAATTTCTGCCTCCTAAATAATTACTTGTTTATATACCTCTCTCTCTCTCCTCCTTCTACATACCTGTGAGTACTTCAGAGCTCCGTTATCTCCAACCTCTCCACAGTATCCGCAGGCTGACTTTCCACCGCGCCCGCAGTTCCTGTCCCATGCTGCCAGGTCCGCGAAGCATGATAAGATAGCCCATCTCCATTCAACTGTCCTACGACAGACTGCTTTCCAGTTCCTTCCCATATAAATATCATTCCAGGGCATCCCAGGGCATCCATCATGTCGAACCCAGGAGATGTACCGTCGTCCTCTCGCCCTCGGCCAGTTCCAATATCGTCTTCGCCGAGCTCGAGTTTCTCGAGAGGGCGTTCTGGATCTCCTCTTACTCGAGAGACCTCAACAGCTCGATTAGCCTCCCCAGTCCCGTCGCACAGCACAGTTGGCACACCACAGGCACGCCAAACCCCTAGTCAAGCTGGGCCAGGCTCTTTGGTCTCGGGAAGTTTGACCCCTCTTGCTGGTCCTCCACCCCACTCTTCCCTGCCCGGGCCGGGAGTCTCAGCTCTCGCAGCAGCTCTTTCGAACTCGTTTGGTCAGTCACCACCAAAATTTGGCACACCGCCAGTCAGGCCTCCATCACCAAGTGCGGCGGCTCACCAGCTATTACCATCGGGAGCGCCTCAAAGCAACTATGGCTCATTCGACAGAGCTAGATCGATACAAGGGGCCCCAGGGTGGGCAGGACCAAGCACATATGAAGATCCCGAGATCGTAAGGAGACATCTGGTACAGCCTGATCAAGGAGACGGCACTGCATATAATGGGCCGTCCATGTCATTTCGGGCAGGATCTCCAGCTGGGAAGGCGAAGCAGAACGCAGATGATATAGCGCCTGGACTGGATGACGAAGAGTTCTCGAGCTTGAAATTGCAGGGTGGAGATGTTACACGACCTATCTACAGGTGGACCGAGGGAGCACAGGCAAAAGCTGGGGGGAGGAAATCACAACGGAGTCAGAGCTTCCACCTGTCACGGCCACACCCCGAGAACGAAGTTTTGGACATTGAGTCAATCAAGATCCCCGGTGGATTCCGTAGAAATTTTCTTCGCCGTGCTGTAGCGAGTCCTTCCCCAATGGGTAGACGGCCAGACGAGCATAGCGTCGGGACCCGTACCCAGCCGAAAATGCTCACCAACAACTTCATCGAATTTTTAACAATATATGGACATTTCGCCGGTGAGGAGCTAGAAGAGGACGATGAAGTCCTCGCGCCTGACGAGTACTTCTCGTCTGAAGACCAATCGGCGATCGGAGAAGATGAGGGTAGTGACGATGACAGAGAGCCGATGGAAAGCAGCGCACTTCTCACACCAGGGCAGAAGAAGAAGAGAAGGCGTAAGGATAAGCACGTTGAAGGGACCAACGGGTCCATGGGCGCAGCTTTACTGCTGCTCAAGTCCTTCGTTGGCACTGGTGTTTTGTTCTTGCCCAAGGCATACCTCAACGGCGGTATGCTCTTTAGTAATCTTGTCCTGGTGTTCGTCGCTGTACTGAGCTACTACTGCTTTGTGCTGTTGGTCAACACACGCTTAAAAGTAAACGGATCATTTGGTGATATGGGTGGAATCCTCTACGGAAACTGGATGCGAACCACTATCTTGGTCTCGATCGTACTCAGCCAGATCGGCTTTGTTGCTGCCTACATCGTCTTCACCTCAGAAAACCTGCAGGCTTTTATCCTGGCAGTCTCGCATTGCAAGACTCTCATAGATGTCAAATGGTTGATCTTGATGCAGATGGTTATTTTCTTACCATTTTCGCTATTGCGAGACATCAGCAAGCTAGGGTTTACAGCTCTGATTGCCGATGCGTTCATCCTGATTGGACTTGTCTACCTCTACTACTACGATATTTTGACGATTGTCCGACAGCACGGAGTAGCCGACATTGTAAACTTCAACCCCAAGGACTGGACACTTTTCATTGGAACTGCAATTTTCACATTCGAAGGTATCGGGCTGATAATACCTATCCAAGAGTCGATGAAGAACCCTAAGAAGTTCCCTCCCGTGCTCGGCCTCGTCATGATCATCATTAGCGTGATCTTCATTTCAATGGGCGCTCTCTCATATGCAGCATACGGTTCCAAAACCGAAACAGTCGTCATCCTCAACCTTCCTCAGGACGACAAGATGGTCAACGGTGTGCAGTTCCTCTACTCCCTCGCTATTCTGCTCTCCACCCCATTGCAAATCTTCCCAGCAATCAGGATCACAGAAAACGAGCTGTTCACCCGCAGCGGAAAGTACAACCCATACATCAAATGGCAAAAGAATCTCTTCCGCTTCTTCGTCGTCATGCTTTGCGCAGGAATCGCGTGGTTTGGCGCCAATGATCTGGACAAGTTTGTTGCGATTGTGGGTAGCTTTGCATGCGTGCCTTTGGTGTACATTTACCCGGTAACCACTCCACCCCTCTTTCCTTTCTGCGTGCAATCTCACTAATGAAATACAGCCAATGCTCCACTTCAAAGCCGTGTCCAAAACCCGGTTCCGCAAAGCGTGCGACGTCCTCCTTTGCATCTTCGGCTTCGTCGTCATGGTATATACCACCTCCTTGACCGTCATCAGCTGGGCGAGCGGGGACGAGGAGCCGGGACTGCCGAGCTACTGTGACAAGAAGAAGCTCTTAGGGCTGTTCGAGTACAAGTAGGGTCGCCCTACCGAGCACTGAACTGCATGTTATGTCAGAAGATTGCGCGAGTTTTAATCAGCATAGGCACGTTCTTGAAGTCGGCTGGGGATTTTTTTTATAGACTTTCTTATTGCATAGCGCTGCGCTGCTTCCCTTGCCGCTTCTTACTCCGCATCGAGATTTCGGCGCCTTATTCCACTGCTTGCGTTGCGTTACGTCCCTATTTTTTAAAGGCAGGGCGTCATTTTATGTTCCATGAGATGCGATAGACGGGTCTTTTCGATGTTGTATGTGTTGGTTGTTTGCGGATATGATAGGATAGAATAGGAAAGTAAGCGGAGCAGAGGCCTCTAGGCTTTATGAATTAGCGTTTCTGTCCATCCGTTTGCCTGTATGATTGCATCCCTCTGCTCCCATTCCAGTCTTATCGTGTATGTGAAGCTGGTAGTTCGCCATGAATCTTTCTTTTATGTCTGTCTATTGCGTTCCTGACTCGATTGCTTCTTGGAACATTCTCTCCGTGGACCATACCGATTCTCTTTACTGTCCGTCTGTGTCTCGCTACTCGAAATCTACGATAGTACCCAGGTTGCCTAAGCGAGTGCAGATGTCAAGGAAGCAAGCGAGTCTGGGCGCCATCTAATCCCTTACTTATCCCTTGCAATTCAAAAATGAAACACATAAACTATCGTTAAATCAAAAATGCAATCCTAGTAAAAATTCCAATTCTGTCTCCAACGCCGAAAACATTCTCACTTTTGATCTCTACTTTCCAACCCCCCAAAATTCCAACCACCAACTACCTAAACTCCAGCAAACGGAAGACACCCGATCATGCTTGCAACCACGAATGCGAAAAATGCCTGGTTGCCTCTCGCGCGAGTGGGTGGTGCGCCGGCTGCGGCGCTGCTGCTTTGGGTGGGAAGGGATTGGTCGCCGTCGTTGGGTTTTGTTGCTGTGAGGGTTGCGGTGAGAGTTGTGGTGGGATTGGTGGTAAGATAGGCTGTGCTGGTAGGGATGGGTGGGAGTGTGCTGGATCGAGTTATTATGTGAAGTGCCGTGAAAGGGTTTGTGGGGAAGGGAGGGGGGGGTGAGAGACGTACTATATGATAGTGCCGTTTGTAGTCTCGTTCCTGGCCTCGACAGTGGAAGCGAAAAAGCAGAGGAGGATGACGAGAGTGAGGAAAGTAGAGAAGATGGGTAGGGTATGGATTTGGGTTTGGGCTGGGGGGGCCATCTAGACGAGCGGGGTGGTTTTGGTTTGGGTTGTTTACTTTCGTGGGTAATAAGCTCTTGGTAAGCGAACGAGCCGGTTTTGGGAATTAAGTGAGTCTGAGATATAAATTGGATATACAGATGGCGATCGAGATGGCGATCGTGATGGTGCGACTTGAAAGTACTTGTATTTATGGAAGACATAGAGATACCTAGGGACAGAGAAAAAGGAATTGTGGAAGGGAGGGAAGGAGGTTGGTGGGTTGGAATGCATGCAGACGAGTAACTATTGGATGCGCCATTTCCTGGAAGTGGCTGTGTATGGAATGTCGACGACTTCTGAGATCTTTTCTATTACTGGATTCGATAATCAGGCTGCCGCAGCTGTTGAGAGCTTATTGACCTTATTGACTTGCAAGAAAGGGAGGCGATATGTCGGCACGTGTAAATTGACAGGGATCCGCCTCGCGTCCTTGGAAATCAATTTACGCGTGGAGCGCGTCAACCTTCTCATAATTCCCAGCAACACTTTCGACGTCGCAACGCATTGCGAACACCACCAAGCATGGCCTCCACCGAGGACTCCGGCAGCTTACTGCGTGCTCCCTCGTAAATATCTCCCCTTTACCTTCTTACAAGATAGAAAATCTAACCTCCTTCTCAGCAACACCTCAACCTACACCTCGCTTACCCGCCGACCCTCGGCCTACAAGCCCCTCCTCACCTACGCTCTCGAGAAAGAGAAGCACTACCAGCAGCAGTACGCTGACATGTACTTCCTGCGCCTCGCGAAGCTTAAACCCGCCGTGGAAGCCATCGCGGCAGAAGCGTGGGACGGCTTCTGCATTGGCGGAGAGGAGGTCGAGAGGACGGAGCGGGTGCTGGATGTTAGGCAGGGGAAGCTGTGCTGGGTCGCGGGGACAATTTACATGGAAATGCCACTGAAGCCGAACATTCTGGATGATATCTCGAAGGACGTGAGTACCTGCCCAAGCAGTGATGGGGGGCTGCAGGTCTCGGTGGGAAGCTGGCTGATTTTTATGACGGTGTAGCATTGGATCTCTGCGCTGCCACCACGGCAGAAATACTTGTCGCCAACGGGAGAGGATCTCGTTATGCTGGAAGACGAATCTGGGCGACTGAGGCTTGTGGGTGCGCCGCTGGCGAGCGAAATGCTGGTTACGGGGTGCATTGTTGCGGTGATGGGGACGGAGAACGCGAATGGGGATTTCGAGGTTGTGGATATCAAGGTCCCAGATTTACCGCCGCAAGCTGAACGCTGGCATACTTCAGAACCGATACCCGATAAGAAAATCGAGGAAGATGAAGACGAGGATGTGGATATGGATAAGCCTGCGCCTGCTAGCGGCAAGAAAATCGCTATTGTCTCTGGCCTGGGATTTTCAGGCACGGATGCGGGCCATTCGTTGGAGGTTGGTCTTCTGGCTGAGTACCTGTTGGGCGAAGCTTTGGACCCGACTGCGCAAGAAAGTGTCTCGCAGATCAGCAGGTTGATCATTGCGGGAAACTCCATTGCGTTTAATAACGAGGCGGTTTCTCACGATACCATTGGCAATACACGGAAAGCGCATAAGAAATACGGATATGACAGCAGTGCCTACAATCCCGCTCCTACGAAACACCTCGACGATTTCCTGGCTACGATACTGCCGAGTATGCCTATTACTCTGATACCGGGGTACTCAGATCCTGCGAATGTCAGTTTGCCGCAGCAGCCTATACATCCTGCTATGTTTCCCCAAGCTCGGACGTATGGTGCTATTCCGCCTTCGAAGGATGGCGAGCCAGCACATCCGGGGTGGTTTGACACTGTGACGAATCCCTGGGATGGCGAGATTGAGGGGTGGAAAGTGCTGGGTACGGGTGGCCAAAACGTGGATGATGTGTTCAAGTATGTGGAGAGTGAGGACCGGCTGGGTATGCTGGAGGCGATCTGTAGGTGGAGGTGTGTTGCACCAACTGCGCCGGATACGTTATGTGAGTCTCTTAATTATCCTCTTCATTCGTATTTCTTTACCACAGCGGAATCGCTGCCCTGGGACTGATTGCTAACGAGCGAGAATCAGGGAGCTACCCATTCCAAGAAGATGACCCGTTCGTGATGAACGCCTGCCCTCACCTCTTCTTCGTAGGCTCGCAGCCGAAATTCGACACGGCGGAGATCGAGGGCCCGAACGGACAGACGGTGCGGTTGATTGCCGTCCCGAGGTTCGCGGAGACGGGGGAGCTGGTGTTGGTGGATTCTGAGACGCTTGAGGCTTCGGTGGTGAGGATATCAGTTGCCTGAGTTGATACGGGAGAAGCTCAGCAAGTGAGTAGTGAAATCTACTTGTGTCGAGTAAATTTTGACGACTTGGGGTGATCGATGCCAATCTCATGATATACTGCTCTACTTGCCAAAAGAGAGCAATGGATGGCTTGGCATGAAGCCCCTTGGGATGGACCAAAGCCTAGTTCATCTACATACGTGCGTGCTATTCTTGACGAGCAAATCCACACACGCCAAGCTAAAACTACAGCTATTATAATCACTACGTGCATACCAATGTAGCAGGCTAGGAGTTTATCATATATTTGGACATGAACGTGAAGAGAGAAGGGCAGACCGTGCCATGCAGACTGCTACGAAAATTCTTTGGTTCGTTTCACGGGGGCAAGTATGGTCTTTTTTATAAAGGGTATAGAGATATCGTCGGCAGCTTACGGTATGATAGTATCTGTTGTTGAGCGCGATTGATATTTATATATGATTCATGAATAAGTAGGCAGATAGAAAGGCTGTTTGTTGTAACTTGTGTTTAGGTAGGGTTTTGCCGAGGATGGATGTGGAGGGACGCAGGTGGGACCCTTGCTTCGCAGCTGGCCTTCTATCTATCCCAAATTCAGTACTGTAAAATGCCGGACTGTATCCCCTAGGATTATTGCTCCGTGGCTAAAGAAAGAGATAATAGTATCATTCCCCAGCTTCTCATTTTCAACGAAACACGCTCTTGGAAAACCTGCAGGTTACCAAAAAAACATCGGTAATCTGCAAGCAAACAGAGGCAGTGAGTGAGTGGGAAACGGCCCCGAAAGTAATAAAAACACAGTCAGTGATGAACGATATCCGGATCGAACGGATGACCGCCTGGAAATTCCTGGTGTCATGGAAACTGGAATCAGGTGCGCTACCACTGCGCCAATCGTTCCTGGTCATTAGTTGATAGAAGGTGGTCGCTCTTGCTTGTTCTTCAAAACAATTAATAGTTTTTAGGCAGGACTTCGGCTGTTTAGACCTGCTTGCTGCCCCTTCCATTAGCGAAGTTTTCGGTTAACTTTCCTAGGTAAACAAGATTGGGAATAGTTCTTCTCTTTTTCGGTAGTGAAGCGTTTACGAAGGATATAATATGATTAGGACTTCCTATCAAACGTCTTATGATTTTCCCATTTCTTTGTAGAGCAAAGGCGCAGTAGCCTTTATTTGGGTATCTCAATTGTAGGTGTTCCCAATTTAGACGTGATCCTTTGAAGCTAGACATTCAGTATCTTGATTACGGCGGTCGTGAACTGCGAATAGATTCCTAAAGAAGCTATTACAGACTGCTTCCTTATCTGGTTCTACTGGGCAGCATCAGATGACTTGTCGAAAGGTTGATATTAGAACCTGGAGCTAGTATTTCGAAATCAAGGCCTAGCGTCTACCTAAATATTTATTGTCATCAGTACGCACTCTCTCAATAAACAAACAAACATCAGACAAGTACTTCCACCACCACTAATTCCTTTGCACACAGCACATTGTAGGTCCCAGTGAACAATACCACGACTCGCTCCTCCCCTACAATGCGCCAACCCCGCCCCAACGTCAGAAAAATGCCTACCATCCTCGAGCGACCGGATCGAGGAGGAGGAGGAGGAGGAGCCGAAGAGATCGAGAGAGACCGCAAGAGAAAGAAGGCAGAGGCGCGCAAGGAGATGATCTCGTACGTCTACAGGTTCCTCTCCAAGAGCGAGAAGGAGGACCTCGTCGTTGGCACTATCGTCAGCCTCCCCTCGATCTGCTGGGTTCCCCCGGGCAAGTTCGTCGACCCGAGGTTCCCCAAGGAGCTGTACGATGGCCGCAATATCCTGTTGATGGTTACGCATATTGGGGAGGATTTTGGGAGGGTGGCTTGGGTCAATGTTGTCATTGTGAGTATTCCTTTTCCCCTTCACTCGCGCTGAGAGAGAGAGAGAGAGAGAGAGAGAGGACTTTACGATTCACGGCACTGCTGGAACCTCGAGTACTGGCCCTTGCTTTTCACTTTGATTGTGGTCTTTGTTTGAGTCGAGAAGCACTTCAATGTTCTACTGGAGTAGCTCTTGGCTCTGGCATTCATCTGTGGACAATGCCTCTGTTGAAGCTGCTCTCTTCGCTCTCCCGGGAGTGGATTCTCTACTCTTGCATCCGCCTGCGGTCATTATAAGACGTAGAGATGCACTTTAAGTCCCGTTGGAAACATCTATCGGGACTTCTCATCCAATCATCTCCAAATTCCTGCTTAAGAAAGCACTTGCGTCGCGGCTGGCGTCAGCTTGCAATCCCCTCAGTCACCGAACGGCATTTGTGTGCTATCATGGCACTTTCTTACTCTGTTGAGAGCAGTTTCGTCCCGCGAAACTATTGTCATCGGCCATCTCTTCTCAGCCATCACCTTTCCTGTCATCTTACACAAACTGATTGCATTATTTCTCTAGGTTCACTTCTTCCCAGACGTCAACCACAAGCATGAGCGATTCCCACATGACGGAGGATTTCGTTCGATCTACTTCCACACACGGCTTGATCAGCTGCCTTCGCAGGATTGGAATCTGTCTGAATTCAGTTCACCAGACCGATCCCTGTTTAGGTTCATTGCCGGCGTCATCAACTACACCATGGATGTGAATGTCTTGCAAATCAGATCTTTGGTCGAGAAGCGAATTTATCAGCCAGATATGAGCGAGCCTCACGTTCTCATGGAATCAATTGGCGAGGACTGGACCGTTGATCTTAAGTTCCACCTGCCCCAACACGTAGGAAGGAAATGCTAATTGAATCCTTACTTTAGATCGCAAGGAATTCCCAAATTGGCGTCAGATGATGGTGGAGGCGGAGCAGGAATTCAAAACAATGAGAGTTCAGCGTCTCTCGAAACCAGCACCCAGATCAAGTTCAAGCCACGACGCTTGGGGAGATGAGCTTGACGGAAATAAAGATTGGGGTCGCTCATCTACTACTGTGAAGGTTAAGAAATTGGATGAGGATAAGGTCAAAGAACCATGCCAGGAAGAGCTCAAGTTCCCCGACAGCGGCAACAAGGGCCTTGGTCTCGACAATACTGGTGCTGAGACGAACCTCGCTTCTTCGTTGTTCGTTCCCTCTGCTCCTGATGGCGGAGAGAGCCCTGATTACAACCCAGATGCGGACTCCAACTACGATGCGGACTCCAACTACGATGAGGACTCCAACTACGATGCGGACTCGGAGTGGATAGAATGATACGATACTTTGAGACACAGTGGGCAGGATCTGTTCTCTGTTCTAGGGTGAATGCGTTGAAGTTTTTCTGGTTTTCTGGGGTTTTTTTTCCATCTCGGACAGGGTGGGGACGATGGGAGGTGCATATGATCCAATTGATCACTCGGTTTTACGGAAAGGCAATAATACTCGGGAGTTTCATAAGGAAAGTAAATTCCCTTTCAATGAAACGGTAGTTAGTGGAGTTTAACGATGAATCTTGATAGAAGCGTGTCTCAGCACATTGTATTTTGATGCGGAGTTTGAGATAGGCTGTGTTATAGATGAGCCCAGAATGATCACTGCGGGTTTAGCTACCTTGTAATACATGAAAAACCCGTCGGCGAGGGTAAGTAACATAAACGAACCACTGAATGCTCAATGACGCCAAACTGTAGAAGATTGAGAAAAAGACATAAAAGGGGGGTCGTCAATTACCGGATATACATTCATTCCATCATTTCACAAAAATCAATCAAAGAAAGCTTATACGCTAAACCGCTGCAGAAGAAGTTCATGGCTCTTCAAATCAAGCCCAGTCAAGTCCTACCGTCCGCCTTCTGCAGCCCCTGCGCCTTCTTTCTCAACCTCGGCCCATGGTACCAGAGTATGATGGGCCCGGGGATCCCCAGCACGACCGCGACACAAGCCATCACAGTCCCCATCCAACCGTAGCCCAGCTTGGCCAGAATGAAGGGTGCGAACAGCGGGAAGGTGCCGCTGCCGATGCTCCGGGTGAAGTTGACGGCGCCCTGGGCGGAGGCGGCGTAGGTGCCGTAGGTGCTGACGGTGTAGAGCTTGATGCCCTGGGAGATGATGATGATGCCGACGGAGACGAGGAAGATGCCGATGTTGGGGACGAGCCAGAAGAGCTGCTTCTGCGCCGACCATCCATAGATGAGGAAGCCGATTGGGTAGATGACTGCGCCGACGAGCATCAGCGGTACGCGGTACTCGGGCCGGCCGGCGTCTGGGTCGTCCGGGTCCGAGGATTTAAGGCGGTGGCGGAGATAGTTGTAGACCTGGAAGATTTCAAAACGTCAGTCTTCTGCGTGGGATAGATGATTTCAAAGTGGGTGTGGGTGTGGGTGGACTTACGTTATCGCTCACGCGGGCGCATAGTTGGTTGCCCAGGACGAGCCCGAGGCCGATTGAGATGTAGTTTAGGCCGGAGATCTCGATATTCTGGCGGTATACAAATATCCACAATCCGTGGAACGTAGATAGGACCAAGTACAGCGTCCCGGCAATGAAGAACTGGTACAGCGCCAGATACTGTACAATATGGTGCGTACACAAGTAAACAATAGGTCGTTTCATGCCCTCTCCAAAATGGCGAAGATCGCCTCGTGGTCGAGGCCAATCCTTAGTTCTGTACTCCTGGCATCCCGTCTCCTCCCTTAGCTTTTTGGCTTTGCGCTCAAGTATGATCTGTGGTCTGGTCTCCTGGACGAAGATGAGGGCGAAGATCCCTAGAGCGCCAGCGAACATGCTGGTGATGTGGAAACTCCAGCGCCAGTCCAAATTCTGGACGATGAAGCCGCCCACCAGGGGGCCAACGGCGGGACCGAGACGTGGTGCAAGGCCGTAGAATGCTGAGCCACGTCCAATTTCTTCTGCGTTGAAGCAATCCGAGACAACGCCTGCTCCAAGCTATGTGCCTTTGTTAGTGGGAGCTTTCGAGAGACATCGGCCTGACGTACGGTGTTGGGTGCGCTACCACCGACACCAGCCAGGAAACGGAATACCAGCAGCTGGGTTTTGGTAGTGGCGAACCCCGAGGCAAGATTGAAAACGAAGAATACAAAGTAGGATATGTGAAGAACAGGTGCTCGTCCATACAGCTCGCTGAGCGGTCCGTAAGGTACTGCACCGACAATGAAGCCCATTCCAAAGATGGCGAATACCAGAGACTTTTCCACCGAATTGGTGATGTTCAACTCGGTCGCGATTTGTGGCAGTCCCGGGGCGACAATGGAGGACGAGGCCGCTGTGATGAACGAGATGAGCGAGACCAGTGTCGTGGCTACCCATTTTCGGGAGTAGGACCAGTTCTTCGGATTTATGGAGTCGTTTTCTTCGAATTCCACCTAAATCCTCAAGTCACTCAGCTGTGATGCGGTATCGAGACTCGGAGCATACCAATTTGTCGTCTCCTCTGTCAGTCTCTTCCGGAAGCTTCTCAAGGCTGTCGGATGAGTTTGTGACTGAAAATCGACTTCTCTGGCTCATGTTCGAGAGAGCTCGCCGCGGCGTCTGCCCAGGCGAATCAACCAAGCGCGTCTGCGACGCGGCTCCGAAAGACGGCGTACGTTCATCTAGGAAACTGCTCTTTATCGTATCCTGCTCTTCATCGTGCATACTTGATGCTCGTATTAGTTATTTCGAGACTAGTTATATTGTCGTGCAGGGCGACAAGATGAAGGCAAAGGGACCCATCATCAAGTAGCTATAGGATATATGGAACTGCTTGCAATGACATTCACGATGTAAAGAGAAGGTGAAAGTGAGAGTGAAAGCAGGCTTTGTATTGTATTGCAAGATAGGGTTTCGCCGCAACCTTATTCCTGTACTTACGTAGATTAGTCCCTTGGCTACTCTTATTCTACGGAGATCTTTATCGCAAATCCTCCGCGCCGCTTTCCGGTATTTCGGGGATTAGCGAGATAAAATCGATAGAATTACCGAAGTTACCGAATAGAGTATAATTAACTCGATCAGCTGGCCTGAGCCTAAATGGATCTACAAACCCCACGAAATCCTTTGCGGCGTTTGAGGCCGTTTGCTCGCACTTTGATGGCTAGCGCTTCGAATTCGAGTCAACATTCTCATTTTACGAGCTGTAATCACGCTAATTTATGCTTACACTTTCTCGGGGTAGCGGAATCGATTTTTTACGATATTTGGTTATATACTGCTTCTATTCTTACATATCTTTAAACTTGTTATAACAACAAGTAACATCGTTAAAAATGGTTTGATATTTTTCTCAGCGCTTAGGCACCGAAAAGAGTTTCCGATTTCAATCAATCTGATAATGATAAAATAATTTAAAATACACTGAGGATGGAATAGCTTGAAATAATTTCAGCGTATTTTTCTTTTATTATTAGAGATTTTTATAGCTGAATATCAATAGTTGGGCGTGTTTTTATGTTTTTATGCATCAACACTTAAAGATTTTGAGCTATATGCGCTATTGTTAAAATACTATTGGGACAAATATTATCAATCAAAGGCTTTTCTACAGAGTGGCTTTACTAGTTAATCTCTTCGACGTTGTTCAGAAATATCGATATTGAAAAATTTATATGGATATTAATTAATATCGTCGATCAGACTTCGGACTTAATCGATCAGATTTCGAATATAAACAGTTTTATTTTGAATCATTTATGATATTCTATGAGAAATCAAATATCGGCGGGTATTGATTTCTTCTTGGATATCTTAAAGAATAAGTCGGCCGTATTGATTAATCAATAAAAAGTGGTAATAGTATTGATAGGTAAGTCGGAGATTTCTCATAATCATTCGGACTAGGTTGCTAATATACTACGTCCCAGGCGTAAGTGTTACCCCTCGAGGGTAAGGAAACCAGGGTTTTAAAGTGGAAACTAGACTTTTGAGGCACCCTCGAGGGGTAATACTTAGGCCTGTACCGTGGTACATCTGAAAATCACGATCCAAAGGCCTCAGACGCGAGATCCTCCATAAAACCTGTAGCTGCTGATTAATTAATACTTATGTAGTAAAGTTATGGATCTCTAAAGCAAATTTACTTACGTAAGATTCAAATCGAAGTAACTAACGCGGAGGATTTTGAGATAACTAGAATCTATACCTTTTGATTCCTTGATTCTATTATGGTAATCGCTTGGGCCGTCCTTCCTTCATCACTCCCTCGTAGGGGCTTGTATTTCAAAGGTGTCCGTTTTTTGATATTGTCCGACGCTACGAATATCGCTAATACACCAGGCCGAGGCTGATTTGGCGTGTTTTTTAACGTTCTTAATGCTAATAGTAGTATAACGGCAAACGCGTCGGAACTATATCTTAAATTTCAACTTTTGTGCATCTTTGCAATAATTGAATCTATGGTCAATAGCATGCCTGCAAGGTACCTCTTGAGTGATTTCATCGAGGATTTCTTACTCAACGAATATGTTCTTGAGCAAGCTAGTCTTCTTGCAATCCCTTCGTCTCCTTTATTATATTATCAAGCTCCTAGCTCACCGATCCTTCCTCCGTTACATATCGATCAATCTGCTGTACGAGCGCTACGAACTCCATTTCTTCCATTATCACCGACTACCTTTATAACGTCTCCAAGCAAATGGGCTGCTGCTCGAGCCCATTTCGCCGCTCATCCTAAGGCTTCCGCTGCGGCTGTAGGAAGAGCAAGTAATATAACTTCTCGATAATTGCGAAGGAAAATTAAGCATGCCAAGGGCCTTAAACGCGGATCTCCAGATCTCTTAGCACCAGCGGAAACAGAAGTAATATATCCGTTTCGTAAGAAGCTGACTTTATTATTCTATTTGAATTTGGTAGTAGTATTACTTCGAGATTATGAATACAAGATTTGGAGATCCGGACATTTTGTTCTCAAGTAGCACTGAAACCAGATAAGCGAGAACTCAGACTTCGGCTAAACGTACCACTCCCTCCGAATTCTTGCACCCTTAAGGGTGCCTTGAAAGTTTAAATTTCCACTTTAAACCCCTTGATTACCTTACTCTCAAGGCGGTACGTAACAATTACGCCTCCGACGTACTACGTACGTAGTATGTATGGCGTCGAACAACATTAAAAAACGGAAAGTCAAGGAGCCCGTCCGCTCGAGCCCCTACCGCAAGCCGCAATTACCGACACTATTAAAATACCACGTACAGGCCTAAGTATTACCCCTCGAGGGTGCCTTAAAAGTTTAGTTTCCACTTTAAACCCCCTGTTTTCCTTACCCTCGAGGGGTAATACTTACGCCTGCGACGTAGTATAAGCTCCTATGAAAGGATGTTGAGGGATAGGCGGCCCAAGCGATTAGCAATCTAACAAGCCGTGCTCGATAAGGCCAGCAAGGTAGAGAATCGAGAAAAATCATGATTCAGCGAGCAGAATCCAGCGTTACAATACGGAAGCGAGCATTTTGGCAGCTCAAATATGAAGATTCTGATTCTTAGGCATCATTTCTTGCCAATCTGTAAATTTTTGCCGTTGTCCGTCTGCACCACGCACGGCTTGCCATAGACACATTTAAACTATCAATCTATACGGTACCAGAAATTGGATCCCGTATATCCCGCATAGAAGGAGAAGAGGAGATGATCATTCGTTGATGAATGGTTTAAAAAACCAATATAATTTAAGCTAAGCTAGTGGGTGCTATAATATTACGACTTCGATTATTTTTTTGCTTATTTATTATTTTTTTCTTAATGACGGCTAGGAAAAGGTGGTATTGAATATTATTAATCGTTACGCTACTGTACTAGTATTACTACCCCTTTATACTAAATACTTGTCGGATCCACTTGATGGAAGTAAATTTGGGCCGCGAAGTTTACCCCTTATCTCTTTCCCCTTTCATAAATACTACGTAGTACATATCAAAACTATAATTTTGCAAGGGATCTTACCAAGGCTTAAACTAATCAACTTACGTGGTACTACGTATAACCCCTGGGTTACCTTACCCTCGAGGGGTAATACTTACGCCTGGGATGTAGGATAAGAATCCAGCTTTGAAAAGTATATTAAGATCAGATTTTAGTCTGTGCAATGGAGTTGGCAAGGCTTTGAGCCATTCAGAAACCACCGCTTTATGATTTATGGGCTTAAACTGGGTCCGATATGTATTGATGTGGGGGGGATTAGCTATAGCAAAATGACGTATACTACTACGTCCCAGGCGTAAGTATTACCCCTCGAGGATAGGGTGACCAAGGGCTTTAAAGGGGAAACTAAACTTCTAAGGCACCCTCGAGGGGTAATACCTAGGCCTGTACCGTGGTAGCTTTTACTCTCCCCCCCCCCCATGAATAAATGTCGGACCCAGTTTAGGTCCATAAATCATAGAGCGGTGGTCTTTGAATGGCTCAAAGCCCTGTCAACTCCGCTGTATAAACCAAATACTAGCTCCAAAATACTTTTCAAAGCTGAGTCCTTATACTACGTACGTAGTAAGTTGATTGGTTTAAGCCCTGGTAAGATCCCTTGCGAAATTATACTTTCGACATTTATTCATGGGAGGGGGAGAGTATTAGAACTGTAATTAGCAAAGAGGTCTGACCAAAGCCCTTAAACTCAGAGGAAAGTACTACGTAAAAGCCGATATAATCCAAAGACTTCGAGTTATAGCGAAAGCAGTTCGAAGTTTTTAATTAGAAAACGGAGGTCGATATAAAACTTCGTAGCGAAGGTAATCGGCCTTATTAAATGTTACGGCTAAGAAAAGGTAGTATCATAATAGCTATTAATCTGTTTGCTACGTAGTAAAAAGAAAAATGAAGAGAGGAAGAAAATTATATTATAAGACCGAGAATATATGCATTCCTTGGGATGGAATATCATGTGACCTCGGCTGATTAATTCAATCCCACTCAACCAGACCCTTTGCCAGGACCGTAATAGACAATTTCTACGTACGGTAAAGGGCCGGCAAGCTTTTTAAAAAAAGAATCAAAGAGTATCAATTTAGTTAAATACAATGCGATTATTCTTAAAGGTGTTTAATAACAACCCGAATTACCCTGATTTTTATTCGCAATAAGACGGAGCTAGTAATCATTGATTAAAGCTTGTTCAAATGAATCTTCGACGCCGAGGTTTTAAAACGATTAAGCATCCTCGATACTCTTTCAAATCTCGATCTTAACTTGATTGAGCACGTTTAGATTTAGTAGTAGTAGTACGTAGAGTAGATCCCTTTCGAGCTGCCACCGCTGCAATTTGACTCCCACCTTCGCTTAAACTGTCTTCGCTGCAATTCACGATCCTCTTTTTTTACGAAACTATCGGTACGTCAATATCGATCCAGCTTGATTGGGGCCAGCTCGATTACGGATGAGCTTGCCTCGCTTACATAGGCATGCCTCGCTTAGAGTAGCATACCTTCAAAGGGCTCAGTAAACGGGAGAAGGAGCAAAGGGCACTATACGTCATCATTGATAGTAGCTCACACCCTTGAACTATATAGCCTTTCCTTCTTCCATAGTTAAAGATCATCCTCTTTCCCCCCTTTCTGCTCTGGCCACTTTTCTGACTCCAACTTCCTTGTAGATACTATCATATAGCCAATGCACGTGATTCATTCTAATCATATAAAAAGAATCTACTCCCTTGAAGCTTCAAGAGCAGATAAAATTCAAATACTATTTTTACCGCTACTACGTCCTAGGCGTAAGTATTACCCCTCGAAGGTAGGTTAATCAAGGGGTTTAAAATGGAAACTAAACTTCTGAGGCACCCTCGAGTATACTGTATGACGATACGCCAGGTCTCTTGGGCGTATCCTTATATGCGCCAAGCTACCTCCTTCCTTTTTTTTTCTTTACCTTGCACATATTTCGTATTCTTTCTGTTGGTACACAGGTATTGATAGTACTATCAGTTTGGGTTAGTTGTGTTGTAGATGTCTAGTATTGCTATACTGGTAGTGGCGGTCCTTTGAGAGGACCGCGGGTGCACGTGCTACTCTCACGTGCTAAGTCCACTATTACTCTTATCGTTCTTTCCATTCTTATCCGCTATATGGCCGTAGAAGGTAGAGGCCGTTGTACTCCGACACTAGCAGTTCTTTACTTGTTGTAAAGAACGCTTTAATTATATTTATACAAATTCTTGCGTCTTGAAGTTCTATCGAACTTTTGATTTCTTTTGCTACTTTCGATCTACCCATCCTTTAATACGCACTTCTAGCGTATTGCAATCGATGAAGCTCTTTAAAGCTTTATTCGGATTTGCTTTAGTTATATAATCAGTTAAGTTGCTCTTCTCGTCAATCTAGCGTATTTCGGCGATCTCTTTGCGCTCGTAGGATTATCGTAAAGCTATTATATCGATCATAAGCCCTTTTTTTTTTAATTGTATTAAGTTTCATTAAGCACTCGTAAAGAGAGTAAGAATCGGTAGCTACTACCATTAGTATCTTTAAAGGTATTTTTTTTTTAGCAAAAGGTAGTAAAAAGTGTATTAATAAAAGGGTTTTTTTTTTCTTAGAAGTCGTACTTGCTATATTCGATAGAAATTTAACAGACTGTGCTCTTAAAAGTGTTTTTACTTCTACTTTACAGAAAAGGTATATTAGTTTAGATACAATTAAGGTACTGCCGAGAGCTTTTGAGGCCTCGACAAAAGGGTGTATTGCTAAATAAAGTGTAAGGTGAGAGCCTGGTCCGTGCACAGTGCACGGACCTCAGGCCTTGGCACGCTCCTACTACAACTTCGCCCTTAATTCCTAGTCCTAGATAATACAAGTCAATCAACCATAACATCAGCAAAGCTTCCTCGTGACCTGGTACTATCATTAGATTAATACCGGCAATATCTTTTATTTCTTTCTTCTGACTTATAAAACTATAGTTTACGAATCCTTAGCGCTTTTACCTTCGTGTATATAAATCTAAGACCTTAGCTACCTTCGACTTTTATACTCGGTAGTTGTTAATTCAAAGTCATTACTTTAAGATTCTCTTGAGCTTTTATGTACAGTAAACCCCCGCGCTCTCGTGAGTTCCTTTAAGTAATCGCTTAAGGTCGTCACACGTAGCTTTTAATTTTATATTGAAAAAATCCTTAACGGCTTTTTTCGAACGAATGCGTTTTCGGCTTATGATTGATTGTAAAATACAATTAAATTAATTAATCGTGCGGTTGTAGATCAAAAAGTGATATTGTAAATTGTATCTTATATACGAAAACTAATAGCAAAATCAAAAAATCCGCACTCGCTTCCGATCCGCAGTCGCTTATGCCGATTAAGACTGAAAGGATGAAAGGAGGCCTACTCAAGCGAGTCGACGATTATTACCTACCTACTATTACTACTATTACCTACCTAGGTGGGCAGAGCCTCAGGCATACATACATACCATACATACATACATACATACATACCATACATACCATAGGTACATACAGCATAAGGTACGTACCTTAGCTGCTCTACCTACCTACCTACCTACCTACCTACCTACCTACATACCTACCTCCTTAGCCAGCATCAGCAAAGCCTAAGGCCTACATCACAAACCCCCCCCCTCCCCTCCCCTCTCCCTCTCCCTCTCCCTCTCCCTCTCCCTCTCCCTCTCCCTCTCCCCTCTCCCCTCTCCCCTCTCCCCTCTTCCTCTCGGTGCAGACAGAATAGTCAGTCAGTAGAAGGCATGCACGCACGAAGAAGCCCGGATAGGAGAGGATACAGATACAGATAGATAGCTTTGTGGTCCCGACTTGATCCGATTAGATAATTTACTACCTCGTACTACGGTGTCACTGACATTCCGGCCGGACACAGGTACCTATAGGTAGGTAGGTATCATGACTCCGCTTCAGCCGCGCCCGGCTGGATGGATGATGGGGCTGAGTGAAGTTTATATCCGATCTTGGCACTTTCTGTCCTTTCAGTTATTTCTATTCTTTCATTTTTCCTTCTTCCTTTGTACGTGGCGGGCATCGGCCGCTTCACCCATTCCCCATTCCTCGCGGGGATTTTGTCCATTCCGCAAGTTGGAAAATCAACGCGTCGCGTCTTTCATTTACGGTGGGGATATTTAACATCTCTGCAGTTGTGGATATCTATCCAGCTTACACCTAGGTGAGCAAAAAAAAAAAAGGAAGAAAAAAAGGACAGCGTTGGTGTGTGTGCCAGAAGTCTGTTCATTACAGGGCTCGAATATGCCAGGCCACTATCTATCCCGCCCAGCTTTTGTCTTCCCCACGGAGTGATGAGTGAGTCGTTGACCCCCTTACTCCCCAGGCTCGATACGACAAACCATGGACGAGCCGACGAGGAAAGAGGGAGAAGACCCGATACACAAGACAAGAAGCAATCCGAAATCCACCATATGCACACGAACAATTGCGTGCGGCCCAGTGTCAAGATACATTGATCTATGCGAGAGAGAGCGAGAGAAAGAGAGAGAGAGAGAGAGAGAGAGATCCGACGCGAGGTCGGATAGGAGGGGCCAGTGGGAGGAATTCGATAGTACGCCGGAACGCCTTACGTACGGGTATGAAGTGTTTGTGGACAATACGCGCCTCCGACGATCATGTACAAGGAGAGTGGGCGGAGGGGCAGAGGAAGATGCTCGTATCGCTCCCGGACCGGACCAAGAGGAGGGACGACGAACCGATGGGGTTGTGGTTCTGATGGACGTGTCCAGGGATCTACCAGACTGCATTTCGTCAGTCAGCTGGGTCGACGCCATGGGCTGCGGCGGTCGCCGGAGCCATGTCCGCACTTACCGGCGCTCTACTTCCGACGGACCGGCTTATTGTTCCCCGACCCATCGTAGACCGTTCCCCCAACCTTCTGCGAGAGGCCGAAGCCGAGCCCGAGAGCCACACCCAGGACGGCGAGGACGATCACGGTCACGATCAAGCTCTTGTACAACTTGCTCAGCCTTGCCCAGCAAGCACACCGCGCGCGCTGCAACTTCTGTGCCTTTCTCTGCTGCTTCATGTGCTTGCGGCCGGGCCAGGCCGGGTCAACCTTGCTGCACTTCTGCGTCACCCGGCCCGACTTCGACTGCGAGGCTCTGGTCTTCTGCTCCGTCAGGCACTGAGCCTCGAGGTCGGAATACATGTCGTTCCGATCGCGGGAGACGGTATAGGCGAAGGTGGTTTCGAGACTCTTTTCGTAGCTGGGCGTGGGCGGCAGGGAGACGGTGTGGGCCGAGTCGACATCGTGGATGGTCGAGAGGACGCGTGCGGAGGCCTGGCGGCTGGGGGAGGGACGACTGATGGTGAGGAAGTCTGCGCCCGGCTTGACCTCGCTCTCGCTCTCGCTCTCCACCTCGACCTCGACGTCGTGAGCCGTCACGGCCAGCTTCTTCTCTTCGAATCCCGACATGGTTGTGATGTGATGGCGTGCGAGATGCTCACCAACTTGAGCTGCGAGCTGAGGGCTCGGGATCTGCTGAATGTTGGGGGGGGGATGCGGGCGGGTTTCGACTTGATGACTGTGTGCCAGGCTGCGCGTCCGGGTGGAGAAGGAACGAAACAGGTCGGAGTGGATACGGTCGGGCAGTTCTCGGCTGGCTCGGGGCGGTGATGGAGGGACGGGTATTCATTCAATGGGTGGGTTTTGCGTTTGTTTGTTTGTTTGTTCGTTCGTTCGTTCGTTCGTTCGTTCGTTCGTTCGCTAGTTCGTCGTACTTGTATGGATGTTCAGGTTGCGGCGGTGTTGGGTCGACGCGGTCTGTCAGCCACGTCAATCGGCAAGGGAATGGGGGCGGCCGCGCAGCGAGGTACGACGACGAGTGGCTGGGGGCGTGACGGGCAGATTAGATTGAATGATTGAATGATTGACTGATTGACTGATTGACTGATTGAGTGATTGCCTGATTGAGTGATTAACTGATCGACTGATTAACTGATCGACTGACGGCGGGATCGACGGGGTGAAAAAGAAGCAGCAGCAGCAGATGTAGGGGTGAAGAGGAAAGCGGAAAGAAAAAGAAACGGACGCAGACCCGGACACGGAAATGCAAAAAGGTCAATTGATCCTGCAATGGTCTCATTAGATCTTATCTCCTCGCTCTCATTTCACCTCTCAAGCCCTGGCCCTTCCCCTTGTCCTTGCCCTTCCCCTTCCCCGTCCCCGTCCCATCTCGCTGACTGATGACGAGCACGGGGCAGAGGAAGCGGAAATTCAGGCTGGCATGGGATGACTGAACCGAGCTAGCACGTGCGTGTGTGCGTGCGTGCCCTTACTGCTACTGCTACTGCCACTGCTACTGCCACTGCTACTGCTACCGGTACTGCCATCTCCTGCTCAATCGGACATCCTCTCAATCCTCCCGTGTTGCCCATTGGCCCATTGGCCCATCTGCCCCTCTGCCCCTGTGCCCCTGTGCTCATTTGCCCATTCGCCCATTCGCCCATTAAATTGGGTCGGGGCTTCTTCTATGCGGGAAACGCCGTCTGACTGATTCACTACCGTATTAACTAAGTAGTAGTAGTAGTAGTAGTAGTAGTAGCTGATTGATTGGTTGGTCCTAGCTCTCCCGTCCAGTCATCATGCCGGTAGATCGATCGATGCTGTACTTACAGTACTTCTACAGTAGTGCAGATCAGCTCCCCCTCAGCCTTCCGCCGGACAGACAGACACCGGTACGGAGGACGGGCATGTCCCAGCACCAGTCCGGAATAATCCCAGTTGAGCATCAACATCAACAACAACAGCAACGACAGCAGCAACAACAACAACAACAACACCAATATTCATATACACAACACCAAGTCCGAAACACCAAATATTTAAATATATTAACATACACATATATCCCCATCTCCATTTGACTCCCGCAGTAAACAAACAAACAAAACATAAACAAACAAACAAACAAACAAACAAACCAAACCAAAACAATAAACAATCCCCAAATAAGCTTTCCCCCCTTTGCAAATCCATTCCAACCCAATCTTGTTTGGCTTTTCTTCTTTGCCGCTTGGCTCGGAGTCCCCTACGCACGCACAGACTGGCCGAGGTACGTAGTAGTAGTAGTACGTGGTACGCGATCAGCATGATCAACAAGCATGATACGAGACGTACTACGTAGTAGTAAGTACGTAGTAATCTCTCCCCCCCCTACCCGAATCCATCCAATGGCTTCTCCCCGATTCGTGTGTGCTCCTCCGTACAGTAGTGAGCTTTCCCTTTCCGTACAATACAGTAGGTACTACTACTACTGTAGGTACAGAAAAGAGGAGGTCCTTCCATGCTTTCCAGACCTCTCGACCTGTGCGTGAGCTACGAAGCGAGCCGCATGAACTGCTGTACCGGTACTGTACTCAGTTCTACGCCGAGGACCCTGCAGAAAGAGGAGAGACATGGCAAAGGGGGGGGGTTGGGGGGCACGGGGCCGCATGTACCGGATGAATGCTACGTGCGCTCTGCTACAGTATGCTCTGCTGTGCTCTGCTCTGCTCGCAAGAGAGGAGGCGAGGCGAGGGGGCGCGTCCGGAACATGAACAGTATCATGTCGTAGGGCGTGGTCGGAGACCGCTACCGTCCCTCTCTAGCTACCCGCCCGCCCGCATGCATTCAAAACGAGGAGAGGTCCGAGGGGTCGAGGTGTGTGTGCGGTAACTACGTAGGTGTGTTTCTGCTTCCATGAACTCCATCCGAAGACGATTCAAGATGATTCAAGATGATTCAAGATGATTCAAGATGATATTCGCTTATATTTATAAGCTGTCTACAGTCATGACCAGGCTTGTTACGATCATCTACCTTTCAAAGCGTATGGTGGTCAGACAAAAAAAGGATTCTTTTGAAGCCATCGCATAAGTAGAAAGAGTTCGGGGGCGAAGGAAAAAATTCAATGCTATACACTAGCAGTTAGAGGTGGCTGCACCCTCACACCTAGTGCAGGACTGTAGTCCGTAGTAGTAGTAGTAGTAGTAGTAGTAGTAGTAGTAGTAGCAGTAGGTAATATAGGTACGTAGTGATAATAAAAGTACCAGTACCAATTGCAAGGCAGCCCGCCATCCCGCCTCCTGATTTTCACTGCTTTCGCTTACTCAGCCAAGGCAGAGCCAAAAGCGAATCTCGGCTCAAAGATTACCCATGATCCCGTTTTTGAGTTGATAATCAATCCAACCACCTTTTTTCAAAAAAAGAGCCTCACAACTAATCACGTCATGTCGAATATATTTATCTCGATTTTCTTTCTTTCTTTCTTTCTAAATAAAAAATAAAATAAAAAATAATAAATAATAAATAAATAAATAAATAAAATAGAACGCAGGTGGAAAATATTCTTGGTCTATCCAAAGACAAAAATAAATCACCGTCGAAGATGTCCCCGCGTAATTATAGATCATTACGTACCTACCTAGATACCCAGATACCTGATCTTCGGAAAGCTTTTTCAACGCGCTTAAAACTCGTTCAGGCCTATGATGCGAATTACAGGTGTATATCTATTTGAGAATTCCATAAATGAAAGCGCGGATGGGCAAAGCGCTATCTGATTTCGTCCCTTTCGCCATCCTCTTCGCGCTATTTTTAATAGTCATCGATCGTCGGCGACCTTTAAATTTCCTTCGAAAGAAGTGGCCCGACTTGCTGTAGCAAGGCGGGACCGTAGAATCTGCTCCTGCACAAGATACCAAGAAAAAAAAAGAAAAAAAAAATAATATATATATATATATCTATTCAACCAGCGACGATATCGTAATTATTTTTGCACAGAAAGATGCACCGTGCTAACTTTGCTCCCGATCAAGTAAATCCAATTTCAATCACAGATTGTTCTTCTTTCGTCATGCGGGGTTCAAGTAAGTCAAGAACTAAAAATACTTTACTCTGGGTATACTTTTCTTGTACTTTTCGACTTTACTCGTTGCGCGCGTGCATGTAATAGATCATCAGAATTGCTGTGTAAATTATTAGAACAGGCGAGGGACGCGAAAATCGGCCTTTCTCAAATTGAAAAAAGAAACCCCTCTATTAAAAGAATACGTGCATCGCTATCGACATTATTTTTTTTTTAGAGATAAAAAAATTGATACCTTTTATAACATAATGAATAAGATTATCTGTCTTCCATTTATAGACCGGGTCTTTTTTTTTTCTTTTCTTTTTTTTAATTAAGGTTAAAGTCATCAAGATATTCGACGCAAACGAGTAAAAAATTGAATGATTCAAGACCGTCTCTAGCTATATTTTCATTTCATTTTAATGTATGAAATCATCACAAATAAACGCATCTTTATATTTTTATATTCACTTTTTTTAAGAAAAGTTTTTTTTGGGCTAATTAAAAGAAAGAAAAAAAAAAGAAACGGTTTCTTATTTATAGTACTGGTTGTTGCTTAAGGATATGGTAATTCGTCGGTTTCCCTAATTTTTAATTCGAAAGAAATTGATCGACTTTGCTGGAGCAGGTCAGCACTACCAGGGCGGGACAGTAAAAATCTGCTCCTTTTTAATAGATAGAAAATCAACCAACTATTACATAGTCATTATCTCTGTATGGAAAGATGCATCGTATTAAGTTTTGTATTAATCAATTAATCAAATTTTAATTGCAAGTTGTTATTCCTCTATTGTGTTGAGTTAGAATAGTAAAAATAGTACTTTTGATATGTACTTTTCGATTTTACTAATGCGTACCAATATATCAGAATTGCCGCGTAGATATTAGAATAAGCGAGGAACACGAAAATCGGACTTTTATTCAAACCCATCATAAAAAATACGTGCATCACTACCAACTTCTATTGAATAATTTAATCCCTTGAGTAATACAATATACTAAATCATTTGTTTTCGATCCATAAGACGTTTCTTTTAATTAAGGTTATAGTGATTAAGATACTCGCTGCAAACAAATACGTTCAAATTATTTAAGATAGTTTTTAGCTATATTTTCATTACATTTTAATATATTACATCACCAAAAATAAATGCATCTGTATATTTTCAATCTACATTTATAAAGCAAAACTTTTTAAGCATAGACATATTTTATTTATTTATATTTATATTCATAGTTGTTGTTTAGTAAGTGGTATACCGTTACAGTCCCGCCTTAGTGGTACCGACTTGCTATAGCAAGTCGGTCAACTCTTTCGAATTAGAACTTAAGGAAACCGACGACTATACCGTTATTATACCGCCTGAGTAGTGCCGACCTGGCTGCGCCAAAACAAGTTAAATTCAAGGTACCCGACGACTAAAATATGTTGTGATATTTTTTTTTTGAAAAAAAAAAAGAAAAAAAAATATGGTCCCGCCGCGAAGCTATCAAGGAAAAGCCTATTTAAAAGGATAGGTGATATTATCTACAGCCTATAAAACATCAAAAAGAAGTGCGATAGATTAATAGATTACAAAGAGAAGTTCACTTTTCGCGCTGCAATCAAGTAGAAAGGTACCTAATCCAGCATACCGAGCACAATCGATTGTATTCTCGAGTTTTAACGGAATCAAGTTTTTTTTTTAAAAAAAAAAAAAATTTGCAACGTCGTCGGAAAATAATCATCATCGATAATCGAGCTATCTGTATCCGATAATCAACACGGTTGCGTCGAGAACGGATCTATCGAACCTATTTTTTCTAGTGTTATAAAATCACTTCTGGCTGTAAGAGGCACTTCTAGCTGTAATTCACATCTGGCTATACCTACCTACCTCTAGCAGATCAAACATGAAGCTCCCTTCTTTACCCATACGAGATGCCTCCTACAAACCTTCAGCTCCGTCTCTTTCCCTTCCTCTTCCTCTTCCTCTTCCTCTTCCTCTTTCTCTTTCCTGCCGTAGAAAAAAACAAAAGAAAGAAAGAAAGAAAGAAAGAAAGAAAGAAAGAAAGAAAGAAAGAAAGAAAGAAAGAAAGAAAGAAAAAAAGAAAGAAAGAAAGAAAGAACTTAAAGAGCCGAAATCAAATCACCAACACGCGACGTCTCCCCGAAGAAAACTTCCTTTACCAGCCGTTCCGATCCGAACCTCCCTCCTCCCTCTTCTTAACCACCACGCCGACTACGATCTATACCTGACGGACATACTAATCAAAAAGACTAAGAGGATTTGCGATAGAGAAGAAACGAGTATAAGAGATAAGATGGATGGGAAGGGTTTGATTCGACTGATCGAAAACACGGTGTTGCGCTTTCGAAAGAGCGTTTTGCAAACACACCGGCTCTATCCAAAAGCTACGAACGCGAGCCTTTTTAGCTCTCCGACAAGAGAGAACGATGTTTACCTTAAAGGCAGGTAGGGGGTCATTTAAACCGTCAGCTGACAATCCGATGACAGTCTCTTTAAGAGACGATTCCAAGAGGTTGGCATAGTTAGTGGATCACCTTAAGCCGATATTTAAAATTGAGTAGAATCTGAAAACAAACGATTTAAATTATTTAAATCGTAGCTAAAATAAAACTATTTCAATCGATTGAATCGTTTTTTATAAGAGCTCGTCTTTTCGTGAAAAGATTATTACTAAAATAAGACGGTTTTAATCGATTAAATAATCGTTCATAAAAGTCGGTCTTTTTATAAAAAGACCGTTTTAAGACCGTCTTGTGGCCGTCCCAAGGCCGTCCCAAGGCCGTCCCCGAACTTGAAACCGTCCCGGAAAACGTTGATTAATAAGCAAATAATTTTTTTTTTTTTCAATTACTTAGCAGTCTACCCTTTGCTAGGTATACCACCCCTTTATCACCACCCCCTCTCCTTCAAGTGCTCTAAAGGCGCATCTACGCGGGTCAACTTTTACTGAATCGATCGATTCCGATTATTAAAAATTTAAAGCGTTGATATATAAGCCGTAGCAGCGATACCGAGAAATATCTTGGCATCGAATTTTTTAAATCATTACTAAAACGATTCTATTTAAGAAATAGTTTTTATTTACAATTATATCTTATTTGAAACAGTTATCGAACTATTTCAATTTTTTAAAACGAGCTTATTAATAAGCTTATTTTAAAAATATAGACGGGGACGGCCATAGGACGGCCGTAAGACGGTCCCAAGCTCGGGGACGATCAAAAAGGTGAACTATTCTTGATTTGTAACTAGTACTGATTTTAAACGGTCCAATAATCGTCTTTTATAAAAGAAGGTCAGAGGACCGCTCAAATGACCCCTTACCTGCCTTTAAGGTATATCTATACGGATCGAGGCCGCCCGCCCGACGTTAATGAATACAACAACAACAACAATTACCTGATTAAGCGAAATCAGTGAGAATCAGGTGGATGGCGGGCCGCCTAACAATTATGCAATAAACCATACACTCGCTTATACTCCGCCCTCTGCCCTACCGTGTCGGACAGTAGAATTTTACATATACATCAGCAAGTCCACTGCATTTATCAATGGAATGATCGATTGGCTTATTTGCGATGGTTTTTTCACATCGACGACGCCGACGACAACGACAACGATGAATAAAATTATAAATTAATCGGTGTAGTAGTATCTACATGATAGAGCAAAGCATTCTTCATGCTATCACCTTGACCCCTCATTTCATCCGCAGCTACTCGCCCGTCTAGGAGCTAGCCAAGCCCTTGGAGGCCAGGAACTCCTGGATGACCTGGTAGCCAGCAGTGGCATTGTAGTGGAAGTTGAGGCCGTGTCCCGTGTTGGGCTGGATGTAGGAGGCGAAGTCGGCCTCGCTGACCATGGGGAAGTTCGTCTTGACCCGAGCAGGGATAGATGCCGCCGCACCGCCGGTGGCCAAGCAGTCGGAACCACAGAATGGGAGATCGGAATCTAGCAAGATATTAGTGGATAATACGCAGGCAAATCGGGGCGCAGGTTAGACGGTGACCGACCTCCGCTGATGGCCAGAACCGGACCGGTGTAGCTGTTATTCGGGACGATACTGCCGACAGTCAGAAGCTCGCCGAGGGTGACGGGCTGCTTGGTCTTCTCGGCGAGCGCCAGAATTGCCGGGTCGTAGTACTGCGGCTTGAGGAACAGGTACTTGTTGGCCTCTGCGTTAGAGGAGACCATGTATCCGTTGGGAAGCCTCTGGGGCTCCGGCACAGACGTGAGATCAACGGGGGCGATGTAGCCGAGCAATGCCTCAGCGTACATGGATGCAAACATGTCGACTTGTGCGCCGGTGATGTCGCCGAATCGCAGCGGCTGATTCTTGTTGGCTTGCTGGAAATTGCCACCAGCAATAAAGAGTCCGAGGAACGACGAGTCCGTGGTGAAGCCGGTGAGGACGATACCGTCGGTGAGCTCTGGGTAGAGATTCGCCAGAGAGTATGTCTGAGCCGATCCGAAAGAGTGTCCCACGTGGACAACCTTGGAGAATTTCTGGTTGACGCCCGGGAAGCTACCGTTGCGAAGCATTCGGGTGAGTGCAGCAGTGGCCTCAACTTCGAGGTAGGCTTGAATCTCGTTCAGAGGCTCGCCGTGTGATGAGTTCGCGATGCCAAGACGGTCGAAGCTGAGGGTAAAGTACTTGTAATCGTCGGCAGCGACGTTGAGGTAACTGTAGCTGTAGTTGTTGAATGACAAGTCCCAGTAACTGCAGCATGTCGGAGTTAGCCTATCATTGGGCAAGACGGGTGTCTCGTCCTTACGTCTTATCGAAGCCAACTCCGTGCGTGAGAACTTGAACTGTGGGGTTCGTTATGTTACTGCAGTCTGGCATACAGAACTGAGTGCTGATGTTGTACGTCCCAACGGTGGTGTCGTAGCCCGTAACGATCAGGTCGGTCCAGTTGCGCCCTGGCGTAGGAACCGGAAGTCAGCATGGGATCGTTTTTGCATGTCTCGAAAGCAGTCTTGGAGTAAATTACTCCTGCGACACACGAAAAGAGAGCAACACTGACCTTGTTGCGTTACATTCAAAATGAAGTCGGTTACCTCTGCGTTTGTTTGGGGGATAGCGATGTCGAAGACGGCTTGCCTAGCAGATATGTGAACCGGAATAGTCTGATTGATACATGTCTTGCCCAGCGCAGAGGTAGCGAATATAGCTACGGCAATGGCTGAAGAGTATCTCATGGTGAAAGGGAGGTTGACTGTAAGAGCAGAATCAAAACAAAACTTGGGGTAGCTTTTCGATGTTTATAAGAATCCTGTCAACACCCGAATGCTCACTTGCGGAGCTCTTCGAGCTTGAGCTTCAGTCATCGACGTAATAGAGCTCGTGGGGTAGGAACTGTCCCGACCTTTGGAAGGCGCTACCGAGACTCGAGGGTGAATTTCACCCCTTGCTTCAATCAAACAGCCTTCTGTTGATTATTTCCCATGCCTCGAACATAGTAGAGTTGTTTTTCTCTTCCTTTTTATTTTGCATGCCTTAACCACCCAAACCCACCCGCTGCTTTACAATGAAAAAGTATCCAATAATGCCGAACACTTGAGGAATTCAAACAATTGAGCCTTACTATCACTACCACTCATTTGTCTGTTAACCATATCAAATAATCTCGCGTTGTAAGTAAAGAAGACATAAGAGAGAAAAGAAGAAAAGGCAGTTGTGAATAGCTATAGATCAAGTCGAGAGCGAATCAGAAAAGGAGAAAAAAGAACGAAGATAAACAATTTAATACTCCATCCCTTGACTCTGCTTCTGGCTCTTGAATTGCTATTGTGAATAGCTTTCGAAAGTCTTGAAAGTATGAAAAGCTATGAGATCACTGTCCTGCGCATTTTTTAAAACAGCGCAGCATATAGCGGGTCTGAGTGGTTAAGGCATGCAAAAAATAAGTCAGCTATTTTCGAGGCATGGGAAATGATATCGACCCCTTTTCAGCCCCGTTTCATTCCAACCGTCCAACCAGCGAGGTGAAATAGACGAATCTCAGCGCAGGAACAGCTCCACGCTCCACGGTAGCTTCGCCCTTCACGGCTTCGTGCCTGGGCTAGCATTTTAGACGGTGCAAATCCGGGGTGTCAAGTGAGATGAAATGATGTGCCTGATGATGATCAACGTATTTGAATCCGACGCAGGTGTTTTGAGGCTATTTGGCACTTGGTGTTGGGGATGGCGGCGTCTTCTAGTTGACCTTAGCAGAAAGCCACTCTGTCGAACGTCACTGCTCAAGATGAGCCCGATCGCTCCGTCGGTCACGAGAAGAGTACAGTCAAAAGTCAAATATCAGAAATGGAAAATTAAGAAGGAACCCATACGAAAGCCGACACAGCACAAAGAACTGTCCATACAACAGCGGTAGATGTAAGAGTCTGGCCTGGACCTACGGAAGGGGGAACTCACACCTTGCTCACATGATCAGCGCAAGCTAAGCGGGTATGTGATTCACGTGAGATCGTTAGCTCCTCCCCACTCCACTAGCGCCCGCCTCCAAGCACAAAAGCCCGAAAATTCTCGCTAGAATTTCGACTTTTTCTCTTCATCAAAAAGTGACAGAGCCAGCCACGACCTCCACCTCGAACTCTTTACAGTGGTGCGTTGCCAGCATCCTCGGATGTGAGGCTCTGGAGATGAATAATTTGCTATGCAGCTCCCTGATAGGAAGTTTGTCCCCCGTTGGGTCTTCTTTATTGAGGGCGATGGGAGGTGAATGTCGATGATGGGAGACAGATCAATTTCGAAGGACACGATGCGAGTCTAGATGCGAGGTCTGCGGACACGATTCCCCCCGGCAGAGGACGATTCTTGAAGGGCGGATACACACACGGGATGGCTGTTGGAGCATAGGATACTTGGGATGGTTGGTGGAGCCCCCAAACGATGCCGCACATTCCTGCGCTGCACTGCACTGCACTGCACTGCAATTGTCCACTGTCATGAACTCGGTTGCCGGTACCCCGTGGCGCCGCAGCATGTACCGCAGAGGCATGATCACTTCCACTTATACATTGATGACCACGACCGACTGCTACGCCCTGCCCTCTCTTTTCCCTCGTTTTCTTTTCTGTGACCTTCTCATTCCTCTTCCCCCTCTCAATCATGGGCATTTCCCCAAGACCTTATCTCCTCATACCTATCTCGATTGGGCGCATGCTCTACCCAAGATTGCTGCTGGCTTCTTCAGCCTCGCCCCAAGATGTCATCCCTGGAGCAGGTAGCATCTGACGTTTGAATCTGGCCGACTTGCGCTTCGTTCCTCGGAGCGCGAAACCTGCGCGTAAACCACCAAATGCGCCTGCCGCGGCTGATTTGCCGCCTACATCTCGAGAAACTTCTGAAGAAGAGGGCGGCAGCGATGGAGGAGCAGTCACAGGTGGCTCCCGCCAGGCTACTTGAGCTGTATGGTCGATACCGCCAACCTCAAGATTGGGACCGGTATGCCTCTGCTGCCTCTTGTCATTTATCGGAGCCCAAGCGGTGCCTGGGTCCGGAGAATTTCTATCGGCCATGACGGCTTCAGCAGCTCCGCCAGACGAAGGCCCAAGCCCTTCCCTTTCCATGTCAGCGTCATCATCATCCTCTTCCAATTCCGTATCCTGTGTCACATCATTTAAGACATTCTGTTCGCCACCTCCTGGCTTAAGTCGGAAGCTCTCCGCAAGATTAAGGGATATCTGCGGACCAAAAAAGAAATCAATGGAAGTTGGTTCAATCTGGCGTGCGTATTTGCGGTGGCTATTTCTCTTTCGTTTGCTGGGCTCGAAGATACTGATGCCGACCCTCGTATCTACTTCATTCACCTGAAGGCCGAGACCATACTGGAGGGCCTTGTGGGCCGTACCGTTTCGTGGCCTTCTCTCGTCCAGATCTTTGATGGACAACAATCTGTCGTTCTTCTGGCGGTTTGGGTTTGGAAGGAATGGGTGCCACTTGATATCCTCGGTGCGCTCCGGCCCCGGAACTGCAGACGAATTAGGAAACGTACGCCAGATTGCCATACAACCTTAGCCAGAATTCTACTTTCTGCACTCGCGGCAGAACGAGTTATTGCATTTGGTCGCTTCAGTCTGGGCTAAAGATACTTGAAAAAATAAGAGATCGTACCTTGATTGGCCTTTTGGTCCATCCCTGAGTACCGCTAAAGTTAGCCAATGGCCTCATAAGAATGTGCCAGGAGGAAGATGGGGATGTTGCGATCATGGGCCATTCCAGCACATACAACTCCCATCTTTACACAGTGCGGCCCAGGTATCATCCTTTCCTGGTTGGTGGCCGAACGTCAATACGCGGTCGCAACACACTAAATCCCTTGGAGTGTCCAGACCGAGTTCTCTCATCCGGGACGTCTTGACGTCCGGCTCCGGTACAAGCTTCTTCACAGCCGCAGTTGAATCTCCCTATTCTCAGATTAGTATCACCCACTGACCTCGTCAAAACCCATACCTTCTTGACGATATATTCGGCAGCGAGGATGTACTCCTTGCCGTCGAAAGACGAGACCTCGGTAAATAAGAACTGGTACGCATCTGAGTCACGGATTTTCGGTGACACGACCAACCATGTCTCTATGGCTTTGGTGCTACCAACAGTGCAGTTCGTCGTCACATTAGTATTCATCCGGGACAAAACACACCCTTTAGCGACCAGGCCCTTGCTGCTAGCTGTCAGTCGTCAACAGAACGCAGCAGATCTTCGTGGAACATACTCCTTGAGAGTTTCCCGGATCGTCAGGTTCGGGAACTCTTTCGTTACGATGTTCAATACGTACGGGTTTTGGAAGAGCCCGCCACCAAGAACGAGGTACTGCAACCGTCAGCGTACTGGTCTCATATTCTTGAAAGCTTCTTTACATCAACCTGCCCTCCTTTTTCGCATTGCCGCTGAATTCCAAGCACGATGCTTTCCGCCGGGCGCTTGAAGCAGCCTTCTACTTCGTCACTGAGTGCCATTTAGCACCCTGCAAGACCACCTGGGCCAAAACGTACCTGTCAAATCGAAGGTATTCATCTGGGAGATGGCTAATCTTGAACGCTACCTTGAATTTGTTCGATCCAACATAGTTTTTGTACGTCCTATCGAAGTGGTTCCTCATGTTGTTGAGTTCCCAAGTTCTGTTGGCGCAGTCGGGGTGTCTAGCATCCAGCAAAGCGTACATTGACTCTGAGACAGTCTCTGCTCCGCAACACACACCTGATGGTTCAGTCAGTAGATATAGGAATGGTGGGATGTGTACTGACTTTCGCTGGCAAATTCTTGGGTGAATTCGAGTGGGTGGAGACTATCCAGTCGGAAGCGAACAAAACACTGAACAGTCAACACAATCACCCCGGAAAGGGAGTGTGAAGGTACCCACACATGTGCCCCCTCCCCCATCCGCTATCAAATATGTCCGGCCGACCTAAAAGCTGCAATCAGCACTGGTATCCTCGGTTGTTCCCAACAAAGACTTACTTCCCAATCTTCTGGATTCTCTCCTTCAAGCCAGGAGCGGAACATAGCCGCTGGCTCCGATTCCAACGACACAGAGGTACATGTGAGAGGTGATTGTATGAATGCCCTCAGGACTTCGGCATGGGCAATGGTCGTACGGCCTGGCGGCACAGCAACCACCACCTCGATGTCGAATCGATCAAAGTTTGCATACTGTCCTCTCAAATACGAATGGCTCTTACTGCCGACGATACCCAGATCTTCGAGAATAAACGTTGCCCAATCCCGGATCAGATCATCGCGTGTCTTTCCTAGCCCGTCCAGCTGCTCCTGAATCTTGGTTTGAATTTTCAGGATCTGTGGGTCATCGTTATGGCTGTGGAACCTAGATCAATCGACCAGAAATCGTTATCAGTATCATTAGAACGATTCGAGGATATGACGATACATTTCACAAGAAAGCTTAGGACGAACAGAAGATGAAACACGGGCTTCCCTAATACTTACATCAACTTCCATAGCCGAAAAAGACGAGCTGGTTCGTAGCTTGACGGATCCGGGTTATCGAAAACCCTGTCCAATCCATGGCCAGTGATAGGGGTGCCGTCTTCGTCGTAATACAAGAAGGTGGATGGGTAGAGTCGCCGGTGCGCCCCTTCTTGGTACGATCCAGCTGAATCACTGTGAAGCCTGATATTACAAGGAGGCTGAGCTTTTCCATCGACTGGATAAAACAGCTGACCAATCGCAATGGCACTCTGCGCTATTCGATATGAGCACCTGAATGCTGCGAGTGCTCCGGAGTCCGGGGGCATCGGGTGCTACGCTTCGGTTTCGACTTACTGGTTCCCATGTCGATACCGATCACGAACTTCCCCAATTTCTCGTTCGCGGGGGACGTGCTTGATGCTGAATTCCGACCTTTCTGTCGCGAGTCACCTAGGAGTGCGGTCAGTATTCTTCTGGCCTTGAGATAGGAAAGGTGCTGTCCAGTTACCCTTTCTCGTGGCCTTTCTCTTGCTGATCCTCTTTGAGCGAGGCATGTTGACAGTTTGATGTTGATGGGCCGGTAAGATAGCGATCCTTCGAGATTCAAGGAGAGTCCAGCGAGGATAGAGAAGCAAAAACTTGACAGGTGCCAAAAGGCATTCAGTCAAACAGACATGAACGGTTTCGGATTTCTTACAATGACATGCATGTGAGGCTTTTCGTTTGCAATGCTGCCTTACTAGCCAGTTATCTGTATCACTGCATGCCAGCCAACAGTCTGAAGTCTGCAAAAACTATGCGGGTCAAGTGGAGAGCTTACTAGTATCCGAGACAGGTTCAAACTTGAAAGACAATCAATTCATAGCAACCACGGTCGATCGTTTGCATGTCAAGACGGTGATATGATATGCTGCGTTTGCAGTTTGCAGGTTACAGCTGAGCTATCTCAACAATCCCAGTCCCTGGTACCAATAGGTGGAACGGTGGATGGCTGGCTGCAGTACAAACCGCGTTCTGCTCAAAGGAGTTGTTTGCCCGGCCCCTACGCATATGCAGTCCGTACAACGTGTCAGCCTCAAGCGGGGTAAGTCTGGACCCAGCGATAGTATACCAAGTCACAGTCAATCTGAATCCCCCAATCTCGAAATTTCGATATTTCAATGAGTCCGGTGTTCTGCTGGAATTCAAAACAATACGCTTTCCACTATGGTAGCCACCACCACCACCACCACCACGCCTGCACCAAAACTCGGCAAAGTATGCCAGCATGATGATCTCTACAACATCGTGGATAGTGCCCGAGCCAGTAGTGCAGTCGGAGAGAGATCATCGACGCGAATTAAGAAGCCAACCCTCACTGAAAGCCAGCATGCTTCCACTCCATCTGCAGACCGCCATGGCGAAAGCTCGATCCGTGGCCCCATCTCAGACGAAGTAGTGGATAATCTTGTCTTCAAGACGGCAGTCATCTACCCTCTTAATGCACGCCAGACAGCTCTTCCTGAATACTTCACTAGGAAAGGCAAACTTCTTCGGCGCTGGACAGAGAAGTACGGAGTTGAGGTTACGAGGCTACAGGACGAGGCCACTGCCCAGCGGAAAGCAGCACCTCTCAATCGAAGGAAGAAGACCGCGGTGCAAGCCGAGGACAACGATGATGTTCATGGATCTCGAGCTGAATTCCAGGAGCCACATTGGCCTGGGTTGGAAACACAAGATAATCCGCAGGGTTGTCTGCTGTGCGAGTCGGGAACGAGGGATTCGAGAGGATCAGTCTGCCACTCCTGCCGCTTTGCTGAGGATGGCGATATGGTTCGGCCTAAGAAAAGACAGAAGACTTTCGCCCAGGCAGCCCGTTCAGACATTGGAGACAAGACTCGAAAGTCACAAATACCCCCGAGGACATCTGGTAATACATTCGGTCAACCTGTTAGGACTATCCTGCCGAGCGATCGAGCTTGGTCAAACCGGCCCGCCCCGTTTCAAGAGCCAATATCAGCTATTCAGAGGTCTGATCCTGCCGAAGATATAGCCTTCCCTTATCAGGGTCTCAAATCCCCGACTATCTCTGTCATAACCTGTGAAGGGCGTGACAAAGAAGTGTCTCATGGGTTGGAAATGCCGGAAGTTGGATCAGTTGCGAAGGGACTTACCCGAGAAGAGAGTATCGCAGCCGGCGTTGAAGACTATGACCCTCTGAAAATGGCCAAGGTGAACCCGCTATTGCAGAGCAGAGTCCGGCGGTCGCCGTCTAGCTTCCAGTCCAGCCTGACGTCGGGTTCCAGCGACGTGGTCCGTCTACCCGATGATCCCTCTCCCGAATCCGAACCTGCCCAAGAGAATCTGTCTGTCGATATAGGCCAGGCCCCCGACAGCAACGTACCTGCGAATGCGTCAAAGAGCCATAGCGAAGCAATCCCTCGCGACGCAGAGCCAAGATTTGGCAGAGAGTGGCTCGATGATGACGAGATCGGCGAGATGCTAGATAAACTTTCTAATTACTTGATGCAATATACGGCAGCGGCATGCGCACATCCCTGGCCGCCACACGGCCGAATGTCGTTCCTAGATATCCCTTGTATCCAGGACGAAGGCTTTGCGGGACATGCTCCCCTCCTGGATGCTTTGCGTAGCGTCCTGGATGTCCCAGCTGGAGTCTCGGTCAAGGAGAAGATCGAGAGCATGAAGCTTGCGCCCGAAAAGTCCATGTGGATCAGAAGCATCCTCTTACACCTCGTCAGCAAGTTTGTGTTTGAGTCAGGCTCGCCGTTCGAGGATGCGAGACCGTGGAAAGAGGGCCTCGAATTCCGTAAGATTTTTTTTAAAAAAAAATTCGTCCTTGAATTTCTTCCTCTCCTCTCCTCTCCTCTCCTCTCCTCTCTTCTCCTCTCGCCTTGCTGACTGACTGATTTCCAGTTGGCGTCTCGGCGGACATGATCGAGCAGATCCTGCAGGACAATCGGATCCGGACGGCCAGTTCCAAGCCTGCCGAATTCTCGGCCCGGATCCAGCATCGAAGCGACGGTCTCGTGCGCGAGCTCAACGCCACCATGATGCCGCTGGTGGGATGCAACAGCGAGATGAACGACTTCCACACCTCCATCTCCCGGCTCGCCTCCGATCTCAACATCCGGCTGTGTTCCTTCCCGGCGGAGTACAGACCCATCACCACCCGCATCGGCGAGAGCTTCGTCCATGACATCCACGCCTTGGAAACCCAGGGCGTGGGCCGACCGGAGCAGAGTCTGCTGGACGTCATCGGGAAGCCGGTGTTGTTGACTACGATGTTTGGGGTCCGCGAGAGGATGCCGATGCCGATGGCGACGCCGCACGCAGCGGAAGCTAGGGTTTGTGTCAAGGCGAAAGTGAAGTTGTGGCCGCCGACTGCTGTTGTTGTTGTTGCTGCTGCTGCTGCGGCTGCTGACGCATCTTCTCCAACACTTGCCGAGAGGGGGTCGTGGAACGGCCCCGTCGACGTCAACAGACATTAACTCGGACGCAGCAAGCAAGGTTCAGGAAAACCAGGGAAATAGTGAACAGTAGAACAGAATCATGGCACAAGTTACCTCCTTCCTCTTTGCAATCGACCTGTCACGTGTGGATCGTCGTCAGGTGATATTTCCCTGGCACGTGCTCCAGGCCTCCTCCGATGTACAAGTCCGTAAAGAGCCTCCCCCGAGTACCGATAGTGCAGTGGTTAATCAATCCACTGACTATTGATTCACTTCGCGGGTCCACCCCGTGATACCGTTTCATCGTCTCGTCACCCTTGGAAGACTTGGGCCGGACGTCGGTTTTCCAGACCCCGTTCGTTGCCTGCTGACGGTAAGATTCAGATGATAACGCAACAAACCGTCCGTTTTGCCTCCGATCCATCTGTAGAGTGCTATATTATTATTTTTTTGGGGGCTTAAGCAAGAAAAAAGTTAGATCGCGATCTGATACTGTGCGACTGCTGCCGTGTTTTAATTAGATCATCAATCAATTCGGAGACGGGAGTGTGCCCAAAGCAGCCGTTGCATACCTACCTACTGACTGCAGGCAGAAGGACGGCACGAATCCAAACGTGGGATCATGGACGCATATAACGACCCTTTTTCAAGCTCCTGTCGTCGGCCCGGGGGAAGGGGGGGGGGGGGGGGGCGGGAGGGGGATGATGTACCGTTCCTTCCTCTTGCGTCGAGGCTGTCCACCCGTTCCGGACTCGCGATCTAATTCAGGCTCGCGGGTACAGCTTCAGCACACTGTATGTACCTACCGGTTGTAGTAGTATGTAGGTAGTGAGCGTAGAGGCGGCGCGGGAAACAGGATGCCAGTTTCGAGTTTCAAGTTTGGCGCTGGGCGAGCGGGGGTGGGTGGCGCACCCGGATTGGGGAGAGCAGGATCGAATTGGGAAGGAGGTAGTAGGTACAGTAGAGGAGCAGTGTTTCTTGGATCCCAAAGCTGGTTGGGTCGTGCGGGCGGACTTGGGGGTTGGGGGCCAGACCAGACCAGACCCGGTACGGTACAATACGGTACGGTACAGTACTGATACAAATGCGCTGGACTCGTGGGCAGGAGGCGCGGAGTAACGGCCGAGGATCGTGATTCGCAGCAGCCGCAGTTGCACTTGCTCGCTCGCTGACCGACCTGTCGGCCTGGGTACGGGGATCTAGTTGTCCAGAGTATATCGGTACTGTCCTGTCCTGTACTGTACTGTACGTAACCATGGCTGTGTGATCTCGAGCTGTGGCTACCCGATTCGGCCTAGTGTGCCCTTTGGTTCGAAGTCAATTCATGACCAATATATTTGTCAAGACCAGTCAGTGACTAGTAGCTGATGCTCGGCATCTTTTTTTATTATTTTTCCCACTTCTCGGTGCGGTGCATGACAGTGACAGGCAGTTGCAGTGCTGCAGCGTTGCAGCGATGCAGCGTTGCAGCGATGCAGCGTTGCAGTGTTGCAGTACCAAGATCGGCCGCCGCTACTCTATTCGAGCTCGGTCCTCTGGACGTACTACTACGTACTACGTACTACGTACCTACTACACTACGTACTATACGCACTGACTGTCCGGAGTGGGACAGCGCAACCGGTGCCGAAGGCCCGTGGCCGACCAGGATGCCCCACGGATGGGACCCCCGCAATCCAGCAACGGGAGAGCGTCCCCAAGCGCTGGGACTTGGTCTGAGACATTTGGCCTCCCCTCCGGCGCCCCGCGGTTGGATGGCTCCGAAAGGAAAGATCTGCTGATTATCTGTGCTGAAAGTTGCCGTTGCGGGCATCGTCATGGCCCCCAGCGAGGACATGATCGACATGGCGCTCCAGTTGCCAGGAATCGCGTCGACCTGCCCGGCGTGATGATCTTCTGCTATTACTTAATACTACAATACAGTACTATTTCCACTTCTCGCCCGGAGATGCCAGGTACGCATCTGCACTACCCGTCAACCCGTCAACCCGTGAGAGCTGCATTGCCTGAAAAGAGGGAACTTGCACCTGCTCTAAGATGGAAGGTGGGAGGTGTACAGAGTACGGTAGTCGTGACTCCGCCTCGCCTCCCGACGCCTCTTAGGTACCAATATACGTAGTACGTACTACGTACCACTACTGCTACGTACTGCGACGTACAGTACAGTTCAGCCGGAGGATGCCTCGAAAGTTTAAATCTCCATCTCCACTTTCAAGCCCCTGGTTACCCTCCTGTGACGTTGTACGTCGTAGATTTCAGAATTTCCCGTCTGAATGCCAGGAACGAAGAGAACATGGATATGGACATGGACATGGACATGGACATGGACATGAACATGAACACGAACTCGAACTTGAACACGAACATGAACATGAACATGAACATGCTCGCTGCAGACAGGTCGAGCGTTCAGGATATGGCTACCCATACTAGATGCCGGATGCCGGACGCGCTGTCCGTATCGCCGGTGCACCGACCGACCTTCAGAGCAGAACGTGGGCCCATCACCCGCACGCGGACCTTCGAGAAGGAATCTGCAGGACGATCAGAGGATCCCACCGGCACCGGGCAGTAACGTGATGGATGGATGGGCTGTTGGCTGGCTGTCTTGAACCAACTGTCGGTCAAGGTTCGTCGTCGCCGGGTGGCCTTATGCAGGTACCTCGACCTGCCGACGGGAGGTGTGGTGAAGTGAAGAAAAGCGAAGTGGAGTAGATAGAGTAAAGTGAAGTGAGTGAAGTGAAGTAAAATAGAAGCTGAAGTCAAGGGAGGTCGGGAATGTTTCCGTCACGTGCCCTCCAGCCAGATACCTCGGCTGTCTGGCAGCATGGGACGCACGCACGCACGTACCCCGGGGGGCCCAACGAAGCAAGCATGCGGCGAGAAAGAGATGCGTATGCCATGCAGGGTAGATGGAGAGCATTGCGTGGCATCGGTGTCAAGAAGGGGCCGTCTCGTCTTCTTGACGTAGGTAGGTACTACGTAGTTAGTTAGTTGACAGACGTTGAAACGGTGTCACCAAAGTGCACTCAGTCAGTCCCGTCAGTGGGTCAGTCCGTCAGTCCGTCCGTCAGTCCGTCAGTCAGTCAGTTAGTCCGTCAGTCGGTCAGTTAGTCCGTCAGTCGGTCAGTTAGTCAGCCAGTCAGGTACGGTAGTCAGTCAGTTAGTCAGTCAGTCAGTTAGTCAGCCAGTCAAGTTAGTCAGTCAGTCATTGACTCACTCACTCACTCACTCACTCACTCACTCACTCACTCACTCACTCTCTCAACTCACTCAACTCAACCCAACTCAACTCTTCCCCGAGTCCGAGTCCGAGTCCGAGTCCGAGTCCAAACGACGTGTCTTGTCCCAAGTCACGAGACCAAGTCCCGCGTCAATCACACCATGACTCGTCGAGAAGTATACCATCCGATATACTTTTCTTCTTCTTCGTCTTCATCTTCTTCTTCTTCATCGTCTTCTTTTTTCTTCTTGGGCCTCCTGAGTCCTCACCCAATCCGGGTCGGGGATGCATGCATGCACTCATTCATTTCTGTACTGACGTTGTCCTGACGCTGTCCTTACGATGATACTACTGTACGATTAATCACTATTCCCAGATGACCTGGCGGTCCTTTCATGCCGGAGCTGACGTCGCTTTCCTCATCTCCGTGTCAGGATAAGCAGTTGATCCTGGCTTGGGCGTGCCATTGGGCTGGATGGCCGATGAGCCCAGAGGCTGGGCTGGCCTGGGCTGGCCTGGGGGGGCTGGGGGGCTGGGGGGTGGGGCAGGCCAGGGGAAGTAATTGACGAGGGGCAACATTTGCCGGGGGAACTATTCCCCGAGGGCAGGATCTGGCGAGTGACGCCCCCCCCCAAAAAATCTGCTTGCTTCTTTGCGCTCTCTTCTCTTCTTTCACTCTCTGCGACATCCATCCATCAGCGACACCCATCATCCATCCATCCATCCATCCATTCAATACATTCATCCATACATCCATCCATCCATCCATCCATCCATCCATCCATCCACCCTCTTCATCTCAAGAAGCTTCTTTCCTCGACATGGGCATGGGCATGGGCATGGGCATGGATGGGCACGAGCATGGACATGGACATGAACCCGGCGGCCCAGGATCCAGGCAGGACACCCATAACATCCCGTACGCCATGGAACACAGTCCCCTTCCCCGGGGACCCGCGGTGGAAAAAGCTAGACCGACCGACCAGCATCTCCGTACTGCAAGTACGGAGTAAGTACAATATCTGCGTCGCGCACAACGCGCTCTCTGGTCATGACCATTTCGGATAGGCGCCTCTCGAGTCTCCGCACGCTCGAGGGAAAGTCCACTGTCTGTCCCACGGCTATCGTATCGTATCCATTCGCTTCTATCAAACGACTCGCTTCGAGAGCCGGTTGGGAATCAAGAGAGCGGCGACAAAGGTCTGGGACCTGGGTATACACCTACTACTACCTACCTACCTACCTACCTACCTACATCCATACTACTACCGGTACATCTACTCGACCGATGACAGCCAGTCGCCAGCTTGGGATTACAGCATTTCTTAGACAACCCCCATCCATCCATCCGTTCATCCATCCCCTGTGACGGATCGAGCATACGGAACGCACCTCTTCCATGCAGTCAACCGCCCCCCACCAACCAACCGTCGTCGACATCGGTACCCAGGAATCTCCCGCTCGTCATGAGCCCGCTATGATTCGTGGACCGCGAACAAGCCTTACATGACCAAGCGACCTCTCCTTTTCATATCCAACTCAAGGTAAATTACTTGATGTTCCCTTATTAAATAGACTCCTGATTTACGGAGCACGGAACTCTCGTACAGCAGATGGGAATCGGACATTCATGCGGAGGCAAAGCTTGCGATCTGCATGAAAGTGTGAATTCCCTACCACCTACAGTACAAGACTACCTAGTTACCTACCTTCCTACCGACCTACCGACCTACCTCCTCCCACCCTCGTCCGCTCTCTCTAGGTCATTCCTAACTCGGTCGCTTCATGTTTTGACTCATTCTACTTCACATACACTTCTCTCGAGATGTTGCTCACCATCAAACCACCAGCGCATTACGGCTACAAGTCTTTTCGTGATTATACTCCGCCTACCCCACCATCGACATCTCGTTTCTCACCGACCGTAGCCTCGACCGTAGCGTCGTTTCCTCCCATCTTGGCCAACGTTCAGTCTCTACCTCCTCTCACAGCCACCAAGGCATTAGATTCAATGTCGGCGAGACCACATCTTCCTCCCCTGCAACAGAACCCGTCACAAGCACCGCCAGTCCCACTGACCCAGCCCATGGGACAGTTGCCGGCGCCTCCACAGCAGTGGCAAGGTGCAGAGGAATCGATGAGAAACTGGCTGCACGCTAAGGCGGAGGAGGACAAGCGCAAGCAAGAAGAAGAGAAGACCCGGCAAGAATCATTGCGACTGGAACAGCGAAAGATCGAGCAAGATATGCTAAGGACGTCTCTGGCGGGGGGGATTCCCCCACACATGATCCCGATGGTTTTTGCGGGAATGGGAGGTGGCAACCTTCCAAATGCCAGTTTGGAATGGGCTCAGCATTACATGTCGCAGGCCCCCCATCCCCAGCAACAGCAACAACCACAACAACTGCTTCCTGCCCAGCCACAGGCTTCGCCGGAGCCGCTCCAGCGGAGAGAGTCACGCTTAGCCTCTCAGCCCTACCCTGGTCAACAACACCCGGCACCGATGACTCTGCCTTCAACGCCCATAGGTCCTTCTAGTGCACAACCAACCGCCGGCTTCCTCCCCAGCTATCAGATGTCACCAGCCACTCGGGCTCGGTCAGGTTCTCAGGGGCAAGCGGCTGCGACTCGACCACCACCTAAAACGTCTCAGTTGCCGAAAATCAACACGGGGGAGGCTCCCTCCCACCACCCGCCCGCGGCAAGCCATCATCCCCTTCAGCAAACCCAGTCCGTTCAGGAGCAACAGTCGTCCCCATCGATATATTTCCACCACTGGCAGCCCCCGACCACGCAGGCAGCTACCACGAGCAATGCACATCAGCCGTCCACTCCGTCAGGCAAGCGTTAACCCGTTTTCCGTTTCCTGGGCCGCGTGTTAATCCTGAGCGCAGATAATACCACGTCCCCCAAAAAACGCAAGGCCACCGGACCACAACAAGCCGCACCGGCACCTACCTCGGAATCGCGACACGCATCGCCTCCTTCTTCGCAGACCGGCTCTTTCGTCTCGAATCCGCCCTCTAGCCGACGTCGCGGCCATTCACGTGACCTCCCCGCGCGAGGGATGGACTCGTTTGGACGACCCCTGAGCCGCCATCGCCATGACGGTTTCACAAGTCAAGGCCTCACTTCGCCCATACATTCTTACGCACCTGAACAGCAAACCAACGCTTCCGCCGCGCCTGCCGAGTCTCAGCGACAGGTTAGGGGCCCCCAGCACGTCTCAGGTGACTCGCAGGCACAGCAGATGCAACCTCATCAACATACGCATCAGATACAGAGGGACCCTCCGTATTCGGCGGGCCCGGAGATGAGGCATGATATCCGACGCGGAAGCTCTGAAGAGGGAATTTCCAGGCGGGCTAGCGTTATCAAAGAAACGAGATGAGGTTGAGATTGAGTGCGTTTTCGCACAGAGTCTCTTCGATGGGGCTCGCCAAGAGATGCCAAAAACTTACGCGAGATTATTCAGCAAGCAATTTGAAGTGCGGTCCAGAACGCACACCCCTTTCGGAAACACGAGACGAGACGAGACGAGACGAGACGAAACGACCCATGACCGAGATGAGATGGAGTCACCCTTTTGTTTGCATTCTGGCAATTCTCTATCACGCTGCTCTACGGAGATGGCAGGCACCTGTATCTTTCTCTTGTGGCGCCTGAAGCGCTTTTGATTCGGTGATTTAGAAGATACCCATTTTGTTGTCATGTTGGACATTGGTCCGTCATCCGATTCTTTTTTGCTTTCTCAATATAGGCGACGAGTTGCTGCTGCTGCGTCATGTTCCCCGGGAGCTCATTTTGTACATCCAATTCCATTTACCTCGAGGGCGAGGCCTTGTTGTAGCATACCATTCTCTTCGGGGTGGACTAGGGTCTTGCATGCTGTCTCCCCTTCTCATCTCCCACATTGGCGACCATTGGGCGCTGGTCGCCTGGTCTCCTATGTAGTTTGAAATTGGCTGATGGCCTTATGTATATACACTTTGGTATTCACTTCCGGCGCCGGAGACGGGACGAAAAAATCTGGCATGGTTCTAGACCGAAAAGTCGCGGATTGGGTCAGGAACACGGTATGGGGAAGGGGCTTTGGAAGGTGGGCCACTGAACTGAGTACGTCGGGAGGTTTAGTTAGAATGGAAAACCAATCACAACGTCTTTCTTCCCGTTGACAGGCTGAGAAGGAGCCGTCCAATCGCGATGCCGGCCACCTTCAAAGCCAATCGACAAACACACGGAGATCGCTGCACACACAATCTCATTTCGGCTCCCTCTTTTTTTCATTTGACCCCCTGAATTGGCTGAAAAAGGTAAAGGTAGTCCAGTCATTTCTCCTCCTGCATGGTTCCTGCGTTCCCTCCCATGCCAGCTGGACCCCCCGCCCCAGCTCTTTCTTCGTCTGTCTTGTCTGTCCTGTCCTGTCGGTCTCTAGCGAAGCTGGCGGGGCAGAGAGTCTCGCGCGTCTAGACTGGATCTGCTGGCGGCGGCGCCAAGAGCGGATTAGGGATTGGCAGAGCAGGGCAGGGCAGAGCAGGGCTGGGCTGGGCTGGCTTCCTCCGCAGATCGTAATCAGAAACCATACAGTAATTGAGCAGGCACGTCCCAGAGTGAGGGAGTAAGGAAGTACCACCACGTACTGTCAGTAGCGCGAGCGAGCGGGTAAGAGAGGAAAGTAAGTAAGCGAGTAAGTTTGCAAGTTCGGAGGGAAAGGGTGGGGGGAAGGGGGGGGGGAAAGGCGGGGGGGGAGGGGGGTCTTGATTTTATAAAAAAAAAAAAAAAAGAAGAAGAAGAAGAAGAAAATATTGAAAGGGAAATGAATCTCTTAATGGATATATATATTGTTATGTTTTTTTTTTTTAAAAAAAAAAAAAAAAATAGGTGGGGAACGTTATGGTTGTGAAGCGAAGGCCAATCATTCATCTATTTCTTTACTAAGAATTGAAGAATCCACAAAGGGTTCGTTGTCGCTCTTGCTCTTTTTCTCTGCTGAGGGGGAGGGTTCTTTCGCTGCTTTTCTTTCTTGATGCGTGGAACTCGTGGGGGCTTTTCAAGAGAGAAGGGAAAAAAAAGAGAGAAAGGAAGAAAGAAAAAAAAAATGAAAGAAAAAAAAAGAGAAGAAGAGAAGAGAAGAAATCTCCGATGTAAGTGAGTACCGTATGCCATCAACATAACGGCGGCGAAAGAAAAGAAAAGAAAAGAAGAAAAGAAAAGAAAGAGAAAAGAAGGAAAAAAAAAAGAGGCGTTGATACTGCCGTCAGCGCAACCCGTATTTGCTCTCCAAGAGCTTAAAAGAGAGAAGAAGAAGAAGAAAAGGAAAGGGAAAAAAAAAAAAAAGGTCGAGGAGATATCCCAACTCGCAGAGAATCAATCAACCACGGCGCCGTGCTTTCCGAGGGCGAAAATCGATCGTGCGGCTAGCTAGTTAGTTAGCTAGCGCTTCTCGCATCTATCTATCTAGGTATCTATCCAAAGTGCGTTTCGAGTCTAGGCTGGTATACTCTAGGGAAAAAAAAAAAGGAAAAAAAAATTTATTGGGCGAACGTCGCTTTAGAGTAGGTACCGGTATCACATGCGATGCCAAGTCAAGCAAGCGGTGCTACAGTGCCGGTACCGTCTGCATCGAGGCCTGGAGGGAGGGGGAAAAACATGGGACTGGAGAAGATGAAGCCCCGCTCTCTCCCCCCTCTCCCCCCCCCCACCCCTCTTTTGTTTATTGTTTACTGTTTGTTTACTGTTTACTGTTTATCGTTTACTGTTGACAAGGGCCGGCAGAGTCAGGAGACCGAGGAGAGAGAGGGAGGGGAGGAAGTAAGAAGATGGGAAAGGTGAGTGTCTGTCTGTCTGTCTGTATGTCTGTCTGTCTCTGTCTCTGTCTGTCCGTAATAGGGTCGTCAGTGCGCTCTCCGCGCTCTCTGCCTTGCCTTGCCCCCTTGGATCCTTGGAAGTCGTAACCTGCGGCGGGTGGGTAAGCGAGCAGGCCCTCTACAGTACCGGTACCTACTCGGCTTGGGGTTGTACTACCGGTACGTAGTAGTATGTACGAACAAGGCAGCCAGCGCGCACTGGCCACGGGATTTACTACTTGTACTACGTCCGACGTCCCAGGCGTAAGTATTACCCCTCGAGGGTAGGGGAGCCAGGGGGGCTTAAAGTGGAAACTAAACTTTGGAGGCACCCTCGAGGGGGTAATACTTAGGCCTGTACCGTGGTACTATACGGGTTTGCTTCGTCTTTTTTTTTTTTTCTTCTTTTTTTTCCCTCCTCTCTTCATTCATCCGCGTTCGCTCCGAGACTCAGAGAGGCCGAGGCCGAAACCGATCCCGTTTTCGAAATCCCGGGGTTGGGGAATCCGGAGTGTAAATTAGGTAATGGGGGGTCTTGGACTTGTATGGTCTTGATTGAGATGGGCACTTTGGTTTTTGGTTTGGGATTTCGGTTTGGGCTTTGGGATTTGAGTGCGGCTGAATATCATTCCAGATTTCCAATGCTTCGGATATCCGTCGTTTACATAATGGGGTCTTGGGTTTGTATGGTTTTGATTGAGATGGACGCTTTGATCTCATTTGGGCCTTGAGTGGGATCGAGCTGCTGCTGCATATCATGGATGTTTATGAATATGGATATCGGTGCGCAACATGGGTATTTTCTATCACAAGCTCCTCGAAGGTAGGGAGATATGGAGTTGTATTTATGCCATATTTTTTTTTTTCTAATTTAAACCGGTAGATGATGTGCGAAGCAAGTGCTTCTTTATCTCTCTCTTTCTACCTTTTCTTCTCTTTTTTTTTTTGGATTCGCTTGGAAAAAAGGTTAAGTAAGTAAGTAGGTAGTAAAACTAGCTCTGACAGATAGGTAGATAGACAGATAGATACCTAGATACATTAACATTGTATTTATCGCAAACCGTAAATAGAACCTACGGGCTAGGTAAACAAGCTATTCCGGAAACGTAAATCCCTCCCTAGTCAGCTCCCCATACGGAGCCAGCTCCCCCGTTGTAGATATATACGCCCAGTGAAACACAGCCAGCAAGAATCAAGCAAAACCAAGACATATGCAGCCTCTTTCTTTAAAGTTGATTAGTAATTGCTCCTACTCCGTACTTACGCACGCCATCAATACGGAGGGGCGGGCTGGCTTGTGAGAGGGGTTCTGCAGCCGAGTTTTAACCTCACCGAGTTAGTTATCTTGGATATACTACTACCAGAAGAGTCAGCGCGACGGACAGCCAGCCAAGAGGTTGGTGGGTTAACAAGATGGATGGACGGTTTCAGAAGATGGCGAACGAACGATATCACTGATTGCCACTTTTGACAGATGTGTATGTACCTATTTAGCTGTATTGTTAGAGTAAGATATTCTTGCACTATGAGGTCTGTGCTGTCGCTGCCAAGCAACTCTTGAAGAGATGGATAGTGACTGCCAGTTGGAAGAAGGAAGAGCTAGCTAGCGTAGAAGGAGAGAACTGTATACAGTTCTCTCTCTTTCTGGGGGGATTCCCTCTTCCTTAGATAACCGAAATCAATAATTGGAACCACCTTCTGCTTCCCCATCACAAAGAAGAATTATCTTCTTACATGTATAAGTATAAGCATAAGTTAGTACGTAGTATCTCGAGATGCGGATACTCTCTCTTTTCGGCTTAGTGTGTTTGCTTACCCTTTGTTGAACCTTGGTTAAAGACTAATTAATTAATTCTGTGCCCTGTCTGAACCCTTGTGATCTGACTAACATAGGGAAAGGTTGTGCGAATATTATAGTAGTAGTAGTAGTAGTAGTAGTAGTAGTAGTAGTAGAAGTGGTGGTGGTGGTAGTACGTAATAGTATCTTGCAATTTGGCAATACTCCGTAGTTTATTTTACTTAAAGTGTTTGGTTTGTCCGTACTTCGGTAGCCGAACTTGGATCTGATGATAATTCAGTCTTAGTATCTCCTTTCTTCCCTTTGCCCGTGATTTGTTTTTGATACTACTGTATCGCCGCCGGCGCTATACGTAATCATCTAAATTGTACGCACGCACAAAGCGATGCAATCCCCACTTCTCTCTCTCCCTCAAAGCTAATAAGGCGCTCTACGGAGTATCAAATCGGGTTGAAGACAACAACTGACTGACCAAGTTAATAATTGAGCCTGCAGAATCCCCTTTTCTCAAAGTCAACTCGGTTAACTAATACATAGTGGGGTTAATTCACTCGTTACTCAGGTTGAGTTAGGTAACTCGGCTACAGAATGAATCCCTTTATTGATTGGTTTATGTATTGATTGGTCCAGTCCCTTATATGTATTATTGGGATATATATTGAGCTTGTGTGGCTCGCTACAGGTTCTCTGTCTGTCCTACTTTTGACACACGCAAACACATACACATATATATATATACTATATGTATTTGCGAGCTGGCCACTGACCAAAAGGAAGGAGTTGTTGTTGTCGTTATTGAATTTAGTAACGTCGGGCGGGTAGCAAGCTTTGCCTGCCGCCTGAAGACCTCTTATAAGGTACGGCGATGTGCCAAGTAAAGAATATACATATACAAAGCACCATCCAATCGAGAGTAAAAAACCACGTTAAGAAAAAGCTCTCTGTCAAATAGCTCCGGATCTTTAATCCCGCGGTATCGCAAACTCTCTAGTAAGCCTTTTGTCGTGCGGGTATACAGGGTTATAAGACTGGTTACTGCAATGTGCATTGCAGGTCTGCTTGTGCACAACTCCTTTTAAAATCATTTCAAGTTGATGCAGCGCAGCTGCTGTTGACTATGCTTTTTTTTCTTATAGATAAGATGGATCGCAGAAAAGATAAATAAATCTCATTTCGAAAGAAAACCCCAAAAGAGCAAGTCACAACGTAAGTAACGTATATCGATATCGATATGATGTCGAGATAATTCGAGGCCGGACCGGGGGTCAGCTAAGTGAGTGGCCTTTTCCGAAAGCGCAATATCGTAATCGTCTAAAACCCCTACCTCTTCTCTCACCCCGTTCCCTTTCTATCGCAAATCCTTTTGGTCTTTTCAGTCGGTATGCCCGTCAAGTATAAACCGTAGTCGGCGTAGTGGTCGAGGTAGGAGGAGGCTCGTTCGAGACCGATCGCCGGTAAGAGAAAATCTTTCCGAAAAGGCCACCTTGATTTTTTTTTTTCGGCTCTTCAGACTCTTTCTGCCCCAGGAAAGAGAGCTGAAGGTTCGTAAGGGGCACCTCGTACAGGTAAAGAATCGTAGCCTCCCCAGGGTGGAGGAGGACTGGACGGACGGGCTTGGAAGAGCAGACTTGCCTTCGCCTCCCTCTTTCTCTCCCTCTCTTTCCACGGGAATACCTTGTTTTGAGAGTTGAGATTAAGGTTATACGAGCTCTCGATGAGATGAAAAGAGGCAGTTAAACTGTATTGCTGTACTTATTACTTACTGTATCACTGTTACCCGGATGGAGGAGACCAACGAGTACTGGCTCGGCAAGGAGTCAGTACGTAAGAGGATCCAGCCAGCTGTTAGAAAGATGATTCAAAAAAGAGACCGATCACGGCAATTGCGATACGGACCTTGCGTGATATTCTCTTCTGCTGTGTTGCATGCATACAGACTAGATATATATACTGCTTGCTGGCTTATACTTGTAGATCCCGTGGGTATAAGGCCAACTCAGGTAACAAAAAAACCCCCCCTACCAGTTCAGAGCACCATAGACACCACGCAGGCGGGAGTAATGGAAAAATGTATATTTGAGAACGAGAAAGGTCTACCTACCAAAGGATAGCTTTCAGATTCGAGACACTTACGATTGGGTTTGCGATTCGCTAAGAACACAGTAAACTGTGCGTATGAGAGGGGGGGGAACACGATCGCTTTAAAAAACTCCGATTCAAAATTCATGTTTTCAGTCGTAATCACACCGCTGAGACGCTATCATCATTCGTGAAGAAGGAGAGGAAGAAGAAAGGGGGAAAGAAAAAAAAAGAAGAAAAAAAAACCCCAGCTACCAGTATTTGGACCCTCCTCCCTTTCCATCCACACCCAAAACAAGGCCCTAGAGCTCAGCCCTTCGACCTGAAAACAATCCAGCAACTAGCCTGCCGTTTCTTTGTCACATCCTCATAGCACCTTAGTCTAAGCAACCGGCTCCGCTTCCTCATAAACCACAATCCCATCCTCTCCTGGCTCAACTTCCTCTTCGGAGTGTTCATCGCCGGAAACGCTACCGGTCCACTCGGTGCCTTCATCAATACTGTCACTTATACCCGTGCCTGTGGTGCCAGTCATGACAGTAGTGCCTCTACTGCTCCTACGCATTGTTCCGCTATCGCTGACATCGCCGTCATCAGTCTCCCCCTCGTCATCCTCTTCGCTCTCCTTCAACATCAGGTTCTCCTTGTTTAAATCACCATACCTTTGACTAAGTGAGCCGCCCCAACTTGATTTTCTGATTGCTCCTGAGCCACTGGGGGCCTTGACGCTATGGCTGCGCTTGAATCCGCCGATGGGGACATTGTGTGTGATTTGGCTCAGGGACAAGATGCGTCTGGATGCACCGGCCGGATTTTTGATCGGAATGCTGACCATAGCACGGTTACCATTCATCGCCATATTTACAGCGCTCTGCGTCGTATTAGAAGCCCTCGAAGTAGCAGCGGAAATTATGGATCCGGTTGTTGAGGTAGCATGACTGGGAACACGCTTGCGACTCATCGCATCCCGGCCTTTGTTCGACTTGGAGATGAGAAGCGCACGAGAATGATCTATGACGCCTTCCAAGATACGTCGCTCAAGTCCTTCAGCTCGAGCTTCCATGGCATGAAGTTCCTCTCGTCTGATCCTTAGTGCTGTTTCCAAGCTGGAGACATCCGCTGATAGTCGCATCTTCTGATGAGCAAGATCGTCCTGCTCGGCCTTCAGTGTCGCAACGGACTCCTTTAGCTGCTCTTCCTCCTCGCGTAGACCTACAACAATGGCTTCGATGTGCTCCTTTTGCGCATTACTTTTCTCCAAAGCAATGGTCGCAGCTTCTACTGCTTTCTCCTTGTTTTCGTGGTCATCCGCGATACGTTGAGTTTGAGCTGATACAAATGCGGAGACTTCAGCGGCTGTATCCATCACCTGCTTGTGGATCTTGTCAAGAGTATCCAGCTGAGCAAATGATTTACCAGCAGCGTGCATATGATCAACAAGTTTGTCCAGCTTCTCGTGGACTGGAGTATCGTCGTATTTCTCTGGTGGAGGTGGCTCTACCATTGGTTGAATCTCCGGGGGGACAGGTATTTCTGCTATCTTTTCTTGAAGCTCCATGGTCGCAGTCTTAGAATGCTCGTAATGTTGACCTACTATGAGTAATACATCCTTGATGGAGTCAAGGATTTTTGGATTGAACTCAGAAGCATGAACTTGGACCCCGTCGATGGCGGAGAGGGTCTTGTAGACTTGCTCTCGGGTGAGCTGGTGTTCAGCCTTTGCGTCGGCATGTGTTTCCTCGACTCTGGTAAATGTTTCTTCAACGCGGTTGAAAACAGTCTTGGAGGCCTCGTCCATCTTCTCGATAGAATCGGTCATCGTAGGACCCAGAGTATCGATCAACAACTTGAGTTCCTCAGCCACCACTTTCGTAGCATTAACAGCAGCTTCACTCTCCGAGTTCCTTTCTTCCGCGAGTTTGGCCTGTGCCTCTGCTGCGATTTGAGCATCGTCGTACTTAGTCATAATCTCGTTGAATTTCTCGTCGAGCTTGGATTCAAACTTTTCCCAAGTCTGCTGAAACTTCTCGTCGGTTTCGAGCTTCGAGCCTACCACTCCGGCATTCGACTTTTCGAACTCGGTCTGCATGGTCTCAAGCAGCTTCTTAAGGTCATCTGCGAGAGCATGGTGACTGACAGTTTCCCTGAGAGTTTCAAGGACGGTACCTAAGGTCTCCATACTAGAAGCACTCTCGTCCAACTTTTCCTTCAATACATCTTTGAATTCTTCTAGGAATACCTTCACTTCAGACACTCGTTCACCAACGCCAACGGTCTCGGCTTGGCGTTCCTCGAAGGACTTTGCCGTGTTTCCCTCGTAGAGCTCGATCCGGCCCTTGAACTCCTTGATCAGCTCTCCAAGATTGCTCACGTCGGTCTTTGAGGCCAATGCTGCAATGTCCGCCGCCATCATTTGTTCGATGGCTGTCTTGACGTCGAGACAAACCGCTTCCACGGCCTCAACATCCGTTTTGGTAACCTTTTCCGGGTCTTCAGAATCCTTGGTAGCACGCTCTTTTATTGCTTCCAGACCTCCCAGTACATCACGAACTAGACCTTCAATAATGTTAACGTCGTCTCGCTTGGAAACATCCTCCAGGCTGGTAGCTAACTTATGGACACCGTCGCGAGTCTCGGTGGCGACTAGCTCGACCGCATCAATATGATCTTTCTTCGCGATTTGTTCAGAGTCCATATCGTCAATTTTGGCTTTGGTATTTCGCAGAAGAGTCTCGATGGCCTCGACATCTTCTCGCCTGACACCATCTTCGTCGGCAGATCGTTCTTGTGCAGAAATTGCAGCAACAGATTCCTGTACATTCCGAAGTATTTCCTCTAAATTCTGAAGATCTTCTTTCGACAGACTTTCTGGAATTGGCTGAGGTGCTGGAGGCGGCATTGCTTCAAGAGCTTCGACCTTGAGACGTAATTGTGTGATCAATAATTCCAGGTTCATGATGTCGTCCCGCTTCAGACTATCCACAGTGATGATAGCACCGCTGTTGATCTCAGCAACGTCCTGTTCTCCGTGACCACTTTCTCGCAGGCGATCAATATCGGCTCGAAGTCCTTCAAGTCCAAGTTTAAGTGTGTCCAGGATCTCATAGTTGACAGTCATGTCCACAGGCTTACTTCCGATCTTTTCGACTTCGCTGCGAAGCCCACCCAAACCTTCCTGAAAAGCGTCAAGGATCTCGCCAGCACCCAAGATTGCACTCTCGCTGCTCTCTCGCGGTCGCTCAATATCTGCACGGAGAGAGTCGAGACCGTCCTTGAGAGCTTCAAGGATTTCGTCCTTTTCAGCACCGATACTTCCGCGTACAAGAGACGTTGACATGGTTTCTCGGAGATTTTCCAGTTCGCTTTGCACGACATTCAGAGAGCCGTCCGAGCCCTTTGATACAAGAGCTTCGACCTCCAATCGAAGGGAGTCAAAACTGACTCTCATTCTGTCCACTAACTCGTCTTTGTCGCTGATCTCGACTGCACGGTCAACATACGTCTCGATGTTGCTGCGTAATTTTTCGAAGCCATCCTTGGTTGCATCAAGAAGTTGTTCAGTATCTCGTCCGTGGACAGAAACATTTTGCTTCGCTTCATCTGAAACAGCCTTCAACTCGGCTCGCATAGCCACAAGTACCTCGTGAAGCTTTTCCAGTATCTGGTCGGCGTGCTCATTCGTTTGAGGTCTTTCGTCCAAGCCAGCTTTCACGGCATCGAAAACGTCGTCTCGGGTTAAGGTCTCGCCAATTGTGGGAACCAATGCAGTCGACGCTCCAGAGAAGTCGAAATTATGGAGACACTCTCTTAACGCACCGTGAATATCGTCTCGTGTCAAAGTCTCACCAGACTCTCTACTTGAATCATTTCCAATTGGGAACTCGAACGTGTGTAGACCCTCACGTACGGCATCGAGAATATCGTCCCTAGTCAATCCTTCGCCAACAGTTCTGGTCAGTGCAGTAGAATTTGCTGCGAGATCGAAAGTGCTTAGACCTTCCTTGATGGCCTCGAGCATATCCTCCCGTGTCAACGATTTGCCGGCATCTCCGCTTAAATCTGGGATCTTGACTGCAAAGTCGAATTTATCAAGTCCCTCTCTGACCGCATCAAGCATATCATCTCGTTTAATGCCTCCATCGGTTTCTCTCGTCAAAGCTGTCGTATTAGCTGCGAAATCGAATGTTTGGAGTCCTTCTTTGACCGCATCAAGCATGTCGTCACGAGTAATGCCTCCATCGGTTTCTTTCGTCACAGCTGTCGTATTGGCTGCGAAATCGAATGTGTGGAGTCCTTCTTTGACCGCATCAAGCATATCATCTCGCGTAATGCCTCCATCGATGTCTTTAGTTAGGGCTGAGATGCTAGCTGCAAAATCGAATGTGTGAAGTCCCTGTTTGACTGCATCGAGCATATCATCTCGCATAATGCCGCTATCGACGTCTTTAGTCAAGACTATGGGATTTGCAGCAAAGTCAAAGGTATGAAGCCCTTCTTTAACAGCATCCAGCATATCATCCCGGGTAATTCCAGTCTCTATAGGTTCAGGGGCAGGGGCTGCGGGAAACTCAAATTCCTCTAAGCATTCTCTGACAGCATCGAGGATCTCTTCGCGAGAGAGACTAGCTTCCGTCTCAACTTGAGGAGGCGAAAAGTGCTTCAATCCTTCCACGACTGCGGCAAAAACCTCATCACGAGTGGCGCCTTTAACCTCACGGGGGTGGTCCTTAGGTGCATATTCCTGAATGCCTTCCTTTAAACAGGTCAATAACTCTTCTCGCTCTAGCCCAAATTGCTGAAGCTCGATGTCCGGCTTATAATTCTCCCACGCCTCCTTGACAGCTTCCATGATATCCTGCTTTTGGAGCTCCGGATGCCGCTGTTCATTCTTCTCGGTGATTGCACTTCGAACTACGTTGAAAATCTCTTGGTAATCAACAGCGATGTGAGAGACCTGGGAGGATGCTGATTGCCGTCGATGCTCGTGGAGTATATTGTCCATGTGAACTTTGAGCTCCTCAAGACCATCCTGAACAATTCGAACAATCTGTTCACGCTCTGCGGCTGGATCGTTCATAGTATTATGGTTGCCAGCTTCCTCGTCTAGTTTTCGTCCAATTTCACGGCCCATGCCAAGGACTTCTCCGCGAAGCTCACGAACGAGAGCCTTGACTTCAGCTGTCAGTCCTCCTCCCTGGGCGACACTATCTTTGATAGTTCGGATAAGCTTCATCAGATCATCATTGATGATATTTGCGGCACGGGATGCTTCTGGCCCTGCCATATTCTCCTTGTTCGCTGTAGATCCCGGTAAAGCTCCTCGCTGCGACAACGGACCTGATGTTGGCTGGTCAAAATCTAGTTCAAGTCGTGGGGCCTCGTCGAAGCTGAAATTACGAGGTCTATTGCCCACGTAGTCGCCTCCAGAGCTGCTGCCAGCTTGTACTACGAGCTCCCGAGAAGAATTTTTCTTGATGAGATCGAGCAATTCGTCGAGTTTCTGAGCAGTTGCGCTTCCATCCCGAGCAAGATTGTCGGCGACTTCGGTTAGACGAGATACCAGGAGGTCTTGACCCTCCTTTGTGCCCATGTCGCGGATGACTTTCTCGAGAAGCGCAATGCTTGCTACACCATCGTGATTACAAGAAGCCGAACTCGTCATGGAGTCTCTATCCAAAGATGCGGCGAAGCTTGTTGGGCTTGGGATGCGCGGGAGGGTGAATGGCCTTGCAGCTTTTGAGCCAGGCGAGTTGTGAGAGTTGTAAGCTTTGCTATCGAGGTAGAGACCGGCAGATCCGTATGGATTGCTAGAAGACCGAGTACTGGACTCCGACAAATTAATCACCAGTTCTCTGAGGCTCTTTCGGATATCCTCGTCACGAGAATTTGTAGCTTCCTTCAAACTGACAAGATCCGTGGCGTTATCCTTGCTCCTTCTGCTGAGATTGGCCATTTCCCTCTGCAGACTTGTAGCAATGCTGGTAAGGCTCAAGATCTGGTTTGAAATCGCATCAAAAGTCTGTGGTGTTCGAACTAATGCGGTAGAACCATTTGTGACATTGGATAAAGGTGCATCGGCCTCCCTGCATGACATATTTTGTAAGGCAAGCATCGTAGCAGATTGGGGAGGTGTGTTTTCTCCAAGGATGCTCTGAGGTGGTCTCCTCAACGAGGGTCGGAGATGGAGGTCCCGACTTGGTGTTTCGCGTCCTGGTGTCGGAGTCGCGGATCGACTGGTATCCTTTTCGGGCGACTTCTCGGGCGACTTCTCGGGCGACCTTTCCGGCGACCTGGCTTCCAGGAAGAAGTCCTTGTTTGCATGGGGTGTTGACGGCCGTCTTGCACTCTTCTCTGGTGATCTTGGGCTATTGAATGCTGAGCCACCCTCCAAGAGACTGCTTATATCTCTTACATTGCCTGTCTGCAAGGACTGCATACGCTTGTGGGCAGCTCCCTTGATCAGGGACCGCTCCGGAGATGTGTCTATGCGTTTGTTCGGAGGATTTGTGACGTAGCCGTTGTCCCTCGCCTTCTCGGTCAAGGCAAGGTGTGCAGATTGTATGGCGCTCGATGTATTCGGACGTGAGGCAACGACGGGCGACGATGGGTTCATCGGTAGGGGAGGTGGAGCGCGTTCTGGGTCTGAGCTGTCCCACCTGCGATACAGAGTCAGCAAGCCGTAGAATCTTCAGCAGATTAATATTACATGGGAACAACAGCTCTCCCGCAATCCGATGAGGCAGATTGCTGATGTTTCGAATGTCTATCGCTATCACGCGAGACGTCTCTCTCTATTGACGGCATAACTGTGAACTGCCTGGAATGGGCGTTGGAATGTGGACGTGTATAAAACGTCGAGGTACCTCAGACCCCAGAGGAGTTGATGAACCTCAGATGTAGAGAGATGATTGCTCTATGGTTGAGGGATCCGAAATTTGGGTTTGGGTTCGAGTTCGATTCAGCGGTAAGAGAGGTTGTGGAGCTGCGGTCGGTTGGGTTTGTTGACATTTTTGTTTACTCGGGCTCGGGCAAGCGCGACCGGCGGGTAACCTTAATAGACGCCGGACCCTTGTAAGTGTTGGTCCGCACTTTCCTGCAACCAGAGGCTACTGGTGTCTTTACACTCTTTCAGAGTTCAATCGCCGCCAGTCCGCCCGTTTCTTCGATCCCTTGATCTCTATAGTCTTTCTCAACAAGATATGTAACAATTCCGAAGAAGAAAGACAGAACCTCATGATATGCTGGTTGTTCTTCTTAAGCCAAGCATAACTTCGGAAGTTCTCTGTTACTACTGATATTAATCGTCGGTTACCTTAAATTTAATTCGTAAGAATTGATCGACTTGCTATAGCAAGTCGGCACCACCAAGGCGGGATAGTGAAATTTGCCCTTTTATAATGAATAAAAGATCAACCAACTATTATATCGTAATTATTTTGATATATAAGGATGCACCGCATTAAGTTTAATATTAACCAATTAATCAAATTTTAATTTTAAGTTGTTATTCCGTTATTAGATTGGGTTAAAGTAATAAAAATGGTACTTTTGATATGTACGTGCGTATAAATCAGAATTGCCATGTAAATATTAGAATAAGCGAAGAACACGAAAATCGGACTTTTATTTAAATATATCAAAAGAATACGTGCATCACTACCGACTTTTATTCAACAATTTATATCTTTAATAATATAATAGATTAGATTGTTTATTTTCGATCTATAAAAAGTTTCATTTAATTAAGGTTATAGTTCTTGAGATATTCGGAATAAACTAGTAAAATTGAATTATTTGGGACAGTTTTTAGCTATAATCGTCGGTTTCCTTAAATTTTAATTCGAAAGAATTGACCGACTTGCTGTAGCAAGTCGGCACCACCAAGGCGGGACAGTAAAACTTGCTCCTTTTTAATAAATAAAATATTAACCAACTGTTATATAATAACTATCTTTGTATAAAAAGATGTGCCGTATTGAGTTTGATATTAATCAATTAATTAAATTTTAAATACCAGTTGTTATTCCTTTATTGTGTTGAGTTAAAGTAATAAAAATAGTACTTTTGGTATATTCTTTTCGATTTTTGTAATGCGTATATATCAGAATTGCCGCGTATATATTAGAATAAGCGAGGAACACGAAAATCGGACTTTTATTCAAATCTATCAAAAAAATAAGTGCATCACTACTAACTTTTATTTAATAATTATTACCGTTAGCAATATAATATATTAAATCATTTATTTTCGATATATGTGACGTTTTTTTGAATTAAGGTTGTAGCTATTAAGATATTTGCAATAAACAAGTAAATTTGAATTATTTGGGACAGTTTTTAACCATTTTTTTATTACATTTCAATGTATTAGATTACTATAAATAAATGGATTTTTATAATTTTAATTTACGTTTGTAAAGAAAAATTTTCTAAGCATATAGTGATTTATTTTTTATTTTTTATAATGATAGTTGTTGTTTAATAAGTAGTATACCGTTATTGTCCCGCTTTGCTAGGTGTCCCGCCTTGGTGGTGCCGACCTGGCTGCGCCAGGTCGGGATTTTTTACAAATTAAATTCAAGGTAACCGACGATTATTCTCATTACATTTTAATGTATTTGGTCATTATAAATGAATGCATCTTTATATTCTTAATTCACGCTTGTAAAGCAAGGTTTTCTGAGCCTATGAAGATTTTTTTTTATTGTTTATATTGATAGTTGTTGCTTAATAGGTGGTATACCGTTACTGTCCCGCCTTGGTGGTTTCGACCTGGCTGCGCCAGGTCAGGATTTTTTACAAATTAAATTCAAGGAAACCGGCAATTACTACTGATACCTAGCCATTAAAAAGACCTTCACGTTCTGAATACGGCGGAAAAATACCTGGGTCATCAAAATTGCATTGCCACCATTTTATCACAACGAGCTGCGACTTTACTTTGATTTCACTACCTACTTAAACCTATCGACACAATTTTCACTGCCATAAATGAGGTATAATTTTGTCTGCAAATATCGATCTTGCGAAAATAAGTTTTTACAAAGGAGCAATGTATCTCTTTTATAAGTTGGTTATTAATGTCATTAAGAGACAGAGTTACATAGGTAAGGACGGGCTGATCAAAATAGGCTCCCGTCTTCACAATATCGCGAAGATCGAAAGTATAATTCCACTCAAAATTACAATTCTGAGGCTCAGCCAACAACCAGATGAATCGTCCATAAGGAGATCTATGCTCGGAGGACCTTGGACTTGAGGGACCGTTTCTGTGGAGGCGGGGGGTTGGTGGCATTGGTACCTCCCATTTGGACTGGGACGCATCCACCGAAGGGCCCAGCATCTATGAGTATCAGCATCAACTTTACTGGTATTTTGAAGGTGTGACTTACTGGCATCGTTCATGCACTTGACCATGCACATGCCATCTTGACCACCCATAGATCCGGTGCAGGTCTGGTCGGCTGGGACCATAGCAGTGAGAGGCTTGAATGATGTTAGCAATTGCCATCAATTGCAAAAGAAGCTACTCACGAAATCGGTGGCCTTGGCCTTGCTTCTGGAGTTGGTTCCCGGAACGTTGGTGGCAACTTGCATCATTGTCCATGGTCCGTTACCAGTACCGGTGGCATCCATCATGCACGTGTATGGTCCAGCTCCATCACCGTTGACTTGGTGAAGAGTCATCATAACCATGCCACCAGCAGAGATTTGCGGCATAGCTCCTGGATTGGCGGCGATCATGGCAGGAACTTGAGCGGCAGGGTTGTTGGTTCCACCTCCGAGAGTCTCTCCACATTGGTCTGCAGCTTCGTTCTTGAAGCGTGTAGAATCTAGTTGATTAGGGTCCTTCTTTGTGCCAGTGCGAGGAGTGCCGTCCACAACTATGAAATATCAGCCAATGATTGCAAAGTGGAAATTTTCGGCAGGTACATACCACCAAGAGCTTGTCCAGAACCACCCATGTCTCCTACAGCCTTGACAATAGCTCCGTGACCAGCAACGGTAGTAGCAGCGGCGAGAGCCAGAATGATAGATTTGTAAAGCATTTTGAAAATTTAGGAAGGACTAGTGGCCAGCAAAAGTCTTGATATTAAGGAGTGGTAATAAGAATTAAAGGTAAGAAGGATTGCTGCAGAAGTGAATTTGATGATAGAAAAAGGATTTCTCTGCCGGCTACGTTCTCCTATTTGTATCTGTGATCTTGACATGAGCACGGTGATGCACGATGAGCACGGTGATTGCCCGGCTTTCGGGAAAACGGAACGAGGTGTTCGCCGCCTCAAACACGTTTGGCTGCATGATAGGAGGCGACTCTCGCCATCTTTGTCGCAGGAAAGCTCCAGTGCGACGTATGGAGCGGGTGAAGTTGCCAAGAAAAGCTTGAATTTGAAATGCTTGAAGTCTTTCTGATAGGTGGATGTCCCTTGAGCTGATCGTCCCAGGATCTTCGATGCAAGTCCGTATGGAGTCCGAATCAACAAGCCACTTGAAGCCAGCTTTAGAGTCCAGCCGAGTGGAAACTTGAGGTCCGTGAACGGTCGAGCCAGCAAGATCTTCTTACTCCTTAGAGCCCAGTCGAGTCTGAGTTCCCCGATATCATGCAGTGGTCCTTGTCAGAGATCAGCGTGAGGTCATAGAAAAGTCGCACCATTTGGGGGCTGAGAATTAGAAACGATGCCACCTGATTCCGAGGGCATGTTGTTGCACGCAGAAAATGAACTTAACGAAGCAATAGGAGTTTCGCACTGGGGCCTCTCGAGCCAGGAATAACTTCATCTCTTGTACACTAGCGCTCATTTATAGTTCTCGTGAATTTTTCACTTTAAACTTTAACCTTTTATTATTACCTTAGAGGCAGGTAGGGGGTTATTTAAACCGTCCTGAAAATCCGATGACGGTCTCTTCAAAAGATGGTCCTAAGAGGTTAGCATAATTAGTGGATCACCCTAGGCCGTTACTTGAGATTAAATAAAATCTGAAAACAAATAATTTAAATTATTTAAACTATTAAAATCGTAGCTAAAATATAATCATTTTAATCGATTAAACCGTTTTTTATAAAAGCTCATCTTTTCGTCACACTATTACTGAAATAAGACCGTTTTGATCGATTGGATCGTCGTTTATAAAAGTCGGTCTTTTTTACGAAACGACTATCTCCGAGCGTTTTGAGACCATTTTAGGACCGTCCTATGGCCGTCCCAAGGCCGTCCCCGACTTTTAAACCGTCTATGGGGACTTAGATTAGCAAGCAAATACGTAGTAAAATATCCTTTCAGCTCCCCTTTCCTCCTATCTACCCCCTTCCTCTTACCTACTTACCCCCTCCCAATCCTTAATCGTCGGCTCGCTTAAGTGGGCTGGCTTCCTTACATCCTTTCAATCTTAGTCGGCGTAAGCGATTGCGGATCGGAAGCGAATGCGGATTTTTCGAGTATGTTAGAAATTCTTTTATACTATAGCAATTATCATTACAATCAAGAAATAAATAATTACTTTATAAATATACTTTCTTCCGAAACATCCAGAATCGTATTATTCGATAAAATATCTGATTATCGATTACTATTTTCATCAGAATTTCATTCGTCTTTTACCTTACGCAACGAATCGTTCGAATCTTTACTATCATGAAAATTAAAGCTATCGCTATTGATATCAATACTAAAAAAAAGAAAAATGTCTTGCTTTAAAAAAAGGTCTTTAATAGTATCGATTGTAATTATCAAGTTATCGTTACCGAGAAAAGGTTCAAGTTAGAAGAGAGTTGGTCGAAGAATATCTTTTTTACGAGGCCGCAAAATTTAACGCTTAAGAGGTTGTTGCAACTACTAAATCTTTTCCGAATCGAGAATTAGAATAAGTATTGCATCGTCGTCTCTAAATAATTAAGCTTGCAGCAAAGCGTTTTCGTATAGTCTTTTTACGCTCGCGCTCAGCTTTGCGTGAATCGACTCCTTTACGATACTCAGCATCTCTTTCCTTTTTCTAAAGCTTATCGACGATTCGTTGTTTATTTTGCTGCAGATTCAAGATTTTCTTTAGCTTGCTGCTTAGCAATAAGCTTTTTACTAATTGATAATACGATTTTAGATATTTCGGAGAAAGGATTACTCGTAGGTTAATTATTCTAATAAATATTTCTTGGTTATTATGATAATCGCTATAATATAAAAGAATTTCCAATCTACTCGAAAAATCCTCATTCGCTTTCGATCCGCAATCGCTTACGCCGACTAAGACTGAAAGGATATAAGGAGGCCATGTGCGTTTTGCGACAGAAGTTGCTGGGACAGCTGGAATCGGTTTCGAAGTCTTTCGCGGCCCACTTAAGCGAGCCGACGATTATATAGACTTTTCTCTTTTCATAGATTAATGATCATCCTTTTCTCCGACTCCTACATATCGGTAGTCGCATGTTCTCCATTTGCAACTGATCTATGACTTCCAGCTTGGTGGTCCAAGTCCTATGAAATCGTCTAGGCCTGCCTCATCTGAAATGTTTGGACGACATTCCTGGACGATATCTTTGCATTGAGCAAAACTTGTGGGAGTCTTAGGATAGGTACCTAGTCTTCATGCGGATGCTACGGAGAAGAAGCAGCCCGAGCACCCCGGGACTCGGGAGAGAGATCACAGCCTCGGCCCTCAAACCACAGCAGGTCACGACACACTCGAACGGCCACAATTTCGTGGACGAATATACCTCATTACAGAATGAATGATATCGCCATCTCCTCCGCTTGTGTGTATCGATAATTGAAAGAAAGCTCGGTAGACAGCCAAAATGAATCCAGTCCAGGAATCACTCAGTATTCACGTGATGTGGTCAGAGGTTTCCGCTACAATTCAAAATGACAAATGAGGCGGTGACGCTAGCGTTTCTTTTCTAAGCGAGCCGCACAACCTGTCGGTTTCGAATTTTATTTTCAACCTTCCATCGACCATATCATCGACAACCCCACGACCATCAAGATGAAGTGTGAGTTGCCCTCTCTATGTTTGCCAGCATTGGTTCTGCCCCTATCTCAACGGCCGCGGTGGCTTTTCCAGCCGTACCCCTCCTTCTGCGGCGCCTTCGACTTCCAAGCTCTGATTTGATCTTCCCAATATACAAATGCGCCGCTGCTGACCGTTTCAAGTCCTCAAAGTTGGTCGCGTCGCGATCATTACTCGCGGCCGCTATGCCGGAAAGAAAGTGAGTGCAGATTCTCCCATATGCGAAAGAATGGGAAGGAAATACAATCAGATTACCGGATATGGAACTCGGAGATGAGGGCAAAGCATCCGGGGAATAGCGCTGATAGGAACTCTGCAGGTTGTTCTGATTCAACCCCAAGACAGTGGAACCAAGTCTCACCCCTACCCTCACGCTCTGGTCGCCGGTATTGAGCGCTACCCCTCGCAAATCACCCGCCGCATGTCCAAGACCCGTCAAAACAAGCGATCCAAGGTTAAGCCATTCATCAAGGTCATCAACTACAACCACCTGATGCCAACAAGATACACTCTTGAGCTGGAGGGACTGAAGGGAGTTGTCACCGCCGATACATTCAAAGAGGTTTCTCAGCGGGAGGATGCAAAGAAGACCGTCAAGAAAGCTTTGGAGGAGAGATACACATCTGGAAAGAACAGATGGTTCTTTACACCCCTCAGTATGTGTTTATGGCACCGAGGACAGCCTTGCAAACTGCTAACTTGTCGCAGGATTTTGAAAGGTTCTGTTGTCATTGGGTTTGGAACGGTGTTACATCAAGGCAGTAGGAACGAATAGTAGCACGACGAGCTAAGAAATGCACCTCAAGACAATATTCTCGATGTGCCGAATAAGCTCCATGTGATATGAATTGAGCTGAAACAGTGACATTTTAAGGTAAATTGTTACTACTTGGGAGAGCTAAATGTTGACAAAGTAAGCTACCTGCGGGAATATTGGTAAGCTTCTGGCTGCATAATATCGTAGATGAGCGGCGGCTGTTCGATGCTCGAGTTAGGCGGTTGAGCAAGACAACCCCGAATATTAGAACGGAAAAAGTGAACGGGTTACGATATTCGACACATGTCAACAAACACCATTCTTTCCTCGTCACCGAGTCCTTGATTTTCTGAATCCAAGTTCAACAATCGCAGAGCCTGCATACAGTCAGAAAAATTTATGCACAAAAGAAAGAAATACCTCTGTAAGCGCGGCCATGCGGAACAGATAGCTCAACTCGTTAATTCTTCGCTCAGCTATGACTCTGGCGCAGTCTGAGTGATTTCGACGGGACCACCTGCGCTTCCTCTAATCCAATGTCTCTCGAATCTGGATGCCGAAAGTAGTGCCGTGTATCGGGTACATGAAAAGGTTTCTCACGAGCGAGTAGTCAGTCGTTGACCTCCCCTACCGTCTCTCCTATCTTTTTCGCTCGTCCAACTAATTGAGCACAGGCACGCCCTCAACGCGATGAAGCTCAACTTGCCTGCCATCTCCCATCTCTAATCTTCAAAGAGGGACGGACTATTCCTGCTGTTGGAGTAGCTCACTGTTTGAGATGTCTGATTGGTATGCTGGTAGGCGATGGGATGGACCGGGCCGGCCTGGACTGGAGAGAGGCAGGAGGTGTAATTGCTGAAATGTAGGTCCCGTTTCATTAATCTCACCACCTACGATAGCATTCGCTGAGAAAAAAAAAAACAGAGGGTTGAATTATTTCTTCCGCGGCCTGCTTCTCATTGTCTCCGGTATCCTTGAGCCCTCCCTCGGCAACACTTTCCACAAGCGTCGTCTTCATGTGTAATGAGGCTACTACCTTCTCCCTTCCGCCATATCTCAACTTCATAGCTAATTCTCCACGAAAGCGAAGCAAAGTAGATGCTAACACAACCTTCACAGCTTAACGGAGCCAAACCCTCATCCCAAACCTCTCAACTCCCACTAACACCCCACCAGTCACGGGCCTTCTCTCTTTCATGTTCCTAGTCTGCCCCCGGAAACAGACCTCATCGTCGTCATCGTCGTCACAGGCGCGACCCTCGGCTTCGGCCTCGCTGCCGCCTCCTTCTGGACTGCCGCCGTCGGTGACCATCTGGCGCCACTCGGCTCAAGGGCGCTGGCGGTAGCTATTTCGTCGCTGCCATGGCGGACTGGTCTCTGCTCGCCGCCACCATGTTCGTCACGCTGGATCTGCCGTGGGGGTTGAGCAGCCTACCCGTCGTCGATCCTAGTATTGCTATCATAGGGGCCAGTCAGAAGAGGGCGTAGGCGTAGGCGTATTTTGGATTTGAGATAGGGAGAAGGAGGGCAAGGAAAAAGGAAATTGTGTGGTGGGTGACTGATCTGGACGAAGTTGACGCAGCGGTGTTCCGCAAATCTTACCATGCTTGGGATATAGGTACTGGGTCGGGCTGTTGACCTGGATCGAAATCAGTGATGCGGTACATTCATCGCTACGCTCTCTCTATCACTGTGTCACATTCAGGATGAGACAGGTACACTTCTCCCTGCGCTAATCACCATCTCACTGCAAGTCACGACACTCAATGTGAATTCGTCTTTCATTATTATTTTGATGTCCGTTGTGGTGGCTCAATATATCGATCGATCAGTTCGTCAAAGTAGCAGCAGCAAGACCGGAGACAAATCTCATGACGGGCTGCAACATTTGTACTTGCTTCGAAAGCCAATGCAAGAGACAGTCTTGAGCCATGCTCGCAAGCGTTGGCGGACACACCTACCAGATCCGAGATCGACTTTCCCAACGAGGAAGACAATCCAATGCTGGAGGTGAAGACCCTTGAGGAATCACCTCGCGAATTCCAAAGCAAGCGTTTTGAACTCATTGATAGCGGGTAATTGGGTTCGTCAGAGCTCTGAGGGGTATCGCCAAAGGGACGAACTGAGGCGTGAATCAAGGCTCGTGAGAAGCTATCTTCGAAAAGATCCAAATGCAAAAGCAACGCACTATTCGTGTACTTCGCGGAAAGGGAGGAAAATGCACGCACCCTGGGAGCAATGGGAGCAAGGTTTGATGCAAGGAGAGATGTAGAGGGTAAGATCACGAACCGCGACTTTATCCAACCACACTTACTTACCCAAGATCCTTCCTCTCCCGGGGGTTCCACTGTCACGCCCCCTACCCCCCACCAAAGCATCTCCAGCGACACTTACTGGTGATGCTCGGCCTCTCTCGTCGTCGCGACTTCATCTGATACGAGGAATCAGCGTCAGTGGAGGAGGAGGGGGAGTCTTCTTTGGAGTAACCACCGCTTTCTTGGCATTGTACTTCTTGGGAGTGTTCTTCTCGATGGCGAGTCTCTCCGCTTCCTCCTTCTCCCTGATCTGCTTCTTCGTCTCCCTCGGCGTCTTGCTAATCCCCTTCATCGTCACCTCGGGCTCCTTCCACGACGGGTTCTTCAGCTTCCAAGCCTTCCACTTGTCGCAATTCTTGATGTTCGGCTTGCCTTCCCAGAAGCCCGCGAAGATCTTGGCGATCTGCTCCCGGACTTCGGCGTTGGCGTATTTCCCACCGGTTCTCCTGTCGTTCTCGTCCATCTCCTTGAGGTCTCGGAAAGCGTAGTCGGCGGGCTTCTTATCGTAGCTGAAATGGCTGTTGTCCAGCATGATGGTGATGGATTCGAGCTCCGGATGCCTCATGCACATAAGATAGAAGATGTCTGTCCGCCCCGAATTTCTCAGTCGCTGAGCTGCCTCGCCCTCAATGGCAATGTGTCTTATAGGGTTATCCACGGCAAGGCCGCTAATCCATGGCTTGTGGACGCGGTTGTACCAGGTATTGAACTCATACCCAGGGGGCATGTTGATGAAGTAGCAAGAATCAGTGTTGAAGTTCACCCATAGCTTCTGCATGTGTGACTTGTTTTCTTCGTTCTTCTTGGGGGTCTTCTGTGCGACCAAGCTGGTTGGCGGCTTCCGCTCTCCATCTCTCTCCTCTGTCGGCTCGGATCTCAATGGCACTCGGGAGTAGATCAGAGAGTAGTGCTTCTGGGCCTCGGAGCGAGACTCCCCACACACTCTCAGGGTGATCGGCATGACACCAACAAAGAGCCAGTAGACCGAGATGTGCGTCTCGTTGAATGCAATCGTCTCCCACTGGGCGCGGATGATCTGGGGCAGCATGAGCCAGCGCCAAATCCGCACCCGCAGCTCGGGAGGCAGTCTTCCAAACTGTGGGAATCGGCGAGGCGCCATGTTGTAGTGTAATATGACTTTGGTTGTTAAGGTTCGCTGGTTTGCGTATGTAAAAGGGGTGTGAAGGTGAGGAGGCCCTAGGCTCAGCTTTAGATCAAAGACCGAGCTGCTAGGAGCGGCGAACTTCTATTGGACGAAGATTGTTCCAAGGGAGAACGATACTGTGAAGTAAGTCACAAGAAATATTTCCGCCAAGAATGTCGGTTGAAGCGGATTGATGTTGGTTGTAAGGTGAGAAGCTGTAAGGTTTTTTTCAAAGATTTCGCGTAAAGAGTTTGTTGACTCGATCTCTGATCTGACTAGCTGAGTCAAGAAAGCGTGCAAACACCTGAGAAATCAACTTTTTGTTCCTTAAGGAGGAGGAAGAGGAAGAGGAGACTTGACTTACGGCTGTTGATCATCTGATTGGTACAGAGATGTTGTTCCAAGCTATTGTAGCGTAAGAGAGGGAGCTGGAAAAAGGCAGGTCGGAAAAAGGATGTGTTTGTAGAGTTCAGATTATAGAAAATTCGGCTTAGGTGATAATTTTTATTGAAGCCGAGTACTTCTTGTTCAATTCACAGCCCAGTGAATTGACGAACCAGAGAAAACCAAACACCCGAGCAATCAATCAGCTACACTTTGACTATGAACTTTGCCGACGGGATTTTTAAAGTGTGAAGCAGAGTTTTCGTAACGTGAAGAGACATAGGTAGTAAGAGGTCGCCGAGATAAGAAGGCACGAACTTTACGTTCTCCAAATGGCAAGAAAGTATTTACAATTTTATAATACTTTTCCTTCTATCCCACGAGCAACTTAATTGCTTACTGTATTTCCAGCCTGGGTAACTAACTACCTTTCATTTTCGGGTTTCATAGCAATCAATGCCCGATACATATTCACTGAAGGTGGAAAGCATGCAACGAGTGTCAAAGTCAACAAATAGATGCAGTGATAATGATCATTTAGACATGAGAAATTCATATATAACATCCCCCCTACCCAATTACCCGCTGAAATATCAACTTCATTCATTGCCCAGTGATAACCCGACGCCAAGCCTAATGCATGTCCTCCAATCCATCATCGTTTTAGTCATTATCCTTGCATAGGTAAACACTGACCAGATCTTATCGCCATCAAGCCTATTGCCCAAAGGCACCACTGGGCTTCGGCGTCCCGGCCAGCCCCAACTTCTGTTTCTTAATTCGCGGCACAATCCCAATCAATACTAGGGCACTGGTCACCAGCACGGCCCAAAGCTTAATATCCAACACGTTCAAATTGTAATCGGTCTGCGTCGCGGCCACCACGGTTGCCAGCGTCAGCGTCAACACCAAATACCCACTCATACGGTGCCACTTGTACAGGCTTTTCGCATTATCTACGCTGCCATACAGCTGCGGCACATAGTACGCGGTAAAACCCACCAGTGCCTGGATACCGAGCAAGATGTAGGTGATGAGGCCAAGGATGGCGTGCGTGGACACGAAGTGCGAGCCGTTGTGCGAGAACTTGTTGTATTCGATGACGACAAGGCCGGCAATGAGAGCATCCAGGGCGAGGTTGTTAAGGATGAAGTGCGAGACTGTCCCTTTGCGTTTTTGCTCGGGGCTGTGGGTTGGTTGGAGGAGCAGAATGGACTGCGTGAGGACCAGGAGACCTGCGGAGTTGAGGAGCGGGTGCGCCGAGAAGAGGATAAGGGGGTGGAGGAAAATGGAAGCCCAGACGGAGGCTGTGAGGAGGAGGATGCCGACTTGGGCGACTACAGCAGTGCCTGAAGAGCAGTGTTAGAAGGGATTTTTGAGAGCGAGAGCAAGAGCAAGAAAAGGAGAAGAAGATATACCGATGATGAGATTGTAGTATATCGGTCTGCCATCCTGCTGCGCTGCATCCCCAGCCCGGCCGAGCAGGGGTTCATCCTCTCCAATCGCCTCGCGGGGGATTATTGTCGTCTCGGGGATTCCTGTTGCTGAAGCCATGATTCAATGTCTCAGGATTTCTGATGGGAATTTTGCACGTTTGTAGTAATTCACTGCCAACATTCATTGGGGGGCGCCAGAGTTCTTATTGAAAACGTCGGCTCGTGGAACAGCTGCACGTGCTGCAATGCGATTATGCGAAATGGAAGACCTACGACGATCTCGATGACGCTACGAAGAGAAACGGCGACCAATCATGTCGTCCGGATGGGTAAGCCCTATCGATATTTATGCGCTGCTAATAAATACTGAGTTTGGTGTAAGAATGACACTATATTTATCAATTAATCGAAATGCGGGGGAGGTACCTGAAAGGCAGGTAGAAGGTCATTAAAGGGTCGGCTGATCATTCGATGACGATCTCTCTAAGAGACGGTCAGAAGAAGTCAAAATAGCCAGTGGATCACCCCAGGGCGATACTTGAGATCGAGTAGATTCTGGAAACAAACGATTTAAATCATTTACATTATAGCTATCGTTTCATCTCTTTTGTAAGAGCTCTTCTTTTCATTGAAAGATTATCACTAAACTAGGACCTTTTTAATCGAGTAAATCGTCGTTTCTAAAAGTAGGTCTTCTCACGAAAAAATTATCTTGGGACCGTTTCCGAGCGTTTTAGGACCGTTTTGGGACCGTCCCAGGGCCGTTCCCGAATAGAAAACCGTTAGTAAGCAAATAATAAGGATACGCTCTTCTGTTCCCTCCCACCTCTTTCTCCTTCCACCATCCTTCTATCCCCGATAGTTTTAAGGCATTATTATCTGTTTGAAAATCTACTTCGACTAGCGTTTACGGGTCACAACTTCTTTACACCCCTTCGAGCTCTCTCTATCTAATTTGGAAATTGAAAAGGCTTGGTTTATGATATATTCATATTAGCATGTTAAGAAAATAAAAGAGGTTGCCGCTTGAATACTTGAATACAGATGGCAGCCATTATTACGTTGACTCGTAACTGTGCCGCTAGTCGGCCATATACCTATCTGCGCTTTGCATGTAGCAAAGCCGATCTGTTTATCATGTAAAGAAATATAAATTATACGGCTTAAATAGATTGGCTGTCGAATTTAAGTATATGTATTCTTTATTTACCTTTATAGTTTCTCAGCGGAGCTTATAAGTCTAGTAACTCGATTGTCTTCTGCCGAGCTGATCTCACGACGTCGCACTTCGACTTTTATCCGTATGATAGAGATAAGGATAAGGTAGCCAAGAATCTTATCTGCGGGCGTCGAAGCACTTTCTCTGCTATCAAGAGAAAAAAGACCAAAAAAATCGGAAGAGGAAGAAAAAGAAGAAGAAAAAGAAGGGAAAAAAGAAGGAAAAAGAAGAAGAAGAATAGAAAGCCCTGACTGCAGCAATAGTTTTCAATAGCTCAATAGAGCTAATCAGCATGTCTCTGTCTGCTTCCGCACGCTCTTCAACTCCCGGCAAAAAGCTTCTTCCTCTTTGCCAATAGTGGGGTTGAAACAAATACCTACGCTTCCTTTCTTCATCGGCCTCCTCTGATAAGAACGAATTGAGGGAGCCTTTGATCAGTTATTTACATTACTTGATCGTAACGAGCAAGGTGATTATCAAAGCTTGAAATTCTTCATCTTCTTTGCTCCGAAACATCATCTTACGGATAAACTTGTAAAGACAAGTAAAGCAGCAATCCATGGCTCTCGAATCGAAGTACAGGACGGAGGTTGTGGCCGCCACGCCTGTTGCGTCCGGCGAGATCGATGGGACTTTTCGCTCTTCAACGATTGGTGAGTCCGGAATTTTGCCTTGTACTACATCGTGGAACTTGGAGGTTTGGACTCGGGGTGGTCTTTGGATAGGACGGAGGCTACACTGAGATGCTTGCTTCGCCATAAGATGGCCCCTCCATCACACGTGATGCTATACAGAATACTGATGGTCACTGATTTCATTCAGATCTCGTCTCGGCAGCTCTAGGAGGGAAAGTCCTCTCCTTCTCCGATGAATGGTTCGCCGAAGCTTCCAATCTGCTGACACCTACACCTCCTATCCGCCAGCCCGGCAAGATGGTCTTCACTGGCGCTTGGTATGACGGCTGGGAGACGCGGCGCCACAACACCGAGCCTTTCGACTACGTGGTCATTCGTCTCGGTGTCGCCTCTGGCACCGTCTCAGGCATCGAGATTGACACTGCTTTCTTCTCGGGCAACCACGCACCCGCCATCTCCGTTGAAGGCGTGTTCAGCGCCGAAGACGACGAGGTTGTGAGTTGGAAGGGAGGGCGGGGGAAGTGGGAGACTATCCTAGGCATTCAGGAGTGTGGCCCCAGTCAGAGATTTGGGTGGAAGCTGGATGTGCCGACTACGAAGGCGTATACGCACGTTAGGCTGAACATGTATCCCGATGGTGGGATTGCTCGATTCAGACTGTTTGGTCACGCGGTCCCGGTATTTCCCGATGATAAGGATGCGATCTTTGATCTTGCGGCTGCACAAAATGGTGGCGTGGCTATTTCGTGCAGTGACCAGCACTTTGGTGCCATCTCCAACCTGATACTGCCTGGCAGGGGAAAGGACATGGGAGATGGGTGGGAGACCTCGCGATCGCGAGGGAAGGACCATGTGGACTGGGCGATCATCAAGCTTGGAGCCAAAGCCTTGATCCAAAATCTGTTGGTGGACACTGCGTTCTTCAGAGGCAACTTTCCTCAGAAGATCAAGGTGGAGGCCATTGATTGGAGTGAGGAGGGACAGCCAGGTGTGTTCTCTGAGGGTTGGACAGACCTTGTTGTTCCTAGCAAGTGTGGTCCGGATCAGGAGCATGCTTTCGAGTCGCTAGCGAAGGATAAACATTTCACTCATGTGAAGCTGGTTATGATACCCGATGGAGGGGTGAAGAGGATCCGAGTCTTTGCTAAGAGAGCTGTTTTAGAGTGATGAACAAGAGAATCATTGACTTGGGGGCATTGTGTTTCGGAGACTGTTTGTCCCAGCGCATTCTATGAGTTTGAGCTTCCGAGACAAAGTATACATAGTTGTCAGTAAATTATGTGCCCCATGATTTAATTTAAGGCTGAAATAGACAAATAGAAAAGAAAAGAAAACTTCACTTGATGTTGCAGAAAATTACGATGGAAGCAGCAGCAGTGTCTCGATCGCATAAGAGATCGCATAAGAGATCGTACAGGCATCAGAGTTTGAGCCTCCGCCCCGCTAGCCTCATGAATATGCAACACCTCGTCCTTTGGCATTTACATAACATCACAGAAATTACACGTCCTCGTTCGACCACTGATCTACCTATTTCAGACAAGATTATCACCACCACCCGGAATATCGCATGTGAATCTGCGGATGCATTCCGGACTATATGAAGTCCTCCTCTTCCCGCCGCAATGGATATTGGAGACAATGGCGGGGGCTTTGAAGACGAGCCCAAACAACAACTCAGAGCGCTGCCAGATGACTTGCCGAAATCCTTAGATGACCGCAAGAATATCTCTTCTCACTTCACCCCGGAGACAGAGATGTACGATGCCTGGCAAGGTACATAACTCTTCAGGAAAATAATTGTGAAACCTGTCTGACAAAGTTATGTGTAGGACAGTCACAGTTCCTCACTACTCCGGCTTTGGCAAAGCCGCTGCAGTTTAACAGTCTCTCACTGGACGACCATGATTTCGACGACAGTCTGACGACAAAGCAGATTGGGGATAGCGATACAAGGCTTATGGAGATGCTGGCTGCGCAGGCGGCGCACCGGGATGGGTCCGCCTCCCAGGACGAGGATGCGGTAGCTTCGGACGATAAGCTTTCTGAGAGCGAGAAGAAGGATAGCCTGCAGAAGCTGCTAAACATGGCTGCTAGCAATGGAGATGTGGATCGGATAGAGCGGATTTTGTCAGGGAAGGCCAAGGACTTTGTGGATATCGATGCCCCTGATGAGGAGGGGACGGCTCCGTTGATCTATGCCAGCTGTTTTGTAAGCCGGGCTTGATAATTTGAAGGGAATACCTGCTAACAGGATGAATGACAGGGCCATGAGGCTGTGGTTACTGCTCTGCTGGATGCAGGGGCTAAACTCGACATCCAGGACAGGAACCAGTGGAGTGCGTTGATGTGGGCGATGAGCAACCGGCATACGGTGATTACGAAGATATTGCTGGAGAGGGGTGCTTCTACGAAGGTGAAGTCTTCCTCTGGTAGGACTGCTTTCGATTTCGTGGCTCCGGATAGCGAGATATCGGATTACCTGCACGACAATGGATATGGGAACCAAATTGGAAGTGTTGGAGTCACGGATGACTTCTACAATCCTGGATTTTCGCAGGATCGATTCGAGGAGGAGATGGCTGAGAATGAGTTGAGGAGACGCATGATGATGGAGAGTGCTAGAGACTTGGAGGTTGATCTGGGGAACATGGGGATTGATGATCAACCCGAAGTAAGTGCAAATGCTACTGGAGAAATAAACCCGTACTAACAAGTATCAGTCGCCAGCAGATCTCGAGGAGGATGCACAAGAATTTGACTGGAATAGATGTCTACACGATCAGATGTTTGTATTCCAAGAGAGCGAGCTAAGCCGCATTCTGGATGTTGTTATCACGAACATGACTCCGCAACGCTCGCCATCCCAAAAGCCTGTTCCAGCGAACATCTTGTTCCTCAGCGCTCGCTATGCTCATTATCATGCCAATCAGGATCTTCTCGCGAAACTCTTGATCACTGCTATGGACAAGATCAACGACGTAGTTGAGACGCATCAGTGGGACATGACGATTCTGGCATTTTGGATATCGAATGCTACTTTGTTGCTGCACTATCTGAAGAAAGATGCCGGGCTAGCGCAATCGACTTCAGAGTTTCAGCTTCAGCTGGCTGAACTCATCAACGAAATTTTCATTCTGATTATCAGAGATGCAGAGAGGAGAATGGACAAGGTTCTTGATCCGGCTATGCTGGATCACGAAACCATCCCAGGATTTGAAGACATTGCATTTCAGAATGAGTGGAAAATATTCAAAAGAAAGAACCATGTGAAAGAAGTACCAGTCGAAAAGAGATTTCGTCCGCCTTCGCCGAAAGCCAGAGCAAAACCATCGCCGAGAAACGTCACTTCCCTACTGTCGTCTACTCTTTTTGTGCTGGACCTATATGATATCCACTCAGTCATCACAGCTCAAATACTGGCACAACTGCTGTACTGGCTTGGGGCTGAACTGTTCAACCGCATCATGTCAGACCGCAAATACCTGGCTCGCACCAAAGCTATGCAAATTCGAATGAACATTTCAAGTCTGGAAGATTGGTCGCGATCAAATAACCGGCAACCTGAGCACTACGAGCATGGATCCATGACCTCAAGTGGCGAGCCTACTTTCGAATCTGGACGCCATCATTTGGCACCCCTTATCCAGCTCTTACAGTGGCTGCAGTGCTTCTCGTCATTAGTGAATGACGACTTCGAAGGCCTTGTCGGTACGCTGCAGCAACTTACACGACTAACACCACAGCAGCTGATCCATGCTGCGAAACATTACCGACCCGAAGTTGGGGAGAAGGGCCTCCCGAAGAGCGCAATGAAGTACCTGCTGAACCTCCAGAAGGAGACACAATTGCGCAGAGAGCAGCAGAGAAGCAGGCGGCGGGAACCAGGGCCCCCAACTACACCAGTTAAGAGTAATGGGCATCAAATACCCGACACCCCCGACTCGACTGGAAAAGCCCTACCGCAAGATGTGCAACAAGAGGATGAAGACGATGCACCAGAGCATCTTCTTCTTGACCCCTCCCTCATGCTCCCCTTCTCCCTGCCGACCAGCACCGACATGCTCGTCAGCTACGGCGCTGGCTTTGGCGGCCTCAACCGCGAACGAGAGCGCAAGTACATACCTACGGTCCCAGCCGAGTTTCTCGCGAAATTAGACTTGGGCGGTGGGCGAGCACAGAGCACGTACGAGGAGCGAGACTGGGAGAACGAGGATGTGTGAGACGAGAGGGTGTGTGAGGTGATTTGAGACATACATTGCGAGCTTGCAGGACCTAAAACGTAGAGATCGATTGGCATTTGGCGTGGCGTTGGGCGGCGTTGTTTTTTGGTCCAGATGAGGAGTGTGCAAGTCAACCTCGGGGGGGTTTTTTTCTGGCTGCGAGCAAGAGGAGTCAAAGAGAGAGGTTGAGTTAATACCTAGCTAGCGTGGATTTTCTGTTATTGAGATGCTATATCTATTCTCTTAATGAACGAGTAGGACTCAGTGGTCTTTTCGACCGAGGGCCTCTGTTCCGAATCCTGGGGGACAGAGAAGTGCGAAGAAGTTTGAGCCCTGTGCCGCCACCAAGATGCTGCTAATAAATCTTACCTTACCTATGATATCTACGATACCTACAAGTCTGAAATTGAAGATATTCGTATTCATATTTTGTATTGGTGTAATTTAAAGATATTTATATTGATACCGAAATAGGTTTTTTTCCAAGGACCTCCCTTACCGGACCCTCCTCCGCTCCTTACCCGACCCCAGTAGCCCTTCACTGTTGTGCTCGGACCACCCCCATCATTACGTACCGGTACCTACCTTACTCTGGCTATCACCTCTAGCACTCTAAATCGGCCCACGGCCCACTTTCCGTCCCAGAACAAACAAAATCTCGCCGGACGACTTCCCACACGCTCGTTTCTATCCCCTTCCTTCTCCTCGACGTTGGAATCCTCACACTCATTTATTTCTCGCGCCTACAAATCGACCGCAGTGTTTGCTTGCAAGTTGCAAGTTGCAAGCTGCAGGGCCGGACGAGGGACGACGCGCTTGCGGTAACTAATAGTTAATAGAGTGGGTATACCAAGAGAAAGCTTGTGTAACACAGTTAAGATTCAGCGACTCAGCGACTCAGCGACTCAGCCTGGCCATGCGGAGCAGTATCGACAAGAGATGCGCGAGGTCTCCTACCTGCACCAGCAATCCTCCTTCCTCTATTCCCCAGAAGACCCTTAATGCGTCCATCCTCAAGCCCTCCCCAACCACGCCCACACGCTCAGATAACGGCCTCATAACCTTGCGATACGAGGAGACGACCGCCGGCAAATCCCCTATCGCGGTCACCATCGCACCGCCGCGCGCACATCCCACCGACACGGCGCTGCGACGACCACTGAGCGGGGCAGACGGTGCGAAAGATCAAGAGGGAAAGCGTGATTCAGGCCTCGCGTCGACAACAACAACAAGCTCAAAGGCGAAAGAGGACAGTGCGAACACAGCGGGCCCGTTTGCAGAGAAGCAGCACCCACTGGGCCTTGTGATTGACTTTGATGCGAACCGTATAACAAGCCCGGTGCTGCAATCGCCTATTAGCATTATTGCGCCGTCAGACAAATCAAAGAAAGTGAAGAAGAGCATGAGTATGGGATCGAATAGCTTGCGCTGGAGACCGAGACCAAGAAAGAGGGGTGCAACGGTAGACAAGACGTCTAAAGGGGGAATGTTTGTGCCACTGACCGAGTCGGTGCCGATACCAACAGATAATTTGCTGGATGACGATTTCCTTAATACGCTGTCATTTTCCAAGAGAGGGAGTGTTATGTTAGGTGGGAAGAAAGCCGTGAACGTCGATAGACACAAGCGTGGACGTGGGTATGTTTTGATACGGGCATAACTTCGAATTCTACTGACTGCTGCCAAGACCACCGAGCCTCTCGATGCTGATTCCACCAACTATCAAAATACTTTCAGAGGATGTAGAGAAAGAATCGCAGAAGGTACGGTCGATGTATGAACAAGGCTCAAATATGGAATGGGAAGCAGGAGCGCAGTCGGGGATCATTGAGCGTATGAAAACTAGCCAAGTTTCGACTGAAGCTGAGGCATTCAAGTCAGTATTTCGACTGCTAATAAATAGCTTTGTACTAAGTTCTGCAGGACCAACGGCCTTTTGAGTCCTGCCAGTAGCTCTTTGACAAGACCTGAAAGCGCCATCTCTTTCAGACAAGAGTTTGAGCTGGCTGGAGGGATTGAAGATTGGGAGGATGTGGACGGAAATGATGTTGACCGCTATGGCTTTATTGATATGCGCCGCAAGAACTCGAGACCTGGTACCCCGGAGCCGAGGCCCCCACAACGAGTCTCTACCGTCCTGCAACTAGCTTCTGAGGCACCAAGAAAAAGACGAAGCTTCGGGCGAACTTCTTTAAATGTAACGAGGAGGGTATCAAACAAGCGAACAGCGAGCCGCAAGGTCTCCGCCAGATCTTTGAGGACCGTGTCTTCGAGCGCTTCTCAGAAAAGCATAAGCAGAATCAGATCAGCTACCAATCTACTCCCTGGTAATCAGGACAGAAGATTCATGGATGAGGCAGGCGACATGCTCACTCTCCCCCCTGGACTAGCCGACATTGCAGAAGACGAGGAGGGTGGAAAGCATGCCGAGTTTCTCAAGCAGAAGGAATGGGAACGAGCGGAGAAGTGGAGAAAGATGGCAAAGACTGTCAAGACCGGCAAGGACGGTCAAGGAATGGCTTTCGAGTTTGACACTTCAAGCCCGAAGCTGATTGAGCGGACTTGGAAGGGCATACCTGACAGATGGCGTTCTGCAGCCTGGCACTCGTTTCTGAGCTCCTCTGCCAAAAAGAGAAATGACAGTGTGACTGACGAGCAGATCACCCAAGCTTTCTACAGTCTGTTAAACAAGAGCTCTGCCGATGATCTCCAGATCGACCTGGATGTCCCGAGGACAATCAACAGCCACATCATGTTCCGAAGACGGTATCGAGGGGGTCAGCGATTGCTGTTCCGCGTTCTTCACTGCCTGTCACTGTACTTCCCGGAGACAGGCTACGTTCAGGGAATGGCATCTCTAGCTGCTACGCTTCTCTGCTACTACGATGAGGAAATGGCTTTCGTCATGCTGGCTAGAATGTGGAGATTGCGAGGACTCGATAAGCTGTACGAGGCTGGCTTTGACGGACTCATGGCCGCTCTTAACGAGCTTCAGACTGAGTGGTTGAATGGTGGCCCCGTCTCTGCAAGACTCGTAAGCCCCCTCCCCTCTGCATACGTAAAGAAGAACTAACAGCCCCAGGATGAGATGGAAATCGAGCCAACCTCCTACGGCACCCGCTGGTACCTGACCCTCTTCAACTATTCCATCCCCTTCCCATCCCAACTCCGCGTCTGGGACGTCTTCATGCTCCTCGGAGACCCCGACTCCTCGCTCTCCCTCACACCCGAACGCCCCTTCGCAGGTGGTCTGGACATCATCCACGCTGTCAGCGCCGCACTCATCGACGGCACCCGCGACATCCTGCTCGACAGCGACTTCGAGAACGCGATGAAGGTCCTGACGAGCTGGATCCCAGTTAAGGACGAGGAACTGCTGATGAGAGTTACGCGGGCAGAATGGAAGTTGCATCGGGGCAAGAAGCGTTGATGCTAAAAAGCTCTCCGTCGCCGAGATTCTCTTCGTCGAGAGACTGATTCCTTGCCTGTGAGTCTGGAAGTGCTGATACGGCCATTTCAAGTTCTACTTCTCTCTTCTTATGTGTTTGCATTTCTGCTTGCGAGGTGTCTGGTCGGTTGTTGGTCGTCGGTTGTTGGTCGTTGGTCTGATTTTCCGCACTATACCACCATGCGCTGCTTGTCTTTTATATGTACTTCTTGGAGTTTTGTTGAGATAGATAGGGTAGCTGCTGCTTCAAGATGCGAGATGCGAGATGCGAGATGCGAGATGCGAAACTACCTTCCCTCTCTCTTTCCTTTTTTTTTTTTTTTTTTTTTTTTCTGGCATCGCTCTCGGTCAATTACGAATTAATTAATACACAAGTTACGGTAGGGAGGACCTGATTGGCTTGAGAGAGTGTGCTTCTTTCTGTATCTTGAGGAGAGACGGTGCGAGGCTGGTACGGCGGTGAAAAGAGTATGGAAAGGTCGAGATGGGGCGAGGCGAGGCGAAGGAGAAGGGCTGGGGATGAAGATGAAGATGGAGAGCGAAGTGTGCAGGGTAGCGGACTGAAATGGATTCACTGTATAACAGAATAGGGCCAGGTAGGGTAGCTGCTGCCGACGCCGCCGCCGCACATAATGAGGCGCGATTTTAAATTGGTCGATGCCTTCCGTCTATCACTTTCCCATGGATCTGAGCTTCTCTAGCCTGTTCCTTTTTCTGTATTGTTTTCAATGGACGCGATGTCGCGACGGCTTTGCTGGGTTTGGGAGGTAAGCGAAGCGAGGTCACTGTAGGTACCTAGGCACAACAAATCGAGGGAACACGCGCAAGGACCCCGTGCTTGTCTGCAATGGCCCATACACTTTGGGCATGTACCAGAGCCCACAAATTTCATACATTATTGCGCCGAACTTCTCTGTCTTCTCCCTCTCCCACGCCTCGTCGCCGCCAAAGCAGCAAGATATATACAACAACATCAATAATCCCATCTGGTATCAAACAATCATCCGGCATGCAACCCAACCTAGCCCAGCTCAGCCCAGCCCAGCCCCTCCCTCCAATACACCAACGTCGAATCGCATCCACATCAGTCCCGTTCATCCCCTAGTAAAAGTAAGGCCTAAAGACACCAAATCCAAACGCCCACGCTAATGAGAAGAAGACCGTTCATATGCCCAAGTTCATATCAAAACAGATGCCGTATGCCTCGTCCACATTTCACTTCCCCGAATCGCTCTTTGTCTCCCTCCTCTCCCTCGCACCGATGAGGTTCCGTGTGATACTCTTCGGGCTCACGTCCTCCTCATGAAGTATCGTCGATTTCGGCACATTGGTATCAACATTCTCAAGTGAGCCCTCAGCGCTACCTAAATCCAACGTCGGCACCTTTTCAGCTGTTCTCGTACGACTAAGTTGGCGGAGCCTAGCTGGTGGCTGTTTATCCTGGGACTTGGAGGCTGGGGGGCTGGGAGGGGATTGCACGCAATCGGGCGTCGCGATAGCCGTAGCGGTCCCGGACGTGCCCGGAGAATTTGGAATGCTTGCTCCATTCATTTCGCGGAGCACTTTATTGGTTATCTGCTTCGCATCTGAGTCGAGGTTCGGGACTGCAATTGGAGGCTTGAGTTCGATTAGCAATGCCCCCCCTAAAAAGCATGGTACTTCACCTGTAGAATATACTGATCCAGCTTCTTTTTTAGCACGTTCGACCGTACAGGCTTAGCCAAGTAATCGTTCATGCCCGATTCTAGGCACTTCTCTCTGTCGCCTTGGATGGCAGAGGCAGTCATGGCAATGACTAAGACGCCTCTAACAGCGTCGATTGGGTCTCTTCGCAGCAGCTTCGTGGCCTCGTAGCCATCTAGCACAGGCATCTGGACGTCCATAAGAGTAATGTGATACGGCGTCCCCTCATTCGCTTTCGCTCTCAACCCTTCTACAGCTTGAAGACCATTGTCGTAAGCATCCACGTGCTTGAAGCCCAGCTTGTGCATAAACTGAACCGCAATCTTCTGGTTGACAGGATTATCTTCCGCAATGCAAATACGCAGTGCGTCGCGCTCGACATGAGAGAAGTGCGTATACGGTGTCGGCGAGCTATGGGACTCGTTATTCCGCGAAGACATGTGATCAACATAATCCGTCCCGTTTTGACTGTCTCCTGCAGAAGCTTCTTTGGCCTTGGGAAAGGTGACTGAGAACCAGGCCAGCGTGCCTTCGCCCTCCACACTTTCGAGCTCGATTCTGCCGCCCATCATAGATTCAACGAGGGACTTGCAGATACTGAGACCTAGTCCACTACCACCATACTTTCGAGCAGTGCTAGCATCAGCTTGACTGAAGGGCTTGAAAAGCTTGAAGAGTTGTTGGGGGGGGATTCCGATACCAGTATCCCTGACCCAGAATGTCAATGTGACCTCGTCAGCCGTTTCCGCATCAGTCTTCGCACCAATGGTGATCGAACCATTCTCAGTGAACTTGAGGCTGTTCGAAACGAGGTTGCCGAGAACCTGATGCAACCGAACAGGGTCGCCAAATATCAGACATTGAGGAAGACTGATATCCTGCAGGATCTCAACATTCTTGACATTCTTCTTGTCGCGGTTGCTGTAAGATACGGATCGGAACACCTCCCGCATCAACTCGTCAGCTTTGAATGCAACGACGTAAAGCTCCATTTTGTCTGCCTCCATCTTGGAAAAATCCAAGATGTCGTTGATCACTGTCAGTAATAAATCAGCTGAGACACGGATCGAGTCTGCCATCTCGGCCTGATCTTTCGTAAGATCACTATCCCTCAATAGCTCCGAGTTACCGATAACTCCATTGAGCGGTGTCCGAAGCTCATGGGACACATTGGCCAAGAATATAGACTTGGCTTTAGCAGCTTCTTCTGCCAATTTGACATTCCGAAGAGCCTCAGCTTTGGAAGCATTGGCCTGCTTCTCAGCTTCCAAAGCTTTTGCGAGAGCTTTCCTTTGCACATCAACCATAGAGTTGTTGAAAGCAGAAACCTTCTCCACTTCCTTGAGTGTTAGAGCATTAGAGTAACTGATTCCGATTTGGTTGACGAGGAGTTGCAGCACAGTCAGATTGCGATCCGTAAAGGCATTGGGCTCGCCTTCCAGATACAGAACACCTAGCAGCGGCTTTACTCCATGACAGATGGGTATAGCAATCACAGACTTTCCCACAGGGTTTCTGGTGGCCCATGCATCGGTGACATTGCTGAAACGCTCATCGTGGATTAAATCAGGCAGGAAGATAGTCTCGCGAAAGCGTGTACAGTAAAAAATCACACCTTCAGCAACAAGAGCTGTTTCGGCCAATGGGAGTCCAGGGATATGAGCCACGGCCCCCTTTTCCGGGTCTCCACTGGCAGCGATACTCCAGCCGACTGGGTCATCCTCTTCAACAATGATAGCCGCCATAGTTGCCAGACCCCCGCAATTCTGCAAGATAATCTCACACATGGTCTTGAGTAATTGATCGACCTGCAAGACACTAGAGATAACTTGCGAACTCTCGAGAATGGACGTCAAGTCCAGCATGTCTAACGCGGAAAGACTGGAGCCTGCGGGGGGCCGTGCAGAGCCTCCTTGCCAGGCTCCAATTCTGTCCCCTTTTGTCTCTGTGGTCAATGAGGCGCGTGTTTGTTGCCGCATATCATCGTCATCTCCTTCCAATGTCGTATATTGGACATCAGCCGAGTCGCCTGCAAAGTCTGTTTGAGCCGCGGCATCTGCAGTTCTATCATCTCGTGTTGGACCCTGTAGTAGAAGACTGTGCTCGTCTTCGATGTATTTCGCAACCCCAACAGCACCGAACATACGATAAAGGGCCGTAGCCTCGCGCAAAGAGGCTTTGGCTGCTCTCCGTGACCCAGTTCGTAGAAAGAATCCAGCTTGTAAGTAGTTGCCCAGCGCTTCCTCGAACAGAAAGCTGTTGGCTGCCGCGTGATCCAAGCTCACTTCAAAGGCATACAACGCCGCGCCATGGTCTCCTTCCATTTCGGCAATTTGAGCGTCGAGTAACTTCGACCAGGCGAGGTAGTTGACATTGTTAACGGTCTGCCAGTCTTCGATCATCTTCTTGTGGCGCTTGATTTGCTGCACAACTTTTGAGATTTCTTTGACAAGCTCCTTCGGCTGTGCGTCAATACTTACATGATGACCGTCAGTACCTTGACTAATTGCTTTTAAGGGGTCTTGGAGTGTGTGCCACATCAACCCAGCGAGGGATAATCCGTGCATGAAGTATACGAATCGCGTAATACGGGCAGACCAGACCGAGGCTATGTTCTCCAGGCAATGGTTTCCTAGGTCGACGGCTCGCGAATAGTGCCCGTACAGAAACAGAGGTGCCATCTCAAAGCCTTCGTAGAGAATCAGCGGCCGGTCGCTGTTTCTCATTGATCCTTGAAGCCACTTCTTGTAGTACACAGAGTCATGATGCTCGTCACTCATAATATCCAAAGATTCGCTTGTATGCGTCCGGCCCTGTAATGCTCTGCAAGCTTGCCGGACCGCAACTGTAGTGGCCCCGGGGTCAGCGAATTCAGATACTTAACTAAGCTCACACTCATGCTCCCATTTTGCGAGAACGTTTGTGCAAATTTCTGGCTTCTTGATGTAGGCAGGATCAGATATGTACTTACTAGCCATCGTCCCTCCACGAGTATCCAGATGCCAATTCGGTACCTCCTCACAACCATAATGAAGAAAAGACTCCAGCTCCGTCAAGTTCTCTGATGCAAAAAACCTTAGACTTCCAACCAGGCCAAAGTTCAGGATTGTCGAGCCACGATCCCCCACATGAATCGCATGGTCCAGGGCGCCATCCAGTTCTCTCAGCGAGTCCTGGATGCTACAATGTAAATGCCCGACAAAGAGTGCGTAGACTGTGTTGCCTCGCCCAGAAGTATATTGGTCACTCCAATCAGAGAGCAGAGTTTTGCAGATTTCGCCCATGTCGCAGGCAAATTTTATCATATTGAATCTAGTGCAAGCTATCATCGCGAGGTGAAGATAAGCCATGCCTGCTTGAGGGAAGCTACCCAGGTTGATCTGTGTGTTTACCATGACTAGAGCCATCTGGTAGAAAGTCAGAGTATCGGTCCTGTCATAGTTTAGCTATGAGAAGAAGAAAAACCCTTTAATTTGGAAAACTCACCAGAATGCAGCTGATATGGCCTCTACCAGCACTGCTCCAATCGCCGCGAAGGTTGAGCTTTTCGTCATCGAGCGGTGGACGATTTCCTTGGCTTCCATCGACTGGATCTTAAGAGACAGTCGCTCGAACTCCTCGTCACACTTTTCGAAACTAGGATGATCGTCAACTCCAATGTCGAGAGCACCAAGGCATTGCTTCAGAGCCCGGAAACCAGCTGAAGAATCGCCCTCCTGGGCGTACACTCTCGATTGCAGCACCCAAGCAGGGGCCTTATCGACTGGAGTCTTTGCATACGCGAAGACGTTAGCCAAGATACGCTTGGCTTCAGCATATTGACCCATATACAGGTACGTCTCTGCAGCTCTGGTGTGTAACTGAAGAGTTTCGTCGTAATAAACATCGGGTAGACCGTCAGTCCAAGGCTCATCCTGTAATAGGGCAAAGCAATGATTATAAAACCTCGCGGCTGTTGGACGAGCCCCGCGCTCTGCAGCAGACTGCGCACAATTGGCAAGAAGCGTTCTGAACGACTGTCGGTGAAGAACCCGCCGTCGGATGATATCGATCGACTCGCCAATATGCTCGGCAATTTCTGATTGCTCTCGCTCACCAGCAGAGCTGTATTTGAGAAGAGTCCGGGCAATGATGAAGTGCATCTTTGGTGCATTACATTCGCCAAGAGCGGTAGCTGCTTGCATATATCGGTCATGCGCGAAGCGAAATCTGTCGTCGTCCTGTGTGGCAACGATGATGTAGGCTTGAATTGCGGCTTGAAGACCTTCCACGGCATCCTGTTGCGAGTGAGACAAAGAATAAGGATGGTCAACATCCATGTTCGAGGCAGAATCATCGTAATCGAACTCGCCGCTCAAAAGCCTCTGTATCAACTCAAATGAAAAGGAATGGCCGATTAATGAAGCCCACGCAAGTATCGACCTCGAGGCCGCGGGCAACTCACTCAGGCGACTCGTGACGAAAGCGCTATTTAAAGTGTCGTGGTAGCTCTTGGTCTCGAACTGCTTGAAGATTTTATCTAGATCGTAGCACCACCCACTTTCTTTGAAGTCATAGTAGATGCATTGTTTTCGATGGCAACTTTCTAGCATTTCTCTTATGTAGAAGGGGTTGCCAGCTGTTTTAGACTGAATCACGGCTGCCAAAGGGACGATGTAGGCTTCTGATCGGGAAAGTGTGGCAGCGACATACTTCTTTATATCGTCTTCATTCAGGGGTTTTAGGACTATCCGTGTCACGCCAACACCTCCCCCTTTTACGTATTCTACAATAGTGTCAGCATGGCCAGGTACCACGAGGATAAGGGGACTCAGACTGATACCCTCAGAATCGGGAGGTTCTATTATGCCCTTGATCCTCTCTGGAAGGACCTCGTCAGGCCGGTAAGTAACAATTATAACCATCTTCATCCTAGAAGATATGATCTGTCCAATCAGGTCGATTGACTCATCGTCGGCGAATTGTAGGTCGTCCAAGCAGAAGCAGATAAATTTATGTTGGGTAAAGACCCGCAAGACATCGAGAAAGGTGTTCATGAGCCGGACGGATTTCGTTGACGACCCATTTCGCAGGAAGTCTTGAGATGTCTGGGAACCTACAGTCAGGCCGTAAAAACTGGGTGGAGAACTCGAGGAGGGAGAGGAATCTCGTTTCATCTCGGCACGTAAACTTTTGTTGTAACTATGGGACAAGTGGCTCCCATGCCTGCGTGTCGGGCCACCGCTCATCGATCCCAAGAGAAACTCGGGAAGCCCCAAGACTCTATGCAGCATGGGCCAGGCCGGTTTAACGAATGACTTGAGGCCCTGATGAAAAGCGGTATCTGTGTTGCTCTCTGAAAATACTTGTTTAAACAAGCTGGATAGCAGTCTGAGAACCGGCCCAAATGGTGTTTTCTTCGCCTGGTCAAACTTGGAGCTTGCAAAATACCCTCTCCTGCGTGCTTCAATCTGAACGGACTGGACGAGGCAGCTCTTGCCCAACCCTGCGGCTCCTGCAATGCCAATAACTTCACACCGCCCTTTGCGCCGAAATTTATGGCTGTTTTGACGACTTATCAGACTCCCAGCACCTTCTGAACTTCTCGGACCAGTTGCGTCGGAAGTACTTTCGAGGAGGCTTCTGTTCTCTATGGAGTCCATGGCTATCGAGTTATTCTTTGCCCAGGGTTTGGGTTTGCTATGACGAGATGAGGCGTCGTTATTCTCGGGATAGTTGGCCTGAGAGGAGATGGAACCTGTAGCGGAACGCAACTGGCTGGAGCCACTCTTAAAGGATTTGAGCTCATTAGACAGCGCGGCAAAGTTCCCCAGGGAATTCGACATCCCATCATATGAGCTGGTAGTTTCATCCTCGCTCGAGAGCTCGGCCCCAATGGCGGCTTCGAACATCTCAAGACGGCTTTCGGACAAACTTGACCCAGACGATATACTATAGATATCCTGTTTTTGGCCAACAATATGGCGCCTGGACACCTTGTCGATAATCTTGACGACATCATCATGCTCCTGGGTCCTACCGATCATAGCAGTGGGCAGTATAAAGAACGAAGAGACATCTTTGGTAGCAATAGGCCAATTCCGCAGCGTAGCCGAATCTCCAACTCCTAAAAGCCTTCTTACTTCCATCAAATCGTATCTCAGACCGCTCACGGAGTGATAGCGATCCCCAATAATCTTGGCAGTCATCTTCTGGATAATCCTTCCAATAACATCGGGGATGTCCATTCGGATGCTCGACACAAGTGGCAGTCGTCGTCCTAACACAGCTTGAATGATGTCCATCGGGGTCTCCCCATCGAAAGCAGGCAGCTGAGTGAGCATCGTCCAGAACAGTATCCCAAGAGAGTATATGTCCGTCCTACTATCAGGCTCGGCAGGCATCCGACCAGTCTGTTCCGGACTCATGTAGCAGAGCTTCGTCTTAGCGCCTACTTCCTTCGAAAGGGTAGACCATCCAGTGCTTGTAAGCCCATGTTCAAAAGTCCTCAACCCAGATCCAAAATTGATCAGCCGGACCTTGCCGTCCAACGGATTCATATGGAAGGCGTCCCCCCTAATTTCTCCGTGCACGATTCTCTGGCCATGATGCAAGATCTCAAGACACTCCGTAGCTGCCACAGCGAAATCCAGGAAAGTTTGCAACGGCACCGTTTCCGTAGCCTCAAACTCGTCCCGGAACGCCTCGTATTTGCCTCCCACTTTACGTGCTGTATACCAAGCCGGTCCATAGTCAATAATCTTGTTGAGAGAATTCGGTCCAGGCGCCTCGAAGATACAGACGATAATTGGGCCCTTGTCTTTGTCCCCCTGCTGACTAGTGAGGCGAGCAATATCCAGAGGCCGGATGAGGTGGTCTCCTTCCGGATCAACCTTCTTGATCAAGTTCTTGCAGATGTGGTAGGCCCGTTCCTCTCGCAAGGCATGCGTTGAAACGCGTCCTATAATCTCGATCCGGGGGCGCTCAGGAATATCATCGTATGAATAGGCAGATTCGCTACCGCTCTCACTGGCCGCCGTCCTCTTATACTCGCCAGCGGTCTGGGGGTCCTGGGACGGGTGGCTGAGCTCGATTTCCGGCCTCGAGATTGTGACTGCTCTGGTCTGGGAGCTGTGGACATCCTTCCACCCATAGACCTGCCTGTTCCCCTGATTTAGCACATTCACCACCAAGTCTTTCTCTACTGGGGAATCCGCTTGCAAGCGTGCTTACCAATTATCGTAACTTGAGTGGAAGGGGTCTCTTGACTCGTCCCATGTGTAGCCAGCGATTTGTCGCAGCCGCTCGAAGAGTCGCAGCGGAGGGTCCAGCTGCTCATCCCCCAGGGCGACGGAGCTGTCCATCATGTATTTTCGTGACTTCAAAGCATGTCTCCCGTCCTCATGGCTCAGATGCAGCAGGTGTTGGCGGGCAGAGGCTGCGGAGTGCTATAGCTGTATAGCTGTACGGAGTATTGTTGTTTGGAAAGGCTGGTCTTGTCCCGAGAGAAGTGCTGGGCGAGGGGTCAAGGCGATTGTTCATAGGCTGTGCCTGCTCCGAGCGGATTCCTACCTTTCGGTCGCTCCAATGACGTATCGTGTTGGCCTGCTCTGGGAAGACAGGGGATGGCTTTTCGGAGGGGAGCCCGGCGCTAGAGGTGATATAGTAGCAGTAATCCGTAAAAGAGCGTTGGCAATTTCAGAAGTCCGTCAACAGATGCATGGGAATGGACACTTGCTGATGTCCGGGATTGTCTTAAGCTTCCTTCTGGAATCACTCAAGCCAAGAACTAATATGTAGCCCGGTCTTCTTGTAGTACACACACATGAAAGAAACAAGACTCACGCGGCCATTCAGTTGCTATTATCATCTACGGTATTTGCATTTCTGTTACACTATCTTGGATTTCTTAATAAGGTCTGTCACCCAATACCAATACCATGTTATAATATATGCTAAGTCACATCTCCGCATTCAATTATTTTTCTTCTGCTCAAGGCCGTTCCCCTACATTCTCATGCAATATGTATATTCCCCAATCACATGCAGAAGCTCGCTCTGAAATTATAACAACAAGTCAGGCTTCCGTCTGAAGACTCGGCGTAAAACAACTCTCTAATTGGCGCGCTTGGGTGACTTGCGAGTGTGCGAGCTGGACTGTGGCTTTGAAGGGGCTCTCCCGCGTTGGCAGATCCTTGTTACCACTGCCGTTACTAAGGCCAGCCCCAGCGGTATCAGCCTTGTCGGTACTGTTGGTATCACAAGGGCGTATGATGCAAAGTTGAATACGTATTCAGTTATTATATAAGTAAATTCAGTTGGTTTGGCATGCTTCCAACTAAGGGGAACCGTAGCTACCTATACAGCTATCGATACAAACGGAGAGCAGTAAATGGAAGCTAGTAGCCTGATCTATTTAAATCAGTTGACTCACTTGACCGAGTTGACCGCTACTTTCGCTAAGCCCTATTGGTTACCATAGTGCCGTATCTATACCAAACTGACAATTGACTGAGGTCATAGTTCCAATAGGTACCCTTGCTTTTAAAGATTTGGCTGCCCTCCCAGGACCTAAGGAACACTCAGTATTCTGTATATATTACTAGTTTGGACAACTCACCCAATGATAGGAACGTCGTCAGACTCTTCCAGAGATCTTTCCTCCCGCTGATCTCCATAGAGTCGACTATCAACCATACCTCTGACAAGGTTGACCGCCGGCATTGGTCTCTTGCTTATTCGAGAAATTTGTTCGCGGAGAGTGATGTGAGTTCTTGTTGTTGTATTTATTAACGTCGGGCGGGTGGTAGGCGGAGCCTGCCGCCCTGAGACCTCGCCTGGGGTACGGCGACGTGCTAAGCAAAGGAATTACATATAAGAAAGGAAGCCTTAGAAAGCAGTTCAAAGTGGTACAGCAGAAGCTTCCATCAGTTGCGCCCTTCCCCTACAGATAGGATAGATCACAATGAGAGATAATCCTCCGGTCAAGGAAAAACTAGAGTAGCAAGGCAGATACTGCCGTAGCTAGCTTAGAAGCGTAGCCGTGTCATAGTCGCAAAACGACAGGTGTCGAGGCCGGACCGGAGTCAGCCGTGGGCGCACACGATGGTACACAAGGAGAGTGATGTGAGGAACATTGAGAAGTCTCACAAACAGATCTGTAGATGAGTCAGTGAATGCTGATTGCAGCATGAGGATGTGAATGTACTAGTATATACTGAGAACGAGATTGTGTCCTGGAATTCAGTAGAGTACAACTTCTCGGCCTCCAGTAGAGAATGCATGACAAGTAGTTGAGTTGCTCTGCCTCGGTCTTGAGCTTGTCGATGGGTGCGCACTTCGCATAGACAGTTTCTTGAATTGATAAGCTTTGCTTGCTTCTTACAGTCATGTCTAAAGTCCTATGCTAGGAGCATTCCATCAGATCGACGGGCCAGCCAAGATAACAGAAGTTGAGTAAGGCACTCAGAATCTCCAGGCGCAACCTAAGAATGTCAGACTAGTCCAGACTAGTACGACCTGACAGCGTCTGGATCTCTTACCTCTGCAGCATTACCATCAAGCGTGATCTCATACTAAGGGCAAAATCCAATGAGGAGTATGAATTTCTATCCCTTAAGACGCATCAGATCCTTCTTCGACGACCAGTAAAAACTGGTCACTGCAGCAGGAGGGATCTGCTGTTCGAAGTCTTCAACGGAGGTGCCTCGGCGAAGACTTTCGACCAGATGTTGAAGCTGCTTGAGCTGGAATGTGTTGCTCGGGATCGGTTATACCGGTCCAGTCCTTTTTGAATGCACCCTGATAATTGATCAGTAGGGGACCATGGCAAGGCATAAGATTAGACGTACCCATCTGCTCAACTTGTCGTGGATTCTCGCAAGGAAACTCTGATCGGTAGTGCCCTTTCCGGTTTCTTCATCATCTTCACTGTCGCTGCGTGACTCATCCTCACTATCGCTATCTGAATCATCCTCGGAATCGCGAACAACCTGCAGGGCACTGTCAGTTTTACGCTCCTGTGCAGGTGAAAGGTAGATCAGTGACAGCGCTTGTTATGGACGAGTCAGCAGAGGGATGACTTACTCTTCGGACGATGTCGGATTCCTCCCACACTCCAAAAGGCTTTGATCAGGGACATGGTAATCCTGACCGTCCACTGTGGCTGTCGGGAGCACAGGTAAAGAGTGAGAAATAACGAAGTATACCAAGTAGTGTTTACTAAGTAGGTACATTCGTCAAGTCTAAGGTTTGCAAACAAGACTCTCAAGGAGCGTTATATGCTGGTGCCAAGGGCTGTGCGCCTAGCCTGCACGTGCCCTATACATGTGATCTAAAGGTCTGAATGCTATTCCAACAATTGATAAAAGAAAGATGAAGTGGTAAGTAGAAGTAAATCAATCTCGTATTGTATATATGAGCTGAGATGGTAGATGATAAATGGATGAGGTTGAAGGGAGGAAGAGGAAGAGGAAATTTGGGGGAAACATTTTATGACCACTTTGGGTGGTCAACGGTCGTTCCTTCCACTTTGAAAAGAGAGCCACCTCCCACCCAAACGAAATTGGCATCCCCACAAAAGTACCAAATCGCTTTACTTTGTAGTGGAAATGAAAACAAACCGCAAAAGCATAAGATATTGCACACGTCCTAGAGTAAAAGAAGTCTGTCGTATTTCTACCAATCTTTAGCAATAAAATATGCACCATCATCCAGCCAGATCACTCGCTATGTAAGGCGCTATCTATAGTATCTACTTCACACTCTTGGACGACTCCCTGACGTTGAGAACTTGTCTAAGCCTTAGAAGATGCCCTTTCTCTGGTAGGAATCTCTCTTGCACTATTGCTCTTAGTAGGCTCAGCATTTCTCTTCAGAAGGGCGGTGCTGCCAAGTCTACGCTCATCATTCTTGCGTCCGTTGACAAGATCCGGATAGTTGAGGGTAAGCTCGACGGCCCCATGCACGACGTGGTCAACGGCTTCGACTCCAAGCATAAACGACTGATCCTGATTACCAACCTCGTATTTCCAGCTGCCAAAGCGTCCTCTGGAGTAGATGTCCATGGCTTGAAGCTTAGGGAGGAGCTCCTTGAGAACACCATCACGCTCAAGCGAAGGAGTGGGGTATCCGTGGTCAAAGCGGCGATGGTAGGTGGAGATGATCTCGTCGTCGGACTTGAGCATGCCTGTGTTGATCAGACCTTGGATTGTGTCTTTCAGAATATTGGCACGGTCGACAGGCTTCATGGAAGACTCAGAAACCTCCAGCATGATGGACCAGTAGGGGCCTTCCTTAGGTTCGCTTGATTCGGGCTTGCTTCCATCAGCAAGGTACTGAGTTGGGAGCTTGACGGAATCGGCCGGTTGGTTGTATGGAGAGTAATTGGAGAAGATGGTGGCTCTGTAGAATGGGCAGTCATCCTCTGGGAAGTAGAGCTATAGAAGTCAGCATCCTGGTCTCCGAATACTTAGTAAATTTACCTACCCAGCACTTGTCGCCGATTCTTTCTGGGCGAGCACCTCGCAGTCCGACACCAATAACGTGGGTAGAAGAGTAGAAGAGGCCCTTGCTCAAAGAAATAAGCTCCTTGTCCTCCATCTGCTCAACGAGTTGGTCCACAGCCATGGTTGTAATCAACTTCTTGTATCCGATTGTCTTCCCATTGGCCAAAGTCACAGTGTGAGCATCGGCATTAACTTTAGAGACCTCGCCTTGCTCTCCGAAAAGCTTCTTCTCATTTGGGATAGTCTTGGCTACCGCGATCCAGATACCACCGGTACCATCACGAGCTGGGAATCTGAAGGTTGCGTTAGGTCCCCAGTTTCCGGCAGTCTTGTTGAGCATGATGTTCTTCACGACGGTCTTGACATCTGGTGCCGCAACACGCTCGCCAAGCCACGCACATTGCATCTAGTTTCAATCATTAGCCCCTGAGTTCGTCGAGACAGTGGTTTCGGCCCATACCTTGGTGGTGGGAACAGCCCAGACCTTGAAGTTGTACGGTCTCATGAAGAGATCTGCGATTCCAACACCAATATTTCTGACGATCCACTCGTCGAAGTCCTTTGGCTTATCTGTAGCGGTGCGAGCAGCCAGCGCAGCATCGATCAATCCATCCACGCACTTGACTTGTTCTTCTGTTGGCAGCATAGAGATGTTGTTTTGGAATGGGTACGGGACCCACTGCTCCTTGCAGCGTACATATGAGATTCGTTGATGGGTGAACCAGTCGTCCTCGTTGGGCAATGCCTCGTCGATGCAGTCGTCGAAATATTTGTAGTGGGAAAAGATAACATGGCCACCAACATCGTAGAGCTGGGTAACTCGAGATCAGCGCAGAAGTTGCGATTGAAAGCTGGCAGACTCACAAATCCCTCAGGGGTGACATCTGTAGAGGCAAGACCACCGGCTTTCTCGTTTGAATCGATAATCATCCAGGACGGACCATCCTGTGAACGTCAATATCAATTTTGCCCCTGTCGGTGTGGAGGCGAACTCACGATCTGGTTCAAGCGCTTGGCAGCACCGAGACCAGTTGGACCGGCGCCAATGACAAGGATATCGACATTTCTGCAGTAGATATGTCAGTGGTGTTTAGGCCGGGGGCGGTTTTCTTTTGTTGCTGTTGTGGTCTTGGGGGAGGGGGGACCATACATATCGGCCATTTTGTGTAGTGGGGGTGGAAGACGCGTACAGTATCGCGGTAAACGTCAGTATGTAAAGGCTGAGCTGGTAACCACCCAGATAAAAAAGAACAGATCGAGTACTGCGCAAAGACTATGGAATATTGCGCAGAAGGGGGAGGGGTGAAAAGGTCGGGAGGGTTGAAAAAGACGGTTATATTTCAATTCTAGAGGCAGAGCAGAAAAAGAAGCAACGGTCACTAGGTGTGGTAATAGTAAAATTGCCCGCTTAATTACTTAAAGAGCGGCAGCTACGCCATTTTTCGGCTAGCCGAGCATGCAAGCTTATCGGTGGCACTCGTCGCACTCCCCTTCTTTTGAAACTCATCATCTCGGCCTTGCATTGTTCATGTGTAACTTGAGATCTACTCCCTAAGATGATCCATTTCCATTTCAATGGGGACGGAGTCGGAACACCTATACCTCTCAGTGTTGTTTACTTTTGCCTGCAGCCTTATCGTTCACTTTGCGCAATACGAAACAATTTACGGGAGACTAATTATTTTGTCACATTTCCCAAGCTCCATCCAAGCTCCATCCAAGCTGGATCTCCCCTCTCCTCCTCACTGGCAATCGAACAATCGAGCATCCGACCACAGGTTCGTGCAGTGGAGTTCGAGTGCTACATTAGGTATGCTAGCTCCCGTGGGCCTTTGCCGCTTGCTTGCTCAGCTCGGTAGATTTTCCATTCGGTCTATCTTTCATTCGGCGTTTGCTGGAACCCCAGCTCAGTAATAGTTAGGACTCCCTCTTAGAAGGGAAGTACGCAGTAGAAGTAATAAGTACCCTATACTTCGTAGACATCAATCCTTGGAAGGGTGTTCCATTCTAGTGCCATTAGAATGGAACACCCCAACCACTTCCAGCCTTAGCCTCAGCCTCAGCCTCGTTATTATCTTCGTCTTCAGATTTGCCCGGAGCTTCGAGCTTCAGGCTTCAACCGTCGAATCTTTCGTTCATATCTTATTAATGCAAGTGTCCTCCCTTCAAGGGGGAGCCGCATATCGAGGTAACCGTAGCATCCGTAACACCCGCCTTTTCTGGCTGATCGAGATTTTGGTGAGAACTACTGATACTATGCTCATAGGAGGTCATGATACGAAGTTCGCCACGTAGATGAATAGGTAGTTGGCGATTTTCATGCGTAAAATTACAGATAAGAGATGGGAAGTTCTGACAACCTGCTACTAGGTACCCAATAGGTATTTCCAGGAACAAAAGAGCCTTCATGTCAGTAGTGGCCGATGGCCTACGGTACGGCTCCACAGGGGGACCTTGCCTTTCTAAATGAAGGAACAAGCATCTTCATGGATCGGCGTGAAAGTCTCATTTGGTGACGAGGCCGGCTAGGTAGGTCTGTTACCTAAGTACCGTACGGTAGTTGAGCATATCAACGGGCCCAATCGAGATCAGGCAATAAAAGCACGGAGTACACCGATCGGCAAAGGGCATTTATTACCTAAATGATGGGCCAAATGCAGCAGACCCCTATAGGAATCAGACTGTGATGTTATTCATAGAAAGGGGCAGTCTCGCTTACCTTTCGTAGACTCTGACACCGATAAGTAAGGTACCGATGGGCAATGTTGAACAAGGTGGCCATTGCAGCCTTAGGCATCAGGCATCACATATCACTCGACAGGGACCAAGGCAGCAGTGTAGGTACCCAGGATTGTACTTCATTTCTCCTTCGTCGAGATTCACGACCCCCTTGAATGATTGTTTCCCATCTGCCATCACACCCCTCACCTCAAGATCGACTCGACGATATACTACTCACTTAACAGCAGTCTGATATTGTTGTCCAGTCTTTACCCTATCCACCCTACACGAATCAATACAAAGCCTGCTGAACAATTCGGACCCTGCTATCCTCCCATCTCCAAAGCTATCTGAAAGCCAACAAATTAGTCCATTGATTGATCAATCGCTAAAATGAACGATGAGAAGGTCCGCATCTCGGGCGAGGTCCCAAGGGCAGCTGCTCCTATACTACCTACTGTCAACCCGGATGCAGAGAAACCACAGCTATCAGCCTCCAGCAGCATCCATCCTGCTTTCTACGTCGCGTCAGTATTCTTGCCTGCCGAATAGGACACACCTTGGAGACGTCGCTAACCTTAAGATTTGCAGTGTCTGGATCAGTTTATCCTCTAGTGTCATCCTGTTCAACAAGTGGATTCTGTCCACTTTGGGATTCCGTATGTCAAATCGCAGTCCCAGGGAAAAAAGGCTTGGAGCTGACAGCACCCAGACTACCCTATTCTTCTGACATCATGGCATTTGATCTTCGCAACCATCATGACCCAGATTATGGCCCGGACAACGAAACTCTTGGATGGGCGAAATACGGTCAAGATGAATGGGCGGGTATACCTCCGGGCTATCGTCCCAATTGGAGTATTCTTCAGTTTAAGCTTGATCTGTGGAAACTTGACATACCTATACTTGAGCGTCTCGTTCATCCAAATGCTCAAGGTTTGCTACACAGAATATCTCTCTGACTAGGTCAAATTCTGACAAGGTGTATTTAGGCCTTTACCCCTGTCGCCGTTCTGGTCGCCGGCTGGATTCTGCAAATCGAAGCCGTTGATCTCAAGAAGCTTGGTAACGTTTCCTTCATTGTTATCGGTGTTGCCCTGGCCTCTTTCGGAGAGATCGACTTCGTCCTCGCCGGATTCTTGTATCAGGTTGGAGGAATTGCCTTTGAGGCTGTCAGGATCTGTATGGTACAACGGCTGCTCAACGGCGCGGAGTTCAAGATGGACCCCCTGGTATCCTTGTACTACTTTGCCCCCGTGTGCGCCGTCATGAACTTCACTGTCGCCCTTATCTGGGAAGTGCCTCGTGTACAGATGTCTGAGGTGTACGCTGTTGGTCTATGGACTTTCTTCGCCAACGCATGCTGCGCGTTCTTCTTGAACATGTCTGTTGTGTTTTTGGTATGTAATCTGGCTCTTCAAGTTCCTTAAAAGTGCTGACAGTGATCACCAGATTGGCAAGACCTCCGGCCTCGTCCTTACTCTCTGTGGTGTGCTGAAGGATATTCTCCTTGTAGCAGCATCTATGCTCATCTGGGGCACCAGAATCTCTGGCCTCCAAGCCTTCGGATACACCGTCGCTCTCTGCGGCATGGTCTACTATAAGCTGGGCCAAAAGGAGCTGAAGCCCTTCATCGCAGAAGGAACGCGTAGATGGGCAGAGTTTGGCGCTAGCAAGCCAATCCTCCGCAAGCTTGTTGTCTTCTCCTGTTTCATGACCACGTTCTTCTTCCTCCTTGGCGGCCTTGCCCCAACATACGCACCTGAATACGACCCGAAGAACGTTCTCGCAGCCGCGAAGAATTCGCTCGGCAACTCGTAAATACCATGATGAAGCATGGCCTGGGCGGACCACACCTTTTTCACATCTGCGCCAGGGTTCGGTTTGGGGATAATAACGTTTATAATGACAGCCTTGCGGTCAGATGATAAGATGAGCCTTCAAGGGCACCAGGAACGGACACCACCGTCAGGTCAATGCACATGATCCAGGCCTGATTCCATGACCCCATGTTTTCAACAATTACATAACTCGATTTCTGCCTATGTTCAACATTTGCCGTTCTTTGCTTTCTCGTCTCTTGTGTTTCTAGCATGCTGTGTATTTTAAAGACAGTTGAGAAAAATGGCAGTTGGATCCTGGGTCTGATGCAAGCAAGCAGGCACAGAATCTGAATGGGAACTGGATGGTTTGCAAGTACGGTGCACCGCGATAGAAAGGTGGCGCTGGTTTCGGAAGACTCGATGCGAGGAATGAATGAAATGGAAACGCCTCCTCCCCTAATTTTTTCTTTGCAGCATCATTTGTGCCTTCTCTGCGACGTCTTAATCCTGCCAGGCCTTGTTCTGAAATGTGTCTGACAGACCATAACGAACCCAGCCCCGTTCCGATGCTAGCCAAGCAACCCCAACCATGCACACAAAACAAGACGAAAAGTCCCTCGTAGCACCCAGACTTGAGGAGATGGGTGCGTACGTGGTAGAACGAAGGGCCTCGCGTGCAGTTGATCCAAGTCCAAGTCCAGATCCACGAAGAAGCAGAAGAAGAATAGTAACAATAACAATAATAAAAATTGTCACAATCCACCCAAAGAAGCAGTATCACAGCCCAAGAACGGAAAGCTCAAGGAAAGACATTCCTTCACTCCCGCAAAATCCGACCAAGTCCCAACTCCTCAGTCCGGAGACGCCCTCCGTACAAGCTCACCTACTTATAACAGTAGCACAACGATCCAATCCAGTAGAAACCGGCCATGCAAAGCTCCTTCCCTTCTTCCCAGTGCCGCTAGCCAGATGAACAACCGGCAGGCAGGCAGGCAGGCAGGCAGGTAGGCAGGCAGGTAATAACAGTTAGTTACGTAGTACTGTATGTAGCCCGATCGAAGACGGATCTAGATTTTTCCCACGGGGGTGAGAAGAGGGACACAAGGTCTGCAGACTAGAGCCAGAGCTGAAGGGTGTGTGTACTGAAGAAAGGGTGAGGATAAGGAGATATCCATGGTAGGGTAGTAGGTAATAAGATAAGAAAAAAGATAGCAAGCAAGTTGCGCCTCGGGAACAATGTGCCTGCCAGAACCAAACACAAAGAGCAGAGCCCTTCAGCTTCGCAGTTGACATCTAAGAGCGTGCCCTAATGGATCCTCGCACAAGATCCAATTAGAAAGTGGACCAGATCATTGCCCACGTGGGCAAGATAAGACCGAAGAAAAGCACCAGTCTCGTGGGTCACTCTGATAACAACAAGGGCTAATTTGACAGTATTTACATTTTGTTCTTGATATCCACACAGTTCATACAAGGTCTTCAGCCCGTCATTAAAACCGACCTCTTTCTCTCTCTCTATCCTTCCCCTCCCTTTGCAAGTAATTTACAGAACAATCTTTCCAAGCCTAAGGTTAAACGCACCAACATCCACTTTCACTTCAAACTCCATGTCCTTCTTCAGAAGCGCCATATATTTCTCCGAAATGGGAGCCAGTTTGGTGGGAGACAGTTTGGGGGGTTTGTTCAAAGTGCTCTTCTTGGTGGGAGACAATGCCTCAACCACCTTCGACGGCTCGCTGGCCGGCTCACTCAATCCATCATCCGCATCAGACTTGCGGAGAGCTCTGAGGGCCTTCTGGCAATGCTCGCACTTTCCCTCGAACGATGCCATCCAATAGTCGACCTGCTTTTTATGGGCGTCATCCTCCGCCTTCCGCTTCTGGGCCCACCCTGGACCGCACATCTCCTTCAAATCGAGCTTTGATCTCTTTACGATGTCGTTATGAGGGGAGTTCTCAAGCTCAGTGGTGTGGTCGGCAATCATCTTCAACTTTTTAGGAATCTCAGCGAAACCACTGCAGACCGTGCGTAGAACCGATGGAGCTGGGCATGTCTCATGCAAATGATCAAGCCCAGGGGTATTGAGCCTCTCACTGTAAGGATTTTGAGCGAAGGTTCCTGACGGTTCGAGTCCAGCATTCTTGGCAGCTGTAATGTCGGCGTCGTCGAGGTCTGTGATCGTTTGCAGCTTCATTAGCAAATATTTTCTCTCAAGAGATCTATCTTCGCAGTAATCAAACTTGCGCCCCATCCAGAACTTGTCCGGGCGGCCTGCCTCAAGGAGAAACCATCTGTTCGTCAACTTGAGAAGGTACTTCTTCTCAGACAGTAGGGCGCCTCCATTGCGAGCATCGTTCTGTGAGACAAACATGAGGGCTCTCTTGTAGAGGACGGAGAAGAGATCGAATGCGACATCCTCGTCCCACTCAATCTCTTTCCACTTCTCCCTAACTCTCTCTGCGTCCGCGAGGCCGGTCAACGCGAGTTCCGGGGAACGGTAGTGGAGTGTTGCCCGATCATCCATCTCCGGAATTCTGAAGCTTGGATCTCGCATACTCAGCGGGGCGTCTACCATCTCAACATCCCGAAGGGTCTGGGAGTAGTAGGGAGAGAAGGTGTAGCCAAACGGATTATTCTTCTTCTCCCGAAAGTTCTGGGATTTTCCCATGGGGGTGGAAGGGGCATCACAGTTAGAGAATAACTGGGTGGAGAAAGAAACGAAATCAAGCGCCTTGAGAAACTTAGGAGACTGGTTGCAATTACTTTCCACAGTGACCTCCCCTGCAATGGCTGCACGAGCGAGATCTTCCATGACGCTGTTCTCGAAATCTTCGTCGGCTTCTTTTTGACGCTCCTCTTCAGTCTCAGGAGAGCCAGGAACAGTGAAGGTCCTCGTGGGCTTATGCGGATAGCTTTGATCGTAGAGCTCCTTATCCAAAGCCTCCTGAGCCCTCTGCTCTAGCCAGACGCGATGATGCTCATCTTGAATTTTGATAAGCTGTTCCTCTGACAGTAGGCCGGAAAAGTCGAGCTTGGGGTCAACCAACACCGGAGGGATTGGTAGGCCTCTGGTCATCATTCTCTTGTCCCTGTTAGAACGATTGGTTTGGAAGTTGCGCTTCTTGCCGTTGGCCTTGCCCTGGGCCTTACGGGACCCACGTGGGGCTGACGTCGAAGGCAATGGTGGCATGATATGCGACTTGTCGAAATTGAATTCTGCAGTTGGGGCATCAGTGACAATAGGGGTTGCAAGCTCCGCGAGCTTTCCAAAGATTTTGAAAGGAGTGGCGAGAAGACTCTTCGCACTCGACGTCCAACCAGCCTGGCGGCTATCTTGTGTAAGCTTTGGAGTAGCAACATCTGGTAGAACTCCGGAGGGTGTGGTAAGATGTGTAACTTCTCTTTCTTCCTCAGATTCTGATATCGGCATCTCATCATGACCATGCTCTGACATCCGGGCATCACCATCTCCTTGTGCGGAGACGTTACCACTTACTGGGGTCAGCGCACGACCATTCTCAGACATGGACGAATCGCTGTCACTGCTGTCAGGAACAGCAAAGGTACTGGAGAATCCGACGGACGGAGCAAATGGCTGCTGAGGAGCTTGATCCGGAGAAGCGGGGGCGGATCCAACAGTTGCAGAACGGAATCTAAGAGTAGCCGGTGCTGGAGAAGCCAAAGAATGGCCGTCATCCGAAGCAAGGGCTTGCTTTTTGGACTCAACGTTCTGCTTGAGGAAGGCCTCGAATTTATGACGAGGGGGTAGTTGGTTCTCTGACAGATGGGTTAGGAATGTAAACAGGTATGCTCTCTGATTTTCATTCGTCACTGTGAAGGCTTGGTCTCTTCCAGAAGAATCTCGAACTTGAATGCGACCTAAAAGAGATGGGGACAAGGTCATACTTTGTTGTGCAGCTACGCGGCTGTGCTCGCGGATTGCCTGACTCGAGGTTAGCAAGATCAAGAGGCTGAATAGTGCATGGGCTACCGTACCTGCTCGACTTCCTCCTGGACTCTCTCTTGAACTTTTCTCTCCACGTCGCGTTGGTGAACGAGAGTCGTGGGCTTGCCTTCAAGAAAATTATGAACCTCCGTGAAGTATACCGCAGTCTGCTTCACCTCTTGACCAAGCGCATATCGCTCCTTTCTTGACAATGGTTGTTTTGGTTTGGGAGCATCCTGGAGGTCGTCATCAGACAAGAGTGACTCGTCGTAGTCCTGCACAGTATGATAGCGAAAGCTATCGCGATTTCGGGGTATCTGCGACAAAAGGCTGCCAATAGATCTCTTCGCAACCTTGACCTCTCTCTTTTTCAAATCATGAATGACCGGCTTCGGAGTTGGTTGCAATGCCTCCTCCTCAGTGTGTGCCCCGCCTTGTGCCTCAGCTTGTGTCTCACCGCGAACTCGCTTTGCTGGGCGTTGTACGTCTTCGTGACCAGGGTTTGACCGATCAAAACTCGCAGCGCGGCGCTTTCCGTTGTAGCTCTTCGGTGTATAAAATCGGTCCCCCGAGCCTTGGACAGTGGAAGAAGCGGATGGGGTGTGCGAAGCCGAAGCTGCGTTTTTGGGAGCCGTAATGGCTTGGGCTGGGGTAGGACGAGATGAAGAGGACTCGATCTGGGCTTCGGCACCTTGTACAGTAGAAGGACCCGAGGGAGTCGAAGCTGCAACCCGGACAGTTGCAGGGGTCACTCGGGGTGAAGTGAGGTATGGGGAGAGTTTCTCGTTGTGTCCAGTGCCTTGGTGAGCGGACGGAGTTCGAATTCGAGATGGGGATTGAGGTGTAGGTGGGGGTGGTGATGGGCCGCGAGCTGCGGGCTTTGCCTTGGGCTTCCGAGCCTTGCGGATGATCTTCTCTGGATCACCAGACTGGAGTGGACTGGTGGTCGGATTGCCTCGAGTGCCTTGACGGCGCGACGCGGCGGCGGGCTTCCGTGCAGGTGCGGCCTTTGTTGGGACGCGTGTCTTCTTGTCGTTATTGACCATGGTGGCGGTTGCTACCAGGCCGGAGTGTTTGTTGGATTTGATATTGCGAGAAGGCAAGTGCGATGGTTTTGATCATCAAGAAGTTGAGATCGAAGTTGCGAGTTGCGAGTTGCGAGTTGAATTTAGAGTTCGCGTTGAGGTCTGTGTGTGGGTTTTTCATCATACCGCCTACGCTAGTCGTGTTTCGGGACTAGTGCGGCAGCTAAATCACGTGATCGGCCGATCTTGGCTGCCGAGCGAAAGAGAGGGATCTTGGAAGTGGAATAGATCTAGACATATATATATTTATATATAGTATATATAGTATTGGTCATCAACAGGTCAAGGTCGAGCTTTCGGGTTGAAATTGTATGCAACTTTTCTTTCTGCACTGATCCAGATCGCAATTCTCGCACTTCTTTTTATATGTAGCTACAAACTCTCAGCTTCTTCGCACTCTTCTCCTTGCCCTGCTCTTTGTCTTCCCAGCCCCATTCGGTGTAGGTTATCGCAAGCACATTACACATGACGCCCTAACAGCCTTCCTCCCAAACGTATATCACACGCAAAAAAGAATTACCCCATTTCCACCCTAATATTTTACCACACATAACTCTTCCACCTACTGGTGTGTAGGACTCGGCAACTCAGACTGAAACCCATGAGGCGGCCCAGGCATCTGCTGCGTCTGAGGTGGTGGTGAATATGCCGGCTGCACATATTGTTGATGTTGTGGTGGCGGAACGTAAGCCTGCTGCTGCTGCTGCTGCTCCTGCTGTTTTACAGAAGCAAACTGCTGTTGCGGTTGCTGAGGAGCAGACATCGGGTACGCTTCACTTTGTTTCTGAGGAGCGTGAGCCACGATAGTGGAATCTGAACGACCCTTGACCAAAGTTATAACTGCGTAGGCGAGGGTCGCAATGAACAACAACCTGATGAGAGGTTAGTCGCCGAATTTAAATCAGAGGAAGAGGGGGGCGGGGGGAGAATGCACATCATCAATCCACTAAGTCCAGCGATGGCGCTCATGGCTCTCAGTCCCGTCTTTGTGGCAACAGCACCGTCTCTCTTCTCCAGCTCCCTCTTGCCTACAACGCACGTCGAGCTATCGATGCTGCTTCCGTCGTCGTAGCAGCCGTACACCGTGACGTTGTACTTGAACTTCGACCTCAGATGTGCAGTCGCCGCCATCGCCGCCAGCCAAAAGATGGCCATTACGGCATTGACCATAGTCAGAATGACAGCGTGGTTGAGCGCTGCCAGGAAAGGCAGGTATGCTGCCATGAAAAGGCAGACGACGACAATCCACGTCAAAATCACCTAAGAACCTCCAGTTAGTCGGCACGCTACGATGAGCAGAGGGAGGGATAAATACTAACGCAGAATATATCGTAGCCGATCTCGTTAAAGTATTTCCCATGTATGAGCCATCCCGAGAGCCCGATAATGGCGAGAGAGAGGAGCACTTGAACCCCGTGAACAATAGGAACCCATATCGGCTGTCGGGTCGTCCTGGCCCTCTCAATGACGGCCTCCATGGCAAGGTACTCAAGAGACCGTGAAAAGTTTCTTTCGAAAGTACCAGGGAGATCCAAGAAGTAGAACAATCAGAGGCGAAACAAGCACGCTCAGACGGACACGTCTTGCCAGAGATCAGGTAACAAATATCAAAAAGAATCACTTCCCCAAATTCGCGGGGGATGACCTCCTAGATATACATTCCCCCCCATCTCTCACCCGTCACCATGTCTCTCGACCCGAGCAACACACCGACCAGACAAGCACAAAAATCCCAAGCCACGTGTAACCAACACCCGTCCATCTTCAGCCGCACCGTCTCAATCCAGCCGCCCTGCACCCAACGAAAAGCCCGCAAAATAGCCACCCCCCTAAAAGCAAAGGAGGATATCGAAATTCTTGGCACGGGGTACTTTTGAACAACAATACGGGACAAAGGTCGCAGAAAGCCGAATCCTGGGATCGCCAAAGGCTCCTTCGCATCACCGTATACGAAATGGCTCGTGCGAACAACGAACGGCTGCTTGACCGCCTGGCCAGGCCAACTCACCTATACCTCCACTACGCTGAGACCCGGCTTCACCTGACGGGGATTTGTGTTGATGGATATGTTGTTGTTGTCGTCTATCAGTTAGTTGTTGGAAGCGTGGATGACGAGCGGAAATGCCAAGGACCAGTTCCGAAATATTGCTTCGCTAGACCCTTGGTTTCTTGCAAGGCTGAGGATCGTTCGCCAGAGATTGACAGCGCGTAGTGAGAGGTGAAACCGGATGGAGAGATATGGTTGCTCGTGATACATAGTTTATGTGCTGGGATTTCGTGTGCGAGATGTGATGCTGCTGAAATAAGATGCACTATTCTTCAAAACAGCCTTCAAACATGAAAGTAAAATGGCTTTGTATTTCGGAAAGTTTGTATAGCGTTCAAAAACCCATCATTGTTGATTGATCACGTTCCCTCTCCCCTTCCCATACCTAGGTATGCACCTAAAAGTATAGATACGAGCAATTGGCGATGCTTCCTGATCCGTAGTCCTGTTAAGAATACAACCACCCAAACTCCTTGGGATATCAATATCATTCCTCACCAAAGCTCACATGTAGGCTTCTTATCCATACATTTGAAACTGTCCTTGAAGTCCCTCGAGTTTGCCATCGTTCCCAGAATTCTTGCCCACTTAGGAGCATGAGGATCCGTATAGATGCGGTTGATAGCCGTCTCCTTTCTGCTCTTCCCGCACCACCAATTGGCATAGCTGACGAAGAAGAGTTGTTCTTGGGAGAAGAAATCCAGGCCCGGGAGATCTTGGTTGGGGGTTTCTGCTCGGCGCTTCTGCCACGCACCGAAAGCGGCTGTGATGCCTCCAGCGTCGGCAATGTTCTCACCAAGAGTGAGTTTTCCATTGACGTGCAATCGTCTTTCATCAGGACCTGGAACGGTGTACTTATGATACTGGTCAATGAAGCATTCTGCGCGCGTTTCAAACCCCTCAACTGTGTTATTAGTCCACCAGTCTGTGTAGTTTCCGTTCTGGTCATAGTGACGGCCTGTGGAGTCGAAAGCGTGGGAGAGCTCGTGTCCGGAGACGGAGCCAAACGCACCATAGCTCACATACTGTGGGATCGATGCATCAAAAACGGGAAACTGCATGATACCGGCAGGAAAGACAATCTCGTTCCCGGGTGGGTTATAGTAAGCATTGACCGTTGGGACAGTCATTCCCCACTCATCACGGTCAACTGGCTTTCCCAGGCTGGACCATTCGTGGGCGACTTGGAAACGGCTCATAGAAAGAGCGTTCTGGAAGAATGTAGTCGGCGTGATGTTGATCGTTTGGTAGTAAGTATGTAAAGCTGAAGGATCCATGATTTCTGGGCTCTACAGATGGTCAGTACCAAGCCACCTTTTCAAGATACAAAACGTACCTTCGTCGGGTAGCCGATTTTTTGAACGATTTTGTGGACCTTCTCGATCGCCAGATCAATGACGCTCTTGTCCATCCAATCCGTCTTCCTGAGCTTTTCAATGAAAGTCTCTTTAATGTCAGACACGATTTGGTCACCAAGCTTCTTTGCCTTCTCTGAGAATGCTTTCTCTACGAAGAATCGGCTCAGAATCCAACCAAGTCCATCATCAACATGTCCAACGCAGGTCCTCCAACGATCTTGGGTGGAATCGGCGTCCTGTAGATGTTAGCGACACTGTAGAGAATCACTAGACCTTGAACTAGTACCTTGCCTTGAAGCTCATTCACAAATTTCGTGTAAGGGAGAAGTGCCTCTGATTCGACCATCGAAGAAAATGCCTGAATTGCTTTCCACATGAAATATGTCTGCAAGACCTCTTTGGAAGAGCTCGACAGGATTTTTGTAAGGTTCTTCTGATAGGAAGGTGAAGCTACGATGATACGGTTTGTTTTGACATCGGCTGGTTCGAGCTCCTTGACAATCATCGCTAAATGAATCTGTGGAGTAAGTGCGTCTGCGTCTTTAATAGACATCGGGTTGTAGTATTTCTGAGAAAATTAGCTCTGGTGTCACTCTTGAGAGGATATTGCCGGCTTACTGTAACATCAACGGCGTCCTCTGCATCTGGAGATGCTGCTGCCAATTTCTTCTCGAATTCCACAATTTCATGGGCAAATTCCTGGCTATGACCTATCGACGCGATTTTGCCATAACCACTGGATTTTATCAATTGGGCATGAAGTGTTACATTTTCATGGGAATGGTCAGGATGAAGCATGGCCAGAACCTCCGCAATGACATCCTCGTACTTCTGAATCACAGCTGTATCGCTATACAGCTCCTTTGCAGGGAGACCAATTTTCCAGGGAGGTGATGCCTGGACAGCGACAGAATCCGGATTCTTATCATCCGCGCCAGCGCCGAACGAAAGCAGTGCCGGGATACCTAATTTCGTAAGATATGTCATCGTGGTGCCCAAATCCTTGCTATCCTCGGCACTGATGGGGGTTCTTCTGCGGAGTGCTGACTCCGTGGAAGGATAGAGATCTGCGACTTGGTGAAGAATCTCCTGTAATGGCTTCGGCCCCACATTCTTGATTGTGTCTTCGTCCATGCATGCATCATACGCGGCTTTCAATTTGCCGAAGTTCTGCTGGTCGACTGAGGAGAGGGTAGTAAGTAGCTGCGCAGGGGAGAAGCTCGAATGCTGCATGGTGGCGTTAGCATTTATCCTGCTCTGCTATCTCAAGTCTACACACCTTCGATTCCTCTGGGTAGGGCGCCTCTAAAATGTGCCTCAGTAGCATTTGAGAGTTCTCCTGCATGATAGTACCAGTAAAGGCATCTCCTTGATCTGGTCTAAGATCATGACGGTCGCCCCATCCTCCACATACCAGGTCCTCAAAGTTATCACAGGGGTCTATATCCTTGTAGTCGGGCGATAGGTTGTAGAGGATTTCAGAGGAAGCATGAATGCATGCAGGAGTTACGCAGACCGAGGATTTGGAGGGCGTTTTCTTGGAGCGATAGGCTAGGAAGAAGTATAAGCGGGGTTCCAGCCTTTGAAGAATACGAGCCCAGAAATCGGTGCTCACTTCCAAAGAAGACGCATAGAACAATGATAATAGCCAAAAGCAACAGGCTCATGAATATGACAACGGCATGGCGAGCCAACCATCGGGCTGCCTTCTTGGGGCGGGCATCGTCGGCTTTCGAGTTTGTGTTGAAATTTGAAAGCAGCGGGACTCGCTCGTCAGCGTCCGGACCTGTGTTGAGCAGCGTCAGTAAGTATAGTCTGGAAGCAGTTGATACGAATTGGGGATACCAAACATGAAGACTGGTGATCGTACCTCGAGCCATCTTGTCCTGCTGCACCAGTATCGTATAGTCAGCTGCTAGGAGCCAGCTAATACGGTAGCAGGTGCAAGCTCCTAGTGAATCTGGAAACTCGAAGCTTGCGTGCGGATACCAGGCAAAGGAAGCACGGATTAGCAAATTGGGCCGCAGTTCGGGTTGTCTGACAGACGAGCAGTTGTTCCTGGATCCAGTCCCAGGCTTTCACCAGCACTTCTATATCTGCCAAAAGCCGAGCCAAGAAACGAAATGGCTCTGTCCAAACTGTGTTGCTGGTGGGATGGGGAGGGCGACTGCGAGGATGATTGAGGTTGAGCTTAGACTATGGATAAGCTAGCACGACAGACTGCGGAGAAGCTTCTTTCCTCTCTGGGTTGCAATGCCGACTCGTTCTCGTATCGACTCGTAGCTACAGAGTACCGGTACAACTAACTACATTACTCTCCGCACACCTACGGGACTAACTACCTAAGTACAATTAATACCGTACGTACTACCTACCGGTATAGGTACATTGACTTCGAAGTTCGCGTGCTGAAAACAAATCACGTGGGTAATCCTCCGGCCCATGCGGGCTCAGGCATCGAGAAGCAAGTGAAACCTTAAGCTCCATGCAGCAGCGTCATTGACGTCATAGGAGCCAGGGGACCGGACCAGCCACTCTATTGTACAGTATAAGACGAGCCCGCTGTCAACTTTCCCGCCTGGTTGCGTGCGATAGCCTTGATCAGGACTGACCTGCTACTATGTGAAAAGCATGATTCATATCCTCAATCCGTATTATCTGAAGCAATTGAAATATCAAATCGAGGAGTCGCGCATCCTGTAGTCGAGGAGAGATTGATATCCTTGCAGTATTTATTGCCTTTGACATGGTACATGGTAGGTGCAAGGATTTGTACGTGAGTGATATACGGTACGGAACGGAGTACACGATACTGTACCGGTACCTAAATAGATATACTGCAGCCGTGGAATAGCCTCAACAGCGGGTCATCGATCGCTCCCCGTGACACGAAGACATTCAGCTGTTTGTATAATCGGTGAATATCACCACCGGTCGCATGGCTGGCGCATACAGTAGAAGGGAGGTGGAGGAGACCTGAGAGGAGGTAAGGTGGTGAATATTATCAGATAGAAGAGAATAGAATAATTGATTACCTATATTGGCGCAACGTCTGGCTGGCTCTTTTGACGGCCCTCTTTTCTTCCCCCACTCGTGCATCCACTTTAAAGCATTCGATCTTCTTGACACCCCTTCCTTGCCCTACAATAATACAACAAAATACAACAGAACACATCCTCGATCCTCACATTCGCCCATAAGCGTCAGTGCTTTGTTGTTTTCACCGGCTTTTGCGACCAACGTCGACTAGGTTACTTTGGTCCCCTCCATGCACTGCTGAACAAGTGAATGTTCCTGCTCTTGTATTCCAGCAGATAGGCGACGCTACGTCATTCCTCAGTACCCACCGCCTGCTTTCTTTCCGACCGACTTTACCTCGCCTCCTCTGTGCTCGCCGCGCTTCGCTCGCAGAAATCGATCAATACCACAATACCACAATACCACAAGACCACAAGACCACCGCCGCCTTTTCATATGACGTGCCGGAGACTAGCGATAACGAGCCCTTCATCCTGCGACTACAGCACTGCGCCGCTGTTATCCTGGAGTAGCAACAGGTCCTCGAGTTTGCAGGGGGCGCTTTTAGAGGCAACGGGATGCTACCCTCAAATTCTCCTCTCGCAAAACACTCCCTTTCGCACACCCGCCGTCCAAGCAACTCACGAACTTCTAAAAGCGATAAATCCGCGACAAAGCCTGCGAAGCATGGAATAAAACAAGGTGCCTCTTCTCTGTCCAAGAGCCAGGACTCGATGTCCGATCTGCATTCTGGTGCAGAGGCACCTTCACAAGACTCCAGTGATACGGATACAGCGCATAGCTATGACAGCAAGGAATCGGACAGGCCAAAAGCAGCATCATTGGATGGACGGCGTCTATCTAAAGCGGATTTGAAAATTCAAGACAGGATCGAAATAATCAAAGGAAGCGAGAAAAAGGCTAGACATGGCAAATTTGAACTTCCTACGAACACTACAGCGGAGGAAGTCGAAAGGCTAAGAGCGGCTATGAGCGCGCAACTGCAGCTCAATCAGCATCGTGACAGACTGGCAAGACAATTAGGAGGCGCTACGGGAGAGAAGGAGACTGCTGGGACTATCACTCCAACTGGGAAGTCAAGAGTTTCTCCTATTCACGAAGAGACCATATCTCCATCCTTAGAAGAAGCCTTTGCGACTCCTATAAATGCTGGTTTGGAAACAACATCAACAGAATCAGCCAGGACTATCCGAGGTGGAATCACGCCCGGGCTTATGGCAGCTAGAACACCTTCATATCCTTTCCCGCCCATGCGAACTCCAGGACAGTTGAGCTTTAATGGACATAAACCGTTCACAGCTTTGTCCCCTACAGTAAACCCCTCGAACTATGCAGGTGGCTCCTTCAACTCTGGCTTACAGGACCGAGTTCTATCTGGCTCAAGTACTCCGGCTTCCACGATGAGATTTCAGCCTACAGAAACGTCTGAATCGCAAGGGGATCCTAACTTCGAAGCGCCTAATCTCTACGATCTGAGTCTCATGCTATCTTCTGAGCCTGGCCTTGATCCGTGGTGGACGACGGTTGTTGAGATCATGAGGAGCATCTATCACGCGCACAGAGTGACTCTATCTGTACCGGCTGATCCCACCGATGTCGAGAATGTTCCTTGGGGGCAGAAAGCAACATTTAATGCTGTGGGGGAAGACGAGTTAAGCCTCGCATATCTGCCACGGGGAAGCAGCCTAGTTCCCAGCAGTGGTGATACTAACGATACCTCAAATTCAGAAGATACAAATCAGATGGAAGAGGCTTCGCCTATATACGGCAGTCCATTGCGGCCCGGGCTTCAGAGTAGACATTCCTTTACGGCGTATGAAGATACTAAACGGGATCCGATTTCGACATCCTTGGTGGCCAGAGCAGCAAGGCCCAGTCCGTTGACCAGAGCAAAAAGTTACCTCTCTGCACGTCCAGACCTCCCACCTCGAACTGCGACTCTCCAAAATGCAGAGCTTAGCCTTCAATCTCTCCAAGAACATATGGCTTTTGAAGACGCAAAACGTCAGACAACGGAATGGGAGAATCGGACAGGCGCAGAAAGAGATGTCAAAGGCAGAATTTTCTCGGTCCTACAAGCCTTGGATTACGAAGCTGAATCTCTTATTGATAATAGAGGTGTTTCTCGGGTGGTGGAGCGTGGGAAAGTCATCGCACTCACTCGTGACTATCCATACGTGGAGACTTCCAAGGATGAGAAAAGTGGCAGCAGCAAATCATCAAATCCAGGTAATAGATCCAAAGGCGTACCTATTGATGAACAAAAAACCCCTCAGATGCCAGATATAGGCTCACGGGTCTCCTCGTTCTTTGGCGGTAGATTAAGAAAATCAAGCAGCCCACGTACTTTAAGCGAGAAAGGAAAAGGTTTCTCGATGAGGGCAGTTGAAGATGTAGAGGGTCAAGCTTTCCCGAGATACGAGGAGTACGAACAGGCTCCACCTTCACCGTGGTCTCAATCGCCAGCGCCATCTCCAGCGGTGAGAGTGGAAACCTCCGACAACCCATTCTTTGCAAACATCCCGATCGATGAAGAGACATTCAATCCTCAGCCTGCGCCTGCTGATTACGCCGACTTACCTCCACCTCAAACAATCGGCAATGATCGATCCTGGACGGTGCTCCATGTGCCTTTGATTCATCCATTGCTGTCAAAGCCGGTCCAATCGTTTCGTCTGGATGCTGCTGCTATGGAGTTCAAATCTGCTGGTCGTGGGAGAGGCAACGACAATAATGCAAAGGATGGAGAGGAGAGAGTCAAAGCCAGGGATTCGATCAAAGAGAAGCAAACGCCGATTGCGATTCTCTCCATTCTGACCCCAGTGATTCCATATCCTTCCACCTTGAGACGTTCTCTTGAGCATCTGGCCCCTCATCTTGCTACCTCATTTTCGCTGTGCCGGCATTTTACGAACCTAGAGACGGAGGTCTCAGGCTTATCTCGAAAGCGTCCTCAGACTGCAGGATTCGGCGCCGTTGCCGGTGGCCGTGTTCCCGAGGACAGACTGAGAGGAATTCACCCAGCATACTGGCCTACTGAGGAGAACGCATCCCAACGGTCTGCTGCCGATAGTATCACGAGTCCAAGCGACTACTCAGGCGTTTCGAGAAGTACGGCTGGCTCTCCTGCTGGTACGCCTGGATGGGACCCTGGCAGTGTGGGACTCTCTTTGGATAAGAGATCGAGCGGCGGGAGCCCAGTTTTCGCTCCGGGGGAAGGCTACTTCAGTAACAGAACTCGGCCAGGTGTTGGAAGAGTTGATACTGGCTCAGCCAGTTGTATCACCGGTGCCCGTCAGTCATCCAAGGAATCTTCACCAGCCGATACGAGATCTCAACGGTTGCCTCGCACTTCTGAGGAGAGGTCAAGAGATCCCGAGACTCCAACATGCGACTACGGTGATGGGAGCCCAAAGGACAAACACAAGCAGGATGAAAGCTCCTCCACTGACACTACCGAGAACCGAGATGTCAGCCCTTCGAGACAGGTTCAAGATACGCAAATTTCTCCTCGCCGGCTTGCCATGCGTACAGCTTCCAACCAATGGCCCGGAAGATCTGAAAGACAGCACACTCAGCTACACTCATACGGAGCAGATTTTGGCGCTACCTTTCAGTCACTGCCCGCAACTACCCCATCTACGAAAGGCCCTTCGACTGCAAAGGCGCAATTACAGCCAGTAACCTCTTCAGTAGCCCCTGAATATATGCCACCGCCATCAGATCGCGTCAAGGGCATTATGCTCGACTCTTTGCCCATGCACATCTTCATCGCTCTGCCCCCGACAGGAGAAATGGTTTGGGTTAACAGCCGCTACCTCACATACAGAGGACAGAGTGTCAAGGATCTTCACGAAGACCCATGGGCCAGCATTCATCCTGCAGAACGTGAAGAGTATCTGAGAGCTTGGAGTCATGCGATTCGGAGTGGCGAACAATTTTCTATGCAGGTGCGACTGCGGAGATTTGATGGTGCGTATCGCTGGTTCTACACCCGGGCCGTTGGCCTTCGAGATAGTCGTGGGGTCATTGTTCAGTGGTATGGCACGCACATGGATATTCATGATCAGCACATTGCCGAAGTAAAGGCCGCTAGACAGGAGGAGATAGAGGCGTCGGAGGCTAAGCACCGACTTCTCGCAAATCTTATTCCCCAAATCATTTTCTCGGCAACAGAAGACCAAGGAGTAACGTTCGCGAACCAACAGTGGCTTTCGTACACAGGTCAAGACTTCGAGGATGCTATGGGACTAGGGTTCATGGATTTCGTGCATCCAGATGATCTAGCGAGATGCCATATTCCGACCAGCTTCTCTCCCATACCTTCAGGTAAGCTCTTTTCCTTTGCTGAAAGTTGTCGCCACGAGTCAATGGCCTTCGCCCCACTTAGCTTCGACGTATGCTGATTTGTACCGAGTAGTTCACGTGCCCAGAAAACCATCGGCGCCCAGCCGAAATCCTTCCCAAGCTTCCTCTGGGGGTATATCGAGCAAATCTGTTGTTTCTGAAGCCCCAACTGAGCGGACCATCAAGGGTGTCCACCAATCTCTGTCTAGGACCAATAGTTCGAGCGGTGGTTCAATTTATGAGTTTCCGAGTAGTGACCTATCCGAGCTGATGAAAGCTGGTGTGATCAAGGTGGAGGTAGACGGCAATGGTCGGACTTCTTATAGCACCGAAGTGCGGCTCAGATCCAAGTGTGGAGAGTATCGATGGCATCTTGTCCGTTGCGTCGAAATCGACAACATCAATCTCGGAATTGGCAACGGCTCCTGGTTCGGCGCCTGTGCAGACATTAACGATCATAAGCTGCTGGAGATGAAACTTAAGGATGCCATGGAGTCGAAGAGCAAGTTCCTGAGCAACATGTCTCATGAAATTCGAACTCCTCTCATCGGTATCTCCGGAATGATCACATTCTTACAGGATAGTCAATTGGACGATGATCAAATTGATTTCTGCAACACAATCGCCTCCAGTGCCGAAGGACTCCTAAATATCATCAACGATATCCTTGACCTCGCGAAAGCTGACGCCGGTATGATGAAGCTCCAGTACGATTGGTTTCATACCCGCTCTCTGGTCGAAGAGGTTAACGAGATGGTTTCAACCATCGCTATGACCAAGCACCTTGAGGTCAACTACGTGGTTGATCCAGAAGTGCCAGACATGGTCAAAGGCGATAGATTTAGAGTCCGACAAGTCCTTCTAAACGTCATCGGTAACGCTATCAAGTTTACGGATGCTGGGGAGGTTTTCAGCCGATGTACGGTGTTGAAGGAGCAGTCGGCAAATGCGGCAGAAAATGAAATCATCCTCGAGTTTTCCATCATTGATACCGGCCGTGGCTTCACGCAAGAAGAGGCGGAGAAGATATTCAAGCCTTTCAGCCAAATTGATGCAAGCAGCACACGCACACAGGGAGGAACTGGCTTAGGTCTTGTCATTTCCAGACAACTTGTCGAACTCCATGGTGGTATGATGGAAGGCACTGCCACCCCAGGCAAAGGCGCAACTTTCACCTTCTCGATCAAGTTTCAATTGCCTACCGCTGAGGACCATCCTCCGCCTTCCGAAATCCACACACCAAGCACTGTCCCATCGACCAGAGCATCGCTTAGATCTTTGGTGTCATATGACACGACGGCACGTGCTATCCAGCAGGCAGGCGGAAACCCTATTCTGGCCGGCAGATTATTTAGCTCCTCGCCAACAGCAGAAAGGTATGATTAAGCCCCATGAAGCTTTAAAGGGTCTATCTTTTCTTGGAACCCACATTCCACAAAGAATTTGGCTAACATTAATGCACAGTCCACGTACTGAATCCTCGAGCACCGGCTCTCAAGGGGTCAGATCGTCGAGTAGTTCTGCTCCATCATTTCACTCGACTAGATCGCAGATTACGCATCGTTCTTCAAGCTCTTCCCTGCCCCCAGCTTTGGCGAGTTTTGAAGAAGCAGCTCGAGTAATCGCGACGGATCCTTTGAGCATGAAGTTGGAGCTTCCAGACCGTGTTTCGCCGACCTCGGTTACAGAACAGCTATACTCGACATCACCAAATGCCACGCCTACTCCAACAGGACAATTCAGTCCGCCTAATTATGCCCTCGACGCTAAGCTTGATGTTGAAATGAAGCAATTCCGTCCGCCCATGTATTCGATTCTGCTCATCTGCCCTCAGGAGCACAGCCGGGAAGCTACAACTCAACACATCGAGATGACGTTGCCCAAAGATGTCCCACACAAGATTACCGGCTTGGCAAGCGTGGATGAAGCTCGTACAATGATTGCTGGAGAGAATCCTATCATCTTCACTCACATCGTCTTGAACCTGGGCGTAAGCGACGATATTGTTGTTTTGGTTGATCAGATTATGGGCTCGATTTATATGCCTTCGACATCGGTATGTGTCTCTCCGCGATCCTGGCCACAAGTATTATTGGACACCTTCATGAGCATTACTGACCTTTGTTTGATAGATCGTTGTTCTTTCTGATCCTGTCCAACGACAAGAGGTGATGAAGATGGCGACCGACTACAATTATGAGCAACTTGCAAAGGACAATCGTCTTACATTCATCTACAAGCCGGTCAAGCCGTCCAAATTTGCAGTAATATTTGATCCAGACAAGGAAAGAGATCTCAGCACAGACCGAAACCGGTTCCAATCTCAGCAACAAGTAGCTCGCAGCAGACAGAACTACTCTGATATTCGAGAGCGAGTGGGTGACAGGGGTTATCTTGCCCTGCTAGTGGAAGACAACTTAACAAACCAGAAGGTCCTACGCAAGTTCCTGGACAAGATTGGTATTCGGGTTGAGGTAGCCTTAGACGGTGTCGAGTGTACAGACAAAGTCTTTTCAAAGCCCCATGGCTTCTACTCTTTGATTCTGGTAAGTCAACCGACCCCAATGCGATCTTCTCAACAGCACCTAATTTCTTCCACACAGTGCGATCTCCATATGCCGAACAAAGACGGCTATCAGACCTGCCGCGAAATCCGGGCTTGGGAGCGCAAGGAAAAGCATGCACGGATGCCCATACTCGCCCTCTCCGCCAACGTCATGGCAGAGGTCAAACCCCAGTGCGATGCCGCCGGCTTCGACGAATATATCACCAAGCCGGTTGATTTCAAGAGCCTCAGCACAGCCATGATCAACCTGCTGGACCCTGAGGATCCCAAAGCTGCGGCTAGGGTCTTGAAGGGCTTCACGTAACCCTTTTTTTTTTAATCTTCTGGATTCTTGCTTGCGCACTTGCATATTGAGTTTTCACGGCGTTGGTTTGGGGGTTAGCCTGAAAGCGCAATCTAAGATTCCCTTCTTGTAATTGAAAGTAGGCTTTACGGCATAGCGTTGCGGGCTCTTCCCTAGGCGGGTTGTTGGCCTTGATTTTTTTCTGCCTCGGCTCTCTGAAAACACCTGGTCGCCTTCTGTGAATGGAGGGAGGCGGATGAGACACAATGTAAATTATGTATGACTGGACGGACGGCTCACTGTGATAAGGTGACGGTGGTGGTGGGGTTACGGATGATAGGGTGAGCTAGGACGGATCGATGGATGGGTGAATGGATAGATGGGGGTAGAGTAGACTATCGGATCTAAAGTTCTGGCTCCTGACTCTTTCATTCTCTTTCTCTCTTCTTCTGTTTTTAACTGTGCTTGCTGGCTAGGTCATATGTGGGTGAGTGGTGTGTATGTGTATATGTATATATATGTACATGTGTACATGTGTACATGCTTAAAGCTTAAAGCTCAAGGCTTAAGTTACAAGCTGCGGTTCGTTTGTCCGTTCGTCCATCTATCCATCCATCTTGCCGTCCATCCTCCCGTCTCTCTCTCTCTCT